GGGGAAACTGATCCACTCGCTTATATGATCCACTCGCTTATAATATACGTTATCGGAAGGTTTTGCGGCATTTGGAGACGAATAGGGCGAATGACGATGTCTGGATTTGAGGGGGTTGAGAGAATGGGTGAGCTGGATGGACGACTGGAATAATACGGTTTCCATTACTCGGCCATTCCTGAATTTCTGCCCGATAGTTGTAGCATAGCGTTTTGAATTGGAATGGGAGTTTCAACATTGTTTTGGAATGGTAATCACATATTTTACGTGGAATCTTAGAATTGTGAGTCTGAAAGTTGTAAATTAATCTTGAACTCACTCTCAACATCTTAAGAGTAATCAAATAATTAAATATTGACATGAGAACAGGCGAGAAAAGTTCAAGACAACACAATAATGATTTATTCTGAAAACCCATTACCCACATGCTGAGTGTCACGGTTTCACCAAACTCGAAGTAACTCGACGAGGGTATTCCGATTCAATAATAAGCGTTTATTTCACCTTCCTGATGCGGAAATGCCCTACTTCTCCCTCGCTTTTCTAATCCGAGATAGGCATGCGGGGTCAGCTGGCCGATGTTATCATTTGACGACGGGACCAGGCACTCGAACCGTCCTGGTATGCTTTCAACAAGGGCCCCACGAACGAAACTAATCACATATCCGAGGAACTTTAACCCCCAAAGCTGATAATGACCGACCTCAAAACCCGCCTCCAAGCCTCCTACGACGCCATCGCGCCCGCCTACAACGCCTGGGCCATCAGCAACAGCGCTCTCCGCCTGCGCTTCCTAAACCGCCTCCTCGAACTCCTCCCACCCCCTTCCCAAAACTCAACCTCAACCACAACCTCCAACGCAGAACCCAACAACAATGCCCCCACCCCAACCGTCCTCCACGCCCTCGAACTAGGCTGCGGCGCCGGCATACCCATAACCCAATCCCTCCTCCAACACCAACCCCACACCTTCCACATCACCGCCAACGACCTCTCCATGGCACAAATCGCTTTAGCCCAAGAAGCGGTCGGCATCAACGGCGAGATCACAGCATCCGCCGCCGGCCGCACTGGCGACATCTGTAGCGAAGTAACCTGGATCCAAGGGGACATGATGCAACTGCAATACCCCGACCAATCCTTCGACGTGATCATCGCTCTGTACAGCGTCATTCACCTGCCGCGGACGGAGCAGGATGTGTTGTTGGAGAGGATTGCGCGGTGGTTGAGGCCCGGGGGGTTGGTGTTGGTGAATTTTGGGGCGGAGAGTGTGGAGGAGGATGTGATGGAGGATTGGATGGGGCAGTGGATGTTTTCGAGTGGGTGGGGGGCGGAAGTGGCGTTGGAGAAGGTCAAGGGGACGGGGTTGGAGGTGGTATTGGGGGTGGTTGAGAGGGAGGAGGGGGTGGATGCGGAGTTTTTGTGGGTGATTGGGAGGAGGGTGGTTTGATGAAAGTCTGGAGGACTGGTTGAGAGTTATGGAGAGTTTATTTCGGTAAATCACTACCAGCTTGAACAATCGTGATCCTGGTGCAGACAGGGCTCAAGGGGTCATATGAATATTGAACGTGGAAACATTTCATCCTGATTTTCAGCTGCTATGTACGATATCCCCGATCTACTATTTTCTCAGACGGACAAAGCTTTGTACAGTACCATGTGGACAAATTAAGAAAAGAAGCGGCTCAACAACGGGGTCGACGTCTCCTCAGGAGGGTCCGTCGGATCAGCAGCAGCAGTGCAGTTTCCGTAATCAGGCTGGCACCCGTTTTCCGCAGCACAATGATCAGTCGTATCGCCACAGTAGCCCCTGAAACGCGGTTAGCAGGTATCTTCGATAGTATTCATAGCAACACGATACAATTCCATCTCGCAAGGGAAATTAAAGCAAACAGATGAAAGGAAAGGCAAAAAGGTACTCACGCAACAGAACAACAGCTCGTCACCGTCGCATTCCCAGGACAAACATACCCCTGCGTCCCATCTCCAGTCGTCCCACACGTCCCATCAGGCGACACCGTCTCGCCCGGCACAGGGGCATAGCACGCCTCAGTGGTGTTGGAGTAATCCGGCTGGCAGTTCTCTGTCGTCAAGCAGAACGAGTCGGTGGCGCCGCAGAAGCCGAACTGAGAGCAGCAGGCTAGTTCGCTGGGGCAGGTGTAGCCTCCGTTTTCGGGCCCGCAAGTGTTGTCAGGCGAGACGTCGCGGTGCACGAGGCCCAGGAAGGGCGTGAGGTTGGCGGCGCCGCGGGGGTGGATGGTTCCGGCGAGGGCGCCGAGGGGGAGGAGGGCGAGGATGGGGAGTGTGGAGAGCATTGTGAGGGTGATTAGGTACTGTTATTTTCTTTCTCTTCTTTCTTCGTAACAATGGGGAATTTCCGGGTGGCTTGGGGACAGAAAAAGAACGGCCGAACCCAAGATCTGGGAATGAGCTGGCTTTTTAACTCTCCTTTCCGTATCTGCGATTATCAGCTTGGAACTTATCAATCTCGTTGCGGAGGTTATATTGCCGGGAGGACATCCGCGTTAATATCGCCACCCACGCGGAACCAAAGAACCTCTTGCAGGAAGCTTCAATATCGCGGAACCAGCATATGAATATGTGCGCGACCAAAATTTATCCGCATCCCTGGGTTGAGATCGGCTTGTTTCTCCAAATACAATTGCGGCTCGACAAGGCGTTGCCTTCCCGAACTGCGGGTAATTTAATGCCCAGCCCAGCTCTATTACATTACACCTATCGGCCTGGGATATACGTCGCACTGATCATCTCTTGTGCATATTACCCGCAGTTGGTTCCAGGAATGGGAATGTGTAGTTGGAAGGATTCAGCTCGGTCACGGAAATTCGGCGTTGAGACGGGATGTTTAGGCCCGAAGTTTGGAGACACTTTTGGAGAAGTAGGCAAGGTAGGTAATTGGTAGGTGAAGGATGTTGGGGTTAAAGACGACACGGGCAACGGAGGAGCGCAGCATCCCGGGGTCGCCCCTTTCACTCCGACAGGTGACAATGTTTGGGATTTAGAACGACTCAACGGAATTCATGTTGCAGGGAATGCTTTGTGGTGGAATGTGGATTAAATGCCGCCGTGATGCAACGAAAGTAAATCCCTTCGTCCAAGGGGGGCTGTCAAACAAAGAGCTCAGTGATTCACAAAATATATGTGCTTTCATTGTGCTGTTTGAGTTGTGAACGACCTAAAGATGTTGCAATCGTGGATGTTGCTGGCGTCATTCGCAGATATTTAGACGAGATTGATGGGCTCAATGGATACCTGTAGGTAAGATATTTTGTAGAACGGTAACTATGTATAACTATCGCAAGCAGCTCACTAATTAGCCGGGCAAATAAATTCAGCATTCATCAACCACAAATCCACTTCACCAATTGAATTCGTATAAGAACTGTGCGCTTCCTCCTGGGATCCTTGCAAGCCAACATCATTAGAGCCATCAACACGGTTCTCTACCCGACAGGATGATCTTGACCGGCGGCTTGTTTGAGCGCAGTGCATCAGCACAATCAATGCCTTCAACCACTCCAGCTGTCGGCGTAGATACTTGTATTTAACTAGATTGGGGTCTCATAATGGGCTACCTTGACTACTCGGAGTGACAGGGTGCGAATCGATTGTAAGTAATGGCGTGAGGGAACAAATACGGTGCACCTTTAGTGCTACAAATGTGCAATGGATTTGCGATTTTTAAGTCCGTACGCAAGGCGATGTGGTTACCACAACTCCTGTTATATATATCGGTAAAACACCAGGGCAAAAGCGAAACACGTATCACACATTAAAATAGGTATCAAAGTACCTACTAGCCTACGATGCAATGTATAGGTTGGCCATCTAACGATGTATGGTGTGAGGTGTAGGCGGGCCATCAGAAACCATCCAACTGTGGCGATCGAGTTGCAAGGCGCCCATATGAGGTGTAAAGTGTAGGGGGGCTGGTGCGATAATTAGCAGTCTAAAGGCCTAAGTCACATTAGGCCATAGTTTGACGGCTGTGTAGCAGTTCGTACAGTTCGATAGCCGACCTATGACTTACACTAGCAGCCTTCCTAGATCTTATATCGTTGGTCAGTATATCTGGGGTTTGGCGCTGGTGTTTCCCGACTTACATGAGTGTAGGTTTGGTATTTGTATCGACTTACGCACGGACGTAGCAATCACAAATCCATTGCACATTTGTGGCACTCAGGGTGTATGGTAAACAAAGGAACTGAACATTGACGGTGTACCCACATGTAAATCAACGACCTGAAGTACAAAGCGACCTTCGTTTGACGGCTATATAATCAATGGTTCTCCCCGTAGTTCCTGGCTACCTGACCAAAACAGTGCAGTCAACCAACTTCGCATCGGCATCTTCTTGACTGCAGCGCCTCATCTCAAAGCCTGCACAACTATAAACCGACACTTATGAGTTAGGTAGGCACTGACCAACCGACACTTATGAATTAATTAGGCACTGGTACGTCCACATAGCATTTTAGTCACCCACGAGTGCAACAGATCACGATGGAGTACACTCCAGGTATACTGAAACTCCCGACCGAGATGATCTTAAAGGTCTGCGCCGACATTTCCCCTCGATGCACAGAAACCCCCGAAATTGATCGGGTATGCACCGGATGTTACGCCGGTCGATCTGACTGCCTGCAGTGGGACGGTGGCCAAGCCGACTTGTCGCGCTTCTCCCGGACTTGCAAAGCATTGAGCGCCATGCTCCAACCGCTGGTATTCTAGTCCTTCCAAGCCGATTCTTGTGGTGATGGTAGCGATGACAACAGCAAGCCCGACATTGCCAACAACAACTACCTTCAGCGTGTCGTCCAGCTCACTCGCAGCCTCATCGCCCGGCCGGATCTCGCTGGCTGTCTCCGTTCACTCTCGTTCTGCGTCGAGTGGTGCCCCGATATTCTTACACTTGACGATAGGCAGTTCGTGGAGGATATGGTTGTCGGCCTCGGCCTTCCCGCGCTCCCCCATTCCCGGAACAGCGGTCTTGGCCCCTCGTGATGGAAATGGGAAGCAACTACCGCCGGAGATACCCATTGGTCTCTCCAGAACTGGCGCTTATCCACGCGCCCGCCGTCCAATATCTGAAGTTCCCGTGCGGGAAAGATTGGGAATTGACGGTCCTCCCCGCTCTAGCCTTGCAACAGCGGGAAAATCAGGCCAACAACACCAAGAGCAACAGCGCCGGTGCCAAGCACACCGATATTACCGTCTCATTCTTGCATCTGCACACCATCAACATTGCCCAAGCAACCAAGCCTAGTTTCGACATCTACTCCAAGATCACCCCTACCACCGTGCCCATCGACCTGATCTAGAGCGCGCCCAACCTGCGCGCTCTCAGCCTACCTTCCGACCCGGGCCAGCTCCTACCCCGGCGCGATAACCCCCGAAAACGCAAGAAGGGACCGGTTCCCCAGCGCCTCCCTCAACTCCCCCACGTCCACCGCATCAATTTCCAAAACAAGAGCACCCTCCGCCTGCAAGCCCTGGGCCGCCTGGTGGCCGCCACGCCTCGGCTTGAGGCCCTCGCGTTGCAATGGCCTCCTCACTGGTCCTTGTACCCCAACGGCATCGACACGAGGCACAAGAGGACCATCGACCTGTGGAAATGCCTGGGGAAGGTGCGGCACACGCTGCGGGAGTTGCGGTTGGAGGTAAAATGGAATTGCATTGAGCCCCTTTTTACAGCGCACAATGACGACGGGGTGGAGCTTTTGGTGGACGGGCAGCCGAGCCGGGCCATTCGAGGCCGAGAGTCAATGCGGGATTTTGAATCGCTGGAGCACGTGTCGTTGGACGCGTCGGTGGTGAACGCGTTATTGGACGTGTGGAGCACGCGGAGAGCACATTGGCAGCGGGAGGAAGGCGAGTTGATGACAATGTTTTTCATGGAGCTCTTCCCACCGACTGTTCGGACAATTACGTTGTGGGGGAATGCGCGCGACGCGATTGTATTCATGATGTGTTTTAGACAATTCGCGTGTGAGGTCGGGCGCGGGGGCACGTACCTGAACTTGGAGAGTGTGTCGATCGCACCGTATCAGTCAGGGACGGCGCATTACGGCGCTATTATGCCTGAGGACTGGCCAGAACAGGTTGACAGGTATGTGAAGCAGGAGTTTGCGAGAGTGGGAGTGGACTTTCATGTCGATTATAAGCGTATTGCCTGGCAGTATGACGATATTGATGACCTTTGAGCATCGGTCGGGAAGGGAGTGGCATCTGATTCGTGAAGGTATTAGATGTAATGATACGTAGAAGGGACGTGCGGGATGACGGCGGTCACCACTTGATTAGACCCTTACTTAGCTAGCAATAGCAATTATTTGGCCGCCCATAGTTCTGAAGTGCATGAGTGACCCGGGGCGCAACTCTTGGTTTAACTGGGCAATTCAAACCACGGTCCTTCTTTGAGGTGTTACATAGTGGTCAATTACGCCCAACCTCGTGACAGGAGTGTTGTGTGTTAACCCCAGGCCCAGAGGACCGTTCTGCGATGCAATCATGCGTATGTACAGTCGACATTGGGTGGTAAACGCTACACACACAGTACCTTCCTACCTATCTACCTAAGGTGTACACGTTGCCGGCCTCGCAGTTGTTTGCTTGCAGCTCTTTGGCTCTGGTGATCGTTGGATCACTCAAAACTCTAAGAAAGCTAAGGTTAACAAATCGCCTTGGTTTAACTACACACTGGCGAAGTAACTAAGCCTTATTGTCCTCCTACCTCCTTGGATTACCCACCCGGTCTGCCCGGCTTGTGCGCCCTGCTTTCTCTGCCTGGACCGCCGGTGGGCGCCTGGGGTACCAACGATAAAAGATATGAAAGATGTGGGAGAGGTGGAAATCAGTGGGGAATATAGCGGCATAGGGTTATATATTATCGGGACGCGGTCGTGCCATAATATGGTCTTGAACAGCCCTCGCCGCTCACCACGACGTGCCACATCTAGGGGCTGGTCATCGCCCCAGGTCGCGTCTACCCCGGCGGCGCCACTCATGCCGCCGTGGGCCAGGTGGTGGTGGTGGTTTCTGGCGTCGCACCCGTTGTTCCCGGCGGTTATGTCGTTTGCGGTGGAGCCACCGTCAGCCAGTCTGTAATTAATTGTTTAGCACGAACTGCTGTCTTCCCGGGTTTGTGCTGTTAGGGTTAGGGTTAGGATTCAGGGGTAACGAGTTGACAAGAAACGACCCCACGTACCGTCCTTGTCCTTCAGATTGACAATGCAGTAACTGTACGCCGCCGAGAGAACACACTTCTCCTCTGTCAAACTTGGGTTCCACCGCCTCAGTTGCGCCACCGTGACGTCGCCCATGTTGGCCCACGTCACACACGTGTTTGCATCGGGGTTCTGCGCCGTGACAGCCTCCGGCCAGCCATTCTCGTAGCTATCACATCCGTCAACGGTCCCTTCCGCGCGGGGGTTGAGCGCAGGCATGTCTAATACCGGCGGCGGAGCCTCGGTTTCGTTGGCAGGTGGCGGCCGGGTGAAGGTGGTGGACGGCACTGACACGGGGTAGTCTGGGTAGGTCTGGATGTTGCCGACGGGTTTGACGCAGTAGGCGGAGCCGAGCCAGAGGTTGTTGCAGTGGGCTTTGTCGACCTGGGGGTTGAGGAAGTAGAAGTCGGCCAGGGCGATGGAGAAGGCGATGGAGATGGACGCGCACGAGTCGTCTGGTTGGACCGTATACCATTGGCCGCAGTGTGTGTTTGATCCTCCCTGAGTGTTAGTGGGGATGGGGGCTTCTGTGGTTGTGGCATTGCCGTCGGGCACGTCGATGGTCCCGCCCGGCGAGCTGACGCATATGAACCGGCCGCGCCATCGGTCGAGATTACCACAGCCCGCGCTGATGATGGGGTTCCAGGCTAAGAGCTGGCTGATGGTAATGTTCTGTGCCGTTATAATGGACCTGCAGGTGTCGTCCGGGCTAAGCTCTTGGATCTTGCAGGCGGGTGGGAGGCAGAGTGAGGTATTAACAGGAAGCATCATGGTACAACCCAGGTCCAGCCCGTTCAGGCTAATCAGGGCTTCGGTGGCAACGCCCTGTGCCTCAGCGATGGTATTACATGAGTCCTCCTTTTGGATGACATATGTTCGGTTGGTGGCACAGGTAGGTCTTGATGGAGGTACCGTAGTGGAGTTGAGCGCGTAGCTTGTGGGTGTCGCGTAGCTGTATGTCTTGGCCGCACAGCTTGACGTGGTGAAGGCAAAGGCGGATGCTGCTTCTTTGTCATAGCCGAAGGGAGACGCAAGCTGCTTCGCCTGAATTCCTATCTGACACTCAGAGCAATTTTGAGCCGCCGTGTACGGCTCAGTTTGGTTTCTCCACGCTGCGACAACGATGTCACAATATTCGCCAGTGGCTCTGTGGTTGCGTCAGCGCCCATCAAAAGCGTATGGTTCTTAAAAGGAAAACTCACGAGTCCCTAAGGCACGACAGGCTAGACGCATAAAGATAACGATCAACGAGGAATGTAGCTATGGTCTAAAGTTAGAACAAACACGATTGGAAGTTTTATCGCACGATAAACCTATTAGCTCAACATACCTGGGTACGCCACACCGCCTGGAGCCATCACGTCTTTACTACCTGTGCACCCTTTGGCAATGGCAGTCCTCAAATGCGCAAGGTCATCTTGGCATTTGCTGGCACAGAGAGCCTTGAGCTCGGTTTCCTTAAGGAGGTCGAAGCTGGCCGCTTCACTGAAAAGATATCGGGCAAACAGACCTGATTAGCAATGAAGTCCTAGGGAAAAGTTGGATTTGTGGTCTTGTCCCTACTCACATGCCAGCAAACGGGGCAAGCCAACCAGGGCATGAAGTAACCGTGGTGTTGACCGCAGTAAAACACTTGCTGCTTAGACCCAGAAGCTCATAAGGGAAGACGTAGTCTTTGAACTGTTGAGCGGTTGTTTTATGGAAGCCAAACAGCAGCGCTGTCAGAGCCGTGGATGCGAACATGGTGGAGTTGCCGTCATCAACAGTCAGGCCAGGAGACTCAAGGTGGTGCGGTGACCAGCGAGTGCTCCTTCAACCCTTAATAGCTACCCCCCTAGGCTCGGGAGGTACCGAAGTAGAATGGCGAGTCAGTCAGATTCTTACTTACTTTCTGGCTGACAATGGGAGTAAAACTCCAAGCGGTCTTACTTTGCCACTGTTGCACCCTACATGGTTTCGCGCTGCTATTACAGCTTTGGTGATACCCTTCACATAGCACTACCACGTTTGGGCTCCAGACAAAGCCGGCCAATACCTATGGGCACTGTCAATACGATGCACCCTTCGTGCTACAAATTACAACTGTTCCATCATTTCAGGAAACCTAGGTTTAAAAAGGTGTCGCGGAAGGTCCGTGTCAGCCAGGCGAGTCCGTAAAACACGAGCACCAAACTACAACGTCATACATGAAACTCGATACTAAACAGGTTTTTTCTGGGTTTCACTATACCCTCGTACGGCTGATCACCCAGGACACGATAGGAAGGTAATACTAGATCAGCTAGACTTCTAACCGACACCGTAGCACCCAGTCACGGCTCGGTCGACATGTGTACGAGTGACGGTGGCAGCTGAAGCCCCGTGTAGCGTTCCCACTTATCAAGTGCCTTGGCTCCGTCCGATAATTATATTTAGGTACCTGCGAGTCACAGTCCGTGGCGTGTCTCAGGGCTATGGCGTGACAAACTGCAGGTACACTACACGAGCCATGTACCGCTGGATTTATCGATATTCTTCATCCTGCAACTAGTAGGCATCCCTGTTAATTACACGTTTGGCCTTAACGGTAAAGAAGACATGAATTCGTCGACAAAATCTAAGCCGTCCGCGGGGTGGCGGTAAGTACCTACCTCTTCATATCGAATTCCGATTCTCCTCAATCATTCCTTCCCCGTGGACCGGACGTGACTTCCTCAAGACACAGAGGGAAGGTCCGAACTTCACAGGCTCCGGCATAATGAAGTTCTCCCCGTTCGTGCTTGCCGTGCTGTTGGGCAATGCTTTAGCAGAGCGAACCCAGCACCAACGTCATATCGCCAATACGAGGTTTTCCGTTCTGGAACGCCGGGCTCGGGATTACGAACAGTCCATTGCCTTGCATCGACGGGACGACTTCACCTGCGGACCCGGAAGTCTGTCTCTCCAGCTTTGTCGTTCCTCCGCTTCTCAACGCTAGCACATAGCTAATGGTGCGTGATAGAACCTTGCGGAAATGGTGCTTGCTGTGGTAGTAAGTCTTGCTTTGGTCTTTGCTTCGGCGATGCGCAGACAGATACTGACTACACTGCACCAGAGGACGGGTGGTGCGGATATGGACCGAAATACTGCGGCGCTGGATGCATCAGCAACTGCAACGCCCATGCCGAGTGCGGGCAATATGCAGTGCCCGTGAAGAAGACTTGCCCTCTCAATACTTGTTGTTCGGAGTTCGGTTTCTGCGGCACAACAAAGGGCAAGTAACCAACCCTTGGCCCCGTTTGTCCCGCGACCGGTATCGCTAACCTCTCCTTCCTGGTGAGTAGAGTTTTGCACCGGAAAGTGTCAGTCTCACTGTGTAGAGCATCCGAAGCCTCCCGGGGGTGGAGGGACTAGCAACACGCTGTCAAAGGGTGAGTGAAATACCCTCCATGTCAAACTGTAATTAATTAACCCTCTGGCAACTTGGTTTACAGTCATCGGCTACTACGAGGCATGGCACGACGAATCGAAATGTCATCTAACTAGTGCCGACGACCTCCCCGGTATGTCCAGGTTCTTGAGGACGCTTGGTTACCTCATAGACTAAATGGGATGAGGGTACGACTGACTTCGCCCTAGTGGATGGCCTCACCCACCTGAATTACGCGTTCGCATATATCGACCCTAAGTCCTTCAAGATCACAACCATGGATGCTGCGACGCCAGCTCGTACGTTTGAGGACGTAGCCAGCCTGAAGCTCAAAAACCCAAACCTGCAACTGTTTGTGAGTCTCGGTGGCTGGTCGTTTTCCGACAACGACACAGCGACGCAGCCGGTTTTTGGGAACATTGCGCGCAGTTCTACCAACCGCCGACAGTTTGCGGACAACCTTCTTAAATTTCTGAATACTTACGGATACGATGGGGTAGACATCGACTGGGAATACCCCGGAGCTCCCGATCGAGGCGGCAAGCCAGACGATACCAAGAACTACGTCTTGCTGGTTGAGACGCTCCGTAAAAGATTCGATGACTCGGGCCGCAAGCTGGGTATCACCTTTACTGCCCCCTCGTCCTTTTGGTATTTACGCTGGTTTGATCTTCCTGGGATGGTGAAACATGTCGACTGGATCAATATCGTGAGTCCTGTGGTCACTGAATTAAACGTCCACGCTTGACCGCTATCAATAATGACACATTCCCTCAGATGTCATATGATCTACACGGCGTGTGGGATAGCAACAATCCTCTTGGATCTTTTGTCCGAGGCCACACAAATCTCACCGAGATCAATCTTACCGCAGAGCTCTTCTGGCGCGTCAAGATACCGCCTTCAAAGCTTGCCCTCGGCTTTGGCTTCTATGGAAGGGCTTTCACGTTGTCAGACCCGAACTGTACCAAACCCGGTTGTCCCTTCAGCGGCGGCGCTAGGCCGGGTGTGTGCACAGGGACAAGCGGATGTGAGTCTCAGTTCAAGAGTCATACAGTTTACGCTTCTTCCTTTTTCTTTTTTTCTTTCTGATTTTATTTTACTTCCTGCTTTCACCTCTTTTCATTACCTCTTTCTTGCTTCTATTGTGGTTTTTCTTTTTTACTTTATTTTATCTCTTTCCTTTCCTTTCTGATTTTATTTTACTTCTTTCTTTCTCCTCTTTTCTTCTTCTCTTTCTTGCTTCTAGTGTTCTTTCTCTTGTTTACTGTATTTTACCTCTTTCTTTCCCTTTTTTTATTCCTTTATCTGGTTTTTCTTTTCTCCTTCCTTGTTTCTTAGTCTTTTTGTTGCTTTTCCAACTATCGTTACGTTAGATGACAAAAGACAACCGTCCATTACCGCAGCAGATTGGACCCCTATGAGCCGTAGGATAGGTTGCTAACTTGCACCTGCTCCTGGCAGACCTCGCCCACTACGAGATCCAGGATATCATTAGGAAGAACAAGAAAAGAGGTTTGGTGCCTATACACGACAAAAAGGCGGCGGTGAAGTATATGACATGGGACAACGACCAGTGGATCTCGTACGACGATGTCGACACCTTTAAACAGAAGATCAAGTGGGCGGACAGCATCCGGTTTGGGGGGTCGTTGATCTGGGCATCCGACTTGGGTGAGCGTTGTTGTCCACCGTCCGCTTCATTTTGGGTTATGTGCTAATCACAGGAATGCACTCCCTTCATAGACGATTACGAGTTCACAGCCCACAAGGGACTTACCGGAAATACCAAGCTTGGCAGTGCGCTCTCCAAGAATCAGACAGCGACGCCAGTGGTGGCTGAGATCGACTCTAGTTTTGGCAACAACTGCTACAAAGAGGGGAACCAGTTCATACAGTCATGCGAAAGGGGGTTTGTCAAGGTAGGAGCAGACAGAGACGGCATAGACTGTGGTAACATCCATGAGTCCGCCTGCGGCCGCATCATCTGCTGCCCGAAGACGTCGGGTATGACCGACTGCATGTGGCGCGGGTCTGGAGGAGATTGCAACGGGCAATGTCACGAGGGCGAGGTCAAGCTCGCGTCGTCCAGCTGGGGCGGTAAACCTGGCGAGTCAAGCCCGACTGGAAGGTGCAACCGAGGCGACAAGGCGTTTTGTTGCAAAGCCGCTCAATACGCCAGTTTGACCGAGAACTGCCGCTGGACTAATAGCTGCGGCAGCAATTGCAACTCGGACGAGGAGAGCGTTGCCTATGCCTACGACCAGCCTGGGTGGGGGGCAAATGTCTTCTGCAATGGCTTTCACTATTGTTGTAAGAAGGACCGCCCGATCCCCTTACGGAACTGCCATTGGGTCGGCCAAGGAGACTGCGCCGACAACACCTGCGCCAAGTCCGAGGTAACTCTGTGGACTAATTATAGAGGCGACTCTTACTGGGGTTGTGCCTGGTACCGGAAAAAGGCACTCTGCTGCACGCCCAATGCGGACGCCTTAGAGGAGGACGTTTGCGATTACAATCCGTGCGACGACGATCCGGATATGTGCAGCGATGGACTGAGCGACCTATGGGGCGCTTCAAGGACAAAGCCGGTCAGGCGAACATACATCGACGAAGACGGACTCGAATATGAGTACCTGGACAAGGGGGTTGGTGCGACGCCTGGACTGCCGAGGCAAATCAACCTCAAACTGCTCACGCGCATGCTCACCTGGAACTCTCGCCCATATCCAACTGGGGATAAGCGAAACTTCCTTTTCCGCCCGGGGACTGGGCTCGCTACGATGTGGCTTAAGGGCGGCTATGAGTAAGTTTAATTATCACATGTTTGGTTTTCCTTTTCATTCTATCTTTGATTCATTTTTCTTTCCCTTTTCTTATTTTGTTTTATCGCTCCTTTTCTTTTTCTACCTCTCTCATTTTTCTGCTTCCTTTTTTTTTTTTTTGCCTTTTTTCTTCTATTTTCACGTTTTCTTTTCTTTTCCTTTTTTCTTCTATGTTCCCGTTTTCTTTTCTTTTCATTCATTCTTTTATTTTCCTTTCTTCTTTTTCTTTCGTTCTTTTCTTTTCTCCTTTCCCCCGCTTTTTTTCTCTAGTCTTTTTGTGTCATTCACTTGCATTTTTCTTTCCTGGCCCTTATTGTTGATAGTTATTCTTTCCCCCTACTGTTTTCCTTTCAGCTTCTTGTTCTCTTCTACCTTTACTTTTTTGTTTTTTATATCTTAATAAGTCATATATCAACCCTCTGTACTACTCAGTGTAACCTGTACGGACTGTGCTAAGGTTATGAACCACACCCTAGCAAGGCAAGTAGGGTTTGCACCGACCCCGGGCTGGTTTTCACCAAAGCGTCGGACCTGGCCAGAACCGGCTTCCAGACCGAGCATCTGTTCGAGGTCCAACTCCCCAAGAAGCTGCTGGAAACAGCAGTCAGCGGTGTTCTGCCAAAGATCGGACAGGGTGTCACGCCGATTCTGAAAACGGCACGGCTCGCCGAGGACAGCCTCTATGCCGGCTGGAATAAGCTCTATGCGCCCAGCGTCAACCTGAACAAGTTTTACGAGGTCGTCAAAGGCGTGCCGAGCAGCTACGTGGCGCCGGCGAACACTCCCGCCGACCGACTCATGACGGCCATTGGGGATTGGGGCAACATGCAGAACCTGCTCCTTGTCGCCGGTGACGTCAATTGGGTCAAGGGCAAGCTCTTCTCGCTGGAAAACCCCATGGCCACATCAACTTTGCGCAAAGCCGTCAGTGACGCCCTAAAAGGGGACGAGATGGCAGCCAAAAAAATCGAGGTTGTCCTCCAAAGTGTAAGTGGCATGCAGAACCAAGGTGGTCGTTGGAGGACGGGCAACCGGACGGGCAACCAAGTGCTGACCTTGGTGGCAAAACTGCAGGTGTTCTCTGTCTTCAGATATATGAACGACGCGGCGACCGAGGTTGTATGGCGCCACGCCTACTACTCCATCAACAAAGAGATCGAGAACATGGACCAATATATGCCCCAGCTCCACGGTATCAAAGCCATCTGGGATGAATTTTTGCCCGCATACCAAGGCGCTGTGTCCGACAAGGCAGTTGCGTTTATTCGGGATGTATACTACTATATCAACTTTTATGTGTCACCAGACAAGGCTGGGCTGAGCGATCACCTCGGTAAGATGGTTTGGACGGCGGGAAACTATGCCAAAAGGACTGGCGAACTCCATTGGCAGAAAGATTTTTCTGGCTAGCACAGATAATTGTGGGGTTTTAGCAGTTGTTTTGCTTTTGTGTCTTTAATTGTTTTTCTTTTGTATCCTTGTTGTCTTCCTTTGGTACCTCGCGTTCTTTCGTTTTCTACCTATCTTTTCTATCTTCCATTGTTTTTCTTTTCCATCCTTGTTGTCTTTCTTTTGTACCTTTCCTTCTTTCGTTTGGTATCGTTCATTGTTTTTCTTTTCTACTGTCTTTGTCGTTCTATTGTATCTTTCTCTCTTTTTTCTTTTGTACCTATCTTTCTGTTTAGTTTGGCTAGATTCCCATCGCCGAGAATAAGACAACTCAACGGTGAATGGTCGAAGAGAAGCACATCGGGCAATTCAACTGGGGAGTCACTTGGGTAAGACCGGAAAACCTTTCGTGGGAATCCTGTTTCGACTTCCCGGCCCTGTGTAGAACAGTCAACCACAGTAGGTAGTAATTAGTTACACAGTGCACGGACCCGGGTATTCCTCTTTAATTATATCATCCTTTTCTTCCCTCTCCGCACCTCCCTTCCCACGGATGTTTCAACAAACTTTCCTCCCCCAACACGTGCCTCGCCCGCAGCAAGGTCGTCATGTTACACCGCGCCATCCGCCCGAAAATCTCAACCTTCACGACTAGATATCAATATCCAAAGCGCACCTCCCTCCCATACGGTGTTGCGTACCATCATCCAACCCCCTCAATCAAGTTCTCGTCCTCATCCAACAACCTCCCAACCAGCAACCCCAACTCCACCCCCGGCAACAAACCTAACAACGCCGCCCCCCACAACACCCACCAGATCAACCCCCCAATCCCCATGGCCAAATCCCAATTGACCGACGCCGACCGCGCCCGCGTCCAAGCCCGCAATGACGCAATGAGCAAGGCACTGGGTGCCATCGAGCCGTACGACCCCGACCTTGTTCGCGAAGCGCTCCTAGCAGTAGCGCGAGACCACCCAGTCGATGACGCCGTGCGCGAGGCGTACGCGGACGAACTGCTGCGCGGCATGGCTGACTCCGAGCCGTTGGACGAGCTAGAGAGTTCGCTGGCTTGCCCGCTGCTCGCTCCGGGCGCGCCTTGGGGGTTGGCTGTGTATCGGGTTGCGTACGGTGGTGGTGAGGGTACTGATGAGGCGTGGCGGCGGATGGTGGAGTTGATTGGTGAGAGCGTGAGGGAGGACTTGGATATGAGGGGGAGGTTGGATTTGTTGCCGCGCCATCGGCTGGCGGTTGTGGATGACCGGGACCGATTTGACGGTGCTTCGCCTGATCGGGTGCGGGAGCACTTTGTGAAGTGGGCGCGGGACGAGTTCAGGCGAAATCAGAGGGAGGAGCCGGTCACGGAGGATGAGATGGCTAGGTTTTATCACACTGGTCCTTTGGAGGAATTCGTGGGCACGAGGTACAACTTTTGTTTGGTGGTGGACGATATCTGTCTCGAGTCGCTTGAGCACATGTCCGACCCCGTAGTGAAGCTAGTGAGGAAGGACTGGGCACCCTACGAGCCGGAGTTGGAAGAGGATGAGGATTATGGGGACAATCCGGGCTGGGAAGGTGGAGTGAGCAACAACGAGTTTGAGGACGTGGGTTGGATGTATATGAATCTTTCGGATTACGTGGACATTCAGGACAGCTTGGATGACCCGCACGACTGGGAGGACGATTATGTGCGGCCACCGCTTATGCGTTGGCGGGATGATTTTGAGAAGACCGCGCCGGGATTTTGGCGAAGGGGTGGGAAGTCTGATGGCGAATGATGGCGGGTTTGCCATAGAATTAATCACATTTCCTCTCCTGCGGGCTTCACTTTTCTCTACGTACCCTTGCAGTTTGTTTTGCTCTGCGGACGGTATATCGATTTTCGGTGTCCGCCATTTTTAACAACCGTACCGTAGTTCAACGTGCTTCCCACAGAACCACGACCGCGCTGTGAAAGTAAATGCAGGTATCGCATACTTAATACGCAAGTAGGATGTTAGGTTGACCGTTGATATCTTAGAACGAATGTTCTGTTCGCCAATTTAGACCGATCGATAATTACACTAGTTACCATGCTAAAAATGGGATTTTCCTTGAAGTATAAGAGGCCAATATCCCTTCCAAATTAAAACTTGTTCAAAAAATTGAAGATTGAATTGAAGATTGAACTGAAGATTGAGAAGTAATACACATTTTGGCTGACTGGTCGAGTCGAGATACCTTCGATTGAGGAATTATTTGCTCGATGGAATTCAATTCGGTTGCTGCCAAAAATGAATTTAACGCGAGTGTGGTGGGGCGATAACGGTTTTGACTGCATCTAACAGACCTCCGTACCTGGGCAACCAACACCAGCCTGCCAAGTCAAGGAGTGATGTTGGGTCCAAATGGCAAAACTCATGACGGATAAATTTTGACCTAATGTCCGCATTTAACAACTACCTGATTACTTGAAGCAGTAGGCAACAAGCAGAAAGCAACAACCAAGCGACCAACAACGAACAAACAATAATTGGACCGTCAGCAACTAGCACGACTTGGCAACAGGAACATTCTCAGACTGACAACACGCCGTCATGGCCCGTTATCGCAATATAGTCGACCTCCCTGTGGAGCTTATCGAAGCGATCTACTTGCGTATCTGCCCTCGCTGCCCCGATATCCCAGGCATCGACGCAGTATGGCCAGAATGTCGCGCGGGTCGGCCCGGATGCTGGGAATGGCAAAAAGGCCAAGCTGACCTCTCACGTCTCTCACGCACCTGCAAGTCCCTGGCCGCCATCCTTCAGCCACTGGTGTTCGAATCCTATAAGGCCGATGCCGACGGTTGTGATAGCAAGCGTTATGTCCACCGTGTGGTTCAGCTCACACGCAGCCTTCAGGCACGCCCCGACCTCGCCGGCCGCCTTCGCTCACTCTCTTTCTCTTTCTCTCTAATGCCGACCCTGGAGGATCTTGGTCCGGCCGAGAGACAGTATGTGAAAGAGACCATTGCACGCCTTGGCTTCTTCGCTGGCCGGTTCCGTCCTAACTGGGATGACGACCCAGGCTATGATTACAGGAAGGACTTGTGGCAGTACACACTTCTCCCCTTCGAGGTGGCGCTCATACGTGCGCCGGCGATCGAGTATCTCCAACTCCCTGTCGGAGACGATTGGCGCTTGATGCTTCTCCTTTTCCTCATGGCAAGAGGGGCGCGAGTTCGGGATGCCGAGAACATCCCCACGCCCGACGCATCTGGGGACCCCTTAGCAACGTGCTCATTCCCACACCTCCACACCATCACCTTCCCTATTGTTGTGGCCGACGACTTACCTTACCACCCTACAGAGACCGACGTCCCGTGGACCATGCTCCAGGTCGCTCCCAACGTCCGGTCCATCCGCCTTCCTTCAGACCCAGGCGATCTATGGCCCGGGCGTTTCACCCATGCAGAAGTCCCCCCACCGCTCCCGCACCACCGCCGCGTCCACTTACAGCATACTTGCATTGGCGCGCCCGTCGATATTTACAACTTCCTTGAAGCCACGCCCCATCTAGAAGCGTTTGCCTTGCAGTGGGCGCCGGTATTGATCCAGCACAAAAACCGGCAGGACAGGGACGACGTAGAAAACGCGTTGAGCCAACTGTGGGGCATGTTGGAGAGGATAAAAAGTTTCAGTACGGGAACTCAGGCTGGACTTTGACGATGGTGCGCTGCATGTCCCCTCGGGGGAGGACTGGACTGTGGTGATATAGTGGAGGAGGGGGCGGTCGAGGGGCGGATTCCAGGGTTGGAGTCTATGCGTCACTTTGGGCGGTTGGAGCGCGTGTCGGTCAATGAAGATGTGCTGCGGTGGCTGCGCGACGTATGGTGTGACTGGAAGGCACATTGGACTTGGGCGCGGGACGAGAATTACGAGTGGGTTCCGAGGGATAGGTTCTTGGTGGACATGTTCCCGCCAACGATTCGGAGGGTGACATTTTGGCGACTGCGGCGGTATATAACTATACGGGGACGCCCTTCTTGAGTTTGCGCGAGATGTTGCTAAGGGAAGATTTCCGAATTTGGAAAGGGTCTTGATGGCCGCGAGACAAGTGGACGAGAGGTTACAGGCTTTTGAGTCTTGCTTTTTTCATGATGACTTGGCTGGGTGGGACGACTATGAGCTCGAGAAGTTACGGTGTGAGTTTTCTCAAGGGGGTGTTGAGTTTCGGATCACGTGGGAGGTAATTCGCTGGCAGTATGATGATATTTGGTGATGGACGTGCAAGTATTTTCTCTTTGATACTTTCCCATGGCGTTGAACTTATAATTGGCTGGGGAAGATGTGACTGCGTAAAATGAGATCGGTGAACTTGATGCCGACGACAACAAGGGTTTTCGGGAATTGAACCAAACTCACCGTCCTTCAAACCAATCCCTCTGAAAATCAATTTAGAATGTGCGTATTGATTGATTGGGGCAAGATAAAAAAAGCACACCTAACTAACATGTTCTCAAGGAAATAGAACCCAAAAAGCTCACCAGCCGACACTCTTCACCGGCTGAAGAAGGGTGCTTGGTTACGAAAACCTCTGTGGGTTTTTCTCCGGATTGAACTGATAGCTTCTCGATCGGTTGTCGAGGGGTGAGGCAGCCCCTGGGCCGCGCCCCGCCAGCCAACTGCGCTACGCAACCAGTTGTTGGTATTGCTGGGGGGTTTGGTGGAAGGAGGGCCGTGGACCTTGTAGACATACCCGCGGTGGTGGGAGGGAAGGAGCATGATGTGCCCTGTGGAAGAGTCTGTTGTTGAACTCACCCAGGGGCTGACATGACAATTCAGAGCAGGAAGGTGGCTCCCGAGCTGATGTGACACACTTACCGTTTGCAGGGTGATCGCCTTTTGAGTCTCTTCAGTTTTGGGGGGGGTATTAAATAGTCGATTGCCATTGCGCACCTCCGAGTGTCCTGGGGATGAATGTAATAAAGCTAATGGTGTTCCTCAGTAATCGGGTCATCTTGACACGGTTTCGAAGAAGAGATATTGACCATCACAATCTGGAGAGGTTAATATATGGCCGTGCCATTTCCACGAAGTGGTTTATTCAGTGTGGATTTTAACTTCAGTCACATCCTTTACGGACCTACCCTCGAGTTGGTTCAACGTCACCTTGACGCTGACCGCGGAAGCTAATTGCCCATCTCTTTTTAACCAACGCGGAACTCTTGTGATTTTTAGGAATCCTGTCTAGAATCACTAAGACTATCACTTTTTGACTTTGGTGGCCCTCCGTAAAAGAAGGCCCCAGTCGCATGTTCGGAATGCGACAAACGTAAATGTTTTCTCACGAAGAGATAAATTCCTTCCAAACGTTTTCCCCACGACGTGGTACCGCTTTCAGCACCCGCCGTCTTTGGCCAGCCCTTGAAATCTCCGATGGATTTCAAGTCTCTGGTCGGCTCGTACATTTCGCACGCCGCGCCAGTGTTCTCGCGATCCCATGCCCACTTGCGCACCAGGTCTTCGTCGAGAGTATTGAAGATGCGCTTCACGACGTACTCACCAATGTTGGGGAGGAACTTCCAGCTATGGAACGAGCCGGCACTGGCGATCACGAGGTTGGCGCACTTCGGGTGGTAGTCGATAATGAGATCCTGGTTTGGACTGACGGCGTCCCTAGATACCCGTAAGATCAGAATCATCCGCAATTTGTTTTGTGGGGACACACTGGCTGTCCAAGGGCAGGAACCATACCAGCAAGTTCTGTAGCTCTCGATTTGGATTCCCGGCACGTGGCTTCCGTACGTATTCTTGAAGACGTTGGCGACCTCCTGTTTAAGCCCCTCAGGCACGTTCTGGTTCCAGGACGTTTGGGTATCAGCCGGAGGCGGGACTGAGATGTCCCTGCCGAGTCCGTCGTGGCGTGTCATGTTGGTGAAGCTGACCTCGCAGTTGAATTTGAGGAGGCCTTTAAAGGCCGGGATGCTTTCTCCTAACCACGCAAGCAGTAGAACGCGATAAGTCAGTAAAATCTCGCACCTTCGGCTACACGGTCTAGAGAGTAGGATATAGCCTAGTTCAATGTGGCCGTACGAACCGTGGGTATGCCACATCCCTAGGAAGTGAACGGGTGCTTTGCTCAGTTGCTCTTCATATTCCGGTGGGTAAGTAGCTTTGCACTGTATCGCCCCGGCCGCAATCAATCGGCCGTTGACCTGCAACTCGCTGCGCTCCGGTGCCGTATCGGCCAGGAACTTTTCCGTGTAGGCCCCGACGCACAAGATGGTCCGGTCCGCGAGAAACTCCCGGCTTGGGCCGCCCGCTTCAGAAATGACGACGCCAGCACAGTTCCCATCGCTATCTAGGACCAGTTTCTCGGCAGTTGCCTCGATGAACTCCACGCCGGACGCGAGGGTGGCCGTAAAAAAGCTGGCGACAGCCTCGTCCGCCTCACCCCATCCGCTCTGGGGGTTGAAGTAGTTTTCCTTGACGCCTGTCCAATTAGCGTCCTGGAAGATGGGGAACCGGGTCAAGGCCTCCTCCTTGGATAGGATCTCCGAACGGGTCTCGACACTTAGAGAGCGATAATTCTCAAAGGACGCCTGGCCCATGCCAATCTCCTCAGCGAAGAGCATGCCACACTCGTGGTAATGGGGTTTGAAGATGGGGTCTGTGCGCCATGACTCCTGAGCTTCGAGGGCAATCTTCATGTACTGTGGGTCCGGGTAGTCAGCGCGGATTATTTTGTTGAAGTCGCTGGAGGCCGCCCCGCGGTTGGGTCGATCGCCGCGGGTGCGGTCGATGAGGATGACCTTGGCGTTTTGGTATAAGCGCCGGAGGTGGAAGGCCGTGGATAGGCCAAAAACGCCAGAGCCTATGATAACAAAGGTAGCGGGATCCATTTTCAAGTTTCTAAGATGGTATAATGTGGTTTCGGGATGTGGGATGCGGGCCTTAGTGGGGCAGACTGTGACGAACAAGCAGGAGGTTGCCGGTGCATGAATGTGCGATCACATGAGAAGGGGGCTGTGTGCCTGGGCGGTTGGATTGTTGAAAACGAGGCTACTATCCCTATTTGAGGCGTCCGTCGAGTTTGCCTTTTTTTTCTGCCGTCTTGACTCCGAACGCCACTTACATTTTCACCGAAGCCGAATCTTGGCATGCAGGGAGGAAAGAAGTCGGGAGAAAAGAGAAAAGAGAAAAGAGAAAACAACAGCCCCACCTTCATGCAGGCTTGTGATGCAGGAAACCAGCCAATGCCAACCAACGGGCAAACAATCGGTTACTGTCACCCGAAGGTGGTGCCACAATGCTCGGAGACTCCCCAAACCTCCCACGGCCTGGAGTTACGAGACGACAGTGATGGCGCTTCAACGTGATGGAAAGTGCCTGACCGCCGCTGATTTTGCTAAACGGGATAGCACACGAATCTCAAGGTTCATTGTTGCGCAGCCTGCCTGACTTGTCTACCGATTTAGCCACTCTGTTCTATCTCCAAGAGACACTGTTCCACTCGGTCTGCATCCCAGCCGAAGGCACGGCACACCATCTCATGGAGTAGGCCCTTATCGGCCTCCGGTGAACGACCCAGATTATTGAAGCAGGCATATATCCTCGCTGCTGGACTGTTCAAAGTGTCTGCAAAGGACCCTTGTAGAGGCCGGCCCTCTTTCTCAACTTTCCTCTTAGCCTCCTGAAATTTCTGACGGTACATTTGTCGAGAAACGTCTTGTTTTAACACATTTCTGTAGGCGAGATGACTAGGATCTCTGAGAATATCTTCGATGTCTGACCCCAGTAATGGAAAGGGCAAAGGATAATGGTTGACTTGCCATGGGGCAGTTTGTGCAGACTCCCAGTCGATAATGGCAACAAAGTTGAATGAATCGTCGACAAGGATGTTCTGAGTACCGAGATCCATATGGTTCAGATGGAATTGCTCAACAGTGTCCATGTCTCCAAATAGAGGAGTCTTCTGTAGAATTTCTCGAAAGACCAAAGCACCCAACCTGGCGGATGAATCCAGCTTGCCGGCTGCAGCGTTTTCAACGGCAGTGAAGTACGTAACGGCTTTTGAGAATGGACCTGCATCGCTGCGGTCTACATCGGCAGAAGCGGCCAAACGGCCTAGAACTGGTTCTCCCGACGGGAAAATTGCAGAAATGGAGCCTATTTGAGGGAGCGTAAGAGTGGCCAGTTCTACTTGAACTTTTGTCCACTGCGTCATGATGTGTTCTTGTATTGTAACCTAAGTTCGGTTAGTTAATGGATACCGCAGCATTATAGCCGTAAAAAAATCAAGCGGAAGACACAGTTGAAGTGGGATCGACTTCAAAGAATGAGACTTACTGGCAAATTACAAATATCGAACTCAACGTCTTGCAAGCTATTCCCATAAAAACCTTCCAGGAGCACGTAAACAGCCCCGACATCAGCAGCGGACTGAGACCCGGGGCACTCGTATGCGTACATGCAAGGGATAGGAATCGTAGGCAATCTTTGCCTCACGAACTCCATGGTGGCGATCTCACACGCGATGCCATATTCTACGTCCTCTTCCTTGACAATAGCCGGGAGGTCGGGATGGCGAGGCAACCGAACGCGGGAAACGACCAAGCTGCCATCCTCGGCAACCATCTCGAAACATATCCAATACTGGCCGGCCGAGAATGGCTCGCTCATGACGACTTTTTGCCCCTTGATACGCGCAGCATGGCACAGAAGCGCAAACTTGTCGATGGTGTCCAGTGCAGCTTGCAAGCGCTCTTTCATGCCATTGTAGTCCCACCCTTCCAAAGAGGTCCATCGCTTGCTCGGTAGGTTCATTGAGCCCCGCATTGTTGGCATCGACAGCGGGGACTGTGTCGTCTAATGGAAGGGAACTTTCGAAAGTCATTAGAGGACCAAGAATTTCGAAATGTGGGAGAGCGGGAATGACAGGTCCAGTTTTGGAATGATTGGCAAGCGGCATGGAAGACTTACGTGCGCTGGTAGCCTTGTTGTTTCTCACGCAACCCAGCACACCTTGGGATCCGTCGCACACGATCTGTGTCGTTCTGTGATGGAGAAGGTGCCGGAACCAACAACGGCGTTGGGAAGATACCCTGCAGCGGTGAAGGCGGAAACAACCCTAACCCTCAGCTGTTCATTCCATGGACGCACACTCGCTGTGGCCAAAAAAAGCAGCAAAGGAAGTCCCGGGATTTTTCTTTTTTTTAAAAAAAATGAAAGAACACAAAAAGAATGAATAAAAAAGTCAAAATAAGACTAAAATAAACAAATCAAAAAGCCAAAGAAGACAAGTAATAATAATAAAAAAATGAAAAAGTACAATCAATCAAAATCTGTCAAGATTTGATGGAAGCTACGGAGTATTCTGTTTTAGGGTGCCGTTTTCGTGTTGTCATGTTATACCTCGCCACCACTATTTGTCTTGTACTAACCCTTACTACTTTACTAGTTAAATCCTCCGCTACAAAGACATCTCAGGCCTCACCGGCGTACCATTCTGCTATTTCAAGACCGCGCTCCACTTGGCATACCGCTCTACTCGGTCTTGGTACTCTTGGTACGCTTCCTCTAAAATGTAGCACCTCCATTGTTCCGCGGCCTCCACGCTGAGTACACCTTTTTGTTGTGCAGCCTCGATGAGCATTTCCCAATCGCCAGGCATGTGTGCTTCATCCCGAACTGGGCCATGAATACCGCTTGGCGGTGGGCCGCGGAAGATGTCGCTCAAAGCCCCGGTATCCATCATGCCAGCGAGCAATTTTTGCATGGCGTATCTAAGTCTCAGGAAATGCATGTTTGGCAATGGGCATGTTGCCTCGTCCGCTGTCACAAGTTCATACACATCCCCATGTCGGATGGCCGGAAAGGTATCGTTATCTCCACTACCACGTCGAAAATCGGTAATTGTTCCGTTCTTTCGGTGGTCCCACGGACTTCGGGCGAGGTTACCCTCCATTGTGATATCCTTCAGCCATACCATTTGTAGGTAAAGTTGATGGGTCGGATCCGTAGGATGCTCAAGGGGTCGGAGGGCAAACCGGTGATATGCTTGCGATTCACGTGCAGGTGGTTCCCAGGCAATTGAATAGTTGCCGACGAACTCGATTTGGACGATCTGGGGCTGGCTCGCGGGTAGTGCCCGATCTGGCTCCATGACGAACGACGACTGGTTGGCAACGTAAGCCTTGCTTGTAAAAAGAAAGATCTCGATATGTACCGACGCTTAAAGAAAAATGCATGGGTAGGTAATTAGCTGAAAATATTGTCAATACAGCCTGTGGCAGTGTTGCTAGGAAGAAATGGGTTCGAATAATTAATTATGGAGGCAGTAATTATTTGAATGCGAACAATCTCGGTGAATGACATCAGCCCTGCCATCTCCTTTTTCCATGGGCAGATGGCCAGGAAAAAAAGTACCTCAGGAGCTCAGACCAGCTACAGGCAGTAATTAGTATAGTTACGGATGTCACTCCAGGCCAAAACATTGTTGTACAAAAGTTTGTTTAAACTATAAACCGCTAACTAAGTAGGTAGCCTGAGTTTCATCTTTTTTTTGTTCCTTCAGTTACTCAAGTTAATTATTATTTCTTCTCTTCTTTAATTTGTTTGAATTATTCGTTTTCGTCTTCTTTCGCTTTTTTGATTCATTCTTTTTCATCTTCTTTCATTTGTTTGATTTAGTCTTTTTCTGTCTTCTGTCTTCTTTCACGTTTTCGCTTTCTTGTTCTCCATCTTTTTTCACCTGTGTATAAAAGTGGGGCCCATCGAGAATTGTTTTTTTTTTGTTTTGTTTTTTTTTTTGGCCCCAGCCAGCCAAGGAAGAAACCACGCCCCTAAACATAGAGATAATATACTCGTACTGTCACTCGTGGTTGAGGCGTTTCGGGATAAAATATTGGCGATGTGCAGGCCAAAACACTTGCCATTACCTTAGAGGGGGACAAGCGGAGCACTTTGACAAATGTAGAGCCTTTGGGCCAAATGAAATCATGCACATTTAGTCCCATAGGTACCACAGTATGTACACAGTCTCTCGCGAGATCATCAAGACCCGGCTGTTTAAGGGTGGCGGGGTGTTCGGGCTTCCCACCACGTATTTGAAAATGCCATGTAGAACAGTTCAAGTAATTACAGAGTAAAACAAATGTTAGTTACATGAGAACAATCGCTCGCGCTTCTACTACCCATATAAGATTCATCAACTCCGTTGCCAACCAAAGTCCACTCTTTCGACCCCACACAGTGCGCATTAACAACTCTCAAGATCTGTATCTATACCAGTGCTGGCTGCCAAAGCCCACGACTCTTAGCAAATCTCGCGTCATGAAGGGTTTGGCACTGGTTGTACATACCGATGTTAGGCGAGTATGCCCAACCCCCAATGTGAGAAATGAGTGACTCATCAAAATGATCGGTAGTCCTGTTAGGCTCATTTTTCACCAGGTCGGTGGGATCGTGTATTTGCAGCTGGACGGATGCTGGTTTCCGATCTGCCGCCATGGTGAAGACACTGAAGGGCTGGTCCGCATAATCACTGAGCCATCGTTGCATGTAATAATTTAACGGCGTGTGTTTCCTTGTATCATGCGGCTTTGTGGCGGCGGTGAGTTGCTGAAACTTGGCACATGGCTTTGCAGACTTCCGCGACTCTTCTCTAACCATTGCTGCTATAATGTTTGTTGGAGTCGGTTGAGGTTGACAAAAAGTGGGAATGAAGCCAAAATAGAAACAACTCGATGGCTGGTGTGACGCTGTTGATATGTACATAGGTAGAGACCGGAGTCTGAAACTGCGTTCGTGTAGGAAGTCCTTATTTTATACTGGTATTTTACAAGACACCTCCTGCTTATGATGACGGGGCTCATTCCATGTGTGGGTGAGAAAACAAGCATTGGGAGCTGTTCCCGTTGATTGGCTATTGGGGGGTTGGTCTCGCAGCTCGTCCCAGTCCATCTGCCACTGGTCCCAGTCTGCCACCGGTGCCAGTCTGCCGCTGGCCCCAATCGTTGTTTTCTCATTTTTGTTTTCACGTGCCAAAGCCATCACTCTCGCGAATTAAGGGCAGTGCTTCCCTCCCTTGTTTTCTCATTTTGAAACAGCCTCATTATTCGCTTGGCATTGGGGCGGAGGGAGTCGATAATTGCAGCAGCGGCAAAAACAGAGGCAGAGGGGGGAAAGCGGAACAAGGGTAAAAGGGTTGCATGTCGAAGGTGCGGTTCCATGGAGCAAAAATCACAACAGTGAAGCAGAACGTGTTCAAGATAATAATGATGATGATGAAAGTTTGGTATATTTGAGGCTACCAGCCCGCGCTTCCTCAACCGTGCCGCGTTGTTGCTTTGTGTCGGTTGAGCTGGTCAATCCTCGCAAATCCAACACGGTTTGTGCATCCCGGCAAATCGCATTTGAACGGTCTGTCATGTTTTTGCAAGTGCGTTCTGGCAAAGCAAATGGTGTTAACAGTGGTATGTAAGACTCGGCGACAACGAAAGGCAGGATGTATGGTGTATTAATACCTGAAGTGCGAGTTTCTCTCGAAAATAACCAGCGTGCCATCAGCATTTACCCCCCCTTTGGTGCACCGGAACGCGTGCGGACAAGTGTGCCGACCCTTTCCACGATGGGCCAGTTGATTGGCATCCACCAACTCCCTGGCGATTGGTGGCTGCTCAGGCACCAGGTCGGGGGACTCCAGACCGTCCCGTGGGGTGTCCACCCGGATGGATTCGCCGTAGGCTGCTTTGGCGAGCGGATTAAAACCTTCGCGGGACATACTCGGCCTCACAGGCATATTTTGAGGTAGGTAGGGTTGGGTCGTGGGTGGTCTGTCATCAAGAGGACTCGGGATAGATGGAATGAGTGTGGAGAGTGGTGGGAATGTGGGAGAGCTGATAGATCGTGGATGTAGGGCCGATGGCTCGCTGGCAAGGCGGCCGGGCTGTGATGGGATTATGGGGCGCTTGCTAAACTCGTCGACTAGGCGTTTCAGTCTCTCGACAAGCAGCCTAGTAGGATTTAACGCCGTCAGTCGAGTCCAAGTTGGGTCGAATTGGGCGTATCCACGCACCTGAGCCCGCGCTCTCTCTCAGTGAGATCGGTGATGGGGGTCAGATCTGAGAAGTCAGTCGTAGCGTCTACTTCCGCAACCTGACTGTCGATGTAGTCCTCTATTAAGGGGCTTTTGAGAAGACGGTCGGCCAGCCTCGGTAGAAGAGATAATACCAGGGAGATATAGGCTGCACTCGTGGCGAAAAGGCAATCGCTTCGTCCCTGTGACAAACCGTTTGCGGTGTCTCGCGACCTCAACAGATTCTCAACCTCTCGTCGGACAAAGTCGCCGAGCTCCGGATATTGGCGAGCTGACGCCTCAAACAACTCCATTTTGGTCGCCTTGCCGCATGGAAGACTGCGGTCGTGGCACAGGTGGGTCAGAGGTTTGCTTAGTGCCCGGCGCTAAGTCCGGAACGAAGCCGGGAAGAGTGGGTACCAGCCGAGATCCGTCCACAGTAAGGCGGACCGGCCACCGGAGAATGTCGCAGTCCCCTCAAAAATGAGGAATGGGGAATGAGGAATGAGGGAACAGCGAGGCGGCCGAGAAATGAGGAAAGAAAGATTGGGGAATGGGAGAATTCTGACCCCGCTTTTACCCCACGCCGATGTGTACTGTGTGAGTTTGCTCAGCCCGTGGCCAAGAGGGCAGTCGTGAGGCTCTGTCGCGATTGCCCGGTTTGTACGTGTGCGACACTGCTGTCGTGGGAGTAAAAATTGCTGCGGGGGCCGGCCGGGTACAATTTTTTTGGAATTTTGTCTTCCCCGAAGATCCGGGAAAAACTGACCGCTCTTGTTCCGATTTCCGAACATCAGCTACGAAGCCTGCACATCATTCCATTGCACTCGGGGTTTACTCCTGTCTGCAGGAGACAGCCGAAATGAGTGACCCGGCGAGGAAACGTCGGGCTGTAGGACCCCCGCAGTCTCAACAACCCCAAACCATCCACAGCATGCCACGGTCTCTCACCAGCGAGACGCATGTCACCGCTTACGGCAACCAAATCGGCATATTCCCATCGACAAACAGGTACAGCGGAAGCTCACATGCGCTTTCGCATGAAACTCTACCATTGTCGTTTTCCCTCGAAAATCCACTTCCACCCTTCCATCACAGTCACACCAACTTTGTTATCCCTGGGACTGTTCCCGTGGACCCGTTCTCAACGCAGTTTGGCGGCGTATCGTTGCTCCCGCTAGCGGGCGGCGTCCAGCCACAGTTCTACTCTGCCGGCGATATTGGCCGAACGGCGCTCTTGACTACTGAGACCGGACAATGGCAGAGTCAAGGAGGCGTGTCCGAAGCTTCCCTTGCAGCTCCAGCAGCTGATTACGACATCAATGAGTTATCCGGCTTGGATACAGAGGACCTTTGGAAGGGTGTTTCCCTGTACAAAGTGGATGGAGGTGTGAGCTTTACGGCGCCCACCGTTGTAGGCGCCCCAAAGGTTTGCTCTCGGAAACGAGGTTCGTATTCCTCTCGACGATACCAAACCCTTCAACGTCAACCCAGGCTCACCATTTCCAAGGCTTCGACGAGTTTCGTGGTGCTGCTGATGGGCTTGCCTCAGAAACCGCGTTGCCTCCCCTCTTCACATCCGTGCCTAACATCCGGTCCCGCGGGGCCCATCGTCGCATACCAAATCCCTTTCTGAACTCCGCCGAGGACCGATATCCCACCCTTGCCAACCGAGTGCGCCCCGTGATACCAAAAAACGGCGTTATTGATGGATATATAAAGACGCGCATGTTAACGTCTGGGGGAAATGACACCGGCGCTACTCACAATGTATCCCAACGCTTTCCACCATGGCGTCAGAACATTTTAAATGGCCTAGACGATGGGGACCCGATTGGGGGCGGCGTATCACTTTTACCTGGCAATTTCGCGACCGGGATGAAGCTGGACAGGATTGATGAAAAGCTATGGTCTTTCCGTACGAAGATTGGCCTTCATTCATCTTCAATTCCATTCCTTTTACTGATTTTCAAATGACAGATCTCAACGCCTACTGCCCTGGACGGATGTTACTCCCAGGCAATTATTGGTATCACGAGGTTCCCGCCATCGCGGTTAAGCACGCCTGTACGCGACACGCTTTGCTAGCCTTATCTGCTTCCTACGTCCTCGACTACGAGCCAACCGAAGAAATACGCATGCGAGCAAACCGTCACTACTACACAGCGGTGAAGCTGCTAGAGGACGCTCTCAACAGCGAGACGACTTACGCCGTCGGGCAAGACGACGGTGTGGTTGCCGCTATGATCTTGATTTTCTGCAACGAGGTAAGAGCCCGCCGGAATGTACCTTTATTGTCCTGAATGTCTAACATGGTTGATCCAAAGATCGTAAACTGGGAGTCGCGACAGTCCCAGGGGAGAGAACCGCTTTGGCGTAAAGGGTCGCGGGCCGCAAAACTTCTTCTCGACCGCGCAGACCCCGGTTATCGGTACTGGAAACAAGAAAATGTTCAAAGCAGCGCGGCACGCATAGGGAACGCAAACTGGGTTGCATACACAGAGATTTGCGCTCAGGCCGTCACACCGCTGGCAGAAGAACTTACCGCGAACATGTTCTCCTGGCTGCTCGCGGGCTCTGAGCAGGACGTTCATAAGATACATGGGATAACAGGCGTTTCCCCCAAACTACTCCATCTCTGCTCTCAAATCACTTACTTTGCTGCCCTCCTCAAAAAGGTCAACTAACCTCGACATTCTCCTGCATTCAGTGCTTGTCTCCTCTAACTGCGCGGTTTAGGACCCTTATTCCCATACCGTCCTGCGCGCCGCCCGGACGGTTCGAGAACGACTCGCCAAGTTCAGCCAGTGGTCCGACCATTCGCCCGGGTATGCTTCAGGTGACAAATTGATGGCATCGTGCGTGTTGGACAAGGATGGGAAACTTAACAACCGTTTCAAGGTCACCGACGTATCGGCTTATGCATGGGTTCCCGCAACGGAGATGTATCTTCATATGAGGGTGTACAGGTAAAGATCGATTTCGTTTCTTGGGGCTTGTAAGATGATTGTACTTGATTTATTAACGTTATGCGCTTTAACTAGGAAACCACGGTCACACCCTCATGTTCAAAAGAGCCTCAAGCGTTTGATACAATGTGTGCAAATGTTGCCATGCACAGGGCCCCTCTTCACTTCCCAATCACCGTTTTTTGCTGTTTTCCTGATGGCAATCGGGTCGTATAAAGAGGAAGATCGTCAAGTGGCTCGTGATTGGTTTGGGGCTGTGGCTGGTCACGGACAATGTCGTTCAGTAAGTGATGCGGCCGTTTTTGTTGCGGTGCGTTTACTGACCAAGCACCAGAGTGTCCCACCCGTGTGGACGGCCGTTCAGAATCTGTGGACTTGGCTAGACAACGAACTGAAGGAGGAAGATTATGACGAAGACCTCGCCATAGGAGATCGCCGGGCATGGTGGGAGGACATGGTAAACGAGTTTGTCGAGAAGAACGGAGTACTGAGTCTTGTGTAGGGATCTAGGCGGGTTGCAACGCAACGCAATCCTGTCCAAAATAACTACGTCATGTGCATGCTCTGAGTCCCACGGCCACCGATCAATTCACCAATCTCTGTGAGCTAGGTTTGGAAAGGATATATTCGTCTGCCAAGGCAACATTAGCGAGACCCATGGTGTAACAAGAACGTTGGTCTGTACTTACAAATCGCCGATGAGCCTGGAGCCTTGAAGATAGTCTGCTGCTGAAGTCCGGCAGCTTGAACCATGGGACCCATTTTGGCAGGGCTGTACTTGAAGGCTTCGTAACAATCGATTTCATGACCAGCGGGGAAATCGACACCGGCAGGATCGCACTTCACATCCACGAGGGCGCGGAAGACAAACCGATGCATGCAATACTCTTTGGACCACACACCGGCGACTTCCCAGTCCTGGGGCCAGTACCAATCGTGGCCCATGACCCTGTTCGCATGCTCAAGCCCACCACGCATGAAACGTTCAAACAGGCCGGCAGGATCGTGATACGATTCCCAGATACGCTGCTTGTCGTTGGTGGCATCCATACCCAGGAGCATGCGATCATTATCACCCATAGTGGATGCCCACCGTGCGAGGTGGGCTGTGGCTGGCGCAGGGAAGTCGTTCCCGAGGATTGAGCCGAGGGATAGGAGCCACCGAGGGCGCCGGGGCGAATTGTCCGACTTCAGTTGTGTTAACCAGCGTAATGCATCATCGAAGGTGCCCCAAAGGCCGCGGCAGCGCACGTGAGTGAACTCGGATGCGAGATTGCGCATGTCGATTTGGAGAGAGGCGAGGGAGAGGTCCAGCCCGTAGTAGTCTACGCGCTTGGCTGCGCGCTCTAGACTGTTGAGCAGCGGGCGGACTTTGCGGGTTTCTCTGTGGAGTAATATCAGCATCGAGAAACGTGGGACGTTACGGGTAAGCAGTCTTCGTCACACGAAGGGATAAAGAAAGGTATCCTCACCCACATCCGAGGTCGATTATCATGGTTCCGGGTTGGATAAGATCCGCGATTTCATCCCCATGGACCTCAAGAAGCAAGATCTCGTCACTAGTTTGGTAGTACGACGGCAGCCTATTGATCTGTCGCCACAGCGAGCCCCCGTTGTCGTCTGAGAGCAATGCTGACGGCAGCACGCACTGCTTCTTGGGGTTGAGCATGCGGGTTGTGATCATGGAACCCAGAGACTCGGCAAGCTGGCTGCCGCCGATGTCAATGACCAGGTCGTTGGCCTTGCAACGGTTGAGGTCTGGGCGGGTTACAGGCGGTGACATTTTCATGGCGTGGGTAGTTGTTATCAAGAATTTGGGTGAGATGTGCTGATCCAGGAAATTGAGGTAAGAGAGGAGAACAGTGTTGCAGAAGAGGTAATAGTAATGAGAACGACTTAACCGGCAAAACAAGCCCATAATTATAGGAACTCGCCTTCACAGAATGGCGACAAAATATACCCTAGAAACCTAGCGCGACAAATCCTCCCAGAAGTACGTACCTAATCAACAGAGCCTCAATCCCCCCTACCTTGCGTCATACCGTAGTGTGACCACCTCTCTCTCGCAGAGCCTCATTCAACCCTCATCTTTCACCCATCCCCCCCTTGCCAAGTCCCTTGTGTCACCAGCCTATTTTACTTTAGCCGCCCAAACTTAGACCGTTAGGGAAATACGTGGGGGCATCATAGCTCGCGGCGACTGTTTGACCGGTCGTGACGACGCCCTGTTATGGCGAGGCTGCGTGAGGGGAGAAGGGGATTGGAGGTTGAGCAGATAGTCATGCTTCCTGGAGTAGCCAATCGGTGATGGTGCCGTGGGAAGACGTTTATGCGTCGGTTGACCGAGTCTGGTTGGGGCTGGGTAGGTAGGTAGGGAGGCGGCTCTGCTTGGTCTTGTGACTGTGTTGGAGGTTGTTGCTGTTGGTTCCTGTCTTTGGGTGGAAGTGAGTTGGTCCTAGGAAAGTGGTCAGCTGGTCGATGGTGGGAACTGCGACGACCTATGGGTGTAGGCACTGGATATTAAGCGGGAAAGGTTTATTTTTCGATCTAGCGGCAACGCATTTAGTTACCTAGGTACCATGGCATGCGGAATTACAGGTAAGGTATCACTGCTAAACGGAACGAGATCTTGCAAGGCTGTGGATTGTATTGCGTGCTTGATTCGCAGCTACCAACTATTGACGGCTCATATTTCCCTATCCTCGCCATCCATGGTACAATCTGTCCATCAATCTCAACCAGAACGCCTCGCTTTTGAGAAACGATGGTTTTGTATTTGTTTACTGCCGCTCACGGACAGCATAAACGACGTTGGGCGTTCGAGTGGGGGCCGGAGCCGCTGGGGTAAATGTGGGCGGCTTATAGGATTTGGGCAGATCAGGAAATACCACTGGCAGTGAGGCCATGTTCCTCTTGGGCCGGCCGTCAAGGTGGGCGCGGACGTTTTCCTCGAAGATGGAGAGCATGTTGTCGTTGTACTGTTGTTGTTAGCAGGGTCCCCTCTCCCTAAAACATAACGGCCCACACAAGAAAAAAAGGGGTCAACGCAATAAAAAGGGAGTAAAAAGAATAAGGAGGGAACTCACCTTCCCATGCATAACCGCCACATGCGGCGTAATAATGACATTCTCCAACCCCCACAACGGCGAGTCCTTCCCCAGCGGTTCCTCCACCGCCACATCCAACGCCGCGCCCCCTAAATGCCCATTCCGCAGGAATTTCACCAACGCCTCTTCATCAATCAATGGGCCCCGCGCAACATTCACCACCAGCGCGCCCTCCTTCATAGCCGCAAACTCTGCCGCGCCGAGCAAGCCGACTGTTTCCTGCGTGACGGGGGCTGCCAACACCACAATGTCTTGTTTCTGGAGGAAGGCGTGTAACGCTTCAGGGCTGGTGGCGCGGATGACTTGGACTTTTTGCTCCATAGCAGTACCCCGGGAAGAAGGTGGTGGTAACCCGGCTGGGTTTAACGCCGAGACGGAAGTACACCCCATACCCAGAAACCGCTCTGCCACGCTCTGGCCAATCGATCCGAACCCTATCACGCCCACGGCGAGTTCACTCAAAGTTCGATACCCCATCAACCCCGTCGGATTCCATTCCCTTTGCGCCTGGTGGCGTAACGCAGTCAGCATGTTGCGGGAGAGCAGCATCGTGTTCATAACAGCCCACTCAGCCAACGCCGCTGACCCGGCTCCCGTGCTGGAGGTGAGGTGGAGGCCCGGGCGGTGGTTGTAGAGGGTGTTGTTGGCCGGGATGTTGAGGAGGTCGAGGCCAGAAGAGGCGAGGTGGATCCATTGGAGACGGGGGAGGTGGATTTGTGGTGGGGGGAGTTCGGTGGTGGAGAGGTAGATGGTGGTTTTGTTAAGGATGTATTTGGGGATTTTGGGCCAGTCGTCGGTGTGGTAAGAGTGGATTTCGAGAGAGGGGTAGAGGGTTTGGAGGTGGGCGAGTTGGGGAGGGAGTTCCTGGGATTTGTTGGAGGAAGAGGAAGGGAAACCGATCATACCGCCACGGCGCTTTGTAGTGAGGATGACCGGGAAGGTTGGGGTCCAGAGGCCGGTAGTAGGGTGTTTTCCTAGTGGAAGAGTGGAGGTGGATTTCCAGTGAGCGATATGATCGCGCCAGTGGTTGGCGAGTTCGCTGATGTCCAGGGATTCCCATTGGGGCTGGGGCCCGGGGCAGACAGGGCAGCGGATGGGTTTGGATGCCCATTCTTCGCGGTAAGCGTCTGCGTCGATGGTGATGTGGCCTGTGCGTTCGATCTCGGCGATGACGTGCTCGAGAGAGATGAACATGTTGGAGAAGGGGACTTTCCAGTGGCGCGGGTGGAACATCTTGTTGGTGCTGAGGGACCAGTCCTGGACGTGGAGGTGCAAGGGGAAGAGGCTGGGGATGGTGTGGAAGCCGGTCATGAAGAGTGGGATGCGGTTGGGGTCTTCTCGAAGCATACGGTGGATTTCCGATCGGGCACGGGCCCGGAAGCGGTAGAGGAGGGGCAGGTGTTGGGTGGTTAAGTTGGCGATCTCCTTGATGGAGGTGTCGCGAGGCATGATGATGACATGGCCGGGGGACTATCTTCTTGTTAGCTAGTATACCCACAATGGACAAGCTAAGGTCCTGGTAAAAGATAAAGAACAAGACACCAAGCGTCCATACATACCTTAGCGTTGGCATCATCAACGACGACAATCTCGCCGTCATAGTCCCGCACATTGTCATGTTGCTCTGGGTGCTCGCAGATGTCGTACAGCGGCGAATCCTCCTGGTTGCCCGCATATTCCCGCGAGTCCCGTGGGTCCAGCCGGACGGCAGACTCGGTCAAGCTCGATACGAGGGGTTGACTCATTCTCAGGGATCGATTTCGAAAGAGAAGAGAAGAAAGCCAGCTCTTCTTCCTCTTCTTTCTCTTCTTCGTTTCTACAACGGCAGCCATTGGGTGCGAGCGGGGCGCCCCGCGTCTTGAATAAATGCTGAGCAAACGACGAAACCAACCTTTGTCTCAGAACGAAGACAAAGAAACCCCCGTCGTCAAGATGGCCGGAAACCTTCACCTGTTCTGTTCCTTTCCTCGCGCGGCCATCACACACCCACCACAGTACGCAGTCGGACGCCTGCCCCGGCCACGCTGCCAGGTCCTTCGACCGCGCGCTGTAACAGGTCACGGTTTCTGATGGGGGTGAGTAGGAAGGCGAACGAGGGGCGGTGAGCAGCCCGTAGGAAAAATGAACCAAAACGGAAACGAAAAAAAGAAAGCTGTAAAACAACCTGCCGATGAGGGCAGGGTTTGGCATGTCCCGTGGTCTGTCCTGACAGAGCGTTTCGATACATATCTCACCCACCTGAGTCAAAAACTGGCCACTCCGTCCGGCCCCATTGCTCGGCCGAGAAGCCGGGGGAGCGCCAAGGTCCCGGGACCACGACCAGATTTAAACGCGCCTGTTTGTAAGGTCATAAGGTAGCGGGAACTCAGTCGGGCGGCGTGGAGTCAGCATCTTAAAACTCAAAGAGGCAAGAAGAGTAAGACCCTGTGCGGCGGGGACGTCAGGAAGCGAGAAATGCGTTCCCAACGGTTTTTCTGCCCGCCCGCTTGCGTTACCATCTGAAACGGGATGAACGAGCACGGGTGCGGTTGCGCCGGCGATCGTATGTATGTACACGTGTGCGGACACAGATTAGATGCTGACAGGCTGACGAATCTGCCTGGTCCAAGTTATTTGCGAGCTTGGGAGTATCAGATTGTTTGGCTTATAGCGGAGGTTCCCTACCTATTTAGGAAAGTGGAGCGTTCTCTGGATGGACTGGACAGCACATGTAAAAAACTGGGCCTCAAAATCATTCAAAAAGTAAAAATTAATTCCTGCACACGAAACCCGAAGCGTGAAAATAGCGCTGAGAATTTCCGTTTTGATTTAGGTCTCTGGTCGGCACTCGTCCTTGCCTGCATTGAACGGCTAGATTGGAAGTTGCGACCGACTCGAGGACATCGCGATTAGGCCTTATTCATTGGCTACCGGTACGACTCCGGAACCGTGGGATGATCCATGATACGATCCAAAACCATGATAATTGATTCCAGTTTTAGAAACTACGGGCCATGGTCCACAGGCCACCAAAATCATTCCACTCGACAAAGATTATAAAGTGTGGGCGCTCCGGTAACTTACCGAATCCTGCGTCGCAGCGTCAAGGCTGCCGCAATGGAATCAATTCCTAAAATTGGACCCTCCAGCTACAAAATTATGCCATGTCGTAAGACACGTAAACAAGCGGCTTTTCAATACTAAAGGCTAGTACAATGTAAATCCGCGAAGTACAAGTCGGGTGTGTTAAATAACCTCATTGTTAAAGTTTTACAATAATAATTCCACAGCATGTGGACAAACGCCTCGTGCCATCTCATGTTTCAGTCTCGCCTCGTCTTATGGTATGTACTGTACGACAATGTCCTAGGCGGCCACGAGGAGTCGTCCATGCCAAGCGCATCAGACATGACGGTAAGACCGACAAGCGACGAGAAAATAAAAAAGACGAATCGTCGCCTTACATTCTAGTAGGTAATCAGCCTTGGCAGCATCACCCGCCAAGCCCAAGCACAACATCGCACCCACTTTTTCCCTTCGACCTTAATTAAAAAAAACAACAAACATCAACCATTTCCACCAAATATCCCGGGCGGTCGCTCCTTAAAGCCAAGTGCTGACTACATAGTACGAAACTCACTCACCCTGCAACGCGTATTATTAATTCTTCAATTCCCCTTGCCACGTGTGGGAAAGAAACAAGGGGCTTCAGCAGGAATTTCCGTGGGATTCAAAGGAATCAATTCGACACTGGCACAGTACCCCATTGAGCACCGAACAAGTGGGGACCTCCGACGGAGCCTGGTCCGATAAGTGGGGGATTGGGTGCCACGCAAGCAAGCAGAGGCAGAAAAACTAGTATTAGTCAAGGGATATGGAGTAATTGAAGGAGAGAAAAACTATGGGGTTCGGGGTTAACGCCCGTTCGGTTCGGTTGCCGGAGCTGGGTTGGGTTTACGCTGGCCTCATGTTGCGGCGCGTGGCTCGAAGCGCCGTTTTGAAAAGAAAAGCTATAATTAATTCATTAAATACGCGTGTTGGCACCCGTGTGTATTAATTAATTAATGACCATGGTCCTTCAATTCCGGGCAGGATAAGAAGGACGAATTCAAGTCCCGAAAGGTAAGAACAGGCACGCGGGTCGGCGGGTTACACAGTCGTTGAGGTGCCTCGAAAGCCAAGGCTGTAGTCCAAGTCCGAGGTGTCTCCTGGAGACCGAGAATCCATCGAGTCATATAGGGAGTGGTTGAGATGGCCATAGCAACCCCATCGCTCGGCCGCTACGGTGCTGTCTTTGGCGCTAGGAGAGCATCCTTCGTTTCGGCCTTCTCTTTTTGTTCTTCCGGTTTTTTCTTTTATCCTCCGATGGCGTGTTTCATTCACCATGTTTGGTTTCGACTATCTTGTACCTGGTTATTGTTCCTACAGACCGTTGGAGGGCCAGGCCGTCGTGAGAAAAGGGTTGACGACGGTGAAACTGGTGACCGACTGACTGTGTTGTAGGAGGCCAAGGCAGAGGGGAAGCGAAGAAGAGTCTTCTTGTGTTACATTCTGGAGGGGACGGAGACCGAGTCATTACTATTCCCTTCTCGCGACGTCCTCACGGCCGCCAACATTGATTGGATGTTCCTTCCGAGGGTTCGATTCTCGAGTCTCGCCCCAAGTCTTCCACCCTCCACACCCTACACCATACTCTCCCTCTTCTCCCCCCTACTCTCCCTCTTCCCCCCCCGGGTAGGCGGCGCCGCGATCTCCCCGTCCTCCGTCGTCCGCATCTTCCTTGGCGGCCACTCCGCCAGCAACGACAGCGAGACCAGCGCGGCCACGCAAAAGTACAGCATCACACGCATCTGCTGGCCGTACGCCTCCGCATACACCTGTCGGACTTCCAACTGCAAGTCGGTGGAAGGGAGTCGCCGGATGTTTTGCGACGACTGAAGGATGGCCGCCTGTTCTTGCGGTGTTAGCAGGTCGCCGGTGTGGGCTGCGACGTAGTTGCTTAGTAGGGCCGAGCAGATGGCTAGTCCGATTGTGCCGCCGAGGACACGGATTTGTGTTGCTGCGCCCATGGTGACGGCTAATAGGTTGTCAGTCACCACCAGTCCTCAAGTGATGGCACACAAGGTAGTACAGAGGGAGACCTACGCATATCCCGTTGTGTCACCACCAATGGCACCATCATCAAGACCGTGCTGAGATTCAACCCAAACCCACACCCCATAATCACCTGGTACCCATACTGGTACGACGGAATGTTGTCAAGGTGTGACGGGTCTAGCGAACTGAACAGGCCGACCCCAAGAGTCTGAAGGCCGCACCCAGCCAGTAACACATAGAGCGGAGGCAGCCGGAGTTTAGTCAACAGCACACTGGCGAAGACGGTAGCGAATGGTGAGCAGAGGAGTAAAGGCAGCATGCGTATGCCGGCGTCGATGGCGTTGGTGCCGTTGACGACTTGGAAGCGCTGGGGGATGGTGATGATGGCTGCCATGAAAGGAAACCCGGTGAGGAATGCGTTTCTGCGCGGTAGGTGTCAGCACACGAAATGGTCGCTTCGTCCTGATAATCAAACCAGAAGAAGGTAAAACACTCACAACAACAACCCCAAAACAAATCTATCACACGCCAACCTCCACGGAAACAACGGCTCACAAACCCACACCTTCCCCTTCTCCCTCTCCTTGCTCTGCCCCCTCAACGAAACAGCCCTCTCCCAAACCACAAACACAACCCACAACACCCCCGACAACACAAACGCCGCAATCACCGGCGCGCTATCCCACGGGTATGCCACGCCGGCCTGTTCCAGGGCAAACACCAGCAAAACAGACGCCGCGAGGGAGGATACCGCACCGAGGTAGTCCACTCGTCGCCAGGCCTTTTCGGTTACTAGCGTGCGCAGGAAGTGAGTGGGTCCGGGCTGGTAGGGGAAACTGAAGGGGATGGAGATGGTGATGAGGATGAAGGCTATTGCGCCGCCGGGGGCACTATTATCTGTTAGTTCACACCGAAGCATGCTAGGATAGAGACAGGTAGAGAGGGGAGGAACGTACTTCAGCCAAAAGACCCAACGCCAAGTAGCATGATCAGCGATAGCCCCGCCCAACAACGGGCCCAGCACGCTAGAAATGGCAAACACCGACGAGATAATAGCGATGTAGGTCGGGTATTTCGCGGGCGGCACCATGAGGGGTGTCATGACGGTGACGAGGGAGTAGATCCCGGAACCGCCTAGGCCTTGGAAGGCGCGGAAGACGATGCTGTGTTTATGTGTAAGGACCAGGGGTGATACTAATTAAGTTGAAGAGGGGTGGAAAGGAACAAACAGTTGCATCATCGTTCCGGATACACCGCATGCTACGGAGAACACGGCAAAGATGGTTACGGCGAAGAGGAGCAGGAGCTTGGTACCGAAGATGTCGCTGAGTTTGGCGTAAATGACTAGGAAGCCTGCATTTGCATTATGATTAGGGGCATTGAATGCTATTTCTAGGGAAAAGACGAAGAGCGACGATAAGAGAAAATGTAAAAGTGGTAGACGCACCGGTATAGGTCAAAAAATATGCTGTGACCACCCATCCCGCTTGGCCGAACCCGCGCAGGTCGTTGGCCATCGCGACGAGCGAGGTGCTCACAATGGTGGTCTCCAATGTCGAGAGTAGCATGCTGAGGCAGAGGCTGTGTGTCTTGTCAGTCAAAATGCTTTGTTTCTTTAAGTTTTGGTGTAATTCTTTCGGTAACATACCCAGCCGTGAGCGCGTGCAACCTCCATCCTGTTGGGTAAACTTTTGGCTTGAGTTGGTCTGGATCATGACCGGCTTCAGCCGCAGTCTCATCAGGGATTACATCGGCTCTTGACGCGTTTTCGATTCCTTCTGGCCCATGACTTGCCATATCTGATACTTTACCAATGCGCGGTGCACTAAATGTTGGGTCAAGCACCCTACGGTACGCGACAAGAATACGAAGTTGGCATCTGTCATCTCTGGCTTACAGTGCGCGGCTCGCGACCCCCAAATAAGTGGGACACCCCCTGAGTGGGGGCCAACACACTTTATGTTGCATCCTCCTACAGAATTTAAGTAATAATACGAGCTGTGAGATTGTAAGGTATTTTTATCTCTCCTGCCAAGGTGAAAGTGAAAGTTGACAATTTCCGTTCCTTGTTGATACTTGGACGGATAACGATGCGACAATATGTCTTGTTCGGCTGGCTAAAAAAAAAAAAAAAAAAAAAAAATGGTAATTAAGGGAAACGATGGGTCAACGACCGTTTTGTCTCAGTTGATTGAGATTCTCCGAATTCATCTCCAACCCTGTTTGTCTTCAATGCATGCAATGTGATGTGTCGCTGGAACTGGTCTTCCGCAGCAAACCTACCGAACTTCGTCTTGGGTAGCTTGTCGAAAAGATCCGAAACGCGTGGCACACCATTGATTTCCATCTTAGCGGCCTCATAAGCGTAGCTTAAGACGGGCCAGCGATGAGCCAGCGACTTGTGACTGAGATTCAATAAAAGGTACCCGACAAATGCCCAATGTTGATCATGGTGATAATTTGGAGCCTTAATTACTAGGTACATAACGCCATCTTGGGCTGTCACTGAACGTGTAAGTTGTGTAACCACAGGCTGCGTTTTTGGCGAGCTTCTCGCCAATACCGTCCAGGAACGCGCAGAAGACAACAGTTATCACTGGCTCAGTCAATATCAGGGCCATCCTAAGTGGCCGCCTCAAAACACTCCACCATAGGATCCCAAAGTGCAGCTTTTCCCCCCACGCCTTCAATCTCGCCAACACTAAACCCGAGAAAAGTCGACGCGGCTTGCATCAGCCTTTGCCGTGGCTCCTGGGCGGCTTGGAGCTTGCCCTATTCCAAGTCAAGTCTACCACACGGAATATCGGGCATCAAATCCGTTGCAGAGCCTCCCACGACCAAACGGTACATCAGGTCAGGAAGGATGAGTTAGCTGACGAGGCCTTTTCCCGCCCCCTATTGCCCCAATGCACTGAGGCTTTAGCGAAATAGAATGCACCCCCCTTTCCATCTGCATCACTGAAGCCTTGACACGTTTCATGCGGTAGGCCTCATACCTATTTTCTTGCCAAAGGAATGCATGTTCCCGGGCTGGCCTCATCGCTTCATGTCTTGACCCGGTTTGAGACGATGCTAGCCATATTGGGGCATTGCCACTTTTCGTTCGGTGCCCAAGCCTTGGAGGGACGACAACTGCTATTTGGGTTCCGATGTTGAGGGGCTGGCGTATCTTCAAATGTTGGCTGTGAGGCAAAGCCCGTGGTGCAGCTTGTCACTTTCGATGCCCATGTTGCCACGAAGCTTTTGGGCACGACAACCAGACACCTCCAAGGCCGAGGCTAAACGTGTCGGGCACCGGCGCACTGCGAAGGCAGATACCAATGCGACCACCCGAGACGGCAACCGGAGTATACGCCACCCAGAGCGGGCCGTTTGATAAGGAAGTGATTTTAAAATCCAGGTTTGAGCAAATGTCTAAAATATAAATTCATGCTCTTGTTCCGTAGGTTCCATATCCTACGTACCTACTCTACAACGACCTTCTGGCCCCTTTCTCCATACCCAAAGCCATTTGACCCTGGTGGCAAGTGTTACTCGTCGTACAGACCAAGACAACTACCACATCGACTAAGATAAAATATGGCAAGGGGCAAGATTCTCATCGCTGTATGTGCATCCTGATCTACTCCCCATCTTATCCTCTGTCTAACCTTTTTGCAGGTTATCGGTGTCACGGGGGCGGGCAAGACGACATTTGTCAACACAGCCACGGGCGAGAACAGCTTGGAAGCTAACGATGATGTCGACTCCGGTATGTGCTGTTCCTACAATATTTCATCACTCTAATCCTTTCCGTATTTACGTATCTGCTTCTCTCCATGCTCACCAGGATGCGCGGAAAACAGTGACAGAAGAAGCGGTCTCAGTCACATGCAGCGTTGATAAACAATCGGTGACACTCATCGATACGCCGGGCTTTGATGATCGGAAGCGTACCGAGGTGGACATTCTCAAGCTTGTAGCGAAGCATCTGATGGACACATACAGAGACGGCACGAAACTCAACGGCGTCATCTTCTTGCAGCCCATCAACCAGCCGCGGGTTGGGGCCGCCGAGGGCAGCCGTACGCGCCTCTTCAAAAAGCTGCTTGGTGAAGAAGCCTTCCGGCGTGTTGTCATCGGCGGTACCATGTGGACGGACCGGGCGGACGCCGAGAGGAAAATGGGCCAGCGAGCACAGCGCCAGGATATCTGGGGAGACATGGTGCAAGGCGGGGCCAAGATGGTCGCTTATGATAATACCCCTGAGGGCGCCGCAGAGATCATCCGCATCCTCATGAAGAACAAGCCTGGCGACCTGCTGATCCAGAAGGAACTGGCTTCTGGGAAAGGGTTGGAGGAGACCGCGGCGGGCCGTGAGATTGAGAAGCAAAAGGGCGAGGATATTGCCAAGTTGACGGCCGAGCTTCGGGATTTGAAACAGGACCGGGAGGCGACGGCTGCTGAGATCCGCGAGCTGCAGGACAAGATTTATCAGCGCGAGGAGGAGATCATGGACCTGAAGCGCGGTTGTTGAGACCGTGAATCTGCGGCACACATATGTTTCTAGAATTAAAGTTAAATGTTAGTATACATCCGGTATACAAATGTACGTTGAATTGGGCAACCTAAACTCAGTTCTGGGAACCCGGCCTCACTTCAAGTTCCAGTAAGACTCAACACTGGGGATTTTTATTTATTCTCGCCTTTTACAACGTAATATCTTCCTGTCGTACAATCCACCTTTAAGAACCCAACCTTTTTCATGCTCCCACACCATCACTCCGCATCATCAGGAATATAATCCGCATCTCCCGTTCCACTCGTCGCGCCGCCCTTGGACCCGCCCTTTCGACCGGCTTCCCGGGCCCGCTCGCTGCCCGGCTCGAAGCTGGTAGACGAGGCCTGACCACCCTTGGAGGCGATATCGTGCTGTTGCTCACGGAGTTAGGTTCCACTCGGCTTAACAACTTCCGGTTTTTTCTTCGTCCAATTCTCGAGTCGATAAAGTAATTACCTGTTTGTCTGGGTCCATGCTGGCGAACCCTCCCTGGGTGCTAGCTTGTCCGCCCTGGGAGGCGAGTTCGCGGACTTCGGCTTTGGGGCTGGATGGAGTGAGTTAGCTCTGGGAGACTTCATGGGTGGTTTGGCGGTGTTTGACGGACCGGTTGGCAAAGTTGGCGGGGTTGGTTTCTTTGGTGGACATGATGGTGTTAGTTTATTGGATTACACTGGTAAAAACTTGGATTGATGTTCATGAGAGGAATGACTGGCCCCTAGGCCTATGGTCAAAGAACAGCTCATATTTATGCTCTTTCCTCAGTCTCTTGTTTTCTCATTCCCCAATTAAAACGATGGTCAATGACGGTTACTCGACTGGCGAAAAAGTCATGATGTCAAGGTGACGGGTCCATATCAGATCAGTCACCTCCCTGACTTTATAGAGCTTGTTTGCGGTTTTCGTTTCGATGCAAAGGCAGAAAAATATGTTATCATATCGCTTTGGACTTCGGCTGAATTCGGGCGTGCTGAATTACAATGGTTCAAACGTTGGCTAATTGCTTGGCACTAATACATCCGCGGTTGTTGCCGTGACGTCATCGGCTCGTTAGCCGGTCCCGCAAACGACATCGTGGGATACTCCGTATTAGTGTAAACTCGTTGCCTTTCCGCCAGCGAGTTATTAGAAACGGCCCAAGCATCAACACTTGATAATTTGCTACGAAAAAATAACCATTCACTTATCCTGACTTAATTACCTACGGACCGGCTTAACCTTAACCTTTCTGCCGAAACTGGAACTATTTAATAGTTCATTACCTGAGATGCATTGCTGACGAGCATATCCGACTTCCTGTCGCTTATTCCGAGGACTTCCAGGCCCAACAGGTTCTTTCTCGAAGCGAGTGCTCGTTCTCTCGCTTCAAGAATCCGCATCACCTTGCCAAGACATATGTCGGCTGAATCCATGAAGCCAAGCCCATGATCATCCAAGCCTTCGCCAAGAACGACGTGGAGTCTGGGTTCTGGATTCAGTCAAGTCATGGGGTGTTCCGGCTTCCGAGGCTTTCAGCTTCCAATGCAGCTCCGGACAATTCGGCAGTCAAGAAGCGCTCCCAAAAGAGTATTTTCGCCAAGACAGGAGAACTTTGGTGTTTCTGTTTCCCTTGCGGCTGTAGTGAAACCAAACAACCGAATATCACCTTCGACCGCGGCTTTGAGGGTCTCGTCCAATCCTTTCCCCGCTGTGATCGCCGTCTGCCGGTTGGTTTGTGTGACAACTTGGGTTATTGTTTGTCCAGAACCCTCGAATCAAAACAACCACCATCTTCGGGATTCCGTCTAAACAAGACGTTACCAAGACTTAGCTAACGTCTTGATAGACACGGTTCAACGGGGATGTTCTAATTAAGATGCTATTTGTGGTCAAATAAACTCCCGTCGTCGTTGTCGCCCTGCGGCCCCTGCCGGTTCAGGCGAAAAACCTGGAGTTCGGATAATTAAGAAATCGTCCAGAAGTCTTCGATTGGGGCGCTTCTCCAACGTTTCAAACTGCGGGGAACCCGATGCGCCCCCAGAGCCAATAAGCGCGGTCCCGCGTTGGCAGGGTGATATTGGCACATGCCGGAGTCCCCTGATCGAATCCCGGTTACCCCGGTTCGGCTCCGCGTTCCCCTGGAGGCTTTGCTGAATGCAGCGAGGCATACTCGTTGAGATACTCCATTGGGTATTGTTGGACGTGAAGCCAAGACTTCGCTGAAGGAGAAGCCAAGACGATGATCGGATCAACGACACGGGAGATGGACGAGATTTTGTGAGCGTGCCCGGCTCGTGGATGCTGAGATGCCTTGTGGACATTGTGGTGGTAGTTGTGTCAGTTGTTTGTAAGAGGTGATCGTCGTGTCGATCCCAGGTATATAAAGACCGGCCTTATACGACTTCCCTCCTCACCAACACCCAGTTGTCCAGGCTCACGTCTATCGTGCTCCCCGTCAAGTCTTTACCGTCTTCTGTCCCAGAAAGCCAGACTCAAATCTTCACCATGGTCTCCTCCCGGACTACCCTCACCGTGGCCCTGCTCAGCGCCCTCAAGGCGGCCGAGGCAGCCTCAGCTGGCTGCGGCAAGACGTCCCCTCCCGCGTCAGGCCAGGCCTCCCTGCAGGTCAACGGCAAGCAGCGCGACTACATCCTGAAGCTCCCCAGCAACTACGACGCCAACGAGCCCCACCGCCTGGTGATCGGCTACCACTGGCTGGACGGCTCCATGAACGACGTGGCCAACGGCGGCTTCTACGACCTGCAGAGGCTGGCCGGCGACAGCACCATCTTTGTTGCCCCCAACGGACTCAACAAGGGCTGGGCCAACCAGGGCGGCGAGGATCTCAGCTTCACCGACCAGATCCTGGATCTCCTCCTCGAGAACACCTGCATCGACGAGGGCCAGATCTTTGCTACTGGCTGGAGCTATGGCGGGTCCATGAGCCACAGCGTGGCCTGCGCGCGTCCTGGTATGTTTCCCCTTTCCGATAAACACCCATAGATCCCTCCCCCCAACGACCCCTTACTAACACCTCACCCAAACAGAGGTCTTCAAAGCCGTCTCCGTAATCGCCGGCGCCCAGCTCTCCGGCTGCGATAACGGCGGCCCAACGCCCGTGCCCTACCTCGGCATCCACGGCGCCGCCGACAACGTCCTTCCCATTAACCTCGGCCGCGGCCTGCGCGACCAATGGCTCAAGACTAACGGATGCACGTCCAAGAACGCGCCGGAGCCCTCAGCGGGCCAGCAGAGCCATATCAAGACCACGTATGAGTGCACCAATGCGCCCGTTACTTGGATTGCTCATGGTGGTGGCCATGTTCCGGACCCGACTGGTACGAATGGGGAAAAGTTCGCGCCGGGTGAGACGTGGTCTTTCTTTGATGCTGCTGTTGCGGGGGCTTAAGTTGATGGGATGGGATGGGCCTCGAGGGTTACTGGCCTGAACTACCTACTTGTCAATACTCCTCATCGCCAACCTGGGCAGAGTGTTGTGGTAGGGAGTTTTGGAAGGGCTCTCATAGCTCCAGTTCAAGCTGTCGTCGATGCCTGGCCTTAAAGTTCTCTGTAACTATACCGAATATCATGTCCATAAGCCACTCAGTTGCCAAGTTCGTTTCAAAAAGCTTCTGTGTGCCTACCTATTCTCCTCCACGTTCCGTCTGAGAATAGTCTTTAGGCACAGACTGGGCATGCATTTGCGGTTGTTAACATATCGGAAGACGTTCCTCAATGCTTCCGAGCTCGGCCCGTTCGGCCCGGATTCAGCCAGCTTGGCAGTTAGTGGGAGGCCGCAGATAGTTCCACGCCGGTTCTTAGAAACGGCTAATTGGAGCCGAGGAAGGGTATTGTCCCGAGGAGGGGCCTTGCAATTATCGTAACAGCATTTCAAGTTAAGATTATTTGCATCCTTATGGTTGAAACCACGAAAAGGAACACTAAGGTACAGGTATTGTTGGTTTAACGTAAACGGCTGTTTCTCGAACATGAACAAAATGGGGAAGGGAAAAGGGAAAAGAGAGAATCCAAGCGTTCAACAACTAGATTCTAGTTCTATCTTCCCCGCTGCGTCGGTCCGTCCAACCTTTTCGTAAGGTCTGTACTGCCCTTCAGTTATGGCCTCGCTTTAAACAGTGCACACCGTCAAATGACAGACCTCAAGCGCGCCACACTTTTCCCCCGATGCACGGCAGCCTCGCATTATTGCTGATCAGAATTCCCATAATACTAATTATGGAAAACCCTTTGTTCCCGCGTTACAACGATGACGTGCAAACGATCACCCACGCCCGTGGTGATGCTGATGGGCAAGATCGAGCGGGCAGCGGGTTCCAGCCCCTCGCCACAAGCTGTCGAGGCAACCAACATGCTGTTCTCAGCTTCCTTCGTGTGGAATTATCCAGACTGGGTACCTTTACCGAGGCCGAATGTGGCGACCCCCACACCAAAAAAGTAGTGAATAGCCTCCTCATGTGATGAGATGCAGCCAAGTGAGGTCCGAGAACGGTGACAAGAGCTCGAACTCAAAAGTCGCCGTCCGTCTCCCGGGAACAACTCCACCGATCAACCTCCGAAACCCATCGGCCACGCCGGCTGCTGATACCGAATGTTGACGCTTGCCAATCGCCATGCTGGCTTCTCTCGTGACGTTCGCTCGCGGCGTGGTCGGCCTGGTGGATCGGGAAGCGCACTTATTAGCTCGTGTTAGTCATACTGTGTTGTCTGCGGGATAAAATTGCGATATTTTTTTAAATGGGGGTGCTGTGCTCCTTGGGAGCTGTACGTTCTGTTGTGTAAGTGGACAGAGCGTTTACGACCACATGCAGGTGGCGTTTCTATGGCCCAGTAAGGATTCAACGACGTTCTGTAAAAATCCACGCTCGGTCTTCACTTCACTCAACCCACGCATCCCTTGCAGGGGCGATTTTGGGGGTGGATTTCACACGATGGAGAAACTGAGAATGCGACCGTCTGAAGTTGATGCACTGGCCAAGAATCGCATATTAGAGGGCAAGAGGGAGTGCGAGTCATGCGCGACTCAACTCCCAGTTTGGAGATCTAGCTGCTGGAGAACGGGTTACTTGCGGAGACCTCGTCAACTCGTGCAAACATGGCGTTCTCTTCTTCACTTTCTAACCTTCAGATGTCTTTGATGTCTTTGAGTTACGGTCAGGTAGCGCTTGTAGCCTTGGGCCTGTATGCTTTCTACATCGCCGCTCGATGCATCTACCTGCTGTTTTTCCACCCTCTACGCCACATTCCTGGGCCCAAATTGGTTGCGGTGACGGAATGGGTGGAGATATATTATCAGTGCTTCAAGGGCCCTGGTGGGCAGTTCTTTAAGGAATACACCAAGTGGCATGATAAATATGGTAAATAATTCGCGGTGAACTCCCGAAAGACATCACAGCACAGCTTACACCAATTCAGGACCCATCATCCGAATCGCGCCCAACGAGGTGCACATCCGGGACCCAACATTCTACGACGTCCTCTACTCACAGTCACGTCACGTCGACAAACTGAAGCACCTAGCAGACCGTTTCAACAACGAGATGTCAGGCTTCGCAACACCCGAGCACAACGTGCACCGGATGCGCCGGTCCGCCATCAACCCTTTCTTCTCCAAGCGGAGGATTGCCCAGTACTCGCCGAACATCCAACGGCGGATGGACACACTCATAGACAGGGTCAAGGCCGAGTATGTTGGTAACGGTCGGATTCTCAATCTGAGTGACATGTGGGCTGCCTTTGCGGGGGATGTCGTCGTGGACTACACGTTTGAGAAGCCGTACGATTTCATCCATGCGCCGGATTTCCGTGCCGCGTTCTCTGATGCTACGTTAGTCCTTCCCATCCGTATCTCAACCCCAAACCAACAACCAGAAATTAAATACTGATGATGACGATGCAGAATCGCCTTGATGGACCCCCTCCACTGGATAACCTTCTTCCCCTGGCCCTTCCGTATCGCCAAAATGCTCCCCGACCGCCTCGTCAAAGCCCTCTCCCCAACCATGGGCGCCGTAATCGACTACCAAGACGAAATGAAAGACCAAATCATCCGCGCCAAAGCCGTGCACGCCCACGCCACCAACGAAAAAGCCGCCTTCCCAGACTCCCCCAACAACACCCAACAACAATCCCTCTTCACCGCCCTCCTCGAATCCGGTCTCCCCCCGGCCGAACTCTCCACCAAACGCCTCCAACAAGAAGCCCTCACCATCACCACCGGCGGCATGGAAACAACCATGTACACCTTCTCCCGCTGCTGCTACTACGTCCTCTCCAACCCGGCCATCCTCTCCAAACTCCGCGCCGAGCTCTTCACCGCTATCCCCGACCCAACAACCCAGGGAGAACAAATAACCATGCCCCCCCTCGAAACCCTCGAACAACTCCCCTACCTCACCTGTGTCGTCACCGAATCCCTGCGCTTCACCTACGGCATCGTCGGCCGCTTCCCGCGCCTCTCCCCAACCCCCATGATCTACCAAGACCGCCGCCCGGGCATCGCCACCAGCTCCAGCAAAGCCTACACCATCCCCGTCGGGTGCATAGTCAGCATGGATAACTTCGGCGTGTCCCACGACCCGTGGCTGTTTCCGGAACCATTCACCTTCCGTCCGGAACGGTGGGAAGCCAGCGGTGCAGATGAGAAGGACGGGCCGCGGGCGCCGGATGGGAAGCCGTTGAGGTCGTATATTGTGTCATTTGGGAAGGGGACTAGGAGTTGTGCGGGGAGGGAGCTGGCGTATGCGGATTTGTATATTGGGTTGGCGAATTTCTTTAGGAGGTTTGAGTGTGAGTTGTTTGAGACGGGGAGGGAGGAGGTGGAGGTTGTGAGGGATTGTTTTGTGGCCAGGCCGGCGGTGGGGGCGAAGGGGGTTCGGGCGAAGGTTTTGGGGGTTATTTAGGAGTGTGGGGTGTTATCAAGCTGGTTTGGGGTGTTGGAGGTGTTCAGGGGGGGAATCGCTGATTTTCCGTTGCTTTCTTTCGATATGCTCCGTTCAGCTTCTTCGACGCTAGTTGCTACTATCTCAATGAACAGACAATCATCATATGACTGACCTCTATGGCATGATGTCGACAAACCCAATTTTGGTAGCCGTGTCCTTTTGACTAGACACAACTCTGAGAAACGCAGGATCTCCTTGGTGGCAAGCGGACAACATCACCAGCAACACAGCCCTGTAGGCACAGCCCCGATGTAAATGAATTCCCATCACTCACGAACCAGACGGTCCCCGCCAATGGAACCATACAGCCTGATATCAACTACCCGATTAGGAAATAATCATTCGGCATCATCCCACAGCATGTTGTACCAGCTTTACGACACGTAACTAGAAAAGGCGAAAGTGACATGCCACTTCATGTCTCCGTCAGTTCCAACCTCAATCAGAGTTTCCCCGATTGCATGGACTTTCCGGAAAGACAATCCGCGGTTGGAGAGAACACAAGAGCTCAACGTTGCCAAGGATGGCAGTGCAGTCTTCAACCCCCGCTTGATCGCCCGGTTGATAGTTTGTCGCCGGGATAAAAAATAATTTGGGCATACCAAACCTGCGGCAATACTTAACCAGGACATCACGAGTGTGGCCACGCGAGACAAACAGTTTGCCGGGATTGCTGTGATACTATATCTTCAACGATACCCCCCGACGGCACTCCTCAAGACCAAAAGACCAACCCCATCATCAAGACAAACCAAAAACAACGTCAAAATGTCCACCACCAACAATCCCAAACCCCCCTCCCCCGACTCAACTGCCTCCTCCACCACCCTCACCAACAAGCTTCCCAACCCCCTCGACCCCCAAACCCAACCCTCCACATCCAACACGACCTCCGACAACGGCACCCTAACCCAATACATCTACACGGAACGCGTCGGCCCTCCGAATCTTGACGCCCAACCAAAGAAAAAGTCCAAACTTTCCAAGTTTCTGTCCACCTTCCAGAGCTCGGCCGTACAACAGACGAATGCAGCGCGTGAACGTGAAAAGCTGGAGGAGCAGCGCACGGGTGTGAGGAAGACGGCTGCTATGGGCGCGCCGCAGGGGACGGGGCAGAGTTTTGGGGCTTTTGTGTAAGCATCTGGGAATTACCGCCAAGGGAAGGGAAGGGCGGAGATGGGTTGATATGGTTTTGGTGTTGGGAGAGTAATTGTCTCGGGATTATGGGTTGGATGTGGCAGCACTGGGAAAGAAGATGGAGTTGCTGCCGCGAAATAACCGGCACCTGTGATTAGGTATCCTTGGCTCTGAGAATAAAACGTTGGGCACTTTGAGCTCGAGCCGGTATTATTTCGGTTCGTAACTATCAGATTTACCTCTACTGGCCGGCGTAACAGTAGGGCTGGGTGGTGAGCTTTCGCTATTTTGATCTTCTTTTGGTGTATCATTTTTCTGACCCGCTCTACACTAAATAAACATCGATCTCCTTCGTGAGGAATAAGATTACGAATTGTCGCGACACTGAGCTTCTTTTATTTTTTGACAATATATGTTCAGTCTCCAGCGGAGCCCGCCATCCTTTCCCCAATCGCGACGGTGGTGATTGAAACAAAATATCGGTGTGAGAGTAGCTTGTCTATGGTTGACGCAGTGCGTGCCTTCTCTGCTCCTTCCCTCTTTTCGTCCCACCACCACCCACGCTTTATAACCCACCTTCTGGCAGCTCCTTCCAACCGCCTCCCCAAAACCAACACCGGCCCGGCCGGATGGCGTAGTGGGGAGGCTGTGGATGTTTGAACTAGTACACCACAGAATCTGTGCGCCCGGGTTCGAGCCCGGTTGTTGGTTCGCAAAACCCGCCTGCGGGTTTTCGTAGCTGTCCTACTATGCCTCGCGCCCTGTATAGGGGCAATAGTGAGAGGTAGGCGGTGAGCTTTTTGACTGATGCCTTTCTTTCTGACCAAGATGCAAACACCCCCCATTCAATTGCATGTTGCATGACAGCATTTTACCCTGCCCAATAATGTTTGATGTTGTCCATTCAGCCTCACAACACTGAATGTGGATCTCAGCAACCGGACGTTAATCAGCTAGTCACCGAGTCTCGCAGGTAGGACACGGACATCCATCATTAAGCTCTTCTTATCCCTTACTTACACCTTTCGACTTGGTGAGACGAATGTGCCGAGCCTCAGTAGTCATTTTGTGTTTCCGGAATTCTCTCTTCTCCTTTCCAACCTTTTGGGCATCTACAAAGCCGTCCTCGCATACGCCATACGCTCCTGAATATTCCGTTGCGTGGGTGATTCTCTGCACCGCAAGACGCAAAATAACTCCATCACGTGGGGGGCTATGCTGTCACTCCTTCTGAGATGCCGAGAATGATACCCCAATCTTCGGGGTGAAGTCGTACCCGTACATGCACCGTGCTACCTCGGATCCGAAAGCCGACATGGTCCCTTGACGGATCTCTCTCCGGCAGCTAATGCGGGGGCGGGGCATCTTAAAGATACTAAATCTGGCCACATGGTCGAATGGATCGGGGAATTCTTGTAATGGTAATGAACAGGCGCTGTTGGATTTATCCCGGGGGTTCCGCTAACGACACTTGCGGGGGAAATTTTGATCATGTTTTTACCTTCTGTCGCGCGAATTCTCAGAATTGGACCTGGGTTGGGTTTTGCTCTGCTCTGAAACCGTTACCAGGTTCTGTTTCCTAAACTTTCTGCCTCCAACCGCGTATCTTAGTAGGTTGGGCCAGTAGTAGCAACGACGGTGAAGTTGATTGAATGGCCAAGATGTTGGGTGTCGAACCCCCTCTTATGTTATGGAGAGGTTTCTCGTCCAACAGAGATCTAAGCACCAATAATTCAGGCACGAAATACACTCGGAAATTTACCCAGGGTTTCGTCACCACAACTCCATTAAAAACCACCAAGGTCCTTCCATTCCCCCGGCCGATCCTCGTCTGCATTGCCATTAAGAACACGTGCCTAACCTTGGGAACTCGGCTTATTTCTTTTAATATCTAAGTTTCGAAACAAGTGACGTTTCGAAGACAGACAGCGCACTGCGCCTACGTACACAAACCTGCCGCGGGCGCTTGCCGGGGTCCTCTGGCTATTCCCAAAACAACAACGGTACGAAAAGGTAAATGCCCAGTGAGGACCGGGCAACCGGGCTGCGAGTGCAACCTGGAGCGCACAAATGAATTTCCAACGTTTCCAAACCGGGTATTGTCACTGTCGTGACATCGCCGACAGCTCGCAAAAAGTCATTGGGGCGCTTGTCAGCCAACTTACCCGGCGCATCGCTGCAACAAAACAAGGCGGCCCTGCTGCAATTACCCGGCTACCTACCGAACTACCTCAGAGGGGCATTTCCTATTGCGGAAAGTTACCGGAACTCTGGCAACTTCGGAGAGACGGAAGTTTTGTTCAACGACAACGATGTAAACCTGTCGGCATTGAAAGATAAAATGGTCGCGATGCGGCTCTACAGTCTTGCCAAGAGGGCGTGTCGACTGTCGTCTTTTGAAACTACGGAGTTGAAGACATCTACACATCTGCTCTATCCGTGACCATGAAGTTCATATCCCTTTCACTCGCCGCACTTGCGGCCACGGCCTCCGCGCAGGTCAAAGTCAGTGAGTAACACCTCCAAACTCATGAGCATAATCACCCAAGAATTTCATCGTTGACACACCGGAAAATAGTGCTCCTCGGTGACTCCATCACGGAAATCACCTGCTGGCGCCCCCTCGTCTGGGAGCAACTCACCTCAGCCGGCATCGCCGGCAACGTCGACTTTGTGGGCAGCATGAACGACCTACAAGGGTGCTCCGCGCCATCAGGGTTTGACCGGGACCACGAAGGCCACTCCGGCTGGCAGGTGTACGACATCGCGCGGAACAACATCGCCGGCTGGGTCCAAAACACCAAGCCGGATATCGTGCAGTTCATGCTTGGCACCAACGACGTCAACATCGGCAAGCGGGATGCGACCAGCATTCTGGGCTCGTTTGAGTTGCTGATTACTGCGATTCGGAACGCGAACCCCAATGCTAAGATCATTGTACGTCAACCACTCCCCTTCTGATGATCTCTCTCGAGTGAACAAACAACTAACAGCCCTCCAGGTCGACAAACTGATCCCCACCAGCTGGTCCGACGCAACCGTCGAAGCCGTCAACACCGCCCTCCCCAACTGGGTAGCGCAGCACACGACCACCGAATCCCCCATCGCCATCGCCGACTGCTCGCGCGCGGCCGGTTTTACCAACGCCATGTTGCGGAGCGATGGTGTCCACCCCAACGACCAGGGCGACCAGTTTATCGCCAAGGCGGTTGGCCCTCAGCTGATTACGTTTATCAATGATGTTTTGGGTGCTAGTGCTTCCAGCGGTGGTAGCACGTCGAGGCGGAACCGGAGGCGTCTTTAGAGGGGGGTGATGAAGCGGGGGAGGTGTGATGGGGGATGGGGGTGGTGCTGAGGGAGGGGGCTGCGTCGGAGTGATGTATATAGTGTTTCTTCCATTTACTTGATGTTAACGGAAATTCACGCACATAAAGACAAGTGTGTACTGCCACGTGAATCTCTGCAGAGTTTTGAACTGTCCCTAAGGATACCCTGGCATCTAAGACTTCTACGACCGTGGTTTGAGGACGTGATGTTGGAGTCACCTCACTTAACGAAGCGGCCGATGATCTGGTTGGCAATCTTCTAAATTCAAGACCTCACGAATCAACATTCGCTATCTCGCTAACTTGTGTTAGGGTAATCTTATAGCCGGCAAAGGAATCCAAAGACCTTGCCCAGAAATACATATGAGCGCTTGAGAAGCTCGCGAGGTATGTCAATAATTCAACCGCTTCAATCTAGTTCATAACCCCCATCCGACAATGCCAACTTATCGGGACATGATCATAACAATAGCATCATAATCAGCCAGCGTCAGTGGCGGATAAAAATGGCCCAGGTTTACCCCTTTCCCATCGATGCAGACCTCGAGAAACATCCGCTCCGCCTCTCGTCTCGCATCCGCAGCACCGTACTCTTGTCCGATCGACTCAAAGAACACCGATTGCTTGAACGAGGCGCGTGCTCGCTCGGCTTTGTGGTATTTCTCGCCCGTGAAGTAATCGAGAGCGATCTTGAACGTGATGCTGTTCGAAAGGGGCAACCTGATCAGCGATGGAGAAGAAAAGACAAAGAACAAGAACGACTCAGAACTTACGCCGCCATATCGATCTCGCCCCGCTTGCCGTAATACTCCCCAAGCTTGACCCGCACCTGGTTGGCGCGGAACGAGCTGTCGCCTTCTGCTTTGCGGTAGAGCTCGAGTGATCGCTCCCACGTGGAGATGGCCGCGTCAATGTCGCCGGTCTTTTCGTTCACGACACCTAAGATTTGAAGAGCATATGCCGTTCTAGGAGAAGTTAGTGTATCGTCAGCCGGGGGCCCGCATTCACCAGCATGCTGTGCCGTGCAACGACTCACTTCATGGACTCCGTATCGTCATCGCCGTACTTGCTCCTTCGCCATTCAAGCATCTTGGTCAATATGGGTCGGGCTTCTTCGGCCCTGCCCAACCCAATAAGGGCCCAGGCATGATGGTAGTCTGCCCAGTGCGGCCAGTACTTGCCCTCGAGGAACTCCGGGGTTTTCTCGAGTATCTCTCGCCCTTGGAGAGCGAGAGTGATGGCCTCGTCGTAATCGTCGTTCAGAACCCAAGAAAGGGAGAGCTCAGTGTAGGCCATGGCCCGGGAAAAGTCGTCCTGCTCTGCTCTTGGTTTTCTATTTTCTACCAGAAGCCGCTGCTTGAAGTGAAGTTGGGCGTATGTGATACCCTCCACCCAGTCGCCGAGAGAGTGGTAGGCGCGGGAGAGACACATGAGAGCATCCGCGTACTGCTCTCCCAATGTATCTTGGTGGTTCTGCAAAGAATGGAGAGCCGTTTTGGCCAACTCGACAGACTCACCCCAGTTTGCCCGCTCTTGTAAGCATCTGCCAGAGGACTAACATCAACCATCTGGACTACAAGAGTCTTCCCATCGCTTGAATTATTGCATGGGCAGAGTGTGAAAACTTACATGCTAACACGGGTGACCAGGGACATGAATAGACCGAGGGACGCAGGGGGAAGCGTCGGCTCATGCGACTGGAAATGTTTCGCAAGTCTAATAACGTGGGGTACGACAATGCCGGCAACTCCCCAGTCGATTACCCGGCTCTCAAAGGCGGCGTACCGGTCGTACTCCCAGTGGGCATTTAGCAATACCACTGCGATTTGGAACGAGGTACTGAGCTCATCCTTGTCCATCCTTTGACGTACAGTTTCTCGTACCAGTGGATAAACCGAGACCACCTTGGTATCCTCATCGCGACGGATAAGCCTTTTCTGGAACAAGTCTGGTATCACCTCATTATCTAAGCGGTCGGCAGGGGGGTATTCCTCGATCAATAGATGTCCTTCTTCGTGGTTCAGCAAGTATTCCGGGATAGGACCGTGGTTGAGCAGCGAGAGAACCTGCATCAACACCGAGGCCGGTCGTGACAACGTATCCAGGCCAAGGTCGGTGGGGAGTAGCGGTATCTCGGAAGGCTGCATGGCGATCAAGGCGTCGCTGCGGATGGTTGGATGTTTCTCGGATCTCGCCAGGTATTTTTTGCAGGCCAAGTCTTGCCAGCCGATGACGCCGCCCAGACTAAAAATGGCGATAGATAGACAGTCTAGTCGAGCGACAAGTTGCGAAGGTGGGGGAGAAGATGGAATGGACTGAGCGGCAGCATGCTATGTTGCTTCATCACCCGATCGCAACTGCTAATGTTGGGTGCTTCCTCAGTGCAACTGCCCACTCGCGCACTCCGCACTGTCTTCATGTTTCCTCGAGAAATTATTCAGTTAAATCCCGCTCGACCTCACGGTCCCCAACTCATTCGCACTTTCAAGGCCAAAGGTTGGCGGATTATTGGGTCTGTCCGCCCGGAAACCTTGGCAGCAAAGGACCCTTCGATTGCCGATGTGCGCATTATTCCCCGAATTCTCTACTTGCCTGTTGGGTCTGACGAACCGCGTCGCAGCTGGAAGCGACGGAATCGGATATCATCTGTGTGTGTCGATTACAAAGACGAAGAAACCATCAAGTCTGCCGCTAGTGAACTCGCGAAGAAGCAAGTTAGCTTGGATGTTTTAGTCAACTGCGGCGGCAATAACCGTTCTAGTACTTTGCGACCCCTCGTAGGCTGGCCTGCTAAGAATCGTGTAGGCATCAAGGTTCGCCCACTTGCGTGGTACCTCCACAGCCAGGGTGACTTGATGGAAAGATTCAACGCCATGGTGGTGGTATGTCTTACCTCGCACTTTGTGACCCCGAACGCCTTCCCAACCTAACCGTTCACAGGGCCGTTTCCTGGTCACCAAGCACTTCCTGCCCTTGATCAAAAACGACGGGACCGGAAAGCTGATCTACATCACTTCCAAATCTGTGAGTATTAGTGGTGGGTACTTTCCTGAGCCTGTGCTGTTTTTGTTCTTCATTCTTAGTCACTAACTGTACTTAACACAAAGCCCCAGACCATCACGGGGAAGTCACCGGTTACGGCATGGCCAAAGCTGCAGCCAACCAGCAACTCAAGAGCCTGGCACTCGATTTTCAGCGTGACAATGTCCCCATCACCACACTAGCCTTCGAACCCGGCTTCATCAAAACCAAGCTCACGGGTTGGCTCGGTCGAGTCGATATTGAGGAAGCGTGCACTGGCATGGTGGACATCATTGAGAAGTTGAGCCCCGACATGTCTGGGTTGTTCATGAACTGGAATGGCAAAACCATTCCTTGGTCGGGAGGTCGGCAAATGTCGAGCGACTCGAACAGAAGAGTTGTGCTGGAATCCAGCAGTAGCACACGTGAATGAGTCGAGTTTGTCCCAGTCCTTTTGCCCAGATACCGGGGGTCCCACTGTGCCATTTGTACCAAATCTCTCAAAACTGGGCACAGGAGCAGCTGTGATATAGCACAAATTCAGCAGGAACGTGTCCTCCACGAGGAAGATTCCGTCAATGGAAGGGGGGTTGGAAAGCGATCGGTGCACTTAAAAGTGATCCACGTAGAGTGTATCCCCTTGGCTTGCCTATTTGGGCTTATGGGGCTCCTTGTAGACTGCCCCACCCTTGCGCTTTCCCCACAATTTGCCATGCCGCCTGATGCTGAGCGCTCAGAGCAGGTTAGAACGGCTTACTCGAGGGAGCAATTGTCGCAAGTGGCTTGACCAAGAACCTTGAGGAACGAGCGAGGAACAAAACAAAGTCTGAAGATCTTGGAATTAGACAAAGTGTCACAGCATCGAGAGACACCCCTCTACTCTAGGTTATCAGTCAAGTCCTTTTCAACGTACGCCCCACACGCCGAGAACTGCATCCCTCCAAGCACCTCTGCCCTGATCAGTCGAACCCATAGCCTCGTGTTCGAGCTTTCGTAACCGACGCACTAAAAACCCCAAACACAGTGGTCCAAGAATAGTGCAGAGCACGATCGCCCATGTTGTGACCAGGAACACTTCCGAGTTACCGGTCCGTTTGCCGTCATCGAAGATGCCAGCGCCCTGTGCCACGGCAGAGATCAAGAAGCCGATTTCTCCCCGTGCTACCATGGCACAACCAATGATGAGGGCGGGATAAAGTGAGATCGGCTTTGCTGGCCTCGGTTTCGTATTAGATATCGACTCTATGGGCTGTTCCCGCTTTGATTTAGAGGTAACGGTATCCTCTGGAAGTGTGGCTGCCGCGGTTCCGTCTTGTAACACTGGTTCCTGGCCCCCAAGAGCAGACTCTTCAGCCCGTTTTGACGAATTCTGAGTGGTTTTGGGCTTGCTTTTTGTCCTTGACGCCCGCTTGATGAAAGAGAAAGAGGTGCCGGGAAATCGTATCAGCCAGGCACCACAAAGGATTTTTCCAATAGCCATCAGAATGGCGTAGACAACGGCTTTCCATAGAGTCATACCCGAAAACATTCGGGCAACAGGAATAGAGAAGCCAATTGACGCAAAGAACAATGGTTGTAGTATCCATCTTAAAGGTGGGCTGTAAAATTGGTTGAAGATGTCGCAGCCCAAATGAGGAGATATATGCTGTGAGCCTGAGCTTCTGCCTTCCTGGTTATCAGGTTGCTCTTCTCGACTCTCACCAAGGTGGGTGAGCTCCGAGTCCCACCAGCTGATCACAGCGCCAGCGATATAAGCAGCAAATAGGTTCGATGTCCCCGCGTAACTCGCGCCGGCAACCAGCGCAAGTAGCAGGGCCGTGTGAAGAAGTAGGGGTGTCCGTCGATGCTGAAGGATGCAGGCTAGCTTTTGGTCAGGATGAGCGGTGCGCCAGTTGTTCAGAGCGATAGTCGCCGGCGAGACTATGAAACGACAGGCGAGTACTGCGGTAGCGGCTAAGACGATAGATACTAAGATAGGCCGCAGGACTGTGACAGCCGACACTGATACTCCCGAAGAGCCGAGGTTGGAGACAACCTGTACCATGACCAACCCGAGCACATCATCCAGCATTGCCGCGCTAGTTAGCACCACGCCCAGCCGTGTAGCCGTTAGTTTGCTTGAGCGCAGGACGGTAAAAGTCGTACCGAGGCTGGTGGAGCAAAGCGCCGCACCGGCGGCAAAACATTGCAAGGTCGAGGCATTGGTCAATGACCCTAGGACAAAAGATAGTGCAATGGGCGCCACAACGCCAGTCAATGCCACCCCAAGAGAGATTGTGGCATTGGCTTTTAATGATTTAAAAGAGGTAAGAAGACCACCTGCGATGGGATGTCAGTGACTGACTGTACTCAAGATCCTCAAGGTCCTAGTGATAAAAGCCTAAGAACACTCACCTTCGTATACGATGAGGATCAACCCCAGATATCCCAACTGTACGATAGTTTCTTCTGCCGCTCGAGGAAGAAGCTTGCCGCCTGGTGTGCCCCAAGCTACACCGACAAGGATCTGCCCAACAAGACCACAATGAAGGACACCGTCTATCGCCCAGTCGATGACATTGAGGACAAGGAGGAATGACGTGTAGATTAGTATGGTAGTAATAGACGGCTCATGGTATGGCAATGCAGCCTCGGCTTCGTCCGACATATTCTCGCAGATAGCCTGTGTAGAATCGTCGTGGAAGGGACAATAGAATCCAGTCAAAACCTAATCGGTGCAATGTTGTGGATGAAAAGGCGCAAAGGAGCATGCGGAGTAATGGCGTTTTTTTGTTTTTTTTTGTTGTTGTTTTTTTGCCGCAACCGCGAAATCTTGCGGAGGCACTAGCAAAAGTTGATACTTGGAGAGTTCCTCCAGTCTTCCTTTAGCGGGCTGCTTGTCGGCACGATCCCACCTGTTCAAGCATGGCCTAAGTTGATTACCGCATTCAGGCAAGCGCGGCTGACGGGAGCTGAGGATCGAGGTTTTCGCTGTTGAGGACATGTTAAAAGCCAGCGACGTTGTTGACACGTTGTGTCGAAGAGAGTGTGCGGGGCAACAGAGTGCGGTGGGCTGCGGCTGATCTTCGGCTGAATTAGCGTTCTGGCCGCCTGGGAACCGATAATTCCAGGCTCCCGGTACCCCACCTTACTCTGTAAAGTGAAGTTGCTTCAAGGCAGAAACTGTCATCATGGAAGCATGTTCAATGGGTATCAATCATTATTCTACCGCGGCGACTTCCATCACCCAAAATCATCACATCATCAGCCGCACACAGTCCTGAATCATTCCCGTTGAAAGGAACAACACCTTGGCGACATACAATGCTGCGGCCGCAGGGTAAACGTCCCCTGCCGACAACGCTCGTCTATCCTCCTTTTCCCTGACCGTTGGACATCTCTTACATCGTCCCGCCCCCTGGAGCGACACTTAAGAGATGCTGATGGGGAAGGTAAAGCATGACAATCCGGTGCGTCTGGTACCACGATGCCAAGACCATCCCGCTCCACACGCATCGTGGGTATTGTAGCCGCACACCCAACATCGCCGCTCTGCGTCGGAGGTGTAGGCAAAAACGCTGGGATCTTTCTCCCCGGCGCTGCCGCTGGTGGTGGTGGTTTCCGTCTTGGGGCCTGTGCTTTTTGACGCTCCGCCCGTATGCGGCCTTGTGTGGGTGGCCGTCGTCGACCACCAACCTCAGTCTTGGCATTCACCCCGGCAGCTGGCCTCGACCAGTCCGACAACCCATTAATCCGTGGGCACAATCTCTGCAACAGCTCCCTCGACGCCATCAAACACGGGTCCTCTATGGACGAGCCTACCTCCGGATGGCCCGCGACATAGTGGAAGAAATTCCGACACACCTCCAACCAGTCGTCTACCTCGCACTCTGCGGGTGATAACCACCATACAGCCGGTCCCTCACCACCTTCGCCGGTGCTCCTCCGGGATTTCCCAACCTGCACCTTGGTCTTCAGGTCTGCGCATCGTCGGATGGCGAGCAGCAATAGCCGATGCAGGACGTCATCGACTCCTTGGTAGATGTCATATGTAGGATGGTGTGCGATGCATGCGAAGAGCTCAGTGACCTGATGCAAGTCACTGACGGCGTGAAAAGGGTCAGACATGTCGTGCATAGCATCGCCGAGGTCGAGGATGGACTCGAAGGCATCCCCCAGACGATTGTGGTTGAGATGGTTGATGATATTAGGTATGTGGTCCATGGTTGTGGGTGGAGATGGTTGTGGTGATATCAGGTGCTGCATCGGGGCAGGGTGGTGGGATATTGATGCGGGTGTGAGTGCAAACCAGTTGGCGATGCCGAGGGTGATGCCAAACACCATGTGTGGTGGTTGGCGATGATGGGGTAGGATGGGTAGGCGAGCTGGGGGTGGGATGGGCAGCTTGATATCAGACCCGGGTGGGAGAATTGGGAGGTGGTAGGAGGAAAGGTGTGGAAAGGTGGGAAAAGAGGTGGGAGAGCCGGTCTTATACCTGCAAGACGTCTGCATGTCGGAGCAAAACCTGGCCAATGACAGGTAAGTCGGTCTGGGTGTATTACTACAATTTTCAACGCCCCTGGACACCGGCCAATATGTCCTCGCTTTTTTCGGGGGGTTGTGTGGTCAAATTGGGAGGGTATCGGTGCGTGGGCGGTGGTACCACACCCCTGTCACCCGCTCAAAGCAGCAACCGCACCCGCAGCGACCACATCCTCCTACCGGACCCCTTCCCCCTCCCCGTTCATCCCCTAGTCCCCACTCTCATCCAACCTCATGAAAGTCCGCCAAAACTGCATTTCTTGACTTGATGCGATGACACCAACTTCCCCGCTGTCTATTGGCGAATGTATGTCGTTGCGACGCCGGCTTTAGCCCTTCTGTTAATGGTTCACACGGTCGGGGTCGAGGCGCGGCATGTCTGCACATCCGTGAAGAATGCAGATGATGTACTACGAGCGCGATAGGCCACTACATGACTTTCAAGGGTCACAGGCTCGGTCTAATTGCTCACACATGCCTATCTAATACATATATGGTTCTCCGTTGCTCCAGCGCAAGCCAAGTCTCCCCAGGCCCATAGGACTTCCCCGGAAGCCCATAGAACGTCATGATCCCCCAGCCAAATTAAGATACGATCGTTCTCAATTATGACAGACTCTGTGCACATTTTTGGGACCCTCCTTCAATACCAATCGTCCTCTTCCCGGGGGGTTGTGTTTGTCCTCGGGTGGTTGTGAAGGAAGAGGTGTCGTTGAAGGATTACATAAGCCCCGCACTTACACGCAACCCAAAACCGCATTGGACCACCCTCCACCACCCTCCACCACCCCTCCACTCCACCCGCAAACCTGAACTAGCTTTTCATAGTGCCATAGTCCTACGAGATGCCCAAATTTCCATCTTGTTTCTTTGTATTTGCGCAAAATTTTACTCGATCTTTCAATGCAAAACCTAAAACGACCTCGGAAAGTTCAAGGACGAGAGAACGGAAAACTCTTTGGGGGCATTGCACAGCTGGGCAATTTTCGGGATGGCGTTTCAGCGCCGGAGCCGGGGTGGGCCCACAAGTGCCCCACATGAGCGGGGCAAAGTGTGGGGCGCCGCGAGACCAGGGCTCAGGTGGGGCGCCGCGAGACCAGGGCTCAGGTGGGGCCTCAGACGACAGCCGCCGGAGACAGGTACGGCGGCAGTGATGTCTGGGAAGATGTTGTATTGGTTGGTTGGTTAGGTTATTGGAGGCAGCAGTCAATTCCAGAATCAAAGGGCGCTCAGCTTTCTTTTCCCTGAACCAGTTCCCTAAACCAGCTGAGCCGACTCCGAATCCACACGACCCTGCCCATGAGCGAGACAACCTGGCCCTCGTCGCCTCTTGACGACGACGAAAACTTCCATCTGGCCCTTGTACCTTCCCCGCCCCCTGCCCAAGCCCAAGCAAGCTTCTGGACGCCTCTTCCCGCCGCCGTCCAACTAAACGGCGCCATCGAGAATGCTCACCCTACCGAAGACCTTGAGACTGGCTGCTCTTGGACAAGGTTTTAAGTGCCTCGACGATAGGGTTCCTCTCGTCGCCATAGCCCATCACACCACAAACATTAGAGATTGCCATATGATACGCCCCTCGCAACACTCCCGCCCCGCAACAGCATCCGTCGCCGTGGTCGTTTTTGACCCTTTGAGATTGTTCCGGCATCGGTTGATGAGTCATCAAAGCTGAACGGTTTCAATTACCCGATTCGGGTCATTGCATGTGGGGCACCTCAGAAAGGCAATGCCCCACATGTAGCTGAATCGGGCAATTAGTTAATTCTGCAGGCTGCAGTACCGCAAGAGACACATCCAAGAAAACACCAATGGCGTTTATTTTTTGTTTGATGCTGATCTAACTGAATGTATCCCTCCGCCCTTCCCAAATTTCTGGCTAACCCAGGGCCCCAAACTCCATCGTGTATGACAATTTAATGACTTCCCAAACCATGCTCCTAGTCCAATGCAGATTGCAGACCGATCCTGCCAAGAAAAGGAAAGAAAAAGCTCCCCAAAAAAATGCTAGGAAAAGGAAAGAAAAACCATCCCCAAAAATAAGCTCGTGCTAACTCAAGAGAATGTGAACGGTAAAAACTTATTTAGAAATAAAACACCCTTAGGCCCCCAGCGGGCCCAGCGCACCTAAACCGGAGTCACCCTCCGATGATGCGGCAGTTCCCCCGACGCCGCCATCCGCCCGATCGGGCCGTTCGGCATAACCGAGCGAAGCACAGTCCTTTGCAGCAGCGACTTGAACAGACGCTGCACGCGCTGCTTGGAGACTTGCGTGCGCCCGTACGGGGTGATGGGCTCGTTGCGGAAGATTGCGTCCATGGTGGTGGTGGGGAAGGGCAGGTCGATGAACTCGGTGCCGGTGTGGAAGGAGTTGAGGATGGTGACTTTCTCGAGGACCTTGGCGTTCTCGGTGAATTGCGCGAGCATGGGCGCGAAGCTGTTGTCGGCGCTGCAGGCGAGCAGGATGTGCTTGCAGGTGGGGTTTTCTGCGAATTGTTTGAAGGTTGCTGAGAAGAGGGGAATGTTAGTTTTTCTACGAGTTAAGTCCGAGAGAAGAGATGTTTAGGGGAACATACCGATCAGCTTGTAGTCAGCGCGGTACTTGTCCTTCTCGACGAGGACGAAGTCAAACATCTCGTCGCCCTGGGAGAAGCCGCGGGCGAACCCGGACAGGTGCTGCTCGGCCTTCTTCAGTTTGGTGACGTTTGACTTCACTAGCAGGCTGCCCAGGTCAAGGGCGGAGCCATATGCTCGGACCACAATGGGGATCTCATCGAGGCTGGAGTCTAATGTTGTGAGGTGCTGCCACACGGCGTTCTTCAGGTCCTTGGCTGCACGCTCGCCGCCGTCGATGGAGTTGCCAAGGTAGTATTTTGAGTCAAACTGTAACAAGGGAGCCATTGTTAGTTTCTGGGTGGAGGGGGGTCATATCGTGTTCAGGAGACTCACCAAGTAGGCCTCGGCATCGGCATCGATGAGGACCAACACGAAGGGGTCGCGCGACTGTACCGGCGTCAGCAAATCAGACTCAAGCTTCGTTACAAGGCGGAAACAAGACTCACAGCAGACTTCTCCAAGTCCTTCAGCTCAGCCGCTAAGGCACCCGATTGCTTCTCGAGAATGCGACCCGCCTCTTGCTTGCACTCAACCTCTAGCTTCAACGCCTCAACCTCCTTCTGGACATTGCGACCGGTCTCGCGTTCTTGTGCGAGGTCCCGCTCCAGGGTCTTCCCGGCAGCCTTTTCTGTCTCAAGATCCTTCTTGAGTGATTGGACGTGTTGTTGAACAAGCTGGCCCGCCTGTTGCTCACGCTCGAGATCCTGCTCGAGGCCGTCGGCTCGTTGTTGGACAAGCAAGGCGGCTGATTTCTCGGCTTCGAGAAAGTGCTGCAACGTCACGGCTTGCTCCTGAGCGGCCTGCCGGGCCTCCCGCTCTTGCTCGAGATGCCGACGAGTCTCATTGCATTGAGTCTCCAGAGCCTTTGAACGGAATGATTGGTTAGTAAAGCCAACTTGTGAGGTTGAGGGGAACTAGGGAAGGCCATTGAACTTACCGCCAATTCGTCCAAATGCCCCTGAGTTTGAGACCGGAATTGGTCCACAAAGGCGCGGAAGCTATCAGCGGTGTCAGACATGGTGTGCGTTTTGTCGAGCCCCTGAATTGAGATTCTGGTTCTTGATGGGAGTGGTGAACGAAGCGTCTCCAGGAAGGGAATTGTCAAATTATGAAGTTTCTTTTATCTTCAATTCGCAATCACGAAACTCCCAGAGACCAAAATTCTCCGGAGCTAAACACAACCTAACGTCCTAACGCGGCCCGACCTGTTCGCCATGTCATCCACAACCACGCAACCCGAAGTCGCGGGGCAATCAAGGCGACCTATGATTTTCTGACAAGAGTGTCAAGCCGCAGCAGCAGCCGGGGTTCTCAGAATGGCCAACGCAGAAGGGGTTGATTCGACGCAGTTCGCCCCAAACAATCACGAGCGAATCACGGAGGAGTTTTGGCAGCGATTGGGCCCTGCGGCCTGTTCCCATTTGCTCGCCTGAAACTGCAACACCAATCCGAAGCTTCCACATTCTCATGGCTCCACCCAAACCCATGAACCCACAAACCCAAACAAAGCCCCATCTGAGTCTGGCCTCGGCCTGGGCTTCGTCAACAAGCTCGATGCAGGAGGCGCAGAGAGTCCGGTTTCAAGTTTCTTCCTTGCAAAATTCTCACGCCGAGGATGCCGAATTCCGCCAGCATTCCATCGATAAGCTCCCGGCACGCCGCGTCATCGCAACTGAACAACGATGCGTTGCTGCAGCGCTCATGCAATGCATGGAATGCCAATGCCATTCAGAACCCTGCTGGTCGAACGCAGTCGACCACGGATTCGCTGAGGTTTGCCCCGGGAACCTTGAAAAAAAAAGAAGAAGAAAGCCCAACGAGTCAGCATGTGATCGGACAAGACGGTCAAGACCCATCATGAGGGATTGGTAAACATTCTTGGCTACTCACCTTGTGCACAATGGAGAAGGCGTCCCAATGGGGGTCGGTGTGCGGGGCGTACTCAATCAGGTTGATCATGTCCTCAACCCCCTGGATGTCGTCGCTGTAGTAGTGCCGAAGAAACGCGTACACCATATCGAGGCCTTCCCAGCGATAGTTAGTAAGTAACCCCCCGGTTCAAGCCAACCCAGACAATCACCAAGCAAGCGAGAGGAGTCAAACCCACCAGCCGAAACTCCCGAACTCGTCCACACATTCCCATCCACCACCCACCTCGCCGTCGGCACCCACGTGACATTCACCCCATGCGTAACCACCCACTCCCACGCAGCCTTACTCGACGTCGCCCTGCGGCCCTCCAACACGCCCGCCTGCGCCAGCGCGGCAGCACCCGTGCACACGCTCAGCAGGTACTGCAAGCTGGGGTAGCGCGCTGCGACGAAGTCCTGCACGGAAGTGTCGTTGTTCTCTTGCAGCGCCCGGTTGCCGACGCCGCCGGGGATGAGGAGGATGTCGAGCGGTGGGGCGTCGGCGAAGCTGTGCGTGGCTTCGATGTAGGTGGCCATGGTGGCGCCTTTGGAGGCTAATTTGCTGGGGGGGACTTTGGTGGTGACGAGGCCGGGGCGGTGGCTGATGACGGAGAGTTGGATGGATTTGGTTCCGGACATCTGTTTGGATGTGAGTTGTGATGCCAAGTGAGCGAACATCTACTGGTTAGTCAGGGGTTGGCTTACGCTGGAGAAAAGCTCCAGAGGCCCCCAGATGTCGAGGGGTTCGTATCCGTCAAACACCACCTTGGGCACTCGTCAGTTATTGTTCATGTTGGAGACAGTGGTTAACTCACAACACCAAGCGACAGAGTCTTGTCGCTGTGTCCGTTCGCAGCTGCCATGACGAGCGGTGCAGCTTGAATAAATCGGTACAGGTAAGTCTTAATATTCATCTCGGCGGTAGCAGTTCTCAAGAATGGCCGTGGCAACAACAGGTCGAGAAAATGCGAGAGCCAGTGCAGTCTTTATTTATGCCTCAACTCTAAAACATGAGACATTGAAAACCCACCATCCATTGCGCGTCGGAGTTTCCAATTTCCCGCAACAAAAGAGGCAAGAATACCAACATTGTAATTAAGCCCGTCTCTCCGCTATTTAGTGTAACCTATAAATCCAACCTCGTAATACGCTCAGTCTCTCGTACTTCCCATGTGTGGACTTTTCAGTGTCACTTGGGGTTGAGAGACCAGGGTTATTGACTCAAACTCCCTCATCTGCTGCAGTCAGCGTACCTTCGCGAGAAACCGACACCCACATGACGAGACATGAAAATCTGAAAGTCACCGGCATACGAGGATTTAAACTTGCGCACCTATTGCGGCCCGCCGCGGAAGGCCATCGGAGAGCACGATTCCCGCATCTGTCTTGGGAGGTTGAGAGATCAAATCTTCACCTCGGGTTGAGGTGATAGTGAACGTGATTGGACGACATTGTTCTGTTGTCTCTCTTAAAATCTTACAACGTCCTCGAACCTTCCAATCCTATCGGTTACACTCGGCAAGGTCCATCAGGTACCCAATGAGGATCAGACTCACTGTGTGTCTTGTCACATGTCACAATGTTGTGATGATGGTCATGGTGGTGGTTGGCTCCTGCCTGTTGCGCTTCCCAACTCAAGATCACGTGGGTGAGGCCGTGATGTCCATCTTTGGCGCAGTTGAGACTTGCTCGACCTGCACCTTTTTCTCTGTGCCTTAATTTCAATTCCGCGTTCACTTCATGCAATTACCTTCACAACAACTCCGAGCCGTCGTTATCTCATTCCTCCCGCTCAAACTTTGATAGTTATGAGCCCAATGCTCAATTAATCCTTCCCTACTACGTGTAATTAGGTGCAGGCGCTTTGGCATTCATTCCGACGCGCTCCCATCCCCATTGGTTGTTCCTTCCACTGGTCCAACATTACGGATGTCCACTACCCCAACGAAACCGCTTCGACTGTCAACTTGCGCCTCATGATAGGAATTGGAACCGGATCTCCCCAAATCTGAACCGACTGGTTCCTCCGGAGTCCGGCTTCCATGCGACACAACTAAGCATCAACTCTGGGCACAGGCAAACCAACACTCGCCATCACCACACATGGTGACATGTCTTCCCTTTCAGCCCGTTGTCCGCGGATTAAACGTACAGTCCCCTTGCCAGCTATAAACCCTGCCTCTTCATCCTACCGTGGGTAGAATTGCTACGCCTCGGAGAAATCAGGACCTGGGCTATGTATGGGAGATCAAAGGAAGAGCTGGAAAATTCCCTCTTTTATCTTTCAAAGCGGCTTGTTGAAGGATTTTGATTAGACATTGGAGATGCACCATTCCTCGGATCAAGGACGACAAGGGTCACTCCGATGTCTATCAAGGATGGTCACGGTCTGCCAGCTCTGTGCCCTTGCACTCGTACCTCGGTCGTACGGCACTCATCGCCGACGAGGCGCACTTCGTCTCTTTCCCGTCGTTGACACGGTTCCGGACCCGAGCCAGCCACTCGGTTACCCCTGAGATGGCGAAATCAAGGACCCCAAATCCTCCATCGCGACCTCATGCGAACCCCCACAGCGCCCTCAGGGAACACCAATAACAACCCATCAACCCCTTGCAGCTCGTGTGCCCATCAAGCATCTTGCGCAAGCCCGAAACGAGGAATCCAAACGGCCGGGTCAGACCAACCATTCAATGGAAGAATGTAACCAAACCCCTGAGTCAACAATATCAAGATGAGAGACGGCCAAGAAACGCGCATGTCTCTTAGCCACAACAGAAATCCCCGGCAAGACGAGGCTGGAATCGCATCACACGCACACCACAATGCGCAACCATCTCGCCACAACGCAGGGTCATCAATCTTGGACATCTTCTTTCTCGCTTTTGGGAGAGCAGAAGAGCACGCGACATGCTCGACAAAAGGAGGGGCAATGAGGTGAGACAGCTATTGCTTTTTATTTCTCTCTGACTCTCTTCTCAAACCCCTCCTCACCAGGAGCACCAGAGAAAAAAACGTCTCCACAGGAACTGGTTGACTGAAACACATGACTTGCTTTGGATGCCGGGGACGGCTCGGCCCCGACTATTTTGGGGGACGCTTGCGATCAACAAGTTTTCATCAAGCCATCCAAACCCCCAGTCAAGGCACCATTTCCAGCCCTAGCAACGTTATGCCGACTCGTCCTTGGACTTCCCTCAATCGTCCAAGTTCCCCCGGGTACGCGTGCCACAGGGATTGTTGAAGCTTCGGTTGAACATGTGTCGAGATTCCTCATTTGGGGGCCACACACGTTGACTCGTCGAATTCGGCAAGAGAGTGCGAAGAAGGAAGAAAAGGCGTTGACTATTCGTAGGGATTGGTGTTTATCACTTTCTCTGTTGAGTGAAGGGCTTTTCCGCGGTTTTGCCCGCCCGCCCGTTCAAAAGCTAGGACATGGGGTGATGGGGGCCATCCGCTGACGAGTAAAATTGCTATCACGCCGACAAGGTCGATGACGTGCTCGCTTCCCGCGGCAGCCTGCCCTCCTCTTCCCCCCACGGAGGCGCGTCTGCGCCATTGCCATTGCCTTTTTTGCTTGGGCTTTGGGAATTTGCTGCTGCGGAGGGACTGCCCCCCAAAGTTGTTCGATTTTTCTGGGGTTGATTTCCACAGTCGCATTGAGCACGCGCTCACCAAAACACCACGCGTGATGAGGAAAACGCGATTTTTTCAGGCGATGGCGAGACACGCACGCTCCGTCAAAAGGTGCGGCTGGATTCTCGAGAGGATTATTGCCAAGCGGCAGCATGAGGGAACTTACTTTGGGTTACTTTCCACTCGTTCTCTTGTCGATCTGCGTCAAGGCTCAGGTTTCGCCGCGCTGAGGTTTTCATATTCTTGCATTCTTTCGAAGCACAGATTGGGCATCCATCACACGGAATCCGCCGGGTTGCCGTTGGGAAAGGCAGATCTTTGGCCGTCAGGCGTGTCACGAGTTGGGCGAAGCGGACTTTTATAAAACCTCTCCTTCCTCTTTTCGTCGCAAGCCCTGCATGAGGCGACCCATCCCATTGGGACGTCGAGCCCCTCGGGCTTGCCGCAACCCCCGCACAACACGGGTTGAAACCCTTGTCTGAGACCCCTTCAGCTGTGCATTGTGGTTCATGGAGGTTGTGTGTTGCAACTTGCAGCAGCTGGTCCTCCTGGTCTCCCCTCCTTCGGACGTGAGTGGTTTAAGGGACCCCCACGCACTGTTCCCAAGTCCCTGGGACGGCACAAGAGTGTGCATTCGGGGCGAGACACGGTCACCGTGGACTTGAGAGCACGCAATACACCAAGATGAGTGCGCGATGTCTCGGGATCGATATATCGACTCTTCGACGTCCGTGTTCCAACTGTCGACCTTACCATACGGTTCCACCTGGTTTCCCACTTCCTCGCTCGTTACACTTCTTTTGTTCGCGCATTCGACCGTCGAAACAGATGGCCGTAGCTTCGTCCTCCCTCGCGAGCGATCGACGACGACGGAGGTGAACTTGACTTGCTCAGTCGGATGACCGCCGTCGAACGTGGTCGCGCGACGACCACGGGGGACGACGATTAACGAGACAACGACAACAACAACAACCAAACTGCAAACAGCCAAATCCCCGGCCAGGAGGACATCCGGCCAGCCCGACAACCATGCTTCTCCTTCCCCGCGGCGGGGAAGCCAACCTGGACGCGGGCCAGTTATTGACGCTCACCATCCTCACGCGCGTGGCGTCGGCACTCTCCGCCCTCGGCGTGCTTACCATCATCACAACCTTCTGTCTGTCCAGACATTTCCGCAATCCCATGCATCGCCTCATTGTCATCAATGCCTTTTACAACGCCCTCGATGTCACGTGCACGATGATCTCGACAGGTGGACCGCAGGCCGGCAATACGTCCGCGCTTTGCCAGTTTCAGGGGTTCCTTAACCAAATGTGAGCTTTTGAAATTTTGAGTTTTTGAGTTTGGCGCTAGAAGAAAACAATGGTGAGCAGGGGGGGGGAATTGGTGGAGTGTGGGGGAACCGAATAAGGAAACGGGGGGTCAAGACGACATGGAATGCATACTCATACCCCGACTCCTTGCAGGTTCCCTATTGCGGATGTGTTGTGGACCATGGCCATGGCTGTCAATGTTTACCTCATCGTCTACCGCAGCTATGATGTCGAGTCGTTACGACGGCTCGAGTGGAAGTACATCGTCGGCATCACCGTCGCTACCTTTATCCCGGCCTTTGTGCTGCTGTTTATCAAGACGGAAGAGAATGGTCCCATGTACGGGAGTGTAACTGTGAGTGGCCAACCTCGATATGCTTCGTCAATATCATTTCAAAGCACGTTAACTAACACACACCTCTAGATGTGGTGCGCCATCGCCCCTAAATGGGTCTTGTTCCGCATCATCCTGTACTACGTCCCAATATGGTATGACTTACCCCAAACCCTTCCCATCTCTTGACACGCCGGCCACTAACACCCACCCAGGACCTGCATCATCATCACCATCGTACTCTACCTCCTCGTCGGCATCGAAATCGCCAACCGCCGGCGCATCATGCAATCCATAAGCAGCAACGCCAACCACCAAGCCACAGCCTCCCTCTCCGCCAACGAAACCATAGAGCGCAACTCCTACGGCAGCACGACCAAACCCACCGTCGACGCCATCCAAGAGTTCGACCCCACCAGCACAACCGACTCCCCTCGGCCCCCTACCCGCTCCAACACCGGCAGCGACGAGCCCTTCAGCTCCAAATACTACTCCTCCCACCACCCCACCTCCTCCTCCGCCGCCTCACGCGTCATCCCCTCCAACCCATCCTCCCTCTCCTTCCGACAATACATCCTCATGCCACTTTTCTTCTTCATCGCGCTGCTGCTGGTGTGGGTGGCGCCTTCGACCAACCGGGTAGCGTCGTTCATCGAGCCGGGGTTCTCATCCTTCCCATTGCTGTTGACGGTTGGCGTTACTGGGTCGCTGCGCGGGTTTTGGAATGGGATTGTTTTTGTGGTTGTGGGGATGCGGTCGTGGAAGAGGAGGAAGCAGTCGGATGAGTTGGCTTTGAGGCCTGTTACTAGGGAGTAATGGAGTAACGGGGCGGGTTCCATTTGTTTTAGAGGGTGGAATTTTTGGTTTTTTTGGGGCGGGTTCTCCGTCTCCTTGGTTGGGGATAAATAAGATACCAGGGATGTTTTTTTCCCATGCGGGAGTTGACGGGGAGTCAAGGGTGCCACTTGTAACAGCTTATGTTCCTTAGTCCTACGAAAATATTCTGCCAAACTTCTACCTATGGTGTTCATCTAGCCCATGATGTGAGCCAGTGCTTAAACCAGTAGTTGGTCGAATACCCCCGCCAAGTCAGGAGCAACGTATTCGTTGTGGGAGTCGCAAAGGGGTTGCTAGAGTGGACCGCGATATGCGTGCAAGGGCAACGTGAAAACGGTAGTAGCAGCTAAAGGGAAACCGATGGTTGGCGGGAAACTTGGAGATGACATGGAAGACGCTCGTTATTCTGTAACAGCTAGATGACCTTGGATTTTGCTCGTTAGCTAAACACATCTATCGTGTATTAACGTCTAGGTTTCATTTCTCCTGACTCCCCTGGTATTGTTGCTCTTGAAGAAAGCCACCCAGTCCAGCCACACGAGCCGTTGTATCGTTGTCCGGGCCCAACGTGGCTGCTGTGGACGAACTCGGCAAGGTATGGGGATGACGTGCATGATCGATCCCAGAAAGAACCCTTGAAGATCAACCAAGAACCTCCCTCCACAGAGATCCCCGTCTCATCTGATGACCCTTTTCCCCATTCCTTCCCATCAGACCGGATTTCAGGAACCAAACACTTTTTTTCTGGTCTTTTCCAGCTAGGACCTTCTCCACCGTAATGTCAACCCATGGTTAGAGTTTGTTGATCTGTAAATCTGTGTCTCCAGTTCCCCGGATTTCTCCTCCTTATGCTTACACTACACGTTCGGAGTGACAACACGAGTCAGTCAACCAGGACTCCATCAACCTCGGGAACAACCATTTGCGGGGCCCCAGTCCGTCGAGTTTCGTCACAGCGGGTCTGGAACGCATTTCTCTCCACACGCAAGACAAGTTGACAGGCAATTACTTCATGACTTTCTCCTTTTCTCATTACATCGCCGGTCCACGATCATGATATTTGAACTGACGCAACCGATCTGCTGCGCCGAGGACCCTCCGCGGGAATTTTGCCTTTACGATTCCTTCCCGTCGTCTCTCGGGAAGGAATCATGAACGAAAAAAAGGACGGGAAACCCATGCACAAGGCCGCCTCATCGATAAATTATCTCTTCTCTGCAGGGGTTGCCGTGAACTCGCACTCCAGTTACCGTCATCCCAAAAACAGCCACCTGAATCCACTCACCAGCGTCAGCAGCAGCAAATACATTTTCACACCACACGAATTTGATGACCTGAGGCAAGTGAGCATGATTGCATGCTGCAAAACGAACACAAAAAAAACCTGGAACAGATGCCGCTTTACCCGGGGCAACCTCACCAATCCCAAAGCAAGGATAGATCGGCACCCTCAGAAACGTTAAAGCGGAGCCCGCCTCGCCCCTCTGCCCCTCTCTTATCCTGTTATCCAACAAGGACGCAAACAAAAACACCCCTGTCCCTTTCAATCAACGCCGGAGCTTGGCAAGCGACTCCGGGATGGGTCTTGCGGCGCCGTCATTGGCTCCGCTACCCCGGCCCCCGAGCGGGGGATCCACCCCCCACCGGACGGCACGGCGTTACAACGGAAGGCCGGAAAAATGGAAATGGGGCTCAATCAGGTGTGGGAAGGTGAGCTGTGCAGCGGTTTGTTCCAGGGGAGGCCGCCTGGTGATAATATTCGCGCATTTTTAAGTTGTAGACCAAGGAGGTAGAATCCGAGCAGGTTTTGAGATCTTGATGTAAGTAAGGCGAAGGCAACGTCTACTATGTAATGAAAGGCATCCGCTCCTAATAGGGAAGGCGGGCTCGAGAGCATTGTGCTGAAGAAGAGTTCCCTTGCAGTGTCGTTGCATCTGCAGCAGGACCTTTTGGTATGGGCGGGGTATCGATAGTAACTTATGTGGAATAGCCACGGCATTGGATCAGACTTGATGTTGAAGAGAGCATCCAGCGAGCACAGGTTCCCATTTCGATCACAGGCAGTGGGAAGGAGGTTGATGAAGGGCCTTTCGATCTCTCTGCCGCGGCTTCATCAACATCAAATGCCGCCATCAAGCTCCGAAGATAAAACCCGCTGAAGATGACCTCGGAGTGAACTTCACGCCATTGCAGATCCCATATGATCTTGTCTCGAACGTTGAGCCAGGTTAAAGAAATATCTCCACCGTTTCGGGAGTAGCCGTCGTCGGTCGATCAACGCAAGGATTTTCTTTGGTCTGTTTGGTTTGAGGATCAACTCCCTTGTCGCATCGATGCTCCGTGCTCGATGTGTTCGGACGACAGTCCATTGTGAGTTCCGGAAGATCGACCAGTGGCTGTCTCGGAATTCGGGAGTAGCCGGTGACATTTGACCTACCACTTGAAGAACCATTCTCAACCATCGAAGGTCGTCCTCTCCCAATTAAGCAGCACATGGGAACGCCACATGTCCAAGACAATTGCAGTTACACTCTTCAAAGGACCGCCTCGGAAGTTGCTGATGATCGTCGGTTTTGCGATATGCCGTAGACTAAGTGGCCTGAGGTCGATCCCTTTTGAGCCGGGTGCTTCTTGTGAATATTCTTGTTGGGACATCCATCGGTCCTTTTTGCTTCCTTCTGGTCCAGGGCAATTTTAAGAATAGAACTCCTGCCGGGCCGACTCCCCGGCCATCAGTCGATGTTGTGGGCCCAGCGGCAGTAAATATCAGGCCGAAGCGAGGCGCCGTTGGTGAGCGAAGGCATGCGAAAGGCGAACCAGAGCCAGCCTCACGTTCTAGGACTTTCCCGATTTGACGGTGGGAATGGTTAGCCGCTCACCAGGGTCCCAGCGACATATGAAAGAGCGGCTTTAAAGATATGCCGCAAAATACCTGACCACAGTGTACAATAATTGCTGCAGGAGGGTGAGTTTTGGGGAATAGATCTTCGGTATTCCTGGCGTGGTGATATGCTCGGCTCGCGTGAGCGTCAGATGGGAATGGAACGAAATCCCCATGATTGGTTTCCACGTGAAGATGGGCCCGCTCCATGTTGAAGAAGCGGGAAATTGTGTGGAGCGCAGCCTCTCTTCTGCAAAATGGCTGGGGTTTAGTGGACTCGGATCGAAGCAGGACCCTCTAACCAGAGGCGATCATAAGGCCGGGCGGTGACTTGCGGGTCGCTTCAATGGGAAAGTTGCATGCCGGAAAGAAGAAGCGAAGTACCAACGCGGCAGCGCGGCACACTTGTAAACCGAAATGCCTCGTTGTCGAGTTGATGGAAGAAGCGAGAAAAAACACTGGGGCTAAGTGAGAAACATTAACGGAGCGTCGTAAGGGAAGGAACGTCCTGTTAGCAAGGTAGGAAAAAAAATGTTCGATGCTGCCAACAAGCGCCGAGATATTGCCAGGACATGTGCGTTCCCGTTTCACTGTTCTCACAAAACCAGTGAGAGGGACGGCAAAAACCTGTTCACGATGTGATGTTTTAGAGTTGTTCGCCAGCGTGTCGCCCTGGACGTCGATCGACAGACTTCCTGGTCGGTGATCGTTACGTCGCCCTGTCAATCCGGAAAGCCCCGATGAGGCCAAGCCGGGGCCAAATCTGAAACCTGGACCGGCCCTGCCCGCATGGTCTTGGCCGTAGGTGAAAACAAATGTTTGCATGAGGAAGGAAAACAGGAGAGAAAATGCAGCATGACGATGCCTCACTTTGTCGCCCGAACAGGCAATGACGACAGATCGTTCGACAAATGCTGGGGGTTGTTCCCGTCTTTCACGGTTCCAGACCAAAATTGTGGATGGACATAGGCTGAAAGAACCCGCAAATTTCCGATTACATAACCATGCCCCTGTTGTCGATTGAGCAGTTCATTGGGCGGAGTATCCAATATGACGTCAGGATGGATCCCCTGTTACACGGACCCTGAAAGACGGTTTTGTGTTCGACGCTTTCCGCCCACCACGACATCGAGGGGAGGCTTGAAGATGTTACACTACACTAGTGTTAAGGGTTGCACCCGTAGTTGTACATGTGTACGAACAGCAATCGAAAACGTGGGCGGGGGATGGTGGATAATTGAATGGTTTCGTGACTGGGATGACGAACGCCAAGTGAAGGAACCACTTTGCTCCTCGCTGGGCCAAGATTTTGAGAACCTGTTCCGTTTCGGGCGAGGTCGGCCCGGCCTTCGTCATGTTGGGTCATTGGCAGCGCCCGGCGACCCCTCCGGCCCAGACCCAAACCTTGACGCAGTAGAAACGGTGGCGAAGTCGCCATCAAGGCACCGCGAAACGGAACAGGCCCCTCGACCACTAAGATCGATCCATTTCGGCGATCGATGTGGTTCGACGTCATTTCTCCCGTTTTCGGTCTTGGATTGCCATGTCTTGCCAGGGATGTCCTGAGTATCGTGCGATTGCACCTGGTGAGGCCCCGATGGTGTGTTAGCCGCTTGATAACTGCGAAGTGCCACGGAAGCAATGGTGAGGGCATTCAGGCCATCATAGCGTAGTGCATCAAAGTAGGGAAGAGAGTTCAGCAGGCGCAGCGATTACTCGGGAGACGACGAGTAGAGACAGCATTTGCGGGGTGTCCATTGGGGACCCTGCATGCCTGCGTGTTCGTCTCGATGCAATCTCGATAGCCGATGCGATAACCGTGGTCTGTTCGGAAAAACCAGGAGCGAACCGGAATCGCAAATGGATCACCCATGAGAAGAATCCGTCTCTGGTGTTCGAGAACTGTTATCGTCATCCGGCGGGGCGACACGGAGCCGTCGCCGGCCAAGCCAAGACCTGGCGACTCTCGCCAAGCCTCCGTTTGGCCATTGGTCGTCGGTCGTTTCACGGCGGCCGACGGCCAAACCACGTCGCGCACGTCTTATCTGCAGCGAGCCGAAGGGGCTGGAGGGAGAGACATCGGGTGGGTTGTGGAGGACCAACCAGGCCAGCTCCTCAGTTGTTTCCGATATGCGAGACGACATCATGCCGGTCAGAGGCAGAAGGCCGCAAATGTTGTTGCTGCAGGGTCGTTTGCCTGTCGTGTCCGTCTGTCGTCTGTCGAGCCTGTTCGTCCGAATGCAGGAGAATAGAAACGGAAGAGCGGGGCGGTGGTTTGGTAACAACAGGGTGGGGCATCGTTTGGGGGCGGGTGGGGGCGCCGCAGCCGAAAAGCCGTCCTTCCGTTGGCAAAGACAAAGCCACACTTCTCACGGAAGCCATGACTCTTGACCCACCGATGATCCCAACGGCTCATGGGCCCACGGGCCAAGGGGAACAACAAGCTTGGGTCCTGGTGGGCACCCCGTCGTCAGAGGCCGTGCTGCCTCTTTCTATAAAGCAAAATGGTTGCCCCTTTGTGTCAGACCGTTCCTTCTCTTGTCCGCAGACTTGATCACTTGAATCAACATCAACCCTCCAAAGCAACCCAAAAAAGGGACTTACACATTTGTCCTAACATCACCTACATAACTATCCAGTATCAGCACTCTTCGAGCCTCCCTAAACGGATTCTTCGATCCTAAGCCTATTCAGCCCTTTATTCACCTCTTACACAACCAAAAACACACACATAACCGCCAACATGGTACAAAGGAATGCCCCCCTTAAGGCCGTCCACTTCGGTGCCGGCAACATCGGTAAGTTGTTACCCCTGGACGACATGCCACATGATGGGGTGGAAGACTATGCGGGGTGACCAGGTTGCTAACGATCGATGCTACTCCAGGCCGTGGCTTCGTCGCCTGTTTCCTCCACAACTCCGGGTACGAGGTCATCTTCGCTGAGGTCAACGATACCACCGTCAACAAGCTCAACGCCCAGAAGAGCTACAAGGTGATCGAGGTCGGTGCCGATGGCACATCAGAGTCCGTCATCACCAACTACCGCGCCATCAACTCGAGGTCACATGAGGCCGATCTCGTCAAGGAGATCGCAACGGCGGACCTCGTCACCTGCTCTGTCGGCCCGCATATCCTCAAGTTCCTCGCTCCCGTCATCGCCAAGGGTATCGACGCCCGCTCAACAGACCTCACCCCCGTCGCCGTGATTGCTTGTGAGAACGCCATCGGTGCCACGGACACCCTCGCCGAGTTCATCAAGGCTCCCGAAAACACCGACCCCAGCCGGCTCGAGGACTATGACAAGCGGGCTCGCTTCGCCAACTCTGCCATTGACCGCATCGTGCCCGCGCAAGACCCCGACGCCGGGCTTGATGTCCGCCTCGAGAAGTTCTACGAGTGGGTTGTTGAGAGCACTCCCTTCAAGGACCACGCCCCACCCGCCGTCAAGGGCATCCACTGGGTCGACAACCTGCAGCCCTTCATCGAGCGCAAGCTGTACACTGTCAACACCGGCCACGCCACGGCTGCTTACCACGGCTACATCCGCCGGAAGAGCACCGTGTACGACGCGCTGCAGGACCGTGAGATCCAGGAGGAGGTCAAGAAGGCTCTGTCCAACACCGCCAGCCTGATCACCCAGAAGCACGGCATCCCCGCCGACGAGCAGCAAGCCTACGTCGACAAGATCGTCCGCCGCATCAGCAACCCCCATCTGGAGGACGCTGTCGAGCGTGTCGGCCGGGCGCCCCTGCGCAAGCTCAGCCGCAAGGAGCGCTTCATCGGCCCCGCTGCCGAGCTCGCCGAGAACGGCAAGGACTGCGCCGCTCTCCTGGACGCTGCGGAGATGGCTTTCCGCTTCCAGAATGTTGAGGGCGACGACGAGTCGTTCAAGCTCGCGGAGATCATGGAGAAGAACGAGGCCGAGGAGGTCGTCAAGCAAGTCTGCGGCCTGCAGCCAAAGGAGAAGCTTTTCCCTGCGGTCGTCGACGTTGTCAAGCGCGTCCAGGCTGATACCCAGTCGGATTAAGCGGATGGCGATGTTTCTTTTGGTTGCCGGAGCTGAGCGAGCTGCGGGATGTGATCATGGTTTCCTTGTTCAATTAAGCGTTCTGGATTTGTTTTTGGGTAGCGATTTGGGATATCTCAGGCAGCGCATGGGACGGCGTTTACATCAGACAGTGGTCTCCTTGGGTTCATGACGATTACGCACATCAGAACGGGTTCATTAGAGGCGTTGAGTTGCTAGGTTCTGAGCAAATCCCTAAGTAGATGAATAAGAAGTTGGGGGTTTCAGCGTTTTTGACTGTTGTGACCGTTGAAGTGTTAAATTCTGTGGTATATCCTTTGTTGTGCCTCTGGGCGTAAATGTTAATTGGTTATCTTTTGTCATTGAAAATGAAAAAGTCATAAATAATAAATAAAAGAGGTCCAATTATAAAGTTAGGAACGGCTCAGGAGTTATCATTCAAAAGCAGTTATGGAAAAAACATGTATGTTTCTTCGACGATGCAGTTTATCACCTTGGCGAGGAAGAGTCCATCGCCGTTCGGGTTGAGATTTATTGATGTGACAATCAAGTTAGTTTCTCGAATCTGATGATGCTAGACGGAAGCCTTCAACCCCGCCCTTGGTGAGTAAAGTGGGGCTGGGGTGAGTGAGAGAGTTGGTCTGTGCGGTATTACGTCCTGAGGCACAAATGCCAAGATGTATTACCTAATCCCCTCCCACCTGCAGACTGGGCCGGATTGACCACATTGGCGAAATTGAGAAAGCACCCAGACTACGGATACTTCCAGATCGTGGACGGTACTAACATTTGCCGACTGCCTTGTCGTCCCCGGCATTCACGACCATACGCATTCTAACCGCGATTACGAGACGTCAATTCTTCAAGACAGCCCCGAAACTAGACAGTTCCACGACCTGCAACCACCGTTGAGTGCTACCCCTTTCCGCGGGCCGAGCCAGTTCCCTGCGCAACACCCCGCCAAAGCTCACCCGACCGAGCTCGACCTTCGTGTGTGGCATACTGCTGGTTTCTATTTCGGTGCCACCCAAAATGAGGTTGGATGTAAAGGCACGGCGCACTCTTTTCTACTTCCCAACACCTGTCCTGTTACCCCGTGTGACGGTCAAACTGGCCACAAGACCCAAGCTGTGAGGATTTGGTCATAGACGGGGCCGCGAGCAATCTGTCCATATGGTGGGACGCGTATGCTCGCTCCGACTATAACTGTTGCGCTTTCGACCTGTCAGGCCGTTGTCTCTTGGCTGGATATCTTTTTCTCGCATCAATTCGTCGTCGAACTCTGCGACGCCTCGTTCCCGCGTTGAACACCTTGCTAACATGGTTTTCGAGGCACAGCGCCAGCTCTTTGCTCGCTCCGAGCGAGTCAAGGGCATCGACTTCCACCCGACCGAGCCATGGATTCTCAGTACGTCTGCTGCCTTCCTGCGACACCCCGATCCAATGTCTTACGACGTGAACAGCAACCCTTTACAGCGGCCATGTCTACATCTGGTCGTATGAGACCCAGCAGGTGGTCAAGACCTTCGAGCTCACTGATGTCCCGGTCCGTGCCGGTCGCTTCATTGCGCGCAAGAACTGGATTGTCTGCGGGTCGGATGATTTGTATGATCGCTCCCGATACCGTTACGAGCATACCCTGGGAACCATAAGCTAACATGGCGTTAGCCAAATCCGGGTCTACAACTACAACACGAGCGAGAAGATTGCTTCATTCGAGGCGCATCCCGACTACATCCGTGCCATCTGCGTTCACCCAACACAACCGTTCGTGCTCACCGCCAGTGATGATATGACCATCAAGCTTTGGGACTGGGAGAAGGGGTGGAAGAATGTTAGGGTGTTCGAGGGCAACTCACGTATGTGGAGCATGGATATACCTTTGGCAAGGGGAAATGCTGACATTATTGCTAGACTATGTGATGTCGCTCGCGATCAACCCCAAGGACACCAACACTTTTGCCTCCGCTTGCTTGGATAGGACTGGTACGCTCATTAGCTGTGTTGAGAGTTTGTATGGGTTATGTCTGACACATGAGCAGTCAAGATCTGGAGTTTGGGATCATCCACACCCAACTTCCAGTTGGAAGCGCATGAGACGAAGGGCGTCAACCACGTTGACTACTATCCCCACAGCGACAAGCCGTACCTCCTCACCACCTCAGACGATGTGAGTTACTACCTTGTGAATCTAGGCGATTCCAGCCACTAACTCTCTCTACACAGCGGACGGTAAAAATCTGGGATTACACAACGAAGAGCTTGATCGCGACGCTAGAAGGCCACACGAACAACGTCTCGTTTGCTTGCTACCACCCTGAATTGCCCATCATTATCTCGGGTTCCGAAGATGTTAGTCTCATGTCTAAAAACGCTTTTGATGTGTAACTGACGGTGGATAGGGTACCGTGAGGATATGGAACGCCAACACCTACCGCCATGAGCAATCTTTGAACTACGGGTTAGAGAGAGCGTGGTGTGTGTCTTATCAAAAGGGCAAGCAAGGCATTGCTGTGGGCTTCGACGATGGCTCGGTTGTGATTAAGCTCGGTCGCGAGGAACCGGCGGTGTCGATGGACAGTTCTGGCAAGATCATTTGGGCTCGCCATAACGAGGTTGTTTCTGCAGTCATCAAAGGCGGTGAGGCGACCAAGGACAACGAACCGATCAACCTCAGCACGAAAGAGTTGGGCAATGCCGAAGTCTACCCGCAAGGTCTTATCCACTCGCCAAACGGCCGGTTTGCCGCCATCTGCGGTGACGGCGAGTACATTATTTATACCGCCCTGGCGTGGCGCAACAAGGCGTTTGGCCAAGCTCTCGACTTTGTCTGGGCGTCCAAGGACAACTCTAACGACTTTGCGATCCGGGAGTCGGCCACCAGCATTAAGGTGTTCAAAAACTTCCAGGAGAAGAAGGGCGGGCTGGATGTTCCTTTTGCGGCGGACGGGCTCACTGGAGGTGTACTCCTCGGTGTCAAGGGCCAAGGGGGTGTTTCCTTCTACGACTGGGCGACGGGTGGCCTTGTCCGGCGCATCGAGGTCGAGCCTAAGCAAGTATACTGGAGTGAGAGCGGAGAGCTGGTCGCTCTTGCTTGCGAGGACACGACCTACGTTTTGCGATTTTCCCGGGACAGCTACAACGAGGCTCTGCAGGCCGGCCAGGTCGACGATGATGGCGTCGAGGCTGCCTTTGACGTGGTAACCGACATCAGCGAGAGGTACGATTTGCTCGCGAATTGGGTCTATCGCTATGGCTAACCTGAAGATACAGCATCCGGTCGGCCGAATGGCTCGGCGATGTCTTGATCTACACCAACGGCACGAACCGGCTTAACTACTTGGTGGGCGACCAAACCTACACTGTCGCGCACTTCGACAAGCCCATGTACATTCTCGGCTACCTGCAGCGCGACAGCCGGATTTACCTCACCGACAAGGATCTTTCCGTCACATCGTTTGCGCTCTCTCTCCCGGTATTGGAGTACCAGACGTTGGTCCTCCGTGAGGACATGGAGACCGCCGCAGAGTTACTCCCTAGCATTCCCCAAGACCAGCTCAACAAGATCGCCCGTTTCCTGGAGGGCCAGGGCCATAAGGAGTTGGCGCTCGAAGTGGCCACCGATCCGGAGCACAAGTTCGACCTTGCCCTTGCCTTGAACCAATTGGACATTGCTCTCCAACTGGCACGCAAGGCCGACATCGACCACAAGTGGAAGACTCTTGGAGACGCTGGCCTCGCTGCGTGGGACCTGCCCCTCGCCACCGAATGCTTCGTGAACGCCAAGGATCTTGGCTCGCTGCTATTGCTGTACACCTCGACCTCGGATCGCGACGGCCTCGCCAAGCTGGCCGAGCAAGCGGCAGAGGCGGGAGCGCACAATGTCGCTTTCAGCTCCAGGTGGTCACTAGGAGACGTACCCGGGTGTATTGACGTGCTCGTCAAGACGGACCGTTTGGCGGAAGCGGTGCTTTTCGCTCAGACTTATCAACCGAGCCTGGCCCCCGAGCTGGCTCAGAAGTGGAAGGCGAGCCTCGAGAAGAACAAGAAGGGTCGCGTGGCTAAGGCATTGGGTGTCCCTGGGGAGGATGATGAGCTTTTCCCCGAGTGGGAGAAGTGGCTGAAGTTGGAGAAGGACGGGCCTGCTGCGACAAATGGAACCAAGGCCGAGGAGGAGGAAGAGGACGATGACGATGATGACGACGAAGAAGAAGAGGAGGAGGAGGAAGATGATGACGAGGAGGAGGAGGACAGTGATGAGGATGTTGAATGATAGGGCCGGGTTGCATCGTTCCTTGCTGCTTCTCGTGGGTCTAAGATGGGGGGGGTTGACAGTTGACGGCGTCTTGGGGGGGTGGTTGTGTTTAGGAGAGGAGCACGTAGAAAAGCTCTATGTTTTTGTCAGGTAACCAAAGCAAAATGACGACTTTTTCTGATTGACCTCGATCGATAGCCGATGTTTCACACGATCAACAAAAAGCGGTGCTGTTTTACCTTGCACTTGCAGCCTTGCATTGCTATCACATCGCGGGAATGCGCGCGGGCCAATCACGGCTTCGCCTTTTCCGCGATGGCGCTGGTGGTTTGCGCTGAGGTGGGGCCTGTTTCCCAGCGTGATTTCGGCTTGCTCGGGGCGGAGGGGTGTGATCCCGTCCCCCCGAAGACCGAACGAAAAAGTCCCAGGTTCAGGTCCCCGGGCAGGTGCTGTGCCGCCCGCTAGGCTGCTGACTTTATTTCTGTCATACAATAACCCGAGCACCGACGCGATTCCCCTTCTCTTTTTTCAGCTCTTCCTCTTTTTATTGTGTATCTCTCGTTTCTGTTCCGTATCGACAACTTATCCTCTCTGAATTGTCTTTCTTCGCATCCTCTTATCGGACGTAATCCCCGAACCGCCGAATTTGCGACCCTCGTCTTGTCCCACCCCGCGTTAGTAATCAGCCAAACGACCTTGACGCTGCCGACCGACAAGAGCAAATGCAAACACCCACGATCCCAAACTGCCAAAAAACGTGAATTGGAAGTGTCGCACGACCTTACATTCCCCTCCTTCCTCGTAGCCCACCAATAGACGAACCAACGAACGAGGGCCAGCCAACTTGGCCGATTCGAGTGTCACAATGGCCGAAGCAGCAGAGATCGCCAACGGCTATCCGAACGGACACCTGGGGCACTTGACGGAAGAGGAGGACACTCAGTTGAAGGCGTTCCGCGTGTTTTTGGAGGAAAATGGGCTGTATAAGCCTGGGCCGCCGGCTTCGCATGATGATCAGACGTTGTTGTGAGTTTTTTTCTTTTGTTGCGTTTGGGGGGAGGACTGGTGGGATGGGGGAGCGTTTGGTGTGTGCGCGGGGGGGCATGCGAAAGGCTGCGTTTCTCGGTTTGGAGGGTGATTTTAATGGAGCGGAGTGCTGATCATGTTTTTGCGTCTTTGATCGTTTGCAGGCGGTTCCTTCGCGCGCGGAAATGGGTGGTCAAGGATGCGTACGAGCAGTTTAGGGATACGGAGGAGTGGCGCAAGAAGAACCAGCTGGATGTGCTGTACGACACGATTGATGTGGATGCTTACGAGCAGACTCGGAGTTTGGTATGGTTTCCCCCGGGCTAGGACGCGGATGGTGGGACACGAGCATGGAGGCTAATAGGGGTGCGCAGTATCCTCAATGGACAGGGAGGAGAGATAGGAGGTTTGTTCCCATCAGCAGTGTCACCTTCTGGGTATGCATCACTGACATTGGCGCTTTCCAGGGGCATTCCACTCTACCTCTTCCAGATCCGTCACCTTGACTCAACAACAGTATCAAAGTACGAAAAGGACTCCGAGGCCCGCAACGCCAGCAAAGCGGAAACCGACGGCTCCACGCCGCAGCGCCTGCTCCGACTCTTCGCCCTCTACGAAAACCTCACCCGCTTCACCCAACCCCTCTCGTCCCAGCTAACAGACCGCGAAGCCGCCGGACGCACCCCCATCACCCTCAGCACCAACATCGTCGACGTCTCGCAGGTCTCCCTGCGCATGTTCTGGAACCTCAAGGCGCACATGCAGTCCGCCTCGACCCTGGCCACGGCGCATTACCCAGAGACCCTCGACCGCATCTTCATCATCGGCGCGCCGTACTTTTTCAGCACCGTCTGGGGCTGGATCAAGCGCTGGTTTGACCCCAACACCGTCTCGAAAATCTTCATCCTGTCTGCCGCCGAGGTCCTCCCGACGCTGGAGAAATTCATCGACCTGAAGAATATCCCCAAGCAGTACGGTGGCGAACTCGATTTCAACTTCTTCGATCGCCCCAACTTGGACCCGCACATCAAGGAGGTCGCGACGTGGGAGAATGGGTATGTCGATTTCCCGCCTGGCCCGATGTACTGGGTGCCGGAGGCCGATGGGGAGCGGCTGGTGTGCTTGGCGGTGGGGAGCAAGGATGGCGCGGAGAGAAGAGAGCGGGTGTGCACTATCCCGAGGACGTTTCCTAAGGTGGAGGAGCCAACCGGCGCTGAGGCTGTCGTTGCGGCTGAGACGGTGACCGAGGAGAAGGCGGCGGCTGCCGACGCGTCAACTGAGGACGCTATTAAGGGTGTGGAGAAGTTGGCCGTGACTGATGAGGAGTTGAAGAAGGAGGTTGTAGATATTGTGGCTGAGGATGCTCAGCGGGCTCAGCAGGCGGGACAGACCGTGGCTGCGTGACCGAGGGTTTGATGTTGGGATTAGAAGGGAAGATTTGTGTGTTTCTGTTTGGCATAGTACATATACCGCTTTGCATGCTCCGTTTGGAGGAAGAGGGGCTTGAGAGTTTAGACAAATGCTTTGGTTGTGGTATTTGGAAATGGCCTGCTTGGGTTTAATGACAGGATAGCAATATTAGAAGATTCCTGCGTAGCCCCCCGGGCAGATATTCCCGGTCTTCTCGCCCCTGATGACAATTATTATGCGCTGGCTAACGGCGTTCTTTATACCTCCTTCACGATCCAGGTATCAATTACGGACGCTCCCTGCCAAAAGCGTAGCGATCCAAAATGCAGTTTTACAAGACCAGTCGTCCACGAGCCGTCCCCCCCGAAAGATCGGGATGGTCATATGGCAATAACCTACCCATCCCTCACGCAATCCCCTGATTCCCCCTCCACTGCAAAATCCCCTTCTCCAGCTCCTCCCACGTCAACCCATCCCGTATCAACCTCATCGTGACCCCGACACTCTCCACCTCCAAATTCGGCCTCTCATCATCAAAAAACAACATCTGACTATACGGAATCCCCGTCCTCTTCGCCAACACCTCAAAATGCCGTAACTTCGTCCCCTCATATATCTCCAACCCCGCATCAAACGCCTCAATCGTCCTCTTCGGCGCGCCCTTCTCACTAACCCCTTCCCCCACCGGCGGCAGCCGCAACTGCTTCAACACCTCCCGACAGACATCGCCCACGGGGGATTTACTCGCGACTGCGAGACGGGTTTTGGGTAAGGAAGCGATCACGCGCAGGATGTGGGGCGCGTCCGGGTACAGGGCGAAGTGCTCGCCGTTGCGGTCGGAGAGGGTTGGGGGGTGGGCGTTGGGGACGAGGCGGATGGGGGGCGAGATGTGGATGTCGGAGTAGAAGGGCCAGAGGGTGTAGTCGAGGTCGAAGACGATTAGGCGCGGGAGGGGGTGGCCGTCGGTGAGGAAGGAGGGGGTCGGTGTGGGGGAGGGGGCGGTGGTGGTCGAGGGGGGGTCGCCGGTGCCGGTGCGGGTGAGTTTTTTGCTTTTGGCCATTGTTGCTGGGGACTGGGAGGGTTTTGGAGTGCTACCGCTTGGACTTTGGGAGGGTGATGAGGTCGTGCGTCGGCCACGCGATGTGAGCGGGGCGTTTGTTACAGGCCCGATGTTCTGGGCGGAAAACAGGAATGTATGGCAGGGTTAGGGTTCATCCCGTGTCCTTCTCCACATCCCCCGCATTCAGTCTCCGTCTGGGACTCCTATCGGAGGATTCAAGACTACAAGTTGGACAATTCCACTGAAATGCCCGAGCCTGCAGGGCAATTGGCATTTGCGGACCTCCGAAAGAACGCCATGGATAACAAAATGCTACCAGCAGATGCGTCTCGCTGCAGGCGAATAAATTGACTATTTTTTAGAAATGAATTGGCCCCGCCGCTGGATGAGTTATGCTCGGACCTCGTCGCATCATTCTATTCATTTATATATCGCCTCCCCCTTGGAACGGGAAGAATGGGATTACCCGGTGTGCGCTATTGGTCGGATTGCCAGTTCCACAGGTTAACTGCCGCAAAGTTGAGATGGGATGAGAGTGGAGGACCCGAGAAACAGCGGCTTTCTCATCAACAGGCTCGAAAACGACCAGAGGATCTGCCGGTTTGCGTCATACACGTTACCCCACCAGTTGCCCCGCGGCTCAGCTTCCCGGACCCCCAAGTTATGACGGACTCCAAATGTGTCCCCGCCTGTGCTTTGAGACATAATAATTAGGTGGCTTCTGCGTGGCACGTTTAAAACGTGGACGAGCTCCAGGTGCTCGGGGTTCTGTTATGATCATCGTCAACTCACTTAAGACTCTGGCGAGAGCAACCTCGATAAGATAAATCGGCTCGGATAACGAATCGGAGCGCTCGTGTAATACTCACCACTCGCATATCTACACTCGAACATCTAAGAAAATCCAATGGCGTCCGGATTACCATCAAACCCGCTCAAAAAAATCCAGCTCGTGCGCATCGCCCACGTCTGGTACAAGCACGCAAACATAGACAAGGCAAAGCAATTCGCCCTAGACTTTGGCTTCGTCGAGACCGCACAGGTCGGCAAGATCACCTTTTACAGGGGATATGGAACCGAGCCATTCTCCCTCGCCCTCGAGGCGTCAGACAAGGACGAGTTTGGGGGAGCGGCATTCGTAGTGGAATCGGAAGAGGAGTTGGTGCACGCATCCAAGACACTGCCGACAGAGTGCAAGGCGACGGAGGTGCACGAGCTGAAGGATGTTCCCGGTGGTGGCAAGCGCGTCACGTTTTATGACCCTGTCGATGGCTTCCCGTTCCATCTGATCTATGGACAGACGCTGGTTGAGAGGGAAGATCCTGGGTTTCCTGCGTTGAAGTACAACTACGTGAGTATTGGTACTCTCTGAGTGCGGTTGTGTTGGACCCCTGTCACTTACACCGTCGTAGCCGACTGAGAAGAACCGTGGCGCCAACGAGAAGCAGCGCTTCACAAAACGCCCAGCACCAGTGCACAAACTCGGCCATTTCGGAATGTGCGTCACAAACTACGCAAAATGCTACGAGTTTTACAGCAACTACTTCAACTTCCACCCCAGCGAGGTAAGTCCACCGGACTCACTCCATCGACAGACATACAACTAACACCACCACAGCTCGTGCACAACGACGACAACGTCGACATAACCGTCTTCTTCCGCCTCAACCGCGGCCCCGAACTCGTCGACCACCACTGCTTCTTCTTCTTCGAGGGCCCCCAATCACACGTCCACCACTCCTCCTTCGAAACCCACGACTTCGACGCCCAGGTGCTCGGCCACGACTGGCTGCGCCAAAAGGGCTACACCAACTGCTGGGGTGTCGGGAGGCACGTCATGGGCAGCCAGATCTTTGATTATTGGTTTGATCCGGCCAAGTTTATCTTGGAGCATTATGTGGATGGGGATTTGTTGGATATGAGCGAGCCGACGCATCGGACGAAGGCGGCGCCTGATAATTTGCATGTGTGGGGTATGTTTCTTGTTTCTTTTTCTTTCTACTTGTTTTTGTTTTTGTTTATTGTTTGCTAGATGTGTCGCTAACAGATATAGGTCCTGACGTTCCGCCGACGTTTTTACAATGAGCGTAGGTAGGGGAGTCGAGGTCTGAATGTAGTTTTGTTGATGTCTGTTTGGGGTCATCAGATGGAATAGCTGAGGAATACTGCCGATGCCGCGGTGTAAACCGAGGGCACGAAGGCCGTGTTATTGTTAGCTTAGTTGGGATTGGTTGTCTGTCTAGTATCCAACATTAGGTAGAGGTAGTTATTCAAGAATGTACCCTCAAAATGGCCAGGAATGTCATAAGTGCTAGGAATGTCATAAGTTCTATGTTAACTATTAGTTAAGAATTTCCGGAATGAGTGTGGGGGTCTCTCTGTAAACCCCCCAAGATTTAAAAGTCACCCTGAAGCTATTAGAGGTAAGTGTCTTTGTTTTCCATCTCTTCGATCCAGTCTTCCTTTTGCTTGGGCCCGCGATTGGAACCGGGGAAACTGGCAACACCGGCAGTCCGACGGTGGGACAATACACCGCGAATTGGAGGATAATTGACTAATTTGTCAAGGTTAAGAAGCAGGTTGAACAAATCCGACGGTGCATTCCCTCGTCTGGGTGTGGAAATGATATGTCTTAGTCTCTCCTCGCCAAAGGTTCCACGCATCTCTTGGCGCAAACGGCGTGCGAGCAACGGGGCGGATTACTCAACAGTTGCGTGTCCAATTGGGACAAACGTTTGCCCTGCTCAAATCCACATTCCACCTCTAGCGGTGAACTTGTTGATCAAACGCAGAAAACAGAACACAAACGCTGACCAAATTACCTTAATGGACGGCCGGGATATTTGGCGATAATTCAGAAATGTGTGGAATGTGATCGTGACTAGCTTTGAGCGTCGGTGTATTTAAGAGCATCGGATTCCGAACGATATCACATTCCACCGGATTCTCTCGGCTCATAAAGTACCTACGTTTGTTTAAGTCAACGAACCTCTTTGATATACCACACTCTTCGTCCGCTTCTCCAACATCCTCACAAAAAGCCTCCTGTTTCCAAGATGTCCACCACTTCAACTCCCAACCCCGTCGAAACCTTTGATGAAATCGTCCGCTCATCCACATTCACCTTCCTCCTCTGTAACTCCCCCCTAAACTTCCACAACACCTTAGGTGCCTACCTTACCCAATCACCCACTAATTAACCCCCTCCAGACTACCGCGGCCACTGGTGTCCCTTCTGCATCGCGCACCTCAAACAACTCGTCGCCCTGACCCCCGAAATCAAAGCCGCCGGCGGCACCGTAATCGCCGCGACAGCCGAGATCCCAAAGCACCTCGACGCTGTCCGTAAGGCGACCGGGTTCACCGACACGGTGGTTGTGGACCCGGAGAATGTGTTAGCGGCGGAGCTTAAGAAGAGGGGATTGCTTGATATTGCGGTGACGCCGTGGCGGGGGTATGAGTGGGGGTTGGCGCAGCCGGGGTTTTTGGTGGTTAGGGGAGATGGGAGGGTGATGGGGAGGTGGGCTGTTGTGCCTGCTTTGGTGAGTGTATGGTGTTCAGGGGTGAGATGAGGGTATCACGGCTAACAAGTGGTAGATGAATCTTGCTGGTGCTAAGGATAGGCCGGTGCTGGCTGAGGTGTGGGAGGATGTGCGGAGGCAGTTGAAGGGTGAGGATACGACTGAGGGCAAGGTGTACACGACGACTGGGGCGTTTCATCTTTTGAAGCAGAAGATATTTGGTTAACGGTTCGGTGGTTCCTTTTCTTTCTTCGATTGCTATTTATTTTGGTTTTTTTTGGTGCTATCAAATACCCCTTGTGTTCTGGACGATGACCGTTTTCTTATTTCACAACTGACATCTCAACTCCTTTTCCCCCACGGCCCTCAGCTACTCATCTCTGGCTTGACATGTAATATTATTTTCTACCCTTGTATTGTTTGAGCAAGAATCCGAATATTTTTGTCTTGTTTCTCTTGGCAGCCCCAGTCTCGCGATGAGAGCCACCGAGTGAGGATGATGACACTGTGAAATTCCACCAATCACACCTCAGACAGCGTCTCATACCGCGGATAACAAAACCTCTACCCCCTCCAGAACACTCCCGGAATCTACTTCCCCAAGACTTCAACTCTTACCCTGAGAGACTCGAAAAAAACCCACCAAAATGGCCTCCCCCCTCCTGGAATCCCTCCAAAAAGCCAACCTCCTCCCCTCCTCCATCCTCCCCGCGACCTTCACCCCCACCTACCACCTAACCATCCACTTCCCCGACACACCCAAATCCATCTCAAACGGCACCCTCGTCCGCGTCAGCGAGGTGAAATCCACACCCACAGTCACTATTTCCCCAGTTTCCACCACAACCGCCAACAACAACCCCTCCGAAGCACAACAACCCCCACCCGCCTCGGGTGCTGCTACAGCCACCAGCGATGGCCTAACCCTCCTCCTCCTCGACCCCGACGCACCCACCCCAGACGACCCCAAATTCGCCTACTGGCGACACTGGGTCGTGACCGACATCCCGGCTCCGACATCCTCCTCATCGCCGGTGGTGGTTAACGGCACGGACGCAGCGGGTGGTGGGCGAACCATAACGCCGTACCTCGCGCCCGGACCGAAAGACGAGTCGGGACCGCATCGGTATTTGTTTTTGGTTTTTGCCGGGACGGCCGGGACGGCGGGCGCAGGAGGGGGTGGTGAGGGGGTGAAGAGGTTGGAAAAGGCGGATGTGGGCGGGGATGAGTTTGTGGAGAGACGGAGTTTTGGGGCGGGGGAGTTTGTGCGGCGGTTTGGGTTGGGGTTGGTTGGGGTGCAGTGGATGAGGGGAGTGGGTGATGGGTGGGTTGGGGAGGAGTGAGTTTCTTTTTGTTGTGATTAAAGGGTTATAGAGGATGATGGAGGAGTGGTGAATTTGGTGGTTCGGAGAAAAGTGTTGATATGATCTTATGGTCGATAGACATCGGGCATGTTGGGAGCGTAGTATCTCAGGGGTATATTGTGTCAATCTACAGGTGTAAATACCCAAAAACGAGTGATGTCTCTTGGAAAACCGCTTCCCAGGTTTAGAACCGAGTTCATCATTTGTCCAAGAGCCATAGTTGATGAATTGTTGCAGTTTGCAACCCGCCAAGCCCGCCCACCGAATTCCTCAACACAAACACGACCATTTAGGCATCCTGATGCACCCTTCCGTCGTCATCCCCAAACGCTGATTCAACCTGCGACCGTCACCAACTACCGCATCAGGAAACTCCAGAAAACTCCAGTCAAGATTTGCGCCCAAGTCCCGGGCATGACGGTAGATCCGTGACACCGGGTTCGTACGTCGCATGAAAAGGGAAGGTGCCGAGCCTTTAAGGGCGGTTTTGTTCGACGTTGGCCAACGAACGGCAGAGCCCCATGTCGTTTCGTTCTCGGCTTGTCACCGCATGACGTATACACGTTCCTGCGCCGAGCCGTTGACGGTTATCAATTGGGAGGGTTACGGGTATATCAGTTGGCTTCCCGTGTTCAACTGTTCCAAAGGTTGATGTTGTGATTTCGATATGAGCTTGCAAAATTGAAGTCCATCCTCAACAACGATTATCATTCGCAATTGATTCTTGTGTTCAACCAAACCGCCAAGACACAGCAAACCGAAGCAATGCATTCCCCAATGAAGACCCTCACCCTCTGCGCGGCCCTGTAAGTCCCACCATCACCCTCCACATCCTCCTCACCTACCTCCTCAAAACAACCACCCAAACTGACACCCCTCCCGCCCAGGACCGCCCCAGCCGTAGCGCAAATCTCCAACCCCTCCGCAACCCCCGCCTCCGTCTCCGGCTGCGCAGCGGTCGTCTCCACCACGGCAGTCTGCACCACCTGTGTGACAGCAGCGTGCGTGGTGCAAGCGACGGTGACGGCGGGCTGCGGCGATTGTGACGCGAACCCCCCGACGGTTTACCGCGGGTTTCCGTGTGAAGAGGGATGTGGGAATATTGGGTGCGAGACGAAGTATAAAGTGGTCACGGCCAGTGATGGAGTTTGTGAGTGGTTTCTCTCTTGGTACCCTCGTTTGACGGGAACTTTGGCAGCGAACGCGATGAATAGTGCTGACGTGTTAAATTAATGTTAGGCGGCGCGACAACACCCGGCCCGGGCGCGACTCCGACTGGTGAGCCGACCGGCCCGTCGAGCTCATCGAGTACCGCTGGTGCAGCGCGGATGCGGCCGTTTCGCTTGTGGTAGTTGGTCCTTACGGCACTTCGGAGTTGGAGGGAATTGAGAATCGGAAGCTCGGAATCGGCGAGAAACCCGGGAGCGTTGGGTCGGAGTGCCCGTGGGCCCACTCGGTTGGTGGGGCTGGAATTAGGGCTTTTGGTGGACGCTCCTTCCCACCTTCGCCACAGAAGGATGCAATGAAGGAACAGACGATATGAAACAGAAATAAAAAGACAGCCAAACACTCATTTCTTCAAAACATATATCAAAGCCGCGATTACCTTGTTTCCTTGATTGCCGTTTTCTCGATTGACCTTCAAGAAACGTCGGGAGTTTCCCCATGCGCGAGAAACCCCTGTCCATCAGCGGCAAGCCCGCTAGCGGCCGGCACTGACGACATCAATTGGCTGAGCTAAGCCCGTTCAGGGCCTGTGGATCCCTGTTGGGCTCCCCAGGTCTCGAATCCAAAGACACGCAACTTCCGTTCACTCACTGCATCCGGACCGGACCACGTGGGAAGCTTCGTTCGTGGCCGATAACCCAAAGTGAAGCCCAACATCGACGCTCATTCCCGGCTTTTTACTCCGTACAAGCCGCCACCTTATGTATCACTCGAGTGACCATCAGACCATGATGTTTGCCTTTGCCCACCCTCGCTTCCTCTGTTTGCTCGCCGAGGCCACGCTCATCCTGTCAGCCCCTCAGCCCCGCTGACACAGCGTCCACGGTCCAGCCGGGGAATCCAACGTCACAGCAAGGCGACGGCGGGTGCAGTTGATCTGTGCCTGAAACCGCGCCTGATATTTCACGGCGCGCCGTTACCAGGGGGGTTTCAACACCACCCTGACCAGAACCACAGTTCGGTTCAACAGGAACCGTCTAGACAACCACTGAACGACAGCAACAATGCCCTCCCTCACAACCGTCGCCATGACCTTCCTCCCGGTCATGGCGACGGCATTCGGCACCATCAACGACCCCATAGTCCTCAAACAACACAACGAACACGAAATGATCACCCGCCTCGCCTTCCAATGCGCGGCCCCCAACCAAAAATCAGACGGCACCTGTTTCGAGCCCCGCTCTCTCGACCAGCTCGCGGGCTACCACAACAACGTGATGGGCATCGCGCTGACGGGCACCGGCATGAACGGCGCTGTCGGGGCCCCCGACACGTTTGACCCCCTCCCGGAAGGGCCGGAGGCGCATTGTGATGATGCGGATTTCTTGGATGTGCCTGGGTACCCGCAGAGTCGGAAGGAGGCGAATGCGAGGTTGCAGACGTGTGTTGATCACTTGCGACATCGGTTCCGGCAGGCTGTGGATGCGGCTAGGAGGTTGGTGGATGAGCGGAATCGGATTAGGAGAGAGATGGTGCAGATTTCGTATGGCGGGGATTGTACTTTTGCGTTTCCGACCTGGCAGAGTGATAGTTATGGTCGGGCGAAGTGTAGTGCGATTGAAGGGTTTGGAAGGGCGTTGCATGGGATTCAGGATTTTTATGCCCATAGCAACTGGGCGGATGCTGCGGATCCGACGCAGGAGATTAGTATCTCGAATCCGCCGGGGTTGGGGATGACGGAGACGGCGCCGTTTTTGGATTTGAGGGCGAATGGGACGATTCCGGAGGAGCAGATCCCGCGGAACTTGACAACGGGGTGTTTTAACCTGCCGGATATCACGTTCGGTTCGGGGGTGTGCCAGGGCCGGATCACGCACAATGCGTTGAGCAAGGATAAGGGGATTATTCATCTCGATGGGACTTTTGGATCACCCGAGGCGGACCCGCGGTCGGAAGCGGTGTCGACAAATTTCGAGTTGGCCGTGAAGGCGGCTGTTAAGCATTCCCAAGAAGCATGGGGCCACCTCCGAGACGAAATCCGCCAGCAATACGGCGCCATCAGCGGGGACATCATGATCTGCTCGCTCATCCGCGACGACCCCATCAAAGACTGCCGCAACCGGACCATGGTTCTCGCCGTCGACAACTCCTTCACCGCCGGCGCCAGCGGGGCCGTCCAACTGGAGGAGTCCCTCGCGGAGGAAATCACCTCCCGCCTCAACCAAGAAGGCCGCGACACCGTAGCCATCATCGACAACCACAAACCCGCCGTCGTCCGCTACCCCATGGGATCCCCCGTCCACGCCGCATTCAACTTCCCCCCACCATCGGGCGAAATCTGCCTCGCCAGCGGGCTGGAACTCGGTATCGCCGAGACGATCCATGCCCAACCCGAAACCTACTCCGACCGCGGCGCTATCGTGTTGTTATCCACAAGCGCCGAACGCCCCGAATTCACCCGCGACACACTCGCCCAACTCAAACGTGCTGCTGAAGAGGGCATCCGCGTGCACTACGCCTGCATCGACATGCACCCCCCTTCCCCTTTACCCCTCCCACCGACGGAAGATGGTTTAGCACAGGTGGAATGGACGCCCTGCTCCCCCTCCGACGCTTTAGTTTCTCCCGTCCTCAAAACAGGCGGCATCGTCGCGTTTGTCGACGTCTCCACGGCGCGCCGGCGGATACCGGCGCATTTCGCTAACTTGGTCATGGATCGCGGGTTGACGGCTACCGATGATGATGGTGATGAGGGGGAAGAAGAAGGAGGAGGACATGAGCATACACGTATTTACCCGGGTATCACCCTCGCCGACATCCTCAGTCCAGACCACCCCGAGAAATCGTTTGTTTACCCTGTCACCGCGGGGGAACGGTTGCAGTTTACTGTTAGCAGTATCGCCCTCCCCAACAACCGGGACGATGACGACAGCGAGAACTGGGAGAGCAGCAGCAGCAGCAGCAGCAGCAGCAGCGGGGAGAACGATAGTGGTAGTGGTGTCAGCGGAGCAGAAGCGTGCTTCACAGTCACACTCTGGCATGACTACGCCCAAACGGAAATCGCCACCCACACGCGCTGCGGGGATTCCTCGCCTTTGACACTGGGGTATGAGGCGGGCGAGGGAGTGGAGTTGGTGTTGGAGGCGGAGTATGGGGGTGCTGGACTTGGAGAGGTGTTTGGGGGACAGCGGGAGGAGATTTTGTTTGTGCTGAGTGTGGATACTAGTTTGGGGGATAAGGCGGATACTATTGCTACTACTGCTGGGAGGGAGAAGACGAAGCTTGATAGCGCGGATAAGGGGAGTAGGACGTCGACATCGGCCGGGTCGGATAAGGCGAAGGTGACTGATGAAGGGGGGATATCGGTGGTGAGGTCGGGGTTGGAATACCCGGTATGTTGGAATCCAGCGTTGACTGGGACGAGGATGGCGGGGAATTTGTCGAAAGAGGAGAAGGAACGGGAAGAAGGGCTTTGGGCGTGGGGGCAGAACTGGACGTTTTGGTTGAGGGGGGAATGAAAAGGGGGGAAAGGGGTGATTTAAGCATAGCCTGGGAGGAGCGATGATTGTGTTTTAAGGGATTGGGAACGGGGGCTTGTTTGTTGGCGTTTAAGGGATACATATGGGAGATGATAGAGGGTTAAATTTCGTTCATAGACCGCTTTACAGTACCTATTTGAGGATAAATCTCAGTTGATAGACGGCTTTTACAGCCATTTTTTACTTTGTCGGTGGTGACACAAGGTACGGAGTATAGAAATCCCTTCAAACATGATAACAGCGTAGTTGCTACAGCGGTTCCCTATCTTGTAGGTGGGGCCATTGAGTCGAATCTCGGCCAAGAGCTCTTCCATACCACACTTTCTCCGCGAGTACAAGCGAGTATAAATGCATAAATCCATTCAAGGCTGATGTAACATACGTTACCTATTACCTATGCCGTAGGTCCATAACCAACATGGTCCCTGGACTACAGCTAATACCCATAAACCCAAGTATACCGCTGATCTCCCCTGCGTTCTGTACTCTCCTGCTCCCGAATATAATCCTCCTCGGTCCACCCCGCGACAATCTTCCTCCGTCTCCGATTCTCCAACATCAACATCCCCCTGACAAACAAAAACCCCAACATTCCCACGGCACTCAAAATCATAGTCACCGTCAACGGATACTTATAACTCGGCGCATACACACTCTTAAACAACTGCCCGGCAATGACCCCCGCCAAATTCGAATACCCATTCAATCCCAGCACAAACGCCCTGGACGCTTTGCCAGGTGTATTCCCCGCCAACCAAACCGCCACCAGCGGGCCACTGGCAAACACACCGGCCAAGCAAACGTGGGCGAAGCCGTAGCGGAGTTTGGGGTCGGACGAGGCGACCATGACGGCGCAGCCGATCAGACCCAAAAGCATGCCGAAGATGGTGAGGAGAGAGCGTTCGCGGAAGTGGTCGGAGGCGTAGACGATGAGGATCAGGCCGACGGTGCCGACGACGAAGGGGGGGACGGACATGAGGGTTGCCGTTATGCCTTGGTAGTCCATGCCTTGGACGATGAGGGGGAGGAAGGTTGTGAAGGCTGTGACGGGCTATTTTACTCATCAGCAAAGACATAATAACGGATAAGGAAGAGGGAAAGAGAGAGAGAGAGAGAGAGAGAGAGAGAGAGAGAGAGAGAGAGAGAGAGAGAGAAAGAGAGAGAGAGAGGGAGGGAAACTTACCAAAACAGCAGTAATATTAAAAACAATAACCAGCATCTTCCTCCAATCCCGCACCACATCCCCCAAATCCCTCCAGGTCACCCCATTGCCATCCTCCTCTCGTTCTCCCCCCTCATCCCTTTCCATCCTCCCTACCGCATGCTCCCTTTCCTCCGTACTCAAAAACCACGCCGTGCCCACCCCCCTCGGCAGCACCGCAAACCCAACCAACGCCACAACCACCGTAACCCCCCCCTCCACCAAAAACACCACCTGCCATCCCTTCAGTCTTTCATTTTCCACCTTCAACAACCCATACGCCACCAACCCCGCAAACGCCCCCGCAACAGAGTACATCCCCGTGAACAACCCCATCCTCAAACCCAGTGAAAACTTTGGGTACACAAGCGACATGTAATAAAACGCGGTTTGTGTGAACCCGGATTCGGCTGCGCCGAGGAGTAAACGGAGGGCGATGAGGGTGGCGGGGGAGGAGATGGCGGCGTGGGCCATGCAGAGGGCGCCCCAGGTTAGGAGGAGGGTGGGGAGGTAGATGTGCGGGCCGAGACGGCGGCCGAGGAGGGAGGAGAGGGGTTGGAGGGGGACGTATGTTGCTGAGAACTAATGGTTTGTTTACTCACACATTAGTTTCACTACGGGTGGATAGGGGGGAAAGAGAGGTAAGAAAGGGAGACGTACGAGGGATAGTGAATTGGGAATGTCGTCTGGGTGGAGGTTGGCGTCGCGGATGAACGAGCTGGTCGCGACGAAGCCGACGTTGGTTTTGTCGATGCCGCAGAGCTATTCACATTTCTTAGTATTGGTTCGTTGTAATTACCAAAAATACGCAGGGAGACGTACGATGAAGCTGATGGCGAGAATCAACAAAACGGTAAAGTCCAGCTTCCAATTAACACGCTTGTCCAAGGCCCTTTCGGCATCGTTTGCGGGCGTGTAGTGGGCGATTACAGTCGGCGGGAGGACGGTCTTGGTGTCCTCGACGTCGGCCGCTTCGACCTCGGCGGCCTGGGTTATGTTGTCTTTGGGCATTTTCAACCCGATAGAGACAAGAATGGACAGTGATGATATAACGAATTGAGAGTAATGATAAACAGACGATGAAGACAGTGGACTCGAGCTGAAAGAGCTGAAGTTAAAAGAGACAAGACCCCCTCAGCGACTCTCAATTCTCGGGACGTCGATCGGGATGTAGATTGGGACCAACAGGACCAGCCTCGTCGACCCTAACTTGTCAACCCCAACTTCGGTCCCGACCCTCGCACTACCTCGATCAGCCCGAGAGGGGTTCGCATTGGACTGCAGGGTTACATGAGCTCACTGTCACGCGCGCCAATCCGGGGTTGCAGGGTGCGGCCGGCATTTGTACCCGGCAACCTGGTTGTGACATTTAGCCGTCTTGGCTTAAGTCAAGTCCGAGCCCGTCCGTCTCTGGTGTCACTCTTGATGTTACTCTTGGGATCTCATTGAGAGATTTATTAATTAATTTTTGATTTCGATTTCAAGAGTCAATAATAACCTTATTCTCAGCTATCATCACATACGGAAGATACACTTCCTGTAAATACATCTCCTGTAAAGATACCTCGCAATGTCTTCAGAAACAACAACAACAACAACCTGCCCCTTCACCAACATCGACACCTCCCCAGCAATAACCTCCAACCACCCCTCCACAATCCACGCCGCCTACGACACCCTCCGCACCACCACCCCCCTCGCCTACACCACCGCCCACGGCGGCTACTACCTCCTGACCCGCTACGCCGACATCAAGTCCGCCGCCCTCAACCCCTCAACCTTCATCTCCTCCGTCCGCGCCGTCATCCCCTCCGACCCACGCGGTCTCCGACGCCCCCCTCTCAACTTCGACGCTCCCCACCATACCCCTTACCGCACTGCGCTGGATCGGACGCTTAAACCAGCCCGTTTGGTACGCCTCGCCGAGCCACTGGAACAGCACGCTGAGGCGTTGCTGCGGCCGTTGATAGAAAAGGGAAAAGGGGATATATGCACCGAATTCACCTCACACTACGCCGCCTGGGTAGAGACGGAGTGGTTGAATTTGGCGCCTGAGACGGCGCCGAAGTTGGCGAGTACGGCGTCGAAATGGGTGGATGCGTGGCGGAGGATGGATGGAGAAATGACGAGTGCATATAGTGGGGAGTTGTATGAGATTGCGAGGGGGGTGTTGGAGGAGAGGAGGAAGTGTCCCAGGGAGAGGGAGGAGGACCCGGTTAGTAGTTTGCTGGGGGAGGGGTTGGAGGAGGTGCATTTGTTGTATGTCTTTTTCTTACTTTGCCCTTTTCACTTTTTTGTCTTTTTTCTTTTTTCTTTTCTTTTTTTGGGGGGGGTTTGATTTGAGGGAGGGGATTACTGATGATGAGAGTCCAGAGGCTGCATCCGCCAATCCCTCGTAGTCGGCATGGTCGCCCCCCCCTTGATGCTCGGCGGGATCTGCAACCACCTCTCGCAACACCCAGCCCTCCAGTCCCAACTCCGCGAAGACCCTTCCTTGATTCCAGCCGCCATCGAAGAATTCGTCCGCCTCTTCAGTCCCTACCGCGGCTTCACCCGCACTGTCTCGCAGCCTACCGTGCTGCATGGCCAGACGATCGAGCCCGGGATCCCGGTGACTATGACGTATAGCGCGGCGAATAGGGACCCGGAGGTGTTTGAGGATCCGCATGAGTTTGTGTTGGGAAGGGAGAATATTAGGATGCATTTGGGGTTTGGTAGGGGACGGCATCGGTGTGTTGGGCAGCCGTTGGCTACTTTGTGAGTTCTTTTCTTCTTTTTGTGTAGAGTTTTATTGAGTGAGTTACAAGACTAACAGGACAGGGCACTGCAAATTGCGCTGAGGACGTTGTTGAAGCATACCAAGAGCTTTGAGGTGAATGGGGAGCTGGAATATGCGAGGATGCCCGAGATGGGGATTATTAGCTGTCCGTTGTCTTTTGAGGTGTAGTCGGGGTGGTTAAGATGTAACGGTAGTTGTAGAGTAGATGTTGAGTACTGGCTCAGGTCAAGAATCCATATCGTCATATTTGTTATCGGGGATAAGTGGTCTTTCCCCAGACCCCGTTAGACTGGCTTCTTACTGCTTGTGGATATCGGGAACATATTAATCACGTTCATCCAGCGTTTGAACCTCAAGAGAGTCTGTTGCAAAAGACAATCGTCAATTGCAGTAGCATATGGGACCCCGGTTTATGCTGTGACAGAGTCCCCTACGAACTGCAAGACATAACGTCTGGCTTATTATCTCGATCAGGGGCAAATCGACTTCCGCTGTATGCCAGCCCTTCGTGTGAGGATGGTCTCTCTGTTGGGAAATGACAGCTTTCTATGCGTTTAAGAAGGACACTGCAACTTCTACCGCACTTTTCAAACCTTCTCATTTGCCCATTTTTTCACCGTTCCCCATCATTTTTACATCCCTCGTCAAAATAAAAGATCTCACAAAACTTCCCCTCAGAGACCCAAAACCCAGACCCGAACCAATCATCCCTGTCATCCCCGCGCGATGCCGCTCGCATGCCTCGATCCCCAAAATGGTTGGCGCGCTTGTAATTAACCGTCCCGAGCTCCAGGGTCGAAATGCCGGGGTTTTTACCGGGCGATGGTCTTGCGCTCGGATCTTGCGTATGTTTGCCTTTGATATTTAGGGTAATTACGTGACCATCATATCATGACTTGGAACATCAACAGTTCCCCAGCTTTGTACGGATTTCAAATTCCGGGTGCGTGCTTTCACCCCCTCACACTCTTGACAGTTGACGATGCGTCTCCTGTATCTCCTCGCCTCACTGGCGCTGTCACTGGGAAGTGCAATCGCCCAGCGCCCGACCGTGACACTGCAAGATGCGGTCTACATCGGCACCACGACCCAGGTCGCGTCGGGCTCAGCCACGGCAGTCGTAGACAAATTCTTAGGGATTCCATACGCAGCGACACCGGAACGGTTTCGGGCTGCGCTACCCCGGCTAAAGGGGTCAGCTACGGTCAATGCGACGGAGCAGCCGGTGGCGTGTATTCAGCAGTGTATGTCTCCATCACTCATCGAGACACAACATAATGACTGACCGACAGCAAACAGCCCCGTCGAACCCCAATTCCCCCGAAAGCGAAGACTGTCTCTTCCTCAACGTCTTCGCTCCCCACATCTCCCCCCCCAACAACACAAACACGAGCTGCAGCAACAGGAAGCCTAAGTCCAAAGAGGAAAAACAGAAAAAAGCAGTCCTCCTCTGGTTCTACGGCGGCGCCCTCGCCTTCGGCAGCATCTCCCCAACCGACGGCTCCCCCCTCGCCGCACACCAAGACATCATCCTCGTCGCCTGCAACTACCGACTCGGCGTCTTCGGGTTCCCGGGCAGCGCCTCCCTGGGCCTGCCCTCCAACGAACTCAACCCCGGTTTCAGGGATCAAAAGATGGCGTTGCGGTGGATCAGGGAGAATATTGAACAGTTTGGCGGGGATCCAGACAAAATAACTATTTTTGGGGAGTCGGCCGGGGGGGTGTCGGTTGATAGTCAGTTGTTGAGTTATTGGCAGGACGACGGCGAAGGAGGAGAAGGGGAAGGGGAGGAGACAGAAAAGGTGCCGTTTAGGGGGGCGGTATTGCAGAGTGGGGGGTTGCATACGTTTAATCGGATTGCGTTGGGGGTCGGGGTGGACGTTACCGGGATGGGGACGGGGAATAAAGAGGGGGAGGAGCCTTTTGTGACGTTGGCTAATTCTTTGGGGTGCGGGAATAGCAGTGTCGCGGGAGAGGAGGAGGATATCGTGGCGTGTGTGCAGGGGAAGGAGGTGGAGGAGGTTAAGAATGCGGTGCTGGATCTGAATTTGTTGTTTGCGCCTGTTGATGACGGAGGTCAGACGAGCGTGGGAGATAGTGATTCTGCGCGACGGGCTGGACGGACAGTCAAAGTGCCGGTCTTGATTGGGAGTACTTTTTTTGAGGGGGGGATCTTTTCTGATGCTGCGTTGCAGGCCAAGTCGTTGGCGGAATGGGCCGATGTGATCTACCCGGACAACACGACGGCGGCAAAGGCGGTGGTGGATGCGTATGCCGTGGGCTCGAGCTGGGATGTTGCGACGGAGGAGGAGGCGGTCAAGTTGTTGCATTCGGATTTTCAGTTTGCGTGTACCACCACGTATGATGCGGATATGATTGCCGGTATTGACATTCGTAAGTTATTACTCTCTGTAATGGTGATGCATCGGGCAATACTGACAGCTAATAAAATAGCAACCTGGCGCTACGTGTTCAACGCCTCGCTCCCAAACGGCCTGGCCTCCCACGGCAGCGAGATCAGCTTTGTCTTTGGGGATCCGCAGAGCACGCCCGAGAACGAAGCGCTGAGTGCCAAGATGCAAAAGGCGTGGGCGGACTTTGCAAAGGACCCGGCGGCCGGCCCGGGATGGGAGCAGTATGTGACTGGAACGAAGACACTGGCGGATCTGGGAGGTGAGGGTGATAGGACCTCGATTACGGTCGTGGATCCGGAGGTGGTGGATTCGAGGTGCAGCGTGTTTTGGCAGGCGTATGATCCTGCGAGGTTTAGTCAACCCTGAAGATAATTATCTTGAGAGTGAATAAAGATGTACAACTCTACGGCCGCCTTGACTTATTAACCTGGCAATGTCCACGACAATACTAACACCGACCCAAAAACATGATGCAACTTCAGGACCTACCGCTTTTAAGAGATAATTATTAATTACCTAGTTACTTAGGTAGACAGGACGGCCGTTCCTGCACGCGTGGTTGTAATTTTTTGAAGGAAACAACTCCACGCAGCCCCGCGGATGATTGCGGTCAATTTGACACTTGTAGACGGAATGTGGTCAAGATAGATACGATGGACGATTCCGAGCTAAGTTCTATAAATATTTGCCCCGAGACGGCTGTAATTGTTGACATTTTTGACAACAATCAACCATGTCTGTTTGTCGCAGGTCTTTGAACCACGACAAAGACAAGAGGCTGTCGTCTGTGCTGCTCGGACATGAAGATAGTTCGGCCAATCAGTCTATTACGGCCCGAAACGGCCCGGAACGGTCTGCATCGGACTGTTCGGCCGAACAGTGTTCATGTCTGCTGAGGTGAGATTATAGCATTGCCTTTTGGCCATAATTTTCACGAACGTGGTGCAAATCTTATCCATAACCAACCAAATGCGTTTGCGCTCTTGTCCGCGTCGAGGCAGCTGTATGTACATTACGCAGGATCAAAACATTGATCCTTGGTGGCACTAGGGCTTACACTATCGGCATCTCGCCCAATTTGGCTTCGCGGGTAAGACACACCACATATAAATCATCACATCTCAACCCCGAGCTGCATTAAACTGTCATGTTCATTTCTATTGATCACATCTACAACCACACTACCGCCTCGTCCTCAACATCCCCCATCATGACAACCCCAAACCCACAACCCCTCATCGTCATCATCCCCGGCGGATTCCACCGGCCAGCACACTACACCAGCATCATCACTCCTCTGCAGTCCCAAGGCTACACAGTCCTCAGCGTCCCCCTCGTTGTCTGCGGCGACGCCGAAATCTCACCCGACGCAACCCCCGCCGACGACGTCAAGGCCCTGCATAACCAGCTTCTCCCGCTCTTGGATCAAGGAAATGAAGCCATCCTCGTTGCTCACAGCTATGGATCCATGGTTGCGACTGCTGCCATTCAGAACCAGACGAAAGCCGACCGGAGTTTGAGGGGACTGGCTGGTGGTATTGTGGGGATTGTCTCGATTGCCGGGTTTGCTTTCCCTGTGAGGGGGAAGAGTATCTCGGGAGGTGAGGAGGAAATGGGGCCGCTTCCTTATCAGGTTCTAAAGGTAACGTTTTATCACCGGAGCCCCAAAGACTAAACCACCTAAATAACTAACCCGACGACATAGGACGGCCTCCTCTCCCTAACGGAAGCCGCCAAGCCCCTTTTCTACAGCGACCTCTCCCCAGATGCCGCCGACGCTGCATTTGCCTCCATCTGCAAATTCCAGTCTCACAAGAGCCTGAACTACTTCCCGCAGTTCCTGGAGTCCGAGATCACCGTTCCGAAGCTTTACGTGCTGTGCGAGCGGGACCAGACAATCCCGCCTGCATTCCAGGAGGTCATGGTACAGGTTGGGAAGTTTGATAAGGTTGCTAGGGTGCAGGCAGGGCATTCTCCGTTTTTGAGTGTTCCGGGGGAGGTGGTGGATGTTATTGTTGGGTTTGGGAACGAGGTTGTGAGGCGGTAGACAACACAACAGGTCGCTGCGCCCCATGGAAGCACACCCGTTGTGACTCAGCTCTGGGGTTAGTACGAGATTTCATAAGGTATCTTGATCTTGTCTAGCTTGCACATCCAGCACTCCCTTTCAATAGTTCAATAGGGTACCATATTACTTGCTAGTATGCTTCGACGGAGTATGAACCTCCTGTACCTTTTTCAGCGGGCAACCTTTTGTTTGTCACCACCTCTGAACGTCATACATATTAACAAACACACTCTCTTCATGGTCGTCAACCCCATAGACCAATCACATGCTCCGAGTGACATTCACCTCGGCTCCACAATACCATCAGACGACGGACCAATCCATGCCCATTTACGTTCGTGTCAACTCAACACCAACCTTCCTTAACACTCACTCACTATAGTTATCCCCCTTTGTCGCACTTTTCGGACCAAGATGTCTACACACCAATCCGCCAATCCCACAACGACAGCGGAGTCAACAGTCCCTTGGCACGCCGCCTACCCAACCCCCACAACCACTGAACCCCTCACCATATCCCGCGAGGAAGTGCTGGCGCTGCTTAACGCGCAAGGCAGTGCTCAAGATACCACCAGCCCGACCCCAAATTTCTTGCTGGTTGACCTTCGTCGTGTCGATCATGCGGTATGGCATACCTACCTATTTTCCCATCCTCGTGATGACTTAACAACAACCCCGCAGCCATGCAAGGTGACTCATGAACAAACAGGGCGGTACCATACGCGGATCCATCAACCTCCCAGCGCAGAGCCTATACCCGAGCATCCCGACGCTTTATCCCATCGTTAAGGCAGCAGGTGTCCGGAAAGTGATCTGGTACTGCGGTATGTTAATTGACTACCCCGTTCTTCCGTATCCCTTTCAATAACCGCAGCACATACCCTAACGTATACCAATCAACATTTGTACGACTAACGAACCCGAACCCGCAGGCTCCTCAAGCGGCCGTGGCCCCCGCGCCGCAGGTTGGTTTGCCGACCATCTCTCGGATCGCGGGGACAGTGAGATGCAGAGTCTGGTGTTGGTGGGCGGGATCAAAGGATGGGCACTTGCAGGGCCGGAGTACACGGAGTGGGTGGATGGTTATGACGCGGAGGTGTGGCCGAAGAAGAGCTCGGAGTAGGTAGGCTTGATTGCGTATGGTTGAGACGCAAGAGATGGGCCTTTGGTGCTGGAAACGCTATGATGGATGGGTCTACCCGAAGTGGGTACCTAGTGGACCTCCGACGTGATGAATGAAAGCCGCGAACTCCGTCCAACATTGAACACCATAGCGCTTTTAATTACCACACCGGTTTAGATCGGAGTAATGCGGTCCACAAAAGCAAATAAGACGTGTGTCTGGACCCGGCATCCCGCACCGGGCACAACAGCTCGCCGAAATCCCGGTTCCATCCAGTCTGTCGCAGTGGACAAGTCAAACTCCTCCGGCGCGCTAAGACGGTCTTTGATGATAGCGTACGCTTCCCGGCATGGAATTGTCGATTCGTTGGGCTGGGGAGGGGGTAGGTCGGGGTAATCGTCGTTCGGGTCTTCAAACACGGCTCCGACTGGGTTGGTTACGTGCGGGTTGGGTACCGCCGGATTGGGTAGGGTTGGTGAGTTGGTACTCCCCGGCCTTTTGACCGTGGTAGGGGGGTTCGCCTCTGGGCTAAGCGAGCTTGTGGTGACCTTGGAGCTCGCAGCAGACGGAGTGGAAATAGACCTTGTCCGGGGGAATACATCAAGCGTATAAGGCACCAGTTCTGGTACCCTGTTTGTATCTCCCGCGTGGAAAGGACTACGGTCAAGGTCCGTTGCCGCCCTGGAAATTGCCGTGATTGGCATTGCGGTGATCGCGCCGGCCGTATGCTGCAGTCGTTGAACCTGAGCGGTTAATTCCTCGATACGGTTGCATGCGTCGTGAAGCTTGCTTTGGGCAGTCAGAAGCAGGGCTTCCAGCTCCGTGATTCGGCCTTTGACTCGTGCCCTATGTCGTCGCTGGTTTTCGCGTTGTCGAGCAGCGTCATGCCCTGGAGGCTTGCACGAGAATTTGTGAACCCTTGTGCGGTAGGAATCGGGTTTCATTTTACTCGTCGGCTAGAGGTAATGGGATGATAATCGGATGAGAGGGTTAAGAAGCTGGTGTGTGATTGACGCTCGACTCTAAACTCGGGCACCTAAGGGGAGAGCAAGGTGGGGGCTTCAAGACGCACGAAGGGAAAAGATTCGATGCCAAACCGAATATTTTCCGCTTCAGGTTAGTCACCTTAGAAAGTGGAGTAAGAGTCTGTCACACCCTCATCCCGATTAGGCAAGTATCCGATGACATTGCCTTCAATGCAAGTAACGGAGTTCGGTTCCACATCAAGTCAACAAGATAAATACCGGACCATCCAGCGAGGTTTCTGGAAGCACAAGACACAAACTCCGTTTTTACCGCTCGAAAGCCGAGCTCCCAATCGGACCTTCAACGCCAACCCTCTTTCCATTCCATACCGTGTACGACAGGACGACCCCGCTTCAGTGTTACTGTTCACCATGGAACCCTCCCAGATCTACGATGACGTCCGTGAGCACTACAGCTCAGCAGCCCGCAGCACCCGCGTCAAGTACGGCGAGACCGTGGCAAAATCCTTTGGCTACACCGCCGATGAACTCACCAATATTCCCCAAGACGCCAACCTCGGCCTTAGCTGCGGCAATCCCCTAGCTATTGCCACGCTGAAAGAGGTTAGTCAACCAACCTCGACCTTAACTCCCCAGCCAACTGTCCCTACCAATCGCTAACCCCTCAAACAGGGCGAAACCGTAATCGACCTCGGCAGCGGCGCAGGTTTTGACATCTTCCTAGCCTCCACCAAAGTCGGTCCCTCCGGCCGCGCCATCGGCATTGACATGAATGACGTACGATACCCATCCACACCCTTCTTCTAGTAAGGTAGGTAAGGTAATCACTCTAACACCCACGCAAGGACATGCTCGCCCGCGCGAACCGCATCAAATCCACCCAACCTCCCCCAACCTCCCACATCACCTTCCTCAAAGCCAAAATCACCTCCATCCCTCTCCCCTCCGACACAGCCGACTGCATCATCTCAAACTGCGTCATCAACTTGGTCCCGCACGCCGACAAACCCACTGTTTTTCGCGAGATGTATCGGCTTTTGAAGCCCGGCGGACGGGTGGCCATGTCGGATATCCTGGCGAAGAAGCCGTTGCCGGAGAAGTTGAGGGAGGATATGGCGATGTATGTGGGGTGTATTGCGGGGGCGAGTGAGGTGGGGGAGTATGAGGGGTGGTTGGAGGGGGTGGGGTTTGAAGGTGAGTTCTTTTCTTCGTTGTGTCACTGGTATTGAGGGAGGAAGGGTGTTGATAAGTGGTGATAATTAGAGGTGGTGATTGTTGATACTGGCGCCGATCTCAATGTTTACCTCGAGACGGGGGACGATGGAGAGGCGAAGGGAAGTTGCTGTGCGCCTGCTGCACCAGCTTCTGGTGGTAGCGCGTGTTGTGCTCCGGCAGCTGTGGTCCCTGAGAAGACAGATATCAATGAGTTCGCTGGTAAGTAAAGTGATGTTTTGAATGGCATAATCCGAAGCAGCATTCGACTAACAGGTGATGCTCATAGGTTCCTATAAGATCTTCGCTGTCAAGAACTGAGGGCTGCGCATCTCTTCGGGGGTACAGGACTTTTTTCGGGCTGGGGGAATCTGGGAACTTGCTGAGTCGATAGATGAGGTGAGGCATCGTACTGTACGGCGATTGTCCCTAGTATCAGAGATCCATCGTACCTATTCTCCGTTGCTCGCTCCATGGCTTGCCGTCTTTTACAAACCCGGTGCAGAGGAGAGCATTGCTGGCGACCAACTGTTGACCAATCAGCGGTGACGCATGCTCTCAATCGGGCAAATGGGACCCGGAACCGACTGCCGAAGCGCTCGCACGAAGGAGCCGGAAGGTTCGGCTGGCGTTGTCTCTTTCTCGGTCTCGCGGGACGGGAATAGGTCGGCGGATGTGAAACGGAACCCTGTCCTTTGTCAGGGGGTCATGGATCATTAATTCAAGCTTTACTACAGCCCTTGGGTTTATCATCGGGTTTCGTTCCCACTGAAACACTGATGGGCACTTGGGCAGAATTCTACTGAACCGGCAAGTAACTCACTCACATTGGCATGATTTTGAGCGACATAAAACTGGCACCGACTTGAAATACACTGGTGACTAGCACGGCTTGCCCGTGAGGAAAAGATCAGCTAGCCTACGAACAACGGCAACTCCGAAACGGCTCTGGAAACTCGGCCTCCTCAACATCCTCCATCTTGTCCACCTTGGGACCAGCTGTCACGGCAAAGTCCTTGCAGCTCGACAGGAACCCCCAGCTAATAAGACAGCTGTGCTCAACACTCCACTGTGCGTACGACGGGCTGTCGGTAGCACAACCATCCTTGAGCAGGATGGTGTCGAATCCCTTCAGGTAGGCATCCTGCAGCGTGCCCATGACGCATTGGTCGATGCTGATGCCCGTGAAGAGAAAAGTTTGGAGGTTGTTCTGCTTCAAAACTCTGGTCACATCCTTCATCCTGTCGCACATTCCCGAGCTTCTATTCCTGTGGAAGTGCACGTCGGGCGGCACCACGTCGGCGCGCTTGCCTTCGTAGTAAGCATCTGACAGCGGATCGTGGAGCCAGCTGTTCCATGATCCCTTGACAAGGATCCTGCCGCCGTCAATGACCTTGCCGTTCTTGTCTTTGACCTCCCCGATCTCGTCGCCAACACCCTTTTGGTTCCGGAACATGCCCTTATTGCTCCACCCTTGGCCCAGCGGCAGCTTCTGCCAGTCCGGAGACGTCTCAACCGGCATGAAATTGAACGTCTTGAAGACGCCGGGATCCATCTGCTTCAGGTCTTGGTCCGAGTAGCCGGTGGTCACCCAGATGATCTGGATGCCGGTCTCGCGTGCTGCAGGGATGGCGTATTGCAGAATGATGTCTTCGGCGCGGTAGAACTCGGGGTTGTTGTTGCCCGAAGCTTCGTGGAGATCGTAGTTTTGGAGGTCGATGATTAGCAGCGCGGTTTTTGCCGGATCAATGACAATCGGTGTCATGGCGCATTGCAGCTTCAAACGGGGCTGTACGGGGTCGGAATTGGGCGTGGGGGGGTGCGTGAGGTCAAACCCTTCCTCCTTGGACCATTTCCAGAATTTCTTGGAGTCACCGATCACGGTGGGCGACTGGTCCTTGCGGGGCTTGGTTCGCCAGTCTGGTTGGTCTCCTGTCGACATTTTTGGGCTGTCTCGGTTTCAATATCTAGAATACAAGTGTAGAGGGCAAGTCTAGAAGACGACTGAGGTGGATAGGCTTGGCAAGTCAAAATTTCTCAGTCGTAACCGCTACGATATATGAATATTTACCTTGTGTATAAAACCGTTCATCTCAATATCCTATGTTTCCCACTCACCCAAGTGATCAACTAGCCCGCCAAACCCATCCCTCTCACTCCTTCTCAGCATTCCCCACAACCGAAACATGAATCTGCCAATACCTCCTCCAATCCTCCCCCGCCATCTTCACCCTCTCCCACACCCCCTTCTTCCCACCCTGCCCTGGCTTCCCCAACCCCAACGCAGCCCCCTCATCAAACTCCGGAAACTCCGCCTTCTCCACCAACAGCCCCCTCATCCCCTCGCCGGCCAAAAACCCGAAAAAGTCCTCCGCCACATGCACATACTGCCTCAACCCCTGATACACATCAATCGTCGCGCCTGTCGTAAAACTCAACAGCCACGGTTCCAGCAACGGTGCATCTGTCACTGACGGGTGTGAGGTACCCAGCGAGGTCATGAACCAGCTGGCGTTACCCCGGGCATTGTTGGCGGTTACGATATCTTTCACGGTATCAAAGTGTGCACGGCCGTAGAACAGACTGCGGCCCTTGCGGCTCCAGGTGTTGCTGTGGATTATTAGAAGGGGGACGTGGACGTCGCTGTTGAGTGGGCCGGATTGTTTGCCCGGGTCGAGGATGAAGGCGCCGTGGAAGGGGAGGGCCGGGCTGGGTCCGTTGCGGAGGGTTTGCAGGGCGGTGGTGGCGCCGTAGCTGTGGCCCGCGATGATCATGGAATTGGTGTTGAGGCGGGAGGTCCAGTCGGATAGGGTGGCGCCTTCGGTGAAGGGGTTGGTGGAGAGGAGTTCGGGGCCGTGGCCGGTGTTGATGAGGTTGAGGATGCGGACGGCTTCGGAGATTTCGGCTTCGCGGAAGGCGAGTTGGGCGGTGTGGAATTCTTCGAGGGTGAGGGGGTGGGGGCTGTTGGGGAGTTCGACTTCGGAAATGTCGAAGAGGAGACGGGTGCGGGGGGGCCGGTTTGGAGGGCGGATGATGGTGCCGGGGGAGGACCCGTCGCGGTGTTCAAGCATAACCACGACGTGGCCGCGAGCGGCGAGTTCTCCTGCGAAGTGGGAGTAGTCTGTTCGGGCGGACACGGTGCCGTGGGAGAAGATGATGACTGGGAAGCCGCGGTCTTGGTCGTTCGGCGTGTTTTCTTTTGTTGGGACTTGCTGCTCATCACCCTCGGCTAGTTGACTCCGTGGCAATGGAGTGGCAAGTGGGACGTCCACAGCGGCTGGGATGGTGATATCGCCCACAATGGCATTGATGACCTTTGTGAACAGCGTATTGGTGAACCAGTTGCTGAGATGTGCCGCCTTTGCGTACCCCTGAGCCCGCAGTGACACCGGCTCAGGTACCCATGTGTGACGCTTTGCATCGGGTGATGGAGGGGATGCTGGATAGTAGAGCGTGAACAGGACTGTCTCCAGCTCAAACACGTTTTCTCCGCTTGCCTTGAGTCGAGCCTCGTGGATGGTTCGTGGCGGTGAAACCGGGGCCTCGATATCAATAGCCCCTACCGCATACGGCCCGGTGTGCTGTGGGAGAGGACGGGCAAGCAGAGGCTTCGGGAAGACGTAGGTATAGAGTGCGTAGAGCGATGCAAAGAACACCCCGATAAGTCGTATGATGGGGAAGAAGTATCGTAGCCTCGATGTTGGGAGAGGCTTGTCTCGACTTTGTTCGTTAACTGTGGGCTTCATGTTGGATATTGGCACGACTGTAAAAATACCTAAATTGCGAAGCTGGTGTAACTGGGTGTTCAGGTTCTCGTGAGATCAATACTTCGCCTTAGAAACCTTAAATCCTAATACTCTGTAACCGAATGATGTAATAGACATTGGTTTCCCGATCCTGTTTTGGAAGTCGCAGCGCTATTCGACGGATCGAGATCAGCCGGGATGTCACCAATCACAGATCTGAGGCGGGCCACACAATGCCGGCCGGGACGGGCCACGAATTTAAGTTTGTCGGCATGCAACGGCCGCCGGGTCGACGTTGGAGACCTCGAGAAACCGTCTGTACACTACCGGTCCTTTCAGAACATGCCGGGGCCGGTCCGCCCTCCGGCCCGGCCCGACTTGGACTCGGGACTGGGTTGCCCGGCCAAGTGGGCCTGGGAGTCGCGCCGATTTCCAAGGCCCTCAGGCTATCTTGGCAAGTGGCAAATACTGTCGGAAAGTCCGACATGTTGCGTCTCAACAAACGTAAATATGAAGAGACCTCGCAATCCCAATAGTCGACATTGTGGCTGAGAATTCACCAGATGTCCCAACTTTTCGAAGAATTCGTTTGGGCAAAGCATTTCCTGACATGCAAAGTCGTTCCTGGCTCGCCCCTGGTTGGTCCAGGCTGACCCCCGACTTCCCAAAACGGGTGACGTCACAGCCCAAGAGCACACGTGCACCAGGGTTGCGTGGGGTGTCGCGTGGGATGCATTTGGTCCCGGCCAATCACCGGAGGCTTCTCGTTCCCCCATTCCCTGCAACTGGGTTTCCGCCGGTGGATTGCGCGATTCAAGCCTGCGGTGATGCCACCAACCTGACCGCGGTGTGCTAACAATCCTGTACCAAAGCTCAGGCGAAGGACTGTTAATGTGGTCGTCCCATGTGTCAACCCCACTCGGTAGTCCCAGCCTTCTCCAAAAAGATGGGAAAGCTTGTCTCAAAACGGCCATTAACCGTCCAAGGTCACTCGGCGGAACTTGACGGGGAAGGAACCAGCCTGCAGCAGGATTGCAACTCGAGAGCGGGCAGGCGCGATCCTTGACACGCCGAGACAAACCCCGACTCGGCGGAACTTTAAACATCCTGTTGCCCCCCAATTGAAGAGAGTCGGGTTGCAGAGCCTTCTTCTCGTGTCCCCCCATCCCCCATCTTTTCCCCTTCCCCCCTCCGCCAGTTCCGTGGTCGAGTGGTCCCTGATCGGCGCCATTGACTACCGAACTCGGCTACCGGAACTTTTCCACACCTCTCGCCGGCCCGAATTTCTCGAATTTCTCCTCCTCTTCACTTCCTGCTGGTTCTCCCCTTAACAACCGCCAGGATGCCGAGTATATTCAAGAAAAAAGACTCCCCCGAGGACGACGACTTTGTCAACCACCATGACGCCCCCGACCCCTTCGCAGACGCAACGACCGAAGGAGCCGCGACGGGCTCCGACTCGGACGATTTCCGCGCGATCGACCCGCACAGCGGCGTCAAGCGCGGCCTGAAGACGCGCCACCTGTCGATGATGGCGCTCGCGGGTATCATCGGCCCCGGTCTGCTGATCGGCTCGGGCGGTGCGCTCTCGTCGGGCGGCCCGGCGTCGTTGCTGATTGGGTTTGGGGTGATTGGGATTATTGCGTTTTCGATCATGCAGAGCTTGGGCGAGATCACGACGTTGTATCCTACCGGCGGGGCGTTCACCGCGCTGAGCGATCGGTTTGTTGATAAGGCGTTTGGTGTGGCGGTGGGGTGGAATTATTATATTTTGTGGTTTTGCGTGTTGGCGAATGAGTATAATGTGATTTGTAGCATTATGGAGTTTTGGAGTGATAAGGTGCCTGTTTGGGGGTACTTTTTGATCTTTTGGGTATGTTGGAGCGGGAGAGAGCGAGTTGGTGTGCCTGTGCTGACGAGATAACAGTTTGCGTTCCTTGGCTTCCAATTGCTGGGCGTCGAGACGTTTGGAGAGGCCGAGTTTTGGCTGGCGCTGATCAAGATCATTGGCTTGATCGCGTACTTTATCTTCAGCATTGTGTTGGTGCCCTGATGAGGTCCATAATCGTCGGGCAATTGCTAACGTGTTGTAGCTACGCGGCCGGTGGTGTGAAAGGAGTTGATGCAATTGGCTTCACGTACTGGCGTGACCCAGGCCCATTCGCTGCCGGATTTAAAGGCGTCGCCTCCGTTTTCGTCTTCTGCAGCACGTTCTACGCTGGTGTCGAGTCTGTCGCTGTCGCCGCCACCGAAACGAAAAACCCGGGCTACGCTGTCCCGCTGGCCATTCGCCAGGTGTTTGTTCGCATTGTCGTTGTCTACATGGGGTGTGCGTTCTTCTTCGGCTTGACATGCCCGTCGGACGCGCCGGGTTTGATCGGTTCTAGCGGCGCTCTGCGCAGTCCCATGACGATCGCCATCCAAAACGCGGGCTGGGAAGCCGGCGTGCACCTGATCAACGCTTTCATCTTTATCACCTGCCTCAGCGCGGTCAACAGTTCCATCTACATCGGAAGCCGTACCTTGCTCTACATGGCGCAGGACCAAAAGGCTCCCAAGTTCTTGGGTTGGACCGACAAACGGGGCGTGCCCATTCCCGCCATCGTCCTCACCAACTTGTGCGGTGCGCTCAGCATGATGAACGTCAGCACCGGCGCGAGCAAGGCCTACGGCTACATTATCAATCTCAGTGGTGTTTCCACGTTTCTTGTTTGGGCCGCCATCAGTTTCACGCATATCCGCTTCCGCGCAGGGTGGAAGGCACAAGGCCACACCGAGAGTGAGCTTCCGTTTGTGTCGCTCTGGTACCCATACAACGCGTACTTTGGCTTGGCGGCCAACATCTTTTTGGCTCTCATACAGGGGTGGTCGACCTTTGCGCCATTTGACGCGGGCACGTTTGTGGATGCGTACATCCTGTTGCCGTTGTTCTTTGTGATCTGGGGAGTATACAAGCTGATCTTTAAGACGAGGTATTGGAGGGCGGACGAGATTGACCTGCAGTCGGGCAGGCGGAGAGATTTGGACGAGGGCAAGCACCGGACAGGTGGAGGCACGAAATGGTACAATCGGATCTTTAAGGGCGTTTAATTGGGATGAGTTACGGACATTTTGGTTCACTGCTTGGATACCCCAGACTTGGAGCTGGCGCTTGGAATAGAACTAATCGTCTCTGCAATGATCGTTGATGGTATCTCTGCTTTCGTACATGCTGTGCGTCTTCCTTAACAAATCAAGTCTTACAATAGGAAAGGTCCCCGTCCGGCGGTCAACTCCTTAAAGAAAGAAAGCTGCCCGCAGCTAGGTAAGTTCCCCTCACACATATGATCCAGCGGCTAATTCCCGATGCCTAAGCACTGAAAGACAGCGCTCTCTTCCTCATCCGGAACTCAACCGCCCTCTTCTGCGCCGCCGCGCTCATCGTAAACGCCGCGCTGCCTCCGAACGGCCCTGCCGCGGCACCGTTGCGCACGCGGAGCACACAGACGTTGTTGACACCGGCCACCGTCGCGTCGCATGTCATGCCCTGGGGCATTTGGACCTTGACTGTGAAGTCTTTCTTGGTGGCCAGGCTTAGGCCCTGCACGCCGAGGCCGGGGACGTCTTGCGTGACGGTCGCGGTTTGGAATGCGGCCGGGTCGGTGCCGCCTGAGGTGCCGTCGATGGAGGCGTCGAGGGGGCCGGCGCCGTCTTGGTTGACCTGGGGTTTGTTAGTGGCCGTCATATCGCCATAGAAAAAGGATTGGTGAGGGAAAATGACCGACGGAAGGGGAAATGGGGGGCAATAAGGGGACAGACCTGATGATACACCAACTCAATCGTCCCATCATCCGCACAAGTCGGCAATCCCGATGTCGCACCCTGCCCAGCAGACGCAGCGACGTTGCTCTCAGTCGCCACGGTGCTGTCTTGTCCCTTATTACCACCAGCACCACCACCACCCAGCAAGCCCTTGAGGCCCTTGAGCAGCTGTCGGCCAACTAACCCCGCCTCCCTCTTATCATTATTCTGCTTGTTTCGTCCGTTACGTCCGTTCCCGCTGTTTTGACCGTTATCGTTGGTGAGGGCGCTCAACGCAGATAAGTCATCTTCCTCTCCGGTTCCGGCTGCCTGGACCTTCGCAGCAGCAGCAGCAGCAGTCCCATTACCGGCAGCCGCAGTCCCGTTCCCCGCTGCGCCAGTACCAGCGGTAGCGTTGCCAGCGTTCCCAGTCGCGCCAGTAGCACCCCCCATAAACACACCAACGGCAGTAGCCGCATCGACAGGTCCCGCACCCTGGGTCCGGCCGAGGGGGCCGACATCGCCGCGGCGGATCTCGCGGTCGCGGATGATGGAGGTGTCGGCTTGGGAACCGCAGCGGTTGGTGGAGCAGTCGCGGGGGGTTCCGTCAGCGACTGAGGGAGTTTGTCAGTTTCCTTCTTTCTTTGTTTGGTGTTTCATTGGGTGCCTTTGTGGCCGAGGTAAGAGGCTCAACGGGGAAGGGGGGAAAGGAAAGAGGGAAGAGGGGAAGAGGGCGTACCGGACAAACCCGGCATGTCGACGCCGTTGGCACCCTTGATGAGGGTGACTACGCCGTGGGCAGATGCGCCGGTTGCGAGGAGGGCGGCGAGGAGGGCTGTGTGGGGGTGCATGGTGGGCTTTTTTGTATGTGGTGGGTGGTGGATTAGATGATGGTGGAGTTGAGAAGTTAAGAGAAAGTAAGAGGCTAGGCTGGCTAGTTAAGAAATGCCACCGGGGCAAGAAGAAGAGAAGCGGGTTGAAAGGGAAGAGGTGGTAGTGGTAAGGCTGAAGATGTCCAGATGCTCGATGCCGAGTCTGCAAGATCCTTTGAAGCGTCGCATCGCGGGCTTTATGTATCCATCCATCCCTCGACTCATCCCCTCTAACCACTCCACCTCAGCTCAACACCACCCCGTCCGAGGCCTCCGACCTACATTCATCTACCTGAAGCATCCGATCTCAACCGCCCACGATACAGTCCACAACTTCAAACACGGGCACGCACTGGCACGCCGATGTATCAAGCTTTTCGCAAGCTAGTCCCAAACCAGGGTTGAGTTGCTTGAGAGGGGATTGGATGACTTGGAGCAGAAGAAAGATGCCGCGGAAACAATTGTCAAAACAAACAAAAAGAGGGACAGAGGGACTGAGCTGCACAGCCCCTGGACCGGACCGTCCGGGCGTGATGGTGATGGCGATACCCAAGGACAGAGTGGATTCGGAGATCTAGACCTTTCCCCTGGCTGCGCGGTTGATCGGACGGGTTTATGCTATGATCGCGGGGGGTTGTTTAATTCGCTCAGCTGGACGGCAATTCGGCATCTAGGGCGGTGTGGGGTGTTTTGTCTTGGGCTGTAACTTATGAGGCTGTGCTGCGATGTTGTATTGTGTTGTATCGTGTTGCGCTGTATTGTTGTGTCGGAAGGGGTAGTCGACTAACCTCGATTGAGCCAAGTCTTTGGCCGCAAAAGAACAAAAAGACCGGGTTGTTTTGTGAAACGGCGAGCGGACGGCGGCTCTCGAGGCGGACGCTGTCGCTGTTTGGTTTCATGATGTGCAAAGGGGATTGTCGCTGGGGTCGGAGACGACAGAACCCGGTTGGGGTTCGGGAGTGGAGCGAAACTTTTGGGGAATTGTTGCGAGAATGAAACGTTTGACAGAGCGGGGGAGAGTATACTGCCGGTTGTTATAATATCAACGTGCGATTTCATTGCAGAGTTGTTTACCTACTCTGCTTGGCGACATCAACCATCGGTATTTGGAATTCCTTCTCTGACAATTGACCACAGGATGTTGTGCAACCTGGTGTGATACTATCATCAAAAGAATCGGCAGACAATTTTTGAGCCTCGGCCCCACTGCAATGCTCGGGGACAAGCGCAAGTCCTGAAACGAGTGAGCACAGACAGACAGCCCCTGAGGCCATCGTGAGGGCTCGACCAATTGTTTGAGCGCGGGAAACACCAAGGACGATTAATTATTTACGCGGTGGCTGGCCAGTGCGGCGGATCAGCGAGATGTGTGTTTTGACACGCATGATTTTTGTGTTTTGTTCTTGATAGCTTCGGGTCGGGTGCTGGGGGTGCATTGGAATTCCTCGAAAGTCGGAAGAAATAGGTAGTAGTATTTCTATACAGATAGGTCATCACAACCCTTACGACAACTCTGTCCGTAAACACCCTCCTAAGTCGACTCTGGGGGTAAAACGGGGATGGTAGAAGCCAGGAGACTCAAGGCTTTGCATTATTGAGCGGCGGCTTGTCCGACGTGGTTGGCATACTTGTCGATGTGTTTGTTTGTTGGGCCAAAATTACATCGACACCACTCTAATTTATTCTGTCGGGCGTCAAAAAGTTCTCTCGGATGGCTACGGAAATTGCCTGTAATCAAGTTACCGCGTCCTAGGAACCCTTGAATCCTACACATTAAAATTTAAGCCCGGCTACATCAAATTTGGCCTCTCGTCTTTACGTTTACTAAACTAAATAGCAGGCCTCGCCACATCCTTAATGCCGTGACGTGTTACCCAGATGGCTATTACTCTCTGTAAAACGTGAGATTCATTTCACTACTTCGGTAATTACCTCATTAATTCAGGTAATTAGGTAAGGTAGGTAGCCTGGTATCCCGCCTGGCGGAACTCTCGGGGTAGACCTTCCTCAACATCATACCATTCCACGCAATTCTCTGGATTTTGCAATCTTTCAATATAAACCATTTTCTTATGCCCCGTCTAACGGACGTCAACCTCTCACACACTTTGCAGGCAATGTATCTCCTTTCCCAGCCCTTATTATTACCTCTTATAACGCGTATAAGTCACGCCGACTAGAAACAAAAAACCCAACCATCCATCTTCGCCGGCCTGAGTGATCACACCCCTACATTCCCCACAAGACCGGCTGCATTAAATTTGATCCCGTTTTTTTTGCTCTTCCTAAACAGGACCCATTTTGACTCAGAGAAAATAGGTGTTTGAGTTTGCCCAAATTTCTAGAAACAATTATCCCTTCCAGGCCACGGTTTGCACACCCAATGATCTACTTGGCAAATATCTCAAGCTAGGTATGGTTGATTGTGACAACCCAATTCTAGTAGTAGAGAGAGATTTCGATACAAACTTCAAGTGTGACTTGCAGTCAGACTCACAATTCAGGCCATAATAGTATGTTTCCCAGTGTTATTTGCAGTACGTTTTCCCCAACAGTTTGGCATTGGTTTTACATGAGTCAACAACGCGGGTTCAAACATCAGCTGCGGTGCTGGTCACATCCTGACTGATTGCTGAGTATGGAATCCGGCGTATATTTATGGGTGTCCCGTGTAGGTGGAAGTTGGAATCCCCAATCTACTCAAAGCTACCCATTCTCTTCCGATCACCCGTCACTCGAACAACCACTCAAGCCATATCACCGCCGTCACCCCATCACCATGCCCGACAAAATGACACAGACGGACCCTCTGCCTGGGTCCACCCCTCAAACGTCCTCAGCCTCTTCGCCTCTAGAAAAAATGCCACTCGACATCCACCGTCTCATCATATTACAACTCTCCAGCTTCAACGACCTAGACGCGCTTGTCCACGCTTCCCCACGGGCTCATCTTGTCTATGCCCGGGACCGTCTGTCAATTTTGAGGCACATGGCTGAACGGGTCCTGGACGGCTTCCTCTACGATGCCCACGCCGCTTACCTCTCTGGCAAGGCTAGAATCCAAACAACCCGGTTGAAGGGGACGCTGTGGCAGTTTCTCGATCAATACCGGTTTGGCCAATTCCCAAGCCTCAAGCTCAAGGACCTGATCCAGTTGGTTCGTTTCCACCGCTTCGTCATCGAACCTCTCACCAAGCACTACGAGATCTGGGCTCTGGACGATCGGCGTTACTATCCCGAACACAGCTACCCCCTAAGCCGCACCGAAATACAACGGGTCCAGCGCGCGCTGTACCGGCTCGAAGTGTACTACAACATCTGTAGTCCGGCGGGCAAGGGGCGGAGTGGGGAAACTTACATTGAGAAGGCCAAAGATCGGATGCGTTTGCTCGCGCTGTTTGCGCCGTGGCAGATTGAGCAGATACTTTGTGTCCACGAATTTACTATGCATGTTTGTGATGAGCTCTTTCGCGAACTCAAGTGGGAGCTTCAACCGCTGCAAGATAAAGAATTTGGCGCCATGGATGTCCAGAGCGGTGAGGACATAAGCTATCTGTTTCTAGACGCCGGACAGTCCAGCAATCTTCCGCTCGTATCCACCGTGCTCAAGATCAGCGACCCCGAGGAACAAGCCGCAGTTCTACGAGAGTGTTTACTCGGCTTGCCCTCGATAGATGACGGTCGTGATTGGATTGTGGATGCCACCTTGTGCCACCCTAAACAGAGTTCGCGGGAGATCCTGCGGGACATTTTCGACTGCCCCAACTAGGACGTGGGGCAGGACCCGCTGGACCCTGACGATATACTGTTCAGTCGTTTCCACAGGGCGGAGCAGCCCCCATTGGCCTGGGTGTTGTATTGCGGGGAGGCGGCATGCGATATCGAGGGTGAGTACCGGCTGTGGGAGCTGGGGTGGTTCCAGTTTCGGGGCATGGTGATGTGGGACGCGCTTCGGTTGGAGGTGTCGGGCATGAAGGCATTGCTCGAGGCGGGGCACAGGTACATACCTTAGTTATGCATTTTGGGATCCTGGAGCGCAGTGGGTTGCTGGGGTTAAGGGTGAGCGAGACCGCAAGCTGGGCTGTATTCATCATGTAATATACTGCCTGTAATTAATCAAGGGGCGAACTATTCCATATCCCGAGTACCTTGTTTAACATCGGAACATGAAACCGACCAATCTGCTTTATCCCCAGACCCATGATCAGCCTGCATCATGCTTACAACTAAAAACAAAACACCTGATCCTCCATCTTAGCCGACACCCCGGGCTTCTCAAACCCCAACTCGACCAACCCCCTCTTCGCAGCCTCCACCATCCCCGGCGGCCCACACACCATCACCTGCACATCCTCCCCCGGCGCTGGCAACCTCTGCTTCAACACCTCCTTCGTCACATACCCGACCCCATACTCCAACCCCTTCAGCCCATGTTCCTCTCCAGCCGGCGGCTCCCGATCGACCAAATAAAACACCTTCAAATTCCCCGGATACCGCCTCGCATACCTCTCCAACTCCCCCCTCATCAAAATATCCCCCTCACTCCTATTCGCATACACCAAGCTCACCTCCGTAGTATCCCTCTCATCCTCACAAATCGCCCTAATCACCTGCCACATCGGCGTAATCCCACTCCCCCCCGCAACCATCCCAATCTTCTTCACCTCCTTCCCCTTCTGACTCCGCTGAGCCCCCTTCCCGGCGCTACCGCTGCTGCGGTAGTGAGGACACTCATACCGCATCGCCCCCTTCGGCCCCCGAAACGCAACCTCATCCCCGACCTCCAACCTTGCCAGATACCCCCCCGTCAACAACCCGTCAGGATAACACTTCACAACTAACTCCAACATCCCCCTATCCTTATTATTCGACACAGGTGTATACGACCTCGTCACCGTCCTCGCTTCCCCACCCGGCGTAGCCGGCGGCAGGACCGCACGAATAGACAGGTGCTGACCTGTCGGTAGACCTAGCACCGTGTCAGGTGTTGGCAGGGCGAAGGTCAGGCGGTAGACGTTGGGGGCAATGAGGTGTTTGTGGGTTAAGGGGAGGGTGCGGTAGTGGATTGGATCCAACCAGCCGCGTTGGAGGAGGGGGTTGGGCGGGATGGAGCGGGGGAGTTTGAGGTGTGGGGGGTAGCGGGTGAAGCCGGAGTCGAGGCGGAGGAGGTTGGAGAGGGAACGGGTGGTGATGAGGGTTGTGAGGGCTGTGGAGAGGGCGGCGGCGGTGAGGAAGCCTTGGAGGTAGGTGGGGGTGGAGCGGCTGCCGTTGAGAGAGGTTGGTGATGGGAGCCAGGTGGATAGTGCGTGCAGAGGGAAAGTGGTGCCGGTGCGGGTGATGTAGTATGCGCCGAAGGAGCTGAGGGTGGCTACTGCTGAGCCGAAGATGAGGGCTGTGTTGTTGATGCTTTTGGTGGTGCTGCTGCTACCCAGACTGCTTGAAGGGCTCGGAGTGCTGGGTTTGGGTGATGGCTTCGCAACAAGACGGACAGCTTTGGGCTTAGGCTTCTGGGATTCCGTCTTCTTGAGCATGCCGACGCAGAACTCGGCCATGATCTCGCTGGCGTCTTCTGAGTGGCCAGCGTTGTCGTATTCTTCAGTGGCATCTTTTCCGAGGACATCGACCAGCACGTCGACACCTCCCGGGTGGTCCACAATGTAATCGGTCACATTGTACACTGGGTGTGTTAGCGGTGGTTGTTCAGGAAAGTGGACAAGGGCGATGCCTACCCTTGCCGTGGATGACCATCCATCCGTCGGACTTGGCTGTGTGTTCGGCAACCTCCTTGATGGTGATTTCCCGGAGTGTGTCGGCCATGTTGTTACTTGAGGTGAGGATATTCAAGTTGAGGTCAAGTACGGAAGTTGAGATGAAAAAATTGGTGAGAGGTGAGCCGGGGTTATAAAAAGCCAGTCAATAATTAATGATCATATAAATCGGAGAATTAATCGCATCGCAGTTCGGACTCCGAGAGCGAGCACTTAAGAACCGCCCTCTGTTCTTAATTGACAAGGGCAATGGTCTTGTTCACAAAACAGGAAAATTTCCCAAAGCCTCACTCAGAAATTAATATAATCCCTATCGCATCGTAAATTCCTTCCCAACAATTCCCATATCAACCTCGATGCCTCGGCTCACTTCAAACAAGTGGCTCTGTCAGCCAAGACCACGGCCGGGATTCGCGGAAAACTGACCGAGACCGAGTGCCGTTCAGGGGCCGGGACGGAGTTAAGACCCCTGCACGCCCCTGTGGACCCACTGACCCACCGACCGGCAACGGCCCGCGCCAAACTGCCAAGCCCAACGAAAACGAGACGAAGAAAAAAAAAAAGAACGAATTCCGTCGGGTTCGCCGTGGACAGCGGGCCCGTTCCAGAAATCGTCGCGAACCAAGCGATAGAACATTCTTTTCCGGCTTCTTCCGCGGCGCGATCCTGGACTGATAACTGCGAAGCGGCAAGATCCGAGCTGACGTTGCTGCAGAATATGTGACGAATGTTCGTTCGACTTGCCTCGGCGATCGGGGCTCGTCAATCGCCGTTGCGAGGTGCCTCGGCATTTTTTGACAGCAAGACCCACTCGACGATATCGACGGGTTTGGTTGGGGCAAAGGCGATGACGAAGGGCCGATGATGGTTTTTGAGGTATAATTTGATCTCGACGACGCATGGCTAACTTACGGGATTATTAATTCGCGAGTGAATAAATTATCCATTTCATCGCCAGCCATTGCTTCGTCGAAGTACTTCAATCTATCTAACATCGCTTCTTGTCTTGATATGATCTTGAACTTGTCTTATTATCGACTTCACTGAATTCGTACTCTTTACTTTCCTTAGTATCTCATAATTGTATCGCCATGACAATACAACAGTTCTACCTCCTGGGTGAGGACCCGGCGACTGCTCTCGACATTGAGATCCCCTCATCCATCGACGAAGATGAGCTTCGACACCTCATCGCCTCCCACTTTGCCATCGTCGACCCCAATGGTATGCCCCTACACTTTCCTCTTCTTCAGACAGCACTCACTAACACACATAATTAGGCATCGGCTTCACCTCCCCCACCACCTCTCTCCCAACAACCGCCGACGTCCTGCGCACGCCCGGCCCCATCTCCATAACAATCGACAACCACCCCGTCCGCCCCATCCCCGGCCCCAAGGGCCTCCCCTACATCGGCAACTACCTCGAGATCTACCCGGACCACCTAGGTAACCACCAACGTCTCTTCGACCGCTACGGTCCCCTTTTCAAAACCACCAACCTCGGCAGCGTGACCTACCACACCAACGACCCGAAATTGGCCTCTATCGTCTTTGCAGAGAGCGATTTCTTCTCCAAGAGTATCATCAAAGGCCACCCTTTGCATCCGATCAAGAACCGGGAGGCCGGGGTGTTCTTGGGGGATACGGATACCGAGGAGTGGAGGATGGCACATAAGTTTTTGCCGCCTGCGTTGGGGCCCAAGGCGGTACGGCATTACGCGCCGACTATGCAGGTGACTGTTGATCAGGCGTGTAAGGTGTTTGATGAGTTGGATGAGAGGGAGGAAGCGTGGAATGTGTATCCGTACATGTTGAAGTTGGGGTCGCAGGCCGTTGGGAAACTGGTGCTGGGGATGGACTTTGGGCATTTTGAGGCGGTGGATGCGCCGATGCATGAGATGGTCGGGAGGATTGCGGAGAGCTTGTCGCTGAATAAGCAGATTGCGTCGATGGGGAGTTGGTATGCGAGTATGCCGTTTGGGGCGCCGAAGCAGTTGCGGTTTGTGGCGGAGAGGATTAGGGTTATGATGGAGGAGTCGGTCGAGAGGGCGTTGAGGGGGACGGAGGATTTGGAGTTGCAGGAGGCTGCGTTGAAGGCGGAGAATATGGTTGGTATGTATTCCCCCTGGTTTCCCTATGGCAACTACTCTTCGTGTCAGCGTTGTACAGATGCTAACGCAGTCAGACTACCTCCTCCACGCCAAAGACTCCAAAGGCCTCAAAATGCCCCGCAACCGCATCCTCGAGCCCCTCGTCGTCGCAACAGGCGCCGGCTTCACAACCACCTCCTCCCTCCTCTCCTGGCTCCTCTACGGCCTCGTCACCTACCCCGGTGTCCAAGACCGCCTTCTCCAAGAACTCATCGACCACAACGTCACCGCCGACACCCAATTCACCTCCGACCTCACCGACAAACTCACCTTCCTCGACCACTACATCAAAGAAACCCAACGCCACCACAACCCCTCCTTCCAACCAGCCCGCACCGCCAAAGTGGACATGATTCTCCCCGGCGGCTACAAACTACCCCGGGACGCTGTCGTCATCCCCGCGCTGCACCACATCCACCACAACGCGGCCGTGTGGGAAAACCCGGGGAGGTTTGATCCAGACCGGTGGGGGGATAAGGAGGCGGCGCGGAATCGGCCGAGCGGGTCGTATATCCCGTTTGCGACGGGCCCGAGGATGTGTGTGGGGTTTAACTTTGCGCTGCAGGAGGTTAAGGTTTTCTTGCCCAAGTTGGTGTATCGGTATCGGTTTGAGAGGGCGTTGGATGGGCCGGTGGAGTATGATCCGATGTTTCAGTTGATTCGGCCGAATAATTTGTATGTGAGGGCTGAGAGGAGGGTGAAGTGGCCGCCGAGGAGTGAGTAGGCTCGCTGTGGCCAAAAAAAAAAAAAAGCGGAAGACTAAAACAGATACCTTAAGTCCAATCCATTAACATTCGATCAAACTTTAACAGATTTTGATTGGTTTACTCTTTTTCGTCTGTTTTCACTTTTTTAATTTCTTCTTTTTGGTCCTTTTTCGCTTCTGTAGAAAAGCAAGTTATCTAGGGACTTGGTCTGCCGCCTTTTTTGGCCACAGCGAGATCGGGTGTTTGAAGGGGAAATAGATTATGGAATAATTAATAGACTTGGAGGACCTTCGAATGTCCTGGAAAAGGCCGCCTTGAATGTGTTCCTCAGTGATCGGTGTTATCCAAGGGTTCCGACACGTTGGGGATTATACTACCAAGGGCATCAGCAAGCGCATAATGAAAGGGCGAAACCGAACGACTGAAAGTTTGCTTCGAAGCCAGTCTACAAATATTGTAGGATTTCTGCAGAGTGGCCCAAGTTAAACCGCGGGAGACCCAAAGCCATGTTCCCCTACTCCTTCCCATCCACCTTTGCCAATACTTCCATCACAAGGTCGCGCTATTTGTGCATCTTGTCAGCAACCCCATGCCGCACGGCCAGCTATTTGATTATTCTCTGTTCTCGCCGGTGTTAAAACTTACCAAGACCTCGTGCTGATCCTGCAGTTTTTGCATCCCCTCGTCCCATCGCTTCATCACCTGCTCCAGCGTGGGCTGCGTGTCAAGCTGCTCAGAATCCTCCTCTGGTAAAAATGGCGTCTTCCCGCGTAAAAGTGACTTCAGCTCTTTCTCCTTCCCCCGCATGGCTGCCAGGGCGGCGATGCCGTCTGGTGTCAGAGGGTCTACTCTTGGCCCGCTGGCAATTGTTAACGCCCAAATTTTGGCTTCCGCAGCTGCGGTTGCGAGCGCTACGGGCTAATTGAGGGGTGTCAGTCGTGAACCATGAAACGGCAGCAGCGTGGGGTGTAGATTACTCACGTCTTCGTTGGGAAGGGGATGTGCTGCCTTGTTAAAGGCCAGCACGGCCTGAGCGGCTACATCAATGTCGGCGATTGGGATCTGATTATATGTAATCATTAATATTAATCCTGCCAACGCTCTTTAAGACGCGGAGATAATAACACACCGGCCGGCAAGTGCGACGGGAAACAGTACAGTAAGCGCATTTGATGCCTTTGCCTATGAAACTGTCAGCAAGAACACCACAATGGAAACTTTCATGTGTAGCCAGTGTTATTTAATTACACACCCAGGTGAGTAGAACAACGGAGCCTGCCCTCTGATCTAAACACGCGAGAAACACAGCGCTTGCATGGGAGCAGATAATGCTCACCACTTTGGGCAGCGACCTATTGTACCGAAGGTTAACTACGTCCCATTTACAACCCTTCCGGGCACGTTATCCTCGGAGAAAAGTGCTCAACTCACCCGCTCTTCAATAGACGGACGACCCCGGCTTGGCTCCTGGCTCGTCAGCCCCTCATCGGCGTGCGGGCTTTTCGTCGGCGAATCAGCCTCGATTTGCTCGTTAACCAATGGGCTCGTTTGACCGGGAGTCGATGGCCCGCTCGACGTCTCGAGGTTAGTCGGCCTGCTTTCAGTCGGCGAGCCAGTCTTACTTTCCTCGCTACCCGACGGGCTCATTTGGCCGGGAGCCGGTGGATCGGTCGAGGTCTCGAGGATAGTCGGCTTCCTTTCGTTCCCTGCCTCCTGCCCATCGTCAGCACGTCCTCTGCAGCGGTACCATGTTCCCCAATTCCTGGGAATTCCTGGGCGACTACTCACTTGCAGCGATGAAGACGATGCCGATGGACCCGGCGGTTTCCACTGCATTGTCAGCAACTTCAGGAATGGGTTTGATCAGCCATGTTACTTACGACAAACGCCGGTGGTGATGACATTCTTTCTTGCGGTTTGAATGGCTAGAACTGGCCCTCAGGTGTGGTAGGTAACGGTCTTCGACCAGCTGGTCTTTAGTTTTACTGCATGTAGTCTATGCACCTTAAGCAGAATGAATGTTTAGTTGCAAAGGATGAACAAGTGGAGGGTCAGATGGACTTTCCTACCCTCCTTGAGGTTAGGCAGGTACGATGGATGGGGGCAAAAGTAAACACTCTCCAGCTGCCAAACATCCCCTGTCGGAAGAACCGGCCTGTATGGTACAAAAATTAAGATTCACCCAGACAATAAACTGTTTTTTGCCCAACATACGCCTGAGCTCGGCTAATTAATTACTTGGGCTCGCTGTGACCAAAAAAGGCGGCAGACCAAGTCCCTAGAGAACTTACTTTTCTACAGAAGCGAAAAACCACCAGAGAGAAGAAGTAAAAAAGGGAAAGAAGACAAGAAAGACTAAATCTAGAACGTGAAAAGAAGAGAAAAAAGAGTAAATCAATGAAAATCTGTCAAGATTTGATCGAGTGTTAACGGATTGGAGTTCAGCTATCTGTGTTCATTCAGTCTGCCGCTTTTTTTGACCACAGCGAACTGGGACAGAAAGCGCGGTAATTACCTACTGAGAGGCGCAAGACTTTATATAACTTCTCTTTCTTGCTTTAACTACGGTCAAACACAATCCCAACATATTATCCTGTCTTTTTTATTTCATTCTCATGTCTGATATCCCTCTAGTTGTAGGTTAGATCATCCCTCAACATGAAGCAAAACAGGATTGTATGTCAGTTACCAGCATGTTTATGGAGATGTGTTGCAACATATAAGACAAATAAGCACAGCGACAACAACGACAAAACAGCCCCAAACCCCCTGCCTACGACAAATACTCAGCATCCACCCAATCCGCATACCCAGACCCCAACACCGTCTCAATACCCACCGCCTGCGCCAACTTCTCCGAGAAGCTCGCCCTTGTTCCCTGCGCGCCAGCTCCCGTATTCCCAAACTCCCCAAACTCCACGCCACTCGTCCTCTCATCCCCAGCATTCCACACCTTCCACCCCGCCCCATTAATCACACTCGACAAGTCCGTATTCTGGAAAACCACCCTCGCATACTCCCGCCACGGCCTCCCCAAATAATACACCCCATCCCCCACACTATCCCCACTCTTCGCCGCCACCGTCGACTTGTTAATCACATACCACGACCCATCGTCCGCACTCTCCCTCCCACTAGCAGTAATATACCCCACCGACGCAGCCACCACCCGAATATCCACCCCATCAAACCACGCCTTACCCCTTTGCCCAAAAATAAAATCCGTCGCCCCCTCAATATAACTCTTCGCATACACCTGCGCCCCCTCGTTGGCCAACACCGTGTCCTGGAACCCGCGGAACTGACACCCATAGTACCCCTGCCGATCCGCCTGGGCGCTGAGCGCCAGCGCCTGCGAGCCCTGGCCGCGCGTGTTGACCAGGTTGATGTTGTACACGCTGAAGTCGGTGGTGTGCGCACGCAAAGTGGCAGTCTCGTCGTTGCCGACGCCGTCGTCTTGGGATTTGGATTGGGTGATGGTGACGGTGTTGGCGGTGTAGGAGGAGGTGTCGGGGGTTTCGCCGTAGAGGGTGAGGGAGGATTTGAGGGCGGTGGTGATGGAGACTTGTTCCTTGTAGGTGCCGGCGTAGATGAAGATGCATTGGGCTGTGGTGGTCGAGGGGGAGAGGGCGTTGACGGCGGATTGGAGGGTGCTGTAGGTGCCGGAGCCGCCGACTGTGAGGCAGCCTTCTGGGGGGGACGTGCGGCCGGCGCGCGGGAGGAGGGGGGTGGCCGCGGCGGCCGTGATGGTGGTTGTGAGGAGGAGGGTGAAGGGGGAAAACATGGTTGCGGAATGGGGACTCGGTCGAGTCAGAATGACTGAAGCTGGTTTGTCAACGCGTCTGGCTCTGGAGAAGATATCGAGTTCGAGTCGGTCATCAAGGCTGTTGACGTCTTGAAGACATACCTTAATTATAGCAACCAGCTTACAGAATGGACTATGAAGTTGACGACAGGCTTGTGTTACGTCTAAATGAGTGACCATTTCTTCCGGACATCTGTCTTTCCACCAACGACCGGAAACCCGGAATATCTCAACCTGGAAACCCCACATCCATCAATCCCGGTCGAGTACGTGTTTTTGCCGTCGACAAACATGCAGTTTGAAACAACGCGGAAGATCGCCAGCGTCTTGGCTCGGCTCGGCGTCGTTGGTTGGTGGAATTGAACTTCAGTTCGTCCCAGCGTTGCATCGGTCAAGGAGCGATCTTTCCGAGACCCTGTGATTGCGGGGGTTTGCACTGTCAATGCGTGGTCTTGTGGTTTTGAGGAATCTTCCGTTGTTTAAAGGTAATGCAGGGTAAATCTGGGGTACGGTCGGTGGTGATAATCGGTGTTCAAAGTGGGTGGGACACAAAGGGTTCATAATTACATAAGCCCTGTTTTCGGGATCTAAACTCTATGTTCACCTTCGCGTCAGTGGTTTAGTGGTAAAATCCATCGTTGCCATCGATGGGCCCCGCGTTCGATTCGCGGCTGACGCATTTTTTTCCCATGTCTGTCATCCACTGGGTTAATGCATTGCGGGTACATACAAGCAGTTCCGGAAAGCGCCTCTCGTCGAGGAGTCCTGTCGCCGGGGTCAAACCTGACCTGCCGTGTGACTTACAGCCATCCATGTCTGGGCCTACGCCACTACGATGCAGACTTACACATGCAACTGGCCGTGTGGCGGGTAAACACCTTGATCTTAACTGTGCTTACTTCTAGCCATCTGGCTAGGAAGAAACCTATGCTTCATTATCAATTCCAGTATATGTCGTTGACGCGTTTTGGAGTTTATTACTGAATTAACCTGAGACAAGTCTTGATCCAAGACGCAAATGCCAGAATCTAGGGTACATAGGGTTCTGGATTTAAAACTCTACAGAGGAATACAGTTGTATTTGACTTCATCTCTTCTTGACACACGTCTCAAAGGGTACCTTTTGCTGCGGCACAGAGGGGGATTCCCCTGTCTCACTTTTTCTACGTGTTCTTTTTCTACAACAATCTCAAGCTCACAAGCTGGAATGTCAATGACCGCTAATTACGCCATCGGTACAACGGTGTGGATAGGGCTCAACAACCCAACACATAGTGAACCACGATCTCAGAGTCGGAGGATTATGGATCTACAACCGGGGCATCGTGGACGGTACTAGACCCCCTGACGATGCGCCACTACTCGGTGGGGGGACGGGCATCCGCGTGGGGGTAGGTGGGAGAAAACGGATAACATGGTGTACTCACAAGGCTCGCAGGATTTATAAAGCAGATTTGGTGGGGGAGGAACGCTTCGTTTGGGATGAGAAAGTAAAAGCTTGAAGTTAACTAAGTCCCACCCATGTATGTGGTCTTCTCCGTTTGATTTCATGGGAAATGCTCTGGGCATTTGATTGATGTGTCGCCCAGTCCGAGCTGCTTGGGATACACCGGACTTAGATAGGTAACATAACCCGGTCTCCTTTACTGCTCACGGACCACGGCTCGTGTGGTCTGGTCTTTTGTTCCATTTCCGAATCGCCTCGGATCATTCGGTGATGCCATCCGAGCATCCCTGTGATATCCCCCGCCCTGTCGGTAGTAGATTTCGACTTTTTCTTCTTGGGAGAAAATGAACAGAGGAGAAGGAATGAAGTTTCAAACCAATGCTAACAACATTGGCAGCCGTTTGCGGACCTTCCTTTCCCAGCGACCGACCGAGAGGCCGAAGGATTGAGGGATAGAAAGTGGGGCATCGCAGCACTGATACCATTTCATCCCTTTGTTCCGAAATTCTACTGTGCAAGTTTGAAGCTACCGTCCGACAGCCCGACAAGCAGCGAGGAAAAGAAATCAGAAAATTCAGAGTTAGAAGATGCATCCCTGTGAACACTACCGCACCATACCCATGAACGCTACGTGACGTTGTCCTAGCGAGCGGAGAGGGTTGCTGCCAAGCAGTCAGCCCCTCACATCTCACTAGTCATAACACTTGCTGGCAACGTTGGGAGGGGAGTCAGGGTGTGTACGTCTGACCTGGCGTAGGGTGACACAATCTTGTGACTGGTTCCTCTCAAGTTTTGAGTGGTGCCTCGGCGCTGATACTCGAGGGCAACTCACGCTCAGTCCATGGGGCTGGTTTTACCCTTAGGATAGGAGAGTTGAGGGTTTGTGCCCGACTTACACGACATGGCCTCTCATGACAGATGGAAACTAAATCGACTGATATGCTGTCGGCCCAAAGCGGGGACCATAAGTAACTCACATATATGACGGTAGGTCCGAATGTCGCGTGATGATTGATAATTACCGAACTCGTCAGGCTTTCGCAAAGCTGATGCAGTTGAAGCACGTTGAGTCTTGCGATTACTCTTAAAGTTGACAGCAGGAAAAGGGAAAGACGAATCAAAGGCTAAAGCCAACCAGCGCGTAGTTTGATTTCGAGCCGTAGTATATCCGTCGTCGCCCCAAGGACCTTAGTTCAATGTGCTTTGAACAAGACCCTCTCGCGACTTAGGCCGGAAACGTAAAGGTAAGAATTGCGCCTAAGGCCGAGTCGGACTAAGAGCCTTTTCTGAGGTCGTCGTAAATTAAGTGCTATGTTGCAAGCGTGCCATCGCGCCGGATGCCACGCTGGTCGGGCCGATACAAGTGAGGGTCTCCAAACAACCTTCAACTCCAAAAACAACACAGAAAAAAGTTGTCAGGCCAAAACTTCAGGCGCCCCCTATTTGCGGGGTGATATTTACACGTGGGGCATTTCTTCCGTGCACGGACCAGATAAAGACTCGTGCGCAAAATCCTGATCTGGGGTTGGTTGGTCGATTCCGCTCGCCAGATCGAGTTTGACTGCCGGGCAGCCACGGCCGACGAATGGAAAAGTTCTGTTTCGTCGAGGGGAAGGAGCGATGGCGCATGTGGCCCCCTGAACCATTTGAGGCACGGCCAATCATGGGAGGAAGATCCATTCTGTCAACTTTCTCTCCGAGATGTGACTTCCTTCTGAGGAAGACAAAAGAAGGTTCTGACCTGGTCCCTGGGCTATCTCTTTTTGGTGTGTGGAAAGGGTCCCAGATCAGTCAAAAGGTCATGCGTCCGCGCAGCACTCCTCAACCACGCGCGCACAAATTCTCCCACTTGCAAGCCAGCTGTCCTGCATCCAGCGGCACCCACGAGCCCGGAAGATAGAAGCCCGCCTTGCCTTGACAGACATCCCCAAAACTCAGAGACAACGTTACACGTTGACACCCGTCACTCGACTTGAGATAGCTGCGCTGCTGCTGCAGGACACACAGCACTGAAAGATATGTGCGGCTCCCCTCTCGGCGAATCTCCTGCTAGGCAGCTGTTTCATGCATGCTGCAGCGGCAGAAGCACATGAAATGCTACCCAAGACCCGGGGAAGAGGGTCACCCACACGGACCAGATGGACGTTCTTGTCAGGTCCCGCCCCGCCGGCCCTTGGCCTTTGATGCAGGGCCGAATCCTTCAAGAGACGTCGACTTTGTGGGCACTCTACTACTCTTGTATTCGGTAAAGTCCCGAGGCTCAGGTCGATGTCTTCCTTGAGAAAGACACAGAGAGATCCATGTTGTCAACTTGCCTTCGTTTGCTCGCCACAAGAATGCTCTGCCACGGGGGCGAAGGAAGATGCTCCTAATCCCAGCGGCCCATCGCAGCCAGCCTCTTCATCTGGCCGCTTTTCTGGCCCGTTATTGGCCGGCGACCGGCCTCCTTGAGGCTCAACTCATCTCGGGGCGCGGAGGCCCAGTGCCGGGCCAGACCGCATCGCCCCGCCGAGCCGATATCTGAAGTCAGCCCCTCCAGCCCTGCACCCCCTCTCACCATAAGTGACCCCCATCTTATTCTCCTGACCGAAACCACAAGGACCCTTTCGGCATGTCTCCGCACCTCCTGGCCCACCACGGCGACAGGATTAGTGCGGGTAGCGTTCAACGTGCAGTCTTCTAGACCGATCAGGTGGCGCCAACGGGGTCGGTGTGATTGGCCTTGGCCACCCCGCGCGCAGCGTTTTGTCTCGGGGGCCGGTATCATTCTCGACTTCTTCAACTAACATGTGCTGTGTTGCCCTATGCATGCTGCCCACACCCTTGTTGCAACCCTGGAGGCCGAGTGCTTCCGGGTCGTTCAAGGCCGGATATTTCGGGATAGTATGGGTTCATGAAATATCATTTAAGTAGCCTCATCTACCCCTCGGTTTTCGTTTCTTTCCTGTCTACCTCATCACCGTCCACTCCTTGCCGGTTCAAGATACATTCCTTCATCTACCTTCCTGTGGAAGTCTACTTCACCATCCATTCCTTGTACATATTATCTGTTGATACTTCACCCGTACATACTTTACCCGTACATACACATACACGTACATACAACATAGCAACCTGCCCACCATGCATTTCACCTCCTACCTCTCTCTCCTCCCCCTGCTCGGGGCCGCCCTCCCCGTCTCGGCCTCGGACCCGCCCTCCTATGACGGCTACACCCTCGCCTGGGCTGACAGCTTTCAGGGCCCGTCAGGCAGCCTGCCCAACGAAAACAACTGGAACATCATCGACGGCAACCTGGGCGTGAACAACGAGCTTGAGACCTACCGCCGGGACCCCTACAACGTGCAGACCTCCGGTGGCACCACGCTGCAGATCACGCCCCGGCGGGCCTCCGACGGCTCCTGGACCTCGGGCCGCCTGGAGTCCAAGTACACGTTCACGCCCAAGTCGGGCGGGCGGACGAAGGCCGAAGCCGGCATCCGGTTTGGTGCGAACGATCCTAGCACGAAGCAGGGTATTTGGCCGGCTTTTTGGTTGTTGGGTGATTCGATTCGGCAGGGGACCTCATGGCCGGCGTGTGGCGAGCTGGATGTCATGGAGACGGTCAATGGGCAGTTGACTGGGTATGGCACCGTGCACTGCGATGGTGAGTCTCCTTTCCTAAAGGGGTCAAATGTAAGGCCAAACGGTGGCATGAGCAACGAACTAACAACCCCATAGTCAGCCCCGGCGGCGTGTGCAACGAGCCCAGCGGGCGCGGCAAGTCGATTTCCCTCGACAGCCAGGACTGGCACACGTGGAGCATCGTGTGGGACCTGACTTCGGGCGACTGGGGCTCGCAGTCCATCTCATGGTTCCTGAACGGCCAGCAGTTCAACCAGATCACTGGCTCGTCCATCGGTAACCAGGGCGTGTGGAACAGCCTGACGACTAAGCCGCTGTACCTGTTGCTTAACGTGGCTGTTGGTGGGTCTTGGGTATGTTGGAATTCTTTTCCTTTTTTCTTTAAGTCTGTTGAATGATGAAGTGGGTTTGCTAACGAATGTGTGTTCTAGCCTGGAAACCCGAACGGTAACACCCAGGACGGCCCCGGTGCTATGATGGAGGTCGCGTATGTGGCGCAGTACCATTCTTAAAAACCGTTTCTTGAGCCTTCGTCCATGATCTGGACAGTTTCAGCTTGAGAACGGATGTCGCTTCTCGTGTATATATTTTCGATTCTTTTGACGTTCTTCCTGAAGAACGGCGTGCTCGGTGGCACTTCTACCTGTACATAGTTTGACCGTTGTTGTCGCTCGCTTGCATGTGTACATACTTTAAATCCAACCTTTTTCACTCGTTGACCGACGTTTATTACTTAACGCGCCATGATTGTAAGCTTTTTCCGCTGCTTCGGAAACGTTGCCTTGGGACCTCGATCGAGAAAAGGCATCAACTAATCCCTTGCTTTACGACGACGTATGGGACCTCAAACTAATTACGGGTCCGTCAAGCCAACTGTTACGTTAGCTTATAGAGTCGATGTTACTCAAAGGAGAAAATGTTATAACCTAATCCACAAGGCAATGGATCTCGCATCTTGATAATGAAGCATAAATTATAGAATCGTAAATACATATGTGCGTGTAATGTTCATCCAGGTATCCCATCCCCATAAACCATCACTGCCTCCCATCTATTTTATATACATTACCCGATCGTCATCGACACAGCCCGTATCAATACGCCGCCGACCAAGGCCATGCATGCAGCTTCCCCATAACGCCCATATCATCGTGTAACATCATGCCGGGTCTCGTACAACGCAGACCAAGCTCATCCAACATCTCCCTTTTTCAGCCCCATTAATATCCCCCGAAAACCCAAGGAGAAACCAACACCCACCAATGCCCTCCCTACCAGGTTACTCATGCCCCCCACCCCCCGGACCTCCTCCTCTCCTCATCATACTCCACCTGCACCGTACTAGTCTTAATAATCCCCCTCCCCCCACCCCCCTCCGACGACGCCGAATGATGATAATACGGCCGTCCCTCCTGCGGCAATATACTCTCCTCCGACCCCGTAGCCGACACCCGTGATGGGGCGCCCGTTCCTGCTCCTCCCAACCCTAGCCCAGTCCCTGGTACAGTCCCCGGCGATGGCAAGTGATGGCCGGTCCCCGGCGAAACCCGTTCCTCATCCAAACTCCCCCCAAGACTGCTACTCGCCCTTCCAGAGCTCTTAACATCAGCCGTGAACTGGTTACGGGACTTGCCGCTTCCACTGCTGCCGTACATTTCAAAGGCGGGCAGGACGGAGCGACGGAGCGGGGTGCTGATGCGGCGGTTGCGGGAGGTGGAGGATGCGGGGGTGTTGTGTTGTTCGTCGTCGGCGCCGTTGCGGAAGTAGCGGTTTTTGAGACCGCTTCCGTGGCTGCCGCTGCCGCTTTTGGCGGCGCCACCGGCGTATTTGTTGGAGGAGCCGCCGAAACGGTAGCGGGCAGAGGAACCGTCGAAGAGGGATTTGAAGAGGGGTTTGAGGCAGGGGACGGAGGCGGCGATGATTGCGACGTTGATTTCGACTGTTGTCCTAAGGGGGGTCGGTGTTAGAGGGTGGAGGAGTGGGGAAAAGGAGGAGAGAAAAAAAGGGGGAACATACCAAATCGTGATATCAGCACTATCCCAGAGGAAATCACCGTGCTGGCCATACGCGCCAAGGTATGTGATCTTGACGATGGCAGCGACGGCCGCAAAGATACCCACAGACAAAATAGTGGCCACGGCGGCTTTCACCTTCCAGTTCATCTGCACGTTCCAGAGAATTGGGATAGGCAGTAGGGCGAAGAGGACATCGGTCAGCACAGCGACGCTGGAGTTGAAGAAGGCGGCGAACTTGAGGTTGCTCGGCGGGATGCAGGTGCCTTCGACGGACGAGTCCCAGATTAGGGCGAGGGGGCGGCATTGGAAGAAGACGGTTACTGTTGTCTAACAGTTAGTGGGAAATTAAATCATGCTAATAGAGTGAGAAAAAGCGGGTGGGTGACGAACAAAAGTTGCCTGTGGCCGAGAGAACGGTAAAGATCATGGTGCCAATGACAATCCACCGGAATCGTGGCGACGGGGTCAGTCGTAGCAGGAAGAAGCCGACGCTGACCTTGGTCAAGCACAAGGCGATCAGACACAGCGGTTGCGTGACAAAGTTGAGGTGCAGGCCGCGGGTGACGTTCTCGGGCGGTTTAATGTATTGGACGTGACGGCCAGCACCGAGCTGGACTTCGGGGATGATAATCATCATCTCGACGAACATGACCACCTACGAGTGTCGTTAGTGTTGTCCCCCTCCTTGCGTCGCATTCTCCTTGGTAAAGCACATACCATAGCGCCGATGATGACCCAGTCGTCCATCCCAACATGCCGCACCATCTTGTACCTCACAAACAACCGCATCAGGACAACGACAAGAGCGAGGCCGACGAGGGCCCCGCAGACCGCGAGGATCTCAGGGCCCCTGTTTTCGTCGGGGGGCATCGGCGCGTCGGCCATGGTGATGATGGGAGCAAGGTGGACGACGGCAAGCCTCCGAGATGCAGATGTTGGAGGAGAGAAAAGCAAAACCGACAGATCGAATGTGCGGGAGACTAGCGGGAAGATCGAAGATCCGAATTACGGGCCGGGGGGGTAAGGGGACTAAAGGCGGGGAGTCCGAGGGCCAAGGTTGGTTTTGAAGGAGTGAAACCTGTGATCGCCCAGACAAAGCCTTCGGCTTGGAAGCATGGGTTTCGATCCTGAGCAGCCTCGAGGCCTGAAGCAAAGACCAGGTAAGGAAGGGAAAGGCGTATGTCAAAGTTCACAGCGCTCCTCGGGCAGTTTCCGATCCGTACACTAGACCGTCCGGATGACCGACGCCACGGGCAAGATTTCACGTTGCATCGACGAGGAACGATTCCAGCTGGGTTCTTGTGCCAAGAATGCAGAATGCAGAATCCCGCCCCGGCTCCCGATGGCTGGGCTCGGTGTTCCGATCGCTGAAGGCTGGGGAGCACATGCAGGCGGAGGGCGAAGCTGACTGGCGGACCAGGGCAGCGGATTTCGAGTCCCAGAGACACGATACTGGATATTTTGACGGTTCCCCCCCTCCGCGTGTCTTGGTTCTGGGTCCTTTGACTGGAAAAATCGATTTTGGGGGACGAGGATAGCGCGGTGTGTGACAATGGCGTGGGTTCAGTTCCTCGATCCCGACTGGTGACGTTGCGTTCTTGCATTGTCTTGGCCCCGCTACTGATTTTTATTTAGAATGGGTTCCCTGTCGAGAGTTCTGCGGCCAAAGCGATGGAAGCACCGCGAAGGCGAGAATGCGGGGATGACCTGGTATCGTCTCAGGGGTAACTAACCACAAATGCAGCGAGAGTTCTTCCTGTTCACCGAAGGCCCTGCTGCTCTCGCTCGAAATCTCGGAATTCCGTCCATCTCAGAAGCTGCGAAATGTGTCTTCGATCACGACAGGGCATGTTGAAGATGCCAACGCTCATGTCTCAGACCCCGCTTGACCTGTCTCAGTGCTCGGAACAAAACATCATCCTCTTCCATCATCTTCATCCGGTAAGCTCTTCGTGGTCTGGGGAACGAAAGCGAAACTCCCAAGCAGTTTCCGGCGGAAGGGGGCAGAAAGGTGCGCACGGATTCTCAGGAGGAAAACGAGGTTCTTAGCCATATGTGGATGTCGTCCGGCAATATCCCGGCAGAAGTTCTGCAACTTTGCGCTGAAAACCCAGAATTTCTCCGTCCGCCTTGCGACGCAGTTTCCAATTGGCTATTTAGGCGACAATGGCCCCACTATATGCAGCACCGCCCAGATCTGGGAACCGATCGGCACTGGAGTTTTTGTAACCCACCGACTCTTCCAGCAGCGATTGACCAATGGCGGCAAGCTGATAAAGTTCTTCCACGGTTTGGTGTTGCTTCCACCGAGTATTTGCAGTATTCCCTGCATGTTACCGTGTGGGGACCTGAATGGTGGGCCTTCTTTTTTACCACACACAACCGAAAAGTTCAACCAAGAGAATCTCAATCTCCGAGCTCCACAACACAACAATATCCGCCGTCAAAGATGGAATAGTCAAGAAACGGAGGCAGCCGGGAACAGCCCAGTGATTCCAGCACTCTTTCGGAAGACTCGGCAGCGGCCCCCAGTAACATAACACCGCCACACCACGATGCGGGGCCACCGTCAACTCCAATTCTCCAACTCGGACAGAAAGTGGAAAGGAGAAAGGACAACGAGCCACACACACAACTGCCGATTGCAAAAACACACACACTATTGAAATAGTCTCTCAGGCGGCGGATCCCCTTTATGTCCAAATTCGGGCGAAGCCCGGGTGAACTGGCCGTTTCCGTTTAGTTTCCATGTCAAAATCGGGGTCCCAAGAGTCCGAGGCAGTCCCGAGAGCAAACCACCACCGGAAGGGAGCACGCTAACGAAACTCCTGCGGTCCCGCACGCCCACGCGGCCAGCCCCCCGGCCGGGACCATGTGGGCGCACGCCGAAGCCCCGGAATTGCCACGAGGCAAGCGGGTCCATAACTATTATGCGGTCCCTCGCCCGTTCCGTTCCTGTTTCTTTGCGACGAAGTTCCCTTCTGGTGTTTCCCGACGACCGAACACACTTCGTTCCCTCGCCGCAGCCGACTCTTGGCCCAGCTCGCGATCGCGATCGTGCCGGCAGTGATCGACAACGAGGTAGTGAACGAGATATCCTACTGAGTCAAAGCCAGGCCAAGGACGATCCATCATGAAGGTGACCGCTCTCTTGCAGACGGCCCTCCTGGCCACCGCGGCCATGGGCGCGTGTGTGCAGGAACGTGCCGACGACGACCTCACCGAGTCGCCCGAGCTGCGCGACTTGTTCGAGCAGGCCAAGAACCGGGTCCTGGAGGAGCTCGGCGCCAATGCGAAGAAGTTGCGCAGCCGCGGTGGGAAGCCCAAGTGCACGGCCGACAACCTCATCTTCCGCAAGGAGTAGTACGTATCTTCCGTTTCTTCAACCACCCATATGGCGGGCAAACCTCCAACATGCGTACTAACCAACACGCAGCGGCTCCCTCTCCACCTCAGAACGGCAAGCCTACGTCAACGCGGTCAAGTGCCTCCAAAAGCTCCCCCCGCGCACCCCGGCGTCCGTCGCGCCGGGCGCCAAATCCCGTTTCGACGACTTCGTCGTAACCCACATCCAACAAACCCTCTCCATCCACTACTCCGGCGTCTTCCAGCCCTGGCACCGCTGGTTCGTCTACCAGTACGAAAAAGCCCTCCGCGACGAGTGCGGCTACACCGGCTACCAACCCTACTGGGACTGGCCCCTGTACGCCCGCGCCCCGCAGGACTCCCCCCTCTTCAACGGCGACCCTTACTCCCTCGGCGGCAACGGCGAGTACACGCCGCACGACGGCCCCGTCATCGTCCCGCCCCCCGGCGTCGGCGGCGGTAACATCCAACTACCCCCTGGCGAAGGCGGCGGCGTAGTCACGACCGGCCCCTTCGCCAACATGACCGTCAACCTGGGTCCCGTGGGCGGACTGGCCGACACCGCTCCCGGCCCGGATGGTGGCTTGGGCTACAACCCGCGCCCGCTCAAACGCGATCTCGGCGGGGCCATGAACACCCGCTACGCCAACTACACCACGGTCCTCAACATGCTCCGCACGCCCTCGGTCGACGCCTACCGCCTCATCTCGGAGGGTGTCCCCTACACCATTGAGATCGGCCCGCACGGTGGGATCCACTACACCATCGGCGGCGACCCGGGCGGTGATCTCTTCACGTCCCCCGGAGACCCGGCGTTCTGGGTTCACCACGGACAGATGGACCGATTGTGGGCGGTGTGGCAGGCGTTAGACCCGACGACGGCGCGGAAGCGGTACTCGGAGCTGGGACAGGGGAATTATGCGCATATGACGTGGGCGAATGACCCGGCGTCGCGGTTGGTGAATATGTCGGATACATTGGATATGGGGTATGCGGGGGAGTCGGCGGCGATTTGGCAGGTGATGTCGACTACGGGAGGGGATTTGTGTTACTATTATTTGTGATTGACAAGGGGGATGGATGGATGGATGGGTGGTGGTTGGGGTTAATTAGTGGGAGACAGACAAAGAATGGCTTCGGTCGTGTGGGCATACCCAAACGTGCATATTCTTCTAATACATAGTAGCGTTGGTGTTTAGCCTAGCCAATGCATTTCTTAGCACCATGAGCCATCGGTAAACAAACGGGTTCTTCGCAACCCCCTCATTTCAACCCCGTGAGAGTCTTTCGTGACCAGACATTCCATATAATCAGACACGATACCAACTACATTGATTAATCTTTCCACATGAACGCAACATTAACGGCACTACCGTCCAGCACCGTTCAGCACAGATTCACCATTCTCAGCCTATCGTTCCCCCGACACGTATCACAGAATACAAATCTCCTGTCCTGCGGGAAATGGAAAAGACGCTTTTATCATTCCTTAACAACACCCCTGCGCAGACTAACATTTCAAGACACCCACAACATGAGACGACGTCACCCTCTTAATCCCCAACGAAGCTGATCCGTCCCTTCGCAACCGCAAACAAAGAGAGCCCATGCACCACGGCGTACCACGCCCAGAAGCCCCGTTGGCGATCGAATCCGTTCCCGCCCAAAACACGAGTCCCCAACGGAGACAACGGCGGAAGTGTTAAAAAGGACGGCAACTCAAGACAGTTCACTGCCACTTCGGTTTCATATATTTCCCCCACCTCCGTTCTCCTCAGTTACGGCTCAACTTGACTTTCGTTGGCTTACATCTCAACCTGTTTGCAATTATAAAATGACCAACATCACAGTTCATACGCTACTTCTCTCCCCCCCATCCACCCTTGTACACCCTCCCGGTCACCACATAACAAGCCCCAAACGACACTGCAAAAAAGCCTTCCACACCTCCTTGTATTTATCGTCCTCCGCCCCGCCAGTCGACGTTATCGAAATACACCCCCCGACCGCGTCCTCCCCATAAGTGTAGATGTTCCATCATCCTTCCAGAAATCTAACCATCCAACCGTCTCCCAGGCCGCCAATCGACCACGTCGAAATAGCCCTTCCCCCGCCCCCCAACCACCCTCCCCGTTTGTCCTCCAGAAGTTTGGGGCAAGACCCAATAACTGATACTACCCATCATATCTCGTCCATCTCCCGGCTGAAACGGCTGTGAAAGCCTCGTTTGCCATCCCCGGCCCCCTTTATGACGGTTGCGGGGACTCTCCCGCTCGACATCTCAGGTCTACTTCTATCAGTATATGGAAGATTATACTAGGGCTAGACGTAGCAAACCTACCTGGGTTTCAACGGCAGGACAATCTCCTTTCTCTTCTCCTCTCTATCCGGCGATGCTGCGTTGTCCTTTTTCTCTAAGGACGGAAAAGACTCGCCGCCCGCAGAGGCCTTGTCTTTCTTGCCAGTGGCATGGGGCGACTTGTCGTTCTTGGCATGAGACTGAGAGACGTTGCCCTTTTTCTCCAGGGGGGCGAGATCGTGAAAAAGTCGACACCGTGTCTCGTCATGGATGTCGGTGAAGAAACCATCGAGCAATCGGAGCGTGCCTTGTTCTTGAGTTCCTATCAAAAGATCAGTACCCCAACGTGTGATTCACGGGGGGGGACGTCCACACTTACCGTCAACCCAACAGGGACACGACGCCAGCCGTAAGTAGGCAGCGAGTGCGCAGGCAAATAATGTGAGGTTGAGAAGTGAAAGTCGAAGCGTAACGAGAGCGGGAAATGAAAGGCGGAACTCGAGTGTTGGTTCAATCTAATAATCGTTCCCGTGCTCATCATCCTCACAATCGTGCCCGCAGCCATAATAACCACTCATTTCGCCCATCCCCATGGGCATACCCATGCCCATCATCGGAACCGGCATCGGCACCATAAAAGGGCATGGGCATTACGCCCTGCTGCGTTGGGATCTGGGAGATCACAAAGCTGCCGCCTCGGGGGAGATTGGCCGAGCCGTAGGTGAATTTGTGAATTGGTCGATGAAGGATGAGCTGGCTGAAGGCGAGTGAGAAGTGAATGGACTGAGAGCGTCTGCGAGGCGGGAAGCCAATTGCAACGAGGAAAATGAAGGTTGTGTGTGTGTCTCTCTGTGGAAAAGATCAGGTTGCAATTTAGGAGCGGCGCGGGGTATATATACTCGAAATTTCTGGGTCGGTCTGTGTTTCCTTGCCGGACCGCACTTGCCCATTTACCTCATTTCTAGGCAATTACAACCGATCATGTCGCTCCGGTCACAACTAAGTCGTATGGCAATCACGACCCACAGCGATGGAAAGTATGGTAATTACAACTGTGCATCTGAGGGTAGTTTCACTCGGGTGAGTGGTTGACAGGCACATTGTAGTGTTTGAGACTTCCGAACTTGAGTTTGGAGAAATCCAGGGGTCTAATCCAAACAATAATGGATAGCTCTCCAACTCAAACATGATTAAGTCACGATGAACCACATGTTTTGAGTGAATGTGAGATTTTATTTGATGATTTGATGAAGAGAAGAACTAATGTAATCAACAAGGTAGTTAGGTTCAGTTGAATAATAATTAATTAATTAGCTCCCGTGCTCATCACCCTCACAATCGCACCCGCGCCCACAATAACCCCCCATCGGTCCCATTCCCATGGGCACCCCCGGCATCATTCCCATCCCCATGGCCATGCCCATGCCCATCATCGGAACCGGCATCGGCACCACAAAGGGCATGGGCATGACGCCCTGCTGTTGTTGTTGCTGTTGCTGTTGCTGCTGCTGCTGTCCTTGTGCCTGCTGCCCCAGGCGCCGCTCCACAGCTTCTTCGACCCGCCGTGCAATCTCTGCCTCGGTGGACGCCGCCCGGCCCCGACCACGGTGTCGCCGAGTGCCGGTCCGTGGTTTTTTGGTTGGTGCTTGGGCCGGCGGAGTGGTTGGGGTTGTGCCGGTGGCCGTGGACGGGGCTACGGCGGCGGCAGCGGGCGAGGCAGGGGCGACGGGTGTTGGCGGCGATGGAGGAGGTGTCGCGACCGGGGCGGGGACGAAAGGTGCCACTTTGGGGGACATCGGCCGGGCCGGAGGTGGGGCCGGAACTGAAGCCGGAGTCGGAGCGGGAAGTGGGGCCTTGAGTGGGGCCGGTTTTTGTTTTGGTTCCGGCTTCGGCTCCGGCTTCGGCACCGGTTGCACCTCCGGGACTGGGGTGGGTATAGGTGACGATGCCGGTGTTGACGGAGGTGCGAGGGCCGGTACCAACGCAGGGGACGATGGCGAGGTGAGGGACGCCGGGAGACGGGGACTAGGCAACCTCACGCCGGCGTCCCACACCTTCTCGTTGCTGGCGTTGCTGTTGTTGCTGTCGTGGCCGTTTCTGTTCTTGGCGTCGGTAGCAGCAGCAGCAGCGGCGGCGGCGCTCCGCTCCAGTTCCGCCAGCGCATCGCCCGCCTCCTTGTCCATGGCTCTCCACTTTCCGTCGGAGAACTTCATGAACGTTACCCCCGACCCCGACGACCCCGACGGCGCCGTATGCACCGTACCAACCCGAGGCGCCAGATCCCCCAACCCCAACCAATGCTCTACCTTCTCCCTCTCGAACAACTGCTCCACCGGGATACTGCCTAAATTCTGGGCGTTTAGAGGGCATTGTTGTTGTAGCCCGCTTACCGCAGCAGCCTCGGCAGGGATGGTAGGTACCGAGGGATTTTGCACGGCTATGACGGGTTTGGGGAACAAGTGCTGGCTCCAGGTCCCGTCGCGGTTATAAACTAACGGAGCGCCGTTCGTTTGAACCGTTTGTCCTGGTTGATACCGGGGCATGGGCTCTTTTCTGGGCGCCACGGCCACCTTGGGGAGGGCGCGGCTGTGAAGGTGTTAGGTAACCAATAACATGGATAAAGAAAATGAAGAGAAGGGAGCGGGGCGAGCATAGAAGGATAGGTCGGGTCCGAGAACATTAAGAACCAAATAAAACGATACAACAATATTGTAAAGAATATAACATACCGCTCCGGAACCTTAGTCCTCATAGCCTTTGTGACGGTTGCGGGGACTCTCCCGCTCGATAACTCGGGTCTACTTTGATCAGCATATAATATATTACACTGAGGCTTGATATAGGAAACCTACCGATGCTTCATAGGCAGTACCAGCTTCTTCTTCTCTCCGTCCGATGACGGAGGTTTTTTTGCTCTTTTCTCCAGAGGCGGAAACGACTCGCCGCCCGGAGACAACTTGTCCTTCTTGCCGGTGTAAAGGGGCGCCTTGTCCTTTTTATCCCTGGACTGGGAGTCGTTGTCTTTCTTGTTGGGAGAAGGGGCCGCCTTTTGTTTGGAACCGGCCGCGGTCTTGTTTTTGTCGCCAGTGTTGGCACTGCCTTCTGAGGGAGCAGCGCCAGTGGAGAAGGCGATGGTGAGTGTGGTGTTCATCATTTTGATGAAGTTGGTGGGTGTATTGGTGTGTGTGTTAATTTGTAGAATGAAATTAAAGGATAAAGTTCTTCAGCGTTGAGTGTTTGGGCATGAGATGTTATATCTGTGCTTATGGACTTATGGGGTGAGAACTTACAAAGGAGAGAGGGATGAAGCGGGGGGGACACCGAGTATTTATACATTTCGAGAGACGAACCTTGGGTCCGTGTGGGCTGTCGAGATGGAACCAACTAGAACGCTTCACGGCAAAGGAAGAAACCTGAACATCAAAAGAACTGCAGAGTAGGAGCATAGTGCACGTTTCATATGTCGGCATATGTTAGGTTCTTGTCTGTGCGCGGGTGCTCCTATACGATATTCTTCCTCCCAATTCTCTCAATCCGCTTCATAAAGTTGATTCTAGAACCTCTGTTCGTGCGTGCATCATGCATGCAGTTGCATGCTGTGTGCGTTGTGGTTGTAATCATCTAATGGCGGGACTTTGAGGGACAAGTCCAATTCCCAATCAGGAAACAGGCGTGTAAGTGGCCATGCGGATCCTAGAGACTGGCTCCATCGAGTCCATCATCACGCCGAGTTTCATAAATTTTAGCCGTTCAGTTCCGGCGTTTACCGAAGTGATTAGAACCATCAATATGTAAAACGGCGTCGGAGTAACCTTAACCGTCGCGCGGCGAGTGTAATGAAATCGGGAGAAACGCAGAGAACCAGGCCAGTCTATGATGTGTCTTGGTGCAAACTCAAGATCAGGTGACTATACCTAAGGTATCCGGCGTACTTTCAACACATGATGGACGACGGCCTGTTCCAGCACTTTTTCGGAGACAACACGTCCGCCGCTCTGGCCCAGGCATGTAAGAGGTCAGAATAGAATGTGAGGTACAACTGTCAGTTCTAGCCACATCCCGTTGCTTCTGTCTGGGCAACGGAGAACCACAACTTTCCACCGTCGGGCTTGCAAGTTAGCACTGACAACCAGAAGAAACTCAGAGCACGACAGAAAAATGGGTCGTGGGAGCGTAGTAAGTTGCGTGATGGAAGGTCCGACCCGGGTTCTTACGGCTTTAGTGGCAGATACCAGGCGGCAGGAACAATGGACCGCTAGCTGGGGAAAAGTGAAGGGGGCCAGCACGAGACTCACTCCTTCCTTTTCTCAGTGGCTTCGCACTGAGCATGGCCGAGGCGATTTTCAACCATAATTCGGTTTGGGAATGTCGTACTTATGTTACCTGGACCCGACCGCGCTTATAATATGTTTCGTCAGTCATATTCGTAGTTGACCACCCCAGTTTACCAACCGGGTTGTAAATTCCCAAGTTTGACACTGTTGGAGGTCTTCTCGAACTGTGAAGGAGGTCGGCGTTTTGGCCCGGGCGCTCTACAGCGCGCCATCCACTACAAACAACTAGCAAACCAAATCACTGTGGTCAGACACCTGAGAGCATGTTTTGAAACATCATGCGGAGGGTCCTCCCGACGGTTACCGCTGAGAAACAGACCGAAGCCACGAGACGCCTCAAGGTCTACCGAGACTGGCTTCTCCAGCGCGTCATGCCGCTATCAGACGATGGCCAGTCTAGCACAGGCTTGCTTCCTCCTTAGAGCAACCGCGAGCTATATTACTGACCGCAAAGGCCCACAGGACTGGTTTCTTCTTCCTCCACGTCGGCCCTTGGGCAAAGGCCCCGAACATATCATTCCCAATAAGGCGTCCTCAAAAACGGATGGAAAATCACCTAGTTGCCCTTAGCTTCATGGGGGGAAGAGTAGCGACGTCACACTTGCTGGGCAACTTACTGGAAGACGACGGGGCATTAGAGGAGAAGCAGTTGGCAGAGAGAAGCGTGACCTTCCACCCTCTCGATTCCAATACGGCAGCCACATTGACTCCCGACTGTTTGTCGCGCTTTCCCTCAATTTCTAAGTGCCAAAATGGCAGAGCTACCACGGCCGTTTCAGCCAGTCCTCGTTGCTGGTCCTTTTTTACGCACCCTCAACTTCCACCCAACATCCCTAGCCCGCCCGCATCCTCAACCATCCTATTTAGAACCTCAAACGCCGCTCCGCCAGCTGCCGACCGGACCCAAGGCCGCTCCCGCCATGGACGAGTTCAACGGCCGTATTTTCCCGTCCGTCGACGGCTTCCACGACAAGTATTTCAAGGACAAGACATGGTCTATCCAAGCACACGAGTTCGCCGATCAAGTGTCACGGATGGTGACACCCTCATCCAGTGATACCTTCAATGAGGATGCGTGGGATTCACAACCGGCGGTCACAAGATGGTTCCATCGGTTACAGAACTTAATAGAACCCAACGCTCAGAGCGGCTTTCGTGTCCAACAGATCCCAGGCTTACGTCAGGCTGATAGGATACGGCTTGAAGTTCTGCTAACACCTTGGATTGGCCAGATGGATGTCCCGCCCGTTGCCCGCATATTCGGGGAAGTCGTGTTGGGAGACGATGGCTTGGGAAATCTTCTCCCGCCTCCGGGGATCGGCCGCTTCTTCGAGCGCGGCCGAGACATCTTCAATTCGTGCCCGACCCGCCACTTTCTACACGGTTTCCGCATCTATAGCGGTGCGATCGAGCTGTGGATGTTTGACCGGTCCGGCGTGTACAGCAGCGGGCCTCTGAAGTAGGACAAGAGCTACCCGTACCATCTGGCCAGAATTATGGCGGGCTACGCGATGATGGACCGTGACGAAGTCGGTTTTAGTCCGTTCGTGTTTACCGACGTGGACGAGACCCAGAGGCTCGGCTCCACGTACTTCGCAATTGACGAGCTCATTCCGGGGCGGATAAGGTATTATGTTGAGGATACCCTTTGCGAGCCGGCGCGTCTTTTTGGGCGGGGGACCAGCTGCTACCTGGCCTCTCGGTGCTTCCCCAGCCCAGACCACTCAGATGCAGGTGGCGAACGTTCTGCGGAAAACGACAAAGAAGAAGAAGACGCTGTTGTCAAGTTTTCTTGGAGATACGAGGAACAGCACAAAGAGCTAGTGCTGCTGCGGTTGGCACAAGAGCGTGGTGCCTGGGGTGTTCTTCGGGTGACGGACTGGCGGGATCTCACGACGATTCAGTCACTTCGTGGGGGGTTGCAATTTAAAGAACCGCATAGTACGTCGCGTCATGCACCGTCCCCCGCCCCCCGTGATTCCCTCACAGACCAATATGGACACTAAATCATAAAACACAGGGCTTACCCCCGACGGGGACGCCCTCATCCCCGTAGCATTGACCGAAGGACCCCAGAAGGCAGGCAACCCATTTGTGAACAAGACTTTGTCCTGCCTCGTCACGGAACCGCATGGCCGACCTATCTACCAATTCCACAGCATCTCGGAGCTCCTTGAAGCCTTTCAGGACCTCGTTCGCGCCCTTCAGTCCCTCTACCAAACCGCGGGCATCCTCCATCGGGATATCTCGCTCCGCAACGTCATCATCCCTGATTACCCGCATGAAGTAGACAGTGATCAAGATAAAGCAGATAATGATCAAGATGAACCAGACCTTTCCGGAAAAAAGGGGCTGTTAATCGACCTCGACGTTGCACACGATGTCTGGACGCATCCGACCGTACCCATGGTCGGGACGCCTGGGTTCGAGGCGATTGGGGCCCTCCGCGGAGACGCATTCACGTACCGGCACGATCTGGAGTCGCTGTTCTATGTATTTCTGTGGATTGCGGTCGGCCACAATGCCGAGCGCGAGGACCCCTGGAGGGTGTTGGCCAAGCGATCTCCGCCAAGCGTGCTGTTGGGATGGTTTGATAGTGACCTTCCTGGAGTGGCGGTTACAAAAATGTCGTACATGTCGGCGGAAGGGTTCGAGCTGGTCCTGGGGGAGTTTGCGCCGGAGTTTACGGAGTTGAAGGGGCTGGCGAGAGAGTTGCGTGGGATTTTGTTTCCTGAGCGGGTGGGTCAGATGTTTGTTGGAACGGATATGGGTGAAGATCGTACAACAATGCTGTATGATGCGATGGCTGGGGCGTTTGAGCGGGCTATTGCCGAGTTTCCAGATTTTTGAATAAGGTTCAATAGCGGGGCAGAGGTGTGTGTGTGTTTTAATATCGCTGGCGATGAAGTCTTGCAATCAGGGTCAACCTGGTAGTTATTCGTATTGGTTACTCTTAATCCAGCGCATGTAGTATTCATCATCCTACTAAATAATTAACGAGCGTGTAACTTAAGAACAGTTCACTTGTCATTGGCAAATGGTTTATTTACCGACTTAGTCTGCTTTTCTCTCGCCAGTTATTGACCTGTCGCCGACGTCTGAAGCCTGGATAACCTTACCGACACCAATTCCCACCCGGGGAGATGAGCAGGAGGCTGTGAGGATACTAAGCCAATAAATAGTTAGAATAAGCAGGATCAGTCACATGGAGCAATACTCCAGAGGCCAAGACCATACAGTCGTCAGATATCCAACCAAATTAGCAATTATAAGAGTAAATAAATATCGTGACAAGTGACAAGACCCAAGAGGGGGGTATGCTTTCTAAACAATCCATCCAAAAGGGGGTATAAAACCATGATGATGATGACCCAGACAAATGAGAACCCATCCATCCATCCACCAAACAAAAAATACAAAAGAATAAAAAATAAAAAAGGGTCATAACAACCGAGAAGGGGCACAGAGGAGACAAAACAGCTACCGCTGCCCAATCGTATTCCTCCTCACCCGTTCCCCATCCCGTTTCGTCGCCCCCGTAACCCGCGACCACTCCTCCCACTCCCGACTAATCTCCATCAACACGCCCCCCATCACCTGCGCACTCGCCATCAACCCATGACTCTCCCCCTCCAGCACCCTCACCTCACACCTCCGCATCGTTTTCCCCAACCACCGCACATTATCCACGGGAACCCGCGTATCCCGACTGCCGTGGTGGATGACAACAGGGCGGGTGATGTCGACGTAGCGGAAGCCGATGGTGTGCCGGCGTTCGAGGCAGACGAGGAGGTCGACTGCGGGGTTGGCGCCGGTGGTTGCGAGTTGCCAGATGGCGTGGGTGAGACGGTTGTCGTAGAGTTCTTGGCGTTCGCGTTCGGCGGCTTGGGTGCTGGCGAGGGTGGCGGCGGAGGAGAAGATGGGTTCTTCGGAGGTGCGGCGGAAGGGTTTTTGCTGGGAGGAGTTGGAGCGGCGGTGTTGGGGGGTGTGGCCTACTCCGATGGTGTTAGGTATTGAGCCGTTGGTTGGGACGTCTCCGTCTTGAGTGCGGGTTTGGTGTAGTTGGTCGTCGTCGGTAGGCCGTGATGTGGTGTAATTCCCATCTGCTGTGCCGTCGTTGAGGTTCTCCTTGTTGTTATTATCCAGCGAGTGGAACATCCCCCTCGGCTGGTCCTTGTTTTCCTTGGTCGTGCCCTTCTTGTCTCGTTTCGTTCTCTTCTGTTTCGGTAGCGAGCTGGTGATGCTCGAGCTCGTGGCGGTCATGAAGCTGCTGTTGGCCGCTTTTAGGATGGGCGTCGGCAGCGCTCGTAATATCCGTTGACTCGTCGGGATCGCGTTGGTGGGTGGGAGCGGGGTCTTCTCGCTCGCGCCGACTACGTTCATCTGGGACGGGGGGATCCACGGCGCGAGGAGGTGGATCCGACCGCGGATGTGCTGGGGCATGCGGAGGGCCGTCGCGAGGGCATAGATCGCGCCAGCTGAGTGGGCGAGGATGGAGAATTTGGTGATTTTGAGCGCTTGGCAAATCGCGTAGACGTCGTCTGGAATCACACGAGAGTTAGCCACGAATCCCCAAATATTACAACTTCTCGGAGGGAAACAAGGAGAAAAACATACCAGGCCAGCTGAGCGGCGTCGTAGTCCCATCCGCATACGCCTCACTATCACCCACCCCCGGCCGATCCGGCGTAATAAGCCTCAGCTTCAACGTCAACGCCAGCTCGTCATAAAACGCCGTAATATACCGCGTCAAGCCCATCCCGACACAGCAAAACACGGCACTCCCGTCCGGATCGCCGACCTCACTAAAACTAATCACCCGGCCGGTCTGCGGGTGCTTGATCTTTTGTGTCAACCGCGGGCTGCACAGGTATCTCTCTACCGCGTCGTCCACGCTGTCGGCGCTCTGCGGCCGCTCGTAAGCAACCGTGGGTTGGTCGCTGTGTCGCTTGTTTTTTACTTCGACGCCAAGCTCTCCGCTGTTGTCGGGTGCCTGGCTGGCTGCCCCGGATAGCCGCTTGAGCCTGGCGCTGCTGCGCTTCTTCTTCACTGTTGGCCCTCCTGCACCGCCACCGTCACTGTTGTAGCCGCTAAAAGGATCTGGTGTCAACCGGCCGGACCGTCGTTGGTAATCGGCACTTGCTTCCCGGTCCCGGCGTCGCCCCTGCGCGACAGCTGGAGACGGGGCACCTTCATCAACTGGGTCTGTGTCTGGAAACATCGCGGCGGCGGGTGTGGAAGGCCCGGAGGTCGCCGCGTGGTGGTGGGGTGTCGGGGCCGGCGCAAATGTTCCAGAATGCTGCTCGTGCGGAGACGCCGGTGCGAGATTCAAGGGAGCCAGGCCGTGGTTCTTGGGCTGTCGTCGCTTCGCAGGATCACTTCGCGAGCCCTGCGGATGTTCCTCCAGCTCTGGGATGGTACCGTACGCGCCTTCGCTATCTCGTTTCGACGACCGCGAGATCCGCGCAGACGACCGCTTGCTCTTGCGCAGAGACGAGTCTCGGGTGGGTATCAGTCGCGGATTTGTCGTGTCGATCGGGCCTTCCAGCGGCGTGTTGTGGTATTGGCCGACGGAATAGTCGGCGTGGGATTCTTCGTTGATGATGGAGTCCGCGGACAAGGGATCGTGATGGGGCGGTGGAGCAATGCTCGATGAACTCAGTCGATTGGCGTTTCCGTTGAGGGTCCCGACGCTCGATCGTTTCTTCTCGGCTTCTTTCTCGCGGAGTCGCTCCTTGCTGCTCATGTACATAAGACCGCGAGCGCTTCTGGCCGCGGATTTCCCCCAGCTGTCGTACGACTGCTGCTTCTTCAGACCTTGGCTGTCCGACCCTCCGGGGGACAGGGGCTCCTGGGTGCGCTCGACGCTCAGTTTGCCAATACTTTCGGTACCGGATGCCACAGATCCTTTGCTCGAAGGGCGAGAAAAGCCGCCGCTGCTGCGTCGGGACAGGAGGCTCCTCAGTCCGGACGAGTCTCGGCGGATCCCGGGGCTCTTGGGCGACCGGGGCGACGTCAAGGACGACACGCTGCTCGGGTGTTTCGAGGTCCGCACGACCGGAGGACTGGCTGCCAAGTCCTCTAGGGGCACATCCTCTTCTTCCCGGAGCTGATTGAGCGACGGCTTGGAGTAGGCCCCGTAGTCGACACCGAAGGAGCCGCTGATGGGGGAGCCGGGGAAGGAGACGGAAAGGGGGCTGCCTGGTCCAATGGGGCTCAGGTACGCGGGGCCGTCGAAATGGTTACTGACCGGACGGGAGATGGTGGACAGCGAGGTGATCAGCGAGGAGATGACCTCGGGCGAAGCGGGGGCAAGTGGGCCGACCCGGTCTCGGTCGTCCTCCTTTTTGTCTCGCAGGTAGCGGTCGGCGTACCGCTCACGGTCTCGGGAGGACCAGTCGGCGAAGACGTCGTGGTAGTCGCGGTCGCGCCTCGACTTGGCACCGGCACTGGCACTGGCACGGGAAAGGTAGCTACGGCGTGAACGGTCGGGGGAGGACTGGTCGACGACGACGTGCTGGCCGAGCTCACGTTCTCCTCGGGACCTGCGAGGAATGTTGGGCGGGGCAGCCGCGAGCGAAGAGTGCTCCATCTCGGCGGGAAACGCCAGCGCCCGGACGGCGCGGATCGGAAAATACTAACACTGGCGCGCACGCAGCCGTCGCTAACTAAACCGGGTTTGTCGGCAGCTCGGGGCGCCGAACAAACCAGTGTATGGCTTTTTCAGGGGCCGCTGTTCCGACACGTGCGTCTTGGAAAAGCTTGAGTCAGGGAAAGCCGGGTGGCCAACTCAGGATCGCCGACCTGTCTCGGAAGGCATGCGTGTCCGCTCGGTCCCAAAATCGCTGAGAAAGATGGAAGTGGTTCGTACAGATCCGTACGATGTTGGCCCTCTGGGGGGGTCGAGCGGGACGGCCTGGGGGCCAGTTCAGGGCAGTTCAGGGCGGTTCCTGCAGACGCAAACTGCACGCAGCGAGGACCCAGCGTCGAGAGCGAGGGCGGCGGCGTCCGAGACCTGAACGGGGATCCTAGGTCTAGGAAAAGCGCTCTAGCTGTTGGGCCAAGCGTCAAGCAAGATGGGATAAACGACGATCGCAGGCGCCGTCGCTAGGAAAAACTGCGACACGTACGACTTGTCTCGCCCGACAAACAACGCCGACTTCTTTATGCAGAAACCGGCCAATTCGATGGTTTGGGGGACTTGCGAACCATGGGAAAGATAAATTCAAAGCTCGGTGGAGAAGAGAAGGTCCCAGCGCATGCAGAAAGCAACAAGCAAGCGTGCAGCAAGCTAAGCAGCCTGGGGATCGCACCTTGAAGTTTGCTGGGCTCCTGGGGAAAAAAACGCGCCAAGTCGTCCCGGGCTCACGGGGTATTGGCCAGTGGAGTTCAAGAGCCGCGAGCGACCCGCGCCAGTGTGGAGTCGATCCGGGGGTATTTCCTGGGATTGTTGCGCCGTTCGGGTCTGGTGGACGACAAGCTCGACAAGGGAGGTCAAATCAGACCGAGATGCCCAAGATGCCACCGGGATGGGATGAGACACAATGGGGAGCCCAAGGCGGACGAGATCCAATTGTCCGCTAGGAATAAAAACTCTGGAACGCCTACCTCCTTGTGCTCCCCAATTCGACGAGACGACGGAGCACAAAGTGATGAAAAATTCTCCCGGCTGCATGCGCGGGGGGATGCAGGAGGGAAGGCGCGCTGCAGTGTGCCTGCGTGAAGCAGCTCGCACTGACCTCCCCCTCCGATAAGTGGCCCGAGCTTTGAACCCCTGAATATCCTGCAGGCGATTCAATCCCCGGTCCGGTCCACACCAACGCCAACCCGGATATTTCCCAGAGAAACCCCCGACCAAAAGAGGGGCGCAGCGAAGAAGAAAAAGGAGAAAATCGTCCCAGCACTTTGGTTCCTTACCCCTCTCCCACGCTGCTGCCCAACGGCTGAAATGTATCGAAGCTTCCGGCTCTCATGGCTTCCTTTCGCGAGATGAACAACCGAAAATGCGTGGGTTGGAAGCGAAGCGGCAATTTCCGCTGCTGTCATCCGAAGGCCTGGGTCGGTGGGACCAATCCAGGTCCGGAGCCGGGGTGGGGGTCCCAACTCAACTCCACAGGCGAGAGAGGGAACAGCGGAATTTCCAGAGAAAATATATTTGTTGAGCGTTTACGGGAACCAGCAGCCGCCATCCGGGCGATCGAAGGAGGGCCGCGGCCCAGAGTTCCCTGGCCGTTCCGAGATCGAGATTGATTGAGGTTGGGATTGCGAGGACGGCTCGAGCTTTCTTGCCCCTGACCCTGAGACCCTGGAGTTGAGGCCAATTCTGCCGTCCCAGACCGCTTTGTCCCCGATGTTCTTGGTTCTGGGTTGTCATTGACGTCATACCACAGTTTGGCCCAAACAAAGTCACAGCCCCTCAGCTCACAGCTAAAGTGACGGGTGTCAATGAGGAATAAAGAAGTCGAACTGCAGTTATATATCTGTTAGAATTTTAAAAGACAGCTCCCCAAAGACTTAAATCAGGAACATAATCACGAAAAAGGGCTCAACGAAAGTTCCTACAAATATTTACACATTCATCTACCAAAATACCAAAATACCAAAATACCAACCAAAACTCCGAATTACCAAAACACTCACAAAATGGACATACTATTATCTCTCCCCTTCTTGTCATATTTTTTCTCAACCTCCCTAACCTCATGGTCAACCTCTCTCAACCTCGTCTTCTTCTACATGACCTGGTCAACCCTCGTCCTGAGCCACTCCCCGCTCAAAATCGAGATCCTCGGCATCACCGCCCTCCGCCTCATCTTCTGGCTCGCCCCCTCCCTCCTCTTCCTCGCCTTTGACACCCTCGTCCCGTCCCTAGCAAAGGACATCAAATACAACGGTGCCTCCGCCCTGCCCCCGCGCGACGCCAAATCCCTCAGCCGACTCCTCGCCCTCGCTCTCTTCAACCTAGCCCTCGAAACAGCCGTCGAAGCAGGCTTCTCCCTCAGCCTCGCAACCCTCACCAAATCCCCCGTCTTCCGCACCTCCACGACCTTACCACTCCCCTGGCAAATCATCAAACACCTCGCCATCCTCTTCACCGCCCGCGAACTCCTCACTTACACCATCCACCGCTACCTCCTCCACGGCCACCCCTTACCAACAACCACGCGCGGCACGCACACCTCCTCCAACACCCCCTCCCGCACCCTCACAAGCCTCCACACCAACCACGCCCACGCCCGCGCCGGCTCCCCACCATTCTCTCTCCAACTCAAAACCGACCACCCACTCCCTTACCTCCTGCACCACTTCCTCCCGGTTTACCTCCCCGCCCTAGCCTTGCACTACTCAACCCCCAGCCACAACCTGCATCTCCTAACCTACCTCCTCTTCATAGCCCTCACCACACTGGAAGAAACCCTCTCCCATTCCGGGTATACCATCATTCCCGGGATAGTCATGGGCGGGATGGTGAGGCGAACAGCGGTGCATTATGCCGCTGCAGGCAAGAGAACCAAGGCCAGAAGCGGGGCTGGAGCCGGGAACTTTGGGAGTTGGGGAGTGGTGGATTGGGTGTGTGGGACGAGTTTGGGGGGGGATGTGATGGGGGATTTGAGGGAGGAGGCGGAGAAGCATCGGGTTAGGGAACGGGGGGAGAAGAAGGCCGGGGAGGTTGGGGGGGGGGGGGGGGGGGGGGGGGGGGGGGTTGAGGGGTGGAGGGGGAAGAGGAGAGGGAAGGGGAGTGGGAGGGGTTGAGGGTTTAACTATGAGGGGTTGATGGGTTCTTTGTATTTTATTTTTGTTTTGTTTTTGCGGGATGGTTTCAGGGCGGGTATTGCGGCAGACTAAGTTCAGGCTTGTTTCACTTTGAAGCGGGCGTGCATGGCGTTATGAGAGGATGGTTAACGGTTTGCTAGATTCGCAGAATCCATCAACACACACTGGTTACTATACAAGGTAGTAGTTAATACTACCTACGACCTAGTCACCCTGTTCTATCTCATAACCCCGCCCGTGTATGATAGAAATCCGAAGACACATAACTCTAAGTATCCCCAGTTGTACTGTACCCCATAGTGTAAATTGTCCCCGCACGCAATAATTTATGCAAGAGTTCTCCCAAACGCCATTCTGCACCAACCAGCAAACCTTCAACCTCATGCCCACCCCTTCCTCGCCTTCAACCACAAAACCGTCTCCATCCCGGCTTTGACCCTCAACCCAAACCGCGCATCCAGCACAAACGCCTCCCACTTGGACACCTTGTCCAAGAATTGCTGGCACTCATCCACCTTCTGCTTCCGGAACGCCTGGATTTCTTCCGCGGTACCCTGGGGCCACGACTCCCTGTCGCGGACGCCCATCCATGCAACGGCGGCCATTTCGTAGTGCGCGGCAGCCTGGCAGTAATCATCTCGTGTTGGGCCCTTGAAAAGATTCCTGCAAAGAAAAGTAAAAAAAAAGAATGAGGATTAGCGTCGGATCCAAATAACGTGGAACAAGGGTAAGGGAGGGACCCTGGGTTGGGTCCATGCAGAAGCATAACATAGATACATACCGATCCATCATCAGCAGGGGCTCAACCAACGCCTTGGCCTCGGCGCCCCTGCCGAGCTGCCTGAGCAGCGCAGATTCCGCCAGCGTCCCAATGGCCACTTCATCCGTCTCCTCCCGGATCTTGGCCAACTTGTCCGCGGGCGCCGTGCACCGCTCCCACGCGATGAGCGTCCGCGCCTTTTCCAAGTACTTGACGCCCATGCGCTTGGGGCCGTTCCACAGGAAGATCATCTCCACCGCTGGACAGACCGCCACGGCATCGGCGAGATCGACCCCGAGATTCTTGGCCCGCTCTTCCCATTTCGCTAGCTTCCGGCCGACAAACACCTCGAATGGCAGCTGGCGCGCCATGAAGCGCTTCTTGCCTGCGACCGTGGGCGCTTTGCGCAGATACTCCTCCGCGACCTTCTTCTGCTTCTGCGCTTCCGTCAGGAGCACGCTCTTCTCCCGCTCATCGGTGGTCGTTGCGGCAGCGTGGAATGCATCACGGTACAGCTCGAGCGAGGCGCAGCCCGCAATGTAGTAGTAAAGCGCGTGGCTCCAGTTGTTCAGCTCGACGCAGCGTAGAAAGTTGTCCCGCATCGACGACCAGTCGAGCGTGTACATGGAACTCATGCTCAGTTCAAAGTTGTTGAGCGCCGTGATCTGCAGCATCTTACTGTCGGCGTTGTCACGCAACAGGGCAATGGCTTCATCCAGCTGCCGCGAGTTGGCCAGAACCCGTGCTTCTTCGAGGCGCCACAGGCGTGATTCGGGGTATCGCTCGCGCATGGCGGCAAGAAGCGCCGAGCACATCTCACGAGGGTAGCTAACGGTCTCGATCTCGTTCGCGCTGCGACTGCTCCCGCTAGTGCGTGGACGGTCGCCTTCGGCATCGGGGGCCGTGATGTCGTCAATATCGTGCTCGGGAGGGAGGATGTCAGCCATGCCGAGGAAGGTGTTGTAGTAGTTGAGCAGGACGAGCGCCGACATGGCGCCGTTGATGTTGGGGAACTTCGCGGATTGCCACAGCATCTTGAGGCCTCTGTCGCGGTCGCCCTTGAAGCCAATCACGTACAGCAAGCGGGAGAATGCTGGTGGGACCATGGAGAGAATGAGTAGGAGGATGCCAAAGCACATATTGGCGCCGCTGTGGACGAAGATGTCGGCGCTAGACGTAAACAGGGCCTTATCAGCGCCCGATTTATTGACCTCGTCAAATGCTGCGTTGTTGGGAGTTTGTGTGCCGTTTGCGCCCAATTCGGGTGGTGCTTGCGTTTTTCCAGAGATGGCCAGTTCGCCCAGCTTTTCGTTGAGGATGGTGGCATCCTGATCAACCGTGGAAATATCTGTGGCTTCTGGAACACTGGCCGGTTCCTCCTTGGCCTTGGGCGTGGGTGTTTTCGACTCCAAATCCCCAAACTCGGCCTCGTCAAACGTGCCCGGCATCGGGTCCTCCGCAAAGCTCGGTCTTTTCGGGACGGGGGCAGCCGCCTCCGTCTGTCCCCCGACCGTACTCAAATATTTCCGTTCCGCCTCCGTGATCCCATCTAGCGTGATGTATGCTTTCCGCAACTTGTAAAATCCCCTGACAGCCTCGGTCAAGCTCTCGTGCATCACCCCGACCACAGCATTCATCAGCTGCGCTTCCGCGTTGACCAGCGCATATTCAGACCCCGGAGGATAAATCTTGCTCACACTGCCCGTCCCTGCAGCCGCCTCTTTCTGTGCCTTCTTCATATCATTCCACGCCCTATTCTCCGTCGTGTTCAACCGGTTCGCCGCCTCTGTCATGATTTCCTTCTCGAACCCTAAGATACTCTTCATAAACGTTGAAACGCCCAACCCGAGCTGGTGAAACGTCGAGGCATCCTCGCGCAAAAGCAGCAGCCTTTCAGCCCCGTCGATGTCATCGTTCATGATGCGCCCCGCAGCGGCCAGCGCGTCATCGAGGAGTTCGGCCTCCCACTCCGCCGGGGAGATCGCAGCCGCCGGCTTGCCATTCAGCGTCGCGGTGCTCTCGCTTGGGCTCTGCGTTTTCGACGAGGGCTTGGGGCTCGGCGCGGCGGACGGGCCGCGGAACCATGAGCGGATGGCGGACATGGCGTCCGCGGGCTTGGGGATCGTTCAAATTTCGGCTGGACGAGGTCGCGTGGGGAGGAATGAGGTAAGGAGCAAGGATAGGTCAGCAATCTCGTGACGGGGGATCAAGAGATTAATAAGAAGGTGGATGCCAGGAAAGAAAACGAGGGAAACGAAGAATTGGGACAAAAGAAGAAAAAGAAAGCCCAAAACGGCCTGTAAGCGCCAGAACAACAACTCGCGGCCCGCAGGACAACAATCCGGCGCACCCGGCTGCGACGGGTCAGAAACGACTCGTTCGGCCCCCCGGATTGCGAGAATCTGTGTGGTCTCGGCCTTGCGACAACAGCCGTACCCTTGTCGAAGCGAGCGCCTCGTTCCCGGCTGAGCAAAAAGCTGACGAAGGCAATTCTGACGCTGACCCCGCCAAAACCGCGACCCGACCCAATTTTGCGGGAACGCAAGATCTTGAAATGCCCCGCCAAGCCTGTAGACGATTACGACGAGACGCGGACCGAACGAGGCTGGGGAAAATGCAAATTGATATTGTTTTCCTGGTTGGGGCAATTGAATGCCCCTCGGCCCCGAATATCATCCAAGCCGCCTTATTTTACAGGCAGATGCAGAGCCATTCCTTCGCTGGAATGGAAGGAGCACCATGCTTGTCCTGCCGCAGCTCAGTTGCCACCTTGGCAAGTGCTTGGTCCTGTGTACAGTGGGGCAAGGCTCGGAGGCTGATGTCTCCAAGTCAGATTCCGATCGAATCTCGAAAGGATGCAAAATTGCCGAAATAGTCCGGAGGCTCGACTTTTTCCCCCGATTTTGCTCAGAAATCTTCTCTGTCCGCTCGAAAGGATCCAAAACTAGTCGCTCTGAGGTCAAGAAGCCAAGAAGATGTTGTTCTTGTGGGAGGCCGTGAGCGTGAATCTGGAAGCACTACTTCGTATTTCACCTCCATCGTGGGCCGGGTTGGTGACTCAGCAAAGTTAGGGTCTCGTACAGGAAAGTTTGCTGATGATTGAAACTGTACTTGTACCCTACGCTAACCCTAACCCTGTATATAGGACAAAACCTCACTTTCTCTCCTCTCCCTCTCGCTTTTCTCGCCCAACCTGGGCCGTCGCCTTGCTGGATCAAGATCTCGGCCAGTTACATTAAGTCTTCTTCTTCTTCATCCAAGTTGCTTTCTTCAACGCCTCCGCCTGTACTCTAAAAACAGGTTCTACCATTTTCACTAAGGCAGGTCCAAACTCCTGTAACACAGCCTTGACTTTCTCCTCCCCTCCGCTCTCCAATACCTCTAGTTTCGCCTCATCCGGCTCATCGTCGTCACCATCACCCAGCCCAAAAGTAGACATCCTCCATTTTGCCTTCCATTGCCGCACTGCCCCCAACGCGGCCTCACACTCCGGGTGCACGCCCTTCGCAACCAAGTAAAACGATGAACGTGTTTTATGTGCCTTCAGTGGCTTGAACAGCCTTATGTGGTCGGTGAAAGCGGCGAATGTGTACATCAGGAACACAGATTGCCAACCATTGGCTTTGTGGAGCAGGATAACCATTGTGCCGCCTGAGCGAATGCGCTGGAGGGCAAGGACGAGTTGGGATGTCAAAAGGCGTGAGGCCTCGAAGTTTTCGCGGTCTAGGGAAGCATAAAGTTGTCAGTTGACTTTAAGAACATCCGAAATGGGAGGATGCTGACTTACAATCCGACCGCTCATGCATACGAAGGACCTGGCCGTCACAAAAGACGAGGTCGAATTGTTGCTCGAGGAATGGCCGGTCGGACGAGAAAGATGCGGCGTCGGCGTGTTCCGCTGGGATGCTGGATAGGGGAGTACCCATCTCCTCGGCCAGGAGAGTGATGTCGCGGAAGGAGATGTAAATATCGGCCTCAGGGTCTGTCTCGGACCAGGACTCGCCGAGGAGCATCTCGTGGCCTCCCTGCGAGGGCGGGAGTGAGATGCCGCGGAGCAGCGCGGACGGGTTGCAGCGGAGGGCGGCCGAGGAGAAACCGCCCGGAGCCATACAGAGATCGAGGATGGCCGGGCGGGAGTTGCTACGACCCTGAATGGTGAGAGCCCTCGTTTCCTTGTCGAGCTCAAACCCAATTAGGCGCATCATATTGTAAAAGCCGGCCTTATCTTTGGCACTGGCCTTGTCGGCGCGCTGGCGTTGCTTTTTGAAGAAGGCATCCCCTGCATCGCTTTTCCAGCCCTGGGTATTGTTGTCAGTCCGGGATGGAATACTAGAGGAGGAGTCGAGGGCATAGGTACTTGCCTGTTCCCGGAGCTCGTGAAGCTCGCGGTAGAATGGGAAGTGCTCCAGGAGGTATTCTTGGACGAGAGAGTTCGCCGTAACCCTTTGTGCTTCATTGGCATCAGGAGATATGGGAGCGACTTGGCTACCTGAAACTTCGGCCATGTTGTCGACTGAATGATGACCCTAGGAACGGAATCACGTTCAGGACCAGTCCTGCTGGATGTTGATGATATTAAGGAGCTTTAAACACAACAGGATTACGGCCGCCTTTATGGTTTGACGGAATGGTGTATGGGCAGGTATGGCGTAGCAAAGCTGTTGGTGACTGGGTTGTTCCTGTATGCTTGGGGCAATCGCAGTTGCATGCAGGAGGCCTCAGTGGGCGCCAATGACACTCAGAGCAAACGCCGGCCAGGTGCATAGGCATGTCCAACAGTCTCAATCATCCGAGAGGTCGCCTGTCAGAGGTGCGTCACATTTGAGATCATGCCGTTGGTCAGGCGCGGCTGCATGAGGGGTTTGGAGGGTTACAGGCGAGCGGCGAGGAAGAACAGAAAACATGATAGAATTGTCATCACCGGAGAAAACTTGAAACAACAAAACAATTTCGTAGGACTAAAACACATGTAACGAGTCCGACTTTGCTCTGGAGATATTTCACTAGTCAGGAGTATAGAGTGGTGAAGAGTCTGGCGAGGCAGAGGGCGGACGTCAACACTCACGTCATTGTTGAAGGTAAAGATGAATATGATAAAATAAGCAATTCTAGCCCGCGTTGTTGTATTTGCGTTTTAACGGCCGTAACCGCAGCCAAAAACGAGATACTCCCCTGAATGTTGGTGTTCGTCTATTCTGCACATGTTTCTCACTTCACATACATCATCAGCCTCCGGGTTCCTTCGAAGGCAAGCTTGAGGAGCTGAAAGCGTTTTCTAATATACCTGACTGCTGCCGTCCTACGGAGCGGTTGGTTTCACGATATTTGGATGCCGGTACCGATGTGAATGAGTTCCGAGTTTTAGGTAATTAGTATTTTGTTGATTCCATTATAAGTGTTACAGTGTTACATTTTAGTAACAGCGCTGGATTAATTATGTTTCGGTGTAGGTAAAGCACTTAAGGACTGGCAAGAAAACCTCCGATTCCAATAAGTACTTCACAAAACAAAGCTAAGATAAGGTTTCTAATATCACGCAACAAAAATCCCTAAAACTTTATCACTTGTCCGACAAAAGAATACAAATAGGCGTTTATTTGGCGTTTAGAGTGCACATTCGATGTGGTCCGTGCACCGAACCGCAATGGCTGCCCCACCATCCCTGGCGGGATGCCGCGAGCTAGAGCTTCATTCCGCCCTTCGGCTTCGATAAACACCAACCCAACCGCCCATTAACAAGTATCGCTCATCCGTGTCGCACGATTCTGTCTTCGCAACACCGAAACTATCAACCCCATACTTGATACCGAAGAAACCATAACTCAACCCCCAATCAAACCCCGCTACCGACCCAACGAACCAATCGATCGATCGCCTTCCACCGCATTCCCCGACGCTGACCATTCCCCGAACCATCCCTTCAACCCACCAAACCGACCCTGTCCACCTTCTTTACCTCCCCAAGCAGAGACCAACATCCACAAACACAATGGCCCCCTCGCAAAATCCCGCGCAATCCAAGAACGACAACGTCGCCGAGCCCAAACCCGACCAACAGCCCACAGTGGAGCAAAAGTCGGCTGCGCTAGAGGAGGACGACGAATTTGAGGACTTCCCGGTCGAGGGTATGTTTGGCTTCCAAACCTAGCCCTACCCAACCGATTGCTATGGAGGATATGGAAGGGATATCGGGACGCTAACAGACCGTGCTACGTGAACAGATTGGGAACCGGAAGAGACCGAAGCGGCCAACGGCAGCGGCGCGCCACAGCATTTGTGGGAGGAGTCGTGGGATGATGACGACACGAGTGATGACTTTTCGGCGCAGCTTAAGTATGTTTTTGAACCCCTAACCTACGGATGTGATGACAATGGGAGCGCTTGAGGGGGACAGAGTTGCAAGTAGGAGAAATTATGCTGACATATTGCGTGCCTACAGGGAGGAACTGAAGAAGGTCGAGGCGGCGAAGAAGCGGTGAGGGGGGAGGTGAGTTACGCGGGGAGAGGGAACTAGGAGCTGTCTCATGGTGATATGTGTACGTTGTACATCCGGGCTGGTTTATGGGGTCGAAATAGACGGTAAATGAACAAGTTTGCTTGGGTCGACCACATCTGCGGCAACCAAAACCTTGGTGAAAGGCTAGGGCGGGTTTTACAGTGATGCGGTCGTTCACAGTACAGGGTGGAGCAGTCAAATTCAAGCCTTGAAACACGTACATCCAACTCACAAGGAGAAAGTCCGACCCAGTCGTTACGATGCTTTGCATGGAGATCATTTGTATTCATAGCCTTGCCCATCTAGTCCTGTTACTATCTGACCAGCTATCAACAACCCCTACCCACAAGAGGCAAGACCTACTGGCGCTCGCTCAGCGCGACAACACCGGGCAGCTCTTTGCCCTCCAGCAGCTCCAAGCTGGCGCCGCCACCAGTCGACACATGGCTGAGCTTTTTCTCCACGCCATACTTGGCAGCAACAGTCGCAGTGTCGCCACCACCGATGATGACGATCTTGCCCGCCTCGGCCGCAGCGACAGCCGCGTCGAGGGTAGCCTTGGTGCCGGAAGCGAACTTGTCGAACTCGAACACACCGGCCGGACCGTTCCACAGGATGGTCTCAGCGTCGTCAATGGCAGCCTTGTACAGCTTGACCGACTCGTCACCGCAGTCCAGACCCATCCAGCCGTCGGGGATGCCCTCGGCACCGGTGGCCTTGCCGGTGTTGGCGTTGGCGTCGAACTTGTCGGCGGTGATGTAGTCGACGGGTAGGACGACCTTGACGTTGTTCTTCTTGGCCTTCTCGATCAGCTGGGGCACCGTCTTGGAGCCGGCCTCATCGAAGAGGGAGTTACCGATCGACATGCCGTCGAGCACCTTGTTGAAGGTGAAGGCCATGCCGCCGCAGATGATGAGCGTGTTGACCTTGTCCAGCAGGTTGTCGATCAGCTGGATCTTGTCGGACACCTTGGCGCCGCCGAGGATGGCGAGGAAGGGGCGCTTGGGCGACTCCAGCGCCTTGGCGAAGTACTCGAGCTCCTTCTTCATGAGGAAGCCGGAGGCCTTCTGCGGGAGGTCGACGCCGACCATGGAGGAGTGAGCGCGGTGGGCGGTGCCGAAGGCGTCGTCTGCGGGTTGTTGTTGTTAGTACTGCGGGTACGAATTCAGCGAGCGATAAGGAACGTACTGATGTAAATGTCACCGAGCTTGGTCAAGCCCTTGCGGAACTCCTCAACCTTGGCCTTATCGGCCTTGACCTTGTTGCCGTCGGCATCAACACCCTTACCCTCCTCCTCAATATGGAAGCGCAAGTTCTCAAGGAGCACAACATCGCCGTTGTCGGCCTTGTTGACGATCTCCTCAACCTCCGGGCCGACAGAGTCCGGAGCGAAGGTCACCGACTTGCCGAGCTGCTTCTCGAGCTCCGGGAGCACGGGCTTGAGCGAGTACTTGGGGTTGACCTTGCCGTCGGGACGGCCGAGGTGGGACATGAGCACGACGGCCTTGGCGCCATGGTCGATGGCGTACTTGATGGTGGGGACGGCGCCGACGATGCGCTGCGGGTTGGTGACCTTCTTGTCGGCGTCCAGCGGGACGTTGAAGTCGACCTATGAAGGGGGCTGTTAGGGATCTGCGATGCGCGGCACGGAGGGCCAACTCGAAGGGGAAAAAATCAGGCGTCGGGGTTTGGAACGTACGCGGATCAGGACGCGCTTGCCCTTGAGGTCGACATCCTCGATCGAGAGCTTGTTGGCCAGAGACATCTTGGAGAGTTGTGCGGGGCAATTGGTGACAAACGGAGCTCTTCGTCGTGCAACAGAAGCCAGAATCAGGGATCCGGCGATTTATGGGCCACGGAGCTTGTTTAAAAGGCGCAGTGATGGTTGAGCTGAGCTGGTGGAATGGAGGGGCAGCGGGACGGAGGGGTCATAAAAGATGGTGGGGTCACCATGAAGCTGTGCTGTGACGTCGCTTAATGGTTGGCTGATGGCGCTCTGGGATGCACAACAGACGCTACAACGACCTCGAAGCCAAAGAACCCGTGGTGTGCTTTAATTGTCTCTATTCATAGGTACTTGAAGCGCGATAAATCAGCATGCTTTCATGCTCTACTTTTTCCCGGTTGGATCATTTGAAACATCGTGAACAATTGCGAAGAGGCACCACCTGTATGCTGTCTCCGATGCTTCTCAACAAATGGAACGTGGGGGCAACCATTCGCTCCGATTTTCGGCTATTGCTTCCGACTCCGACGCATGTCTTGTCACAAAATAGAACCGCGGACACAAAGCCTCAGAGTCGGATGTCGATGCAGCCTTGGCTGCGGAATTATGCTTAACCACTCAAACCCCGGTGAATCCTATCGGCATGTTTTGGCCAACGGGATTCTTGATATGAGGGATTTCGGATCAACCCAACCTCAACGAAATGGAAGTGAAGGGTGGCGTATCCCGATCGGTCGAAGCGCCTCAGACATTCACGTTCAAACTGCATGTCCCGGAACAAGCAAGCAGAAAAACAACAACTCTGTGTATCCCTAACGCCGGTACGCCGTTATCCAACTATGAAGGTCCGATCACTCAATGTCCTCCATTCCAATTGTGTTCCTCCCAAGTGAACCCCGAAGTGTAGGAGGTTTTTTACCCAATCTCGCAAAACTTGTTGTTTTCCTCGATCAACAACTCAGGGAAGCCTAACGTCGGATCTATCGGCCCCACGCTGCTCCTGAACGTTCTCCGCCGCGTTCGTCAAAGAGAGATACGCTGTCCAAGCGATACCGACAGTCGAAACAAAGGGCTAAGACAAAATTTGGTCAGTAACTGGCCAAGGTAGAACTAATCGCAGTACCGGGAGGTCGAGTAAAGTATAACTCACCAGTTGGAACTGCACCGGCATAAGCCGGAAATTGATAACCTGCACAGCAGGCCAAAGCACATAGTTGGCCTTAAGTGTCGGGACGTACATGTCCCGCATCTTGTGATACACAGCGCGCTTCCCACCACCCTCGGCCACCGTCATCACAGTGAAGAAAGCCGCGACACCGAACGGCGCAAAGATCAACTGATCAAACGCAACCCTCTTCATCGCCGGGCCGAACGCAGCCGTCTTAGTAATCGGGAATGTGCGCTCGAGGAACTTGAACCAGCGGAACTGCAGCGGCGCCATGCAGAAGCCGTAGGCCATGAAGCGGGTCAGACGCTCAAAGTCGAAAGGCGGCGGGAGGATCTTGGACTCGGGGATTAGCTCGCGGTCGGTGAAGGGGTTCTTGCGGTCGAGCTCGTGGATTTCGATGGCGAGGGCGTCTTCGCGCGGGTTGAGTCGACCTCCGGGGTGTTTTCGGACGGCACGTTCGCGGATCGAGGTGATGGTTTGTGCTACTGTGTCGGCGATGCCGCCGAGGATGGAGTTGGTCACCATCATGGTGAGGACTGGTAGTCGGTTTGTTAGCATGATGAGATTGGGGGATATGGAAGCTTCGATGGGGACGGTAACGTACGGGGTCGTTCCTCGTAATACGCGTTGAACCGGCTGGTGAGCCGGGCGAAGAGAGCCATCTCGATAAAGAATATGATCGCGTGCAACAGCGGCTGAGAGATTGACGCATTCCGGTTAGCATCTGGTTGTTGTGGGTTTCTGACATTCACGGAACGCCTAGCTGCAAAAAGGAGAGTGTAAAGGTTAGGCTGGGAGGTGCTGGGGCCCGAGGAAGACGGTTACATAGCAGCTGCAGGAAAGAGTGGCGATCGACGAATGTGAGGAAATAGGGCGTGGGAGTGGAACGTACAATGCGGCCGTAGATGAAGCGGCTGTTGAGCGATCGAAGCCACCGGCGGCGGTTCAACTCCCAAGTCATGATGGTAGAAAGACCCCTGAAACGGCCGTGGGGTTGGGAAAAACTGGAGGATTAAGGCCGGGAATCCGATCTTGTGGAGGTTTCTTGGCCCACAGTCGAAGAGAAACCAAGAACCGCTTCGCCAGATGTTGGCACAAATCGATGACGAAAGGTGGCACAGGGGTTCCCGCGCGGCAGTGATAACCTGGCACGAGTTAGCGGGCCCACAAGGCTGCGTCGTCCCCGCTCTGCGGTTGTCCAAAATCCAAAGCTGTTAAAAAGGGCGAGATGGAAGGGCGGCAGAACACGACAACACAAAAATGGGGGATTCGATGGGAAAGATTCTCGTTGGAGTTGAACACTTTGCCCCCGATCAGCCTGTGTGCCGGCGAGCCGGTCGGTATTGCGTGTCGCATGTCCACAGGATTCTCTTTGTGTGCCTTCGACCCACCAGACCGCAGATCTCACTTCAGACGGAAGACAAGGATAGAATCGAGGGTTAGGGTATTTGTTACAGAGTAAACACCGCCTCTCCGCTGCTGTTATGATCACTCGTTAAGCCTGCAACAGGGTCGTAAAGCAGGCCAAACCATCCCAATACACGCTCACCACCCGGGCAGCGCCGCCCATCATGCGTTCTTCTTTTCACCATCCTTACCATCGTCCTCCGCAGACACCGAACCAAAAACGCCCAGTAAAGTCAACTGCCTCAACAGAGCCCGCCCCAAGCTTCCCCACACATTGACCCAGACTTTGTCGTTCCATTCCAACGAGCCAAATGGGGGCTCATAACTGAAAACCATAAATGAAGCACTGGCGTGCAAACAATCCGCAAGTACCTTTGCAGTCAAATACCACTTGACTGTCCTCGGGTCCCTCGAGAAGCAGCACATGACTGAAATGGGCGCAAGCAGCAGGATGAGATTAACTAGCTGCAGCACCGCGCCAATGGCGGGCCCCGTCAAGTCGGAGTTAATGGTGGCGCTTCTGTTGACGAAATACTGCCGAAGACTGGACGGCAGCGGTTTATTAGGCCTTTTTGCTTTGTATGATGGGCCATTCGTGGGTTGAAGGTAATTACTCACAGGATGATGGGTTCGATGATGCCGAAGACGATGCGTGGAAGGAGAGGGAGTGGGAAGCGTGCCATTGTGAGTTGTGGGGGGGTCGCTTGTCGCCGTGTGTTGCTGGATGTTCAAGGTGTTGATGCTGAGGAAACAGAAAGTCTTGTAGTGCGAGGACTGGGACTCCTGGGCGCCGTAATAATAGGATTCCGACAGAGAACTCTGCATAGAAGGAGGAGGCTATGTTGTGTTACATGGACATCTGATGAGGCCAAACGGTAAGCGGGTTGAAAAGGCCCTACGTTCACGCCGGTAACGACCAGGTTGGGCAATGACAAGCTTGAGAAAAGGACAAAATGATCGGTTGAGCCGATGCGGATTGATTTACTACGACCTAGGCGATTCTTGCATCAAATCTGTTGCCGTAATTATTTGAATCAAGACGCACCTGGCGAGGGACTGTGACGATCCCTTGGAACCGGCTACCGGCCATTCACGTCCGCAGTTTATATGCATCTCTTTTGAATCCACCACCTATGAGGAAAGACATTGTTTCCTGCCACAACAAACCGATCCTTTGCACTGCAACACAGCCCCGAGATCGGCAATGGTTCGGTCTGCCAAGCAACACAGTCCGTTATTCCTAAGGTTGCCCAAACAAGGCTTATTCCACACACTGATCCCAGGAACGTTGTTGCAAATGTTTGTTTGTTGGTGTGGTTCGAATACGGGGCCTACATGCAGAATAAGCTACAGCACAAGTCAATGGGAGCATGCAGAAACGGAAGGCCGCGTCACCGGGCTTATAGTTATTGCAAAGGTCAAGATTTTGTTTTCGCAGCGTATGGACATTTTTCATACCATGACACTGCCCGTGAGGCTCAACCCTTCAGCATCAGTGACGAACGGTAAGCTAATAAGTCTATATGAATGTACAATTGTCAAGGTTAAGACGAGTTGATGTAATAGAGATTGCCTGGAACTGGTGAAGTGCGCATTGGAGTACGATTCGAGATTGTCTAAAAGAGGGGCCGAACAAAGGAAACTGCTAATAACGCCCCGCCCGTTCCCCCACTTCTGAGAGTTTCTAATGTCCTCCCTTCATTGGGTGTCACGGCTAACGCCCGATTCCGAGCCTTGTGTCTAGTTGCCTGAGCTGCTTCTCTTGCTCCCACGAGGCTCGCAGTGCCGGTTCCAGCGACACAGGTACTATCGCCTTTGGGTGTTTCTAAGTTCACGCAGTGCGAAGACTGCCTCTATCTCCTCTGACGTGGCCGCTAGGTCACGTAACACACTCGCACGAGTCCGTAGCAAATGAAGTACTCTATGCTCAGCAGTGCCGTTGAGGGAGCTTTTATCAAGCTCGCCGTGGGAACCCCGCTGGATTGGATCGTCGATTTGGGCCACACTCTCTGTTGATAGTTGACGGGCGACCAAATGTGGAAGCGCTCTTACTTTCGACAAGGCATCACACCGCCGGGGACGGGGAGGGCCGATTTGGGGCCTGTACCGAGGAGAGTCCAGTTCCAGAAATACGTCCTTCAATATACCACTGGCTGCCTCCTTCGGGACCCCTAAATACACGAGCATCTGCTCCGAGACGTCCAGGGTTTTTAGGAACCCCGTGGAAGACCTGGCGGACTATGGACGTGGCTGGCGCTGCGTCGTTGGCTGCTGTTCCGTTTGTGTCGTCCATGGCTGGCACTTCCACAGAACGCGTGTACTCCCACGTGTTTTTATTATCCGGACTCTCACTAAGACGGCCGTTTCTGGAGATGAATTTGGCATGTCTCGGTATGACGGTCTCCAGGGACATCTCGTTCATACTCATTGTGTTGGGGAGTCCCGTTCCGACCTGTAAGTTTAGGAGAGTAATACGTGTACCGATCTTTTCGTCAGCCGGTGGGGTTCGAGGGAGGTGTTGTGGCGTGAATGGTGTGCTTTTAGCGCGGTCGCGGGAGTGGGGTGCAAGTCTGTTGGGTATCCTTGCTTGGGGTTGATTAATATTAAGACTTGGGGAACACGTCGTGGAGGGGACTTACCGGAATGTTTTCGTCGAATGCTCTGTGAGGTTCACCGGTGGTCAAGAGTGGGATGGGAAAGAACGGGGTTTTTATATTAACTTGGAGGCAGCCCACAGGGCTCGAAACTTGGAACTCAAGTCGCGAGCGCTTGGAGAGGCTGTGGCATCCAGTGAGCAAACACGTATTCCATGTTCACTCAAACGGCTTGAGCCGTAAGTACCTCCCCAGCCTTTCTTCATCTCTTTGTTCACTGAATTCCAATCAATGAGTCGACCCGCCGTCACGAGGTCTCTCTATCGTTTGCGTTTCTTTGGTTCAGGATCATTTGTTGCAGACCACATGGTTCCATGTTTGTTGGGAAAGGGGGTTGCGAGGCTGCGAGGCCTTTGGAGGAGTCTTGATTGTTCACCCGCCAGCCCCGCTTCCGGCCTGGTTGGCCAGGTTGCCGGTGTGGCCAGCCACCGGCAACCTGGCGCGGCGGTTCCTTTAACCACAGGTATTCCGGAGGCTTGGCGCATGACCGCCTTCGTCTTCAAAGCCTTACCCGGATATTGAGGCTGCCTACCAATCAGCCGGCGTGGGGGGGTCACACAGTATTGGCCTTTGTCTTGAGCAGGGCACTTACACGCAGGCCGCCAAACCCCCACCCAGTCCTCAAACCCATCTTTGTCTTGGTGACTTGGTTTGGGCAATTCCAACCAGTTTTCTATTTTTTCAAGTGACTGGAGGGGGCCTTTTGAAATGGTTGATTCTGCACCATCATATCGCACCCGTTTTGGATGGGCCAGGATGGCTAGCGGCTGGTAGCCTCGCCCGGCGGTAAGGTCGCTCACCCGGAGGTTCACTTGGCCAGATGTTTTTCGGAGGCCTGGCAAGCGAGCGACAAAATACTTAATTAAGCCGCAGCGCAGAATGTCACGATCAGGAGAATCCCCGGCTTAACAGGATGGCGTTAAGAGGGTCTTGGAAAGGCTGCTCAGTAGGTTAGGGAGGTATGTAGGCCACGCGTTTGCAACGCACGTCAGGGCACTTGTTGCTACCTAGGACCCTCACCTACCGTACAGAGTCTTTTAGACCTTGGCCCTTGTACGATTCGCCGCGTTTAGCAAAGACGCAGGAACCTAGATAGTCTACGTAGTTATTAGAATAACATAAGGTACAGTTGTCCTAGGGGATTCTAAGCGTTCTCTAGTAAGTATCCTACCTTCGCAACATTGTACAGCTTGTGAATATTGTTTAAGCAATTGGTGTGATCTTTCTGGTTCAGAAAGTGTTCGACTGCCGTCAGTACTTTAAGGGCGTTTAAGTAAGGTGATTACCTACGTTTGGGTTGTATCAACCCCTTTTTGTATTAGGCTCAATGAATAGTACTGACCTGAGGTTTAAAAAGTACTAGTAAAGCTTTTGCAATGATGTTCTTTGAGACGCAATCCAGGGTAAGTTTTGCTTTTGGGGTCGAGGTACTCTGGGCCGTTGTCATAAACTTCGAGGAATGGCTATTGGAGGCTGTCCATGAGGTACTTAGGGTGATTAGGTACGTTTAGATACTTAGAGATGGTAGTGGCATTTCAGGGGAAGTTAAACACAAATCCTTGAATAAATTATAATTTGTCAGAATGATTATAAAAGTACTAAATGATTATACTAAAGAGCTTATGACGATAGTCACAGGTAGGGAGGTATTTCTCGGCGGTGTACGCTCTCTCCTGGGGGGTTGGCTCTACGACTGAGGAGACTCAAGTCGACAAGTATTTTAAAGTTGAGAGGGTTTTGGAGTACACCGAGAACAGGGGATGCAGTACCTGGTCAAGGGGGAAGAGTATAGGAAGAAGTACAACACTTGGGAGTCCGCTGGGCATTCCGAGCGATGTCTTGGGGTCCCGCAGCGGTTCCACCACGCAGCTGGATTGCCTCTATCTTGTGTCCATTTCAGCTGAATTTGATACTTGGGTAGCCTGCTAGAACTTGGAAGCAGAGTAGACGTGTGTAGATTACTAGACCAATGCCTACCTGCAGGGTGGGATTAGGGAGTTGGGCAGTGCTGTACGAAGTACCGTGGCGGTGTGGCAGTGCTCAATGGTGACATTCGGAGTCTTGGTAGGATTCTGTTCCCAAACTTGACTGGCCAAGGCGGTCCTCATCTTCAACTCCATCTCGCAGCTTTGAATCGATGCGCCAGTTTAGTCCAAAAGCACATCAGTCCTACTGACCTTACTGTGCCGGATGGTCGTTACGCCTCCATTCAAATTCATCTAAAAAGCAGCTTCGCATTTACCAACCTGTTCCTCAGTCGCGTCAAATCCGCCCAAGAAGACTTCCAGCAAGCTGTTGAGCATCTGCAGCTTCAACAGAAGGACTCTTGGCCGAGCGGTAAGGTCGCCCTGTACATGCTGTATGGATTGGCCACCACGTACCACAGGCTGCGGGAAGGCGAGAAGGCCAAGACAGCGTTAGATGAAGTTCTGGGCCTCGCGTTTGATATATTCGAAGAATATGACCCCAGAACCGCCGAAATATATGCCAGGGCCAAGGCTGTTGCCGAGAGGACAAACATGAATCTTCAATATCACAACGCTGCCATTTTGGCAAGCACGGCCGGTAACGGGTCACGATGAGGGTTACAATATTCGGACGCATCCTCTTCAAGAACAGATGGACGCACGACTGGAGACTACAACCAAATCGCCTGTACCTTCACCACCACAGCAACCAAAAAAACGAAGATCATGCGCACCTTGAGAGAGGCCCGCTCCTACAGCGAATTCTGCTCTGAGATGGCCGCCAACTTCCCAGAGGTCCCCGACGAGCTTATCCAGAACCTCTGGAGGAACCAAAACAAGGTATACAGGAGGAGACCCACCCCCTGCGATGAATCGGACAAGGCAGGGCCTCACCGACGCCGACGAATTCACCGGCCGGGGTCAACACCCCACAGCCGCCGTTTCCACACAAATGAGGTTTAATGACCTTTACCTCTCTTCTCCGGCGACGTGAGCGCTCGCGTGTCATGGGCCGCTAAAAAGGTTGTGGTTGATGCGCGTCAAGGGGGGGCGCGGCGCCAGTATATCTGAGTTCCCTGGGACAAATAGTAGTCTCGCGAGTGATACATCGGAGTCTCCTTTTCCGCATAATGGGAGGAGGATAAGCGGGGGGATGGAGCAGCACGGGATGGAGGAGCACGGGGGGAAGCCAGAATCGCGAGGAACGGTGGTCGTGCTGTATGAGGGGACGGCGAATGGGAGGTTGGAATTGCCGTCGATTGTGTTGTCATCAGCGGAGAAGGAAGAGGAGGTTGTAGTAGCATCGGGTCGGGAGGGAGGTTCCGGAGGTCCAAGGCTCCTTTACACTATGACGTATAGTGTGAAGACAGTTCATCATTAAGCCTGACCTGGATGTTGACTCGGGTCACCGACGGGTTGTCGTGTGAAGTTTGCATGGAATTGTTTTGCCCTCGGATCCCGACATGTAGGCCGTTGATGATGCATCGTCTCGGGTCTTACTTAATCCCCTAGACCACCTTTTCGCGCGATGTAAAAGACTCTCACACCTTTTTGTCTCTCAGCCGATTGTAGTAGTGTATTATGGGTTTTGGAATTGGTTGATCCAGCACCATCACATCAAGTGGTGTTTTTGACTTCACGAGAGACATGATCTACCGCACTATTGCGGGGACTAACTCGATGTGTGAGAGTGAGACAACACCCCAGTGATGATCTGGTAGCCAAAGAGTCAGCATCACGGCAGGGCTTTTCTTACTTTCGCGGCATTTCTATAAAATAATTACTGATTTTGACAATGTTATTCTCCTTTTGCCGTTTCGTGTCCCCTTCTTCATACATACACCATTTCGACACCTGTAATGCCCCTTACAAGTGACGATTGAAGGCCGCAGCACGCCGAGCACGGCCCTTGCCCGTACACGTGTTCATCACCATCAACCCACATTCTCCCCACCCTCGTCGCCAGCTGTGTCGTCACACGTCATGTTTCACTCCAGCGGTGATCCGGAATGTCAATAAGTGGAGATTCTGTGATGGCCTAAACCGGGACAAGATAAGAATGGCCAGGGCGCCGGTTCTACTTTCCGCTCGGCGCATTCTCTCTTTCACTTCTTCGAGTGATTGTTTTCAACCGGTCTCACCCTGCGGCACACCCAGCACACCCCATGGCAATCCCCACGACGGTTGACATCGTCATCATCGGCGCCGGGCCGGCCGGGTATATATCTTCCCGTAACCCAGCCCTCCAATCACCTTATTCCTCGCAGAATAATACCAAATAACTTCTTACTAATATGTGTCCAATAGGCTCGCCCTGGCAAACTGGTTCCGCAACTCGGGCATCACCGTCTTGCTCATTGACAAAAAGCCCGGCCCAACCCAGCGGGGTCACGCGGAAGGACTCAAGAGCACGACGACAGAGATTTTGGGGTCGTTTGGACTGGGACCGCAGGTGGAAGCGGAGGCGTGGCGGTTGGAGGAGATTGCTATTTGGGGGGTGGATGGCTCTGAGCAGGATCGAGCGGACCCAGATGGAGGGAGTGAGAGTGGATGGAGTCAGGATGGGGAGAGAAAAGCAAGGGGTCTTCGTCGGGAGAGGGTGATGAAGGATCGAGTGGAAGAGTTGGGGTTTGGGACGGTCCGGGAGACGATTTTGCAGCAGGGTGAGTGCGTGTTTGCTCGTTGGTGGACTTGGAGGGTTGATGTGATTTGGGAAAGAAAAGACTGACGGGAGTAGCGAGGGTTGAGTATCATATGCTGCAGAACTTGCTCGGGCACGACAACATCGACGTCCGGTACAGTACGTGTCCGGTCTCGGTGGATATCGATACGTTTTTGGGACACCATAAAGAGGGGTACCCGGTTACGGTCGGGTTGGTGTCTGCAGATGGAGTGGATTCAGCTAAGGTATGTTTATTTCCCGGTTGTCCCTTCATCAGCTCTTACTGACCGTTCAGGCCGAGACCATCCGAGCCAAGTACATTGTCGGCTGCGACGGCGCGCACAGCTGGCTGCGAAAGAAACTGGGCGTGGAGTTTGAGGGAGATCTTACCGACTCCGCGTGGGGTATGTCTGTAATTACTCACTTCTTAAAATCGGGAGTAAATACTAACCGCCCCTAGGTGTCGTCGACCTGATCCCGCGAACCAACTTCCCCGACATCCGCCGCATCAGCTACATCCGCACACCGTCAACCGGCACTATGATGCTCATGCCGCGCCCGCACCGCGAAGTCCGGATTTACGTTCCACTGCCGAGTCCACCCTCCGATCCAGCAGAGCCCGTCCCAGAGACGACGCTCGAGCAAATCCTCACTGCGGCGCAAGACCGCTTCCATCCTTATACTCTAGACCTGGATCTCTCTCCGCCACCAACCAACCCTTCCAAGACGTGCTGCGAGAAAACGATCGAAGAAAAAAACAACATCTCCTGGTGGTCAACCTACCGCGTCGGCCAACGCGTCGGCACATCCTTCTCCGTCGCCAACGAGCGCGCCTTTCTCGCCGGCGACGCTGTGCACACTCACTCGCCCAAAGCCGGGCAGGGGATGAACACGGCGATCCAGGACGCGTATAACCTGGGCTGGAAGCTGCGGATGGTGTTGCAAGGCTCTCCGGGGAAGAACTGTGGTGGTGGTAGTGATAAAGCGGAAACAGCTGTAGCTGGCAAACTGCTGCGAACCTACCATCTCGAGCGCAAGAAAGTCGCTGAGGACGTCGTTGCACATGATCGAGGGTATCTCCAGCTCTTCACTAAACCATCCTCACAACCCTCCTCCGCATCACAATCATTCACGCCACCTTTCCCAACCGCGTCTGAAAGCGGCAAAGACGAAGACCAAAACCAAAACGAATTCCAAACTTCGTTTCTCACCGCCATGCAATTCAGCACGGGTCTGTCCATCCAATATGCACCCTCCTGCGTCGTGCAACCTTCCCCGTTATCCTCTGCTTTAGACTCCCCCATTCTGAAAGCCAACCTTGCACCCGGCAAACGCCTCCAGGATTTCCAAGCCATCTACCACGCTGACGGTATTGTCGAGCGGATTCACAACCGGCTTCGTGCCACTGGCCAGTTTCGTGTGGTTGTGTTTGCGGGGGATGTAGCTGACCCACTTGTGACGAGACGGTCGTGGGAGTTGGGGCGGTTTTTGGTGGATCCGGATAATGGTTTGGGACTATTGACTGTGCCGAAAACTACTGGTAAAGGGAAAGTGGCAGGAAAGGGGGAGGACTCGATAACGTGGGAGAGCGTGCCGGTAGAAGTGCTGATGGTGCATTGTGGTGATAGAGCCGAAGTGGAGTTGCTGGATTTGCATGAGGTATACCGACCGTGGAGCAGGGATTCGGGGGTGGATTATTGGCGGGTGTTGGTGGATGAGGAGGGGGGGTTGGGGCATGGACGGGTGTATGAGCGGTTGGAGATAGATAGGAAGAGAGGCTGTTGTGTGGTGGTAAGGCCGGATGGGTATATTGGGGCGGTTGTGGAGATGGGGGATTCTGAGGGGGTGAGGGGGTATTTTAGGGGGTTGGGTATGCTGTAGTTGGGTAATGTTTAATGTTGATGTAAAGGGCAATTGGCAATGTTGTGTGGGGGTTCAATGTGAAATGTACCCCTGAGTGTTGTTTACTTTTGCCCAAATCGGAACTAAGTAAATATTACTCCATAATCGTAAAACACCAAGACACTAAATTAACACACTAACACTAACCCATTAACGATAACACTTTATCTCCTCTCTCGTAAATCCCTAATTAACTGACAAATCACTTCTTACACCCCCCCTTATGCCTCTTCCAATCCCCCCTCTGACACGCCCGTCCACAATACTTCACCCCCCCACACTTCCCACACGCCTTCAACGTCCCCCCCTCCTTCGCCACCCAGCTCCCACACCCCCGACACTGCCTTTCTCCGTCCCCCGCCCCGCCAGAGGTAACCTTCACCTCCTCCCTCTTCACTCCCAGCGGTCCGGCCAAGGCACTCGCGAACACCGGTGCAATGGCTACCCTCACGGCATGTGGTTTCAGAATTTCCCACAACGACAACGGTAGATCGGAGTGCGCCCAATCAGGGGGGAAACTCCCCTTCCCACAATCACAAAAAACTTCCTTATTCCCCTCCCAGGACACAGGGGCCTGCCACGTCCCGCTAGATCCAGCCTCGTTGTAAGCACAATCCCCACCATGCTCCCAGCCGATACGAGACCTCTCAGCCCAAGCAGGCAACACCCCCCTCCAAATCCCCTCCTCCTCCGCCTCCACCACAAACTCCGTCTTCTCCGTATCATCCTCAACATCCCCATTCTTAACAGCATCCCTCACAGCCGCCATCACCCCCGGCGAAACAACTACCACCGCGGCATCCCACAACACCGTGCGTCGCGCCGTGTCGAGGTGCAAGCGGGATAGGAACAGGAGGATGTCCCCGACACAGCAGAGTGTGACCATACCGAGGTTGCGGGCGATCATGGCTTGGAGCTGGCTGCGGAGGTAGGAGCGTTCGGCGGAGGATGAGTCGGGGGATGACTCCGGGGACGATGTGGGGGAGGGTAAGGAAGAGGAGGGGCGGAGGATGTAGAGGCGGGATCTGGATTTGGAGAAGTGGGTGCCTTTGGTGTTGATTTTGGGTTTTGTGGGGGTTTGGGTGTGAGCAGGGGGGGAAACCAACCCTGCGGCGTGCAGAAACAGGGCTTGGAGGGTTTCTTTGAAGGACAGGCGGGCGTTTTGGGGCGGAGAGCCGATCAAGGGCCGGAGTTTGAGGGGGTTGTCGAGGAGTTGGAGTTCGTGGGCGGTGAATAGGCGGGCGAGGTGGGGGGTCAGAAAGGTCAGGGGGTTGTCGTGAGGATTGGTGTAAGGCCCGAGGGACAGAGCAGGTGTCGCGGAGGAGAAAGTGACGTAAGGCAGCGTCCAGCAGACGGGATTCTGCGATCCGTTTCCTGCCACAGGCGCTATAAGCAGAGCGGTAAACGCCTTGTGCGGACGCTCCCACGGGTCTGAGACAACCCCCGCGACCAGCTCGACGTACGACGACGACCGCGCCACCCGCACTCTGATGCCCTCGTCCACGGCAAACGGGAAACGCACCTCCATCGGCGCCGCGATCCCAATTATCACGGCCACATGACTCGGGTCGGTCACCGTAACTGAGATGGCACTGCCGCTTAACAAGGCCGCTTTGAGCGCGGGCGTGAGAATGTCCAGTCGGGCAGACAGACCGGATAGGCGGAGCTGCGGACCGGCGTGAGCCGTGATGGTGAGTTTGAACCGGGGGTCAGTGGTTGACGGAGAGGAAGAGACCAGACTGCGTGGGGCAAACCCCGGGATGACGACATTGCCTGTTTGGTTGGGCAGGTCAGGTGTGATACACACAGCATCGAAGTCGGTAACAGCCACGCGGAAGACGCTCAGCTCTAGGCCGAGTTGGCGGATCAATGTCGGGGAAGAAGTCACAGGTGTGCTTTGGATCGCAAATCCAGCGAGCGGCGGGTTGTCGGGGTCGATGAACAGGCTCCATGACGGGACGCGGAAGGACACAAGCAAGGGGCTGGTGCCTTGCCAGCCGGTGGGATCCTCGCGGATGCTGACGCGGAAGGAGTTGGAAAAGGGTGTGCCGCTGGTGGAAAGGGTGCCGAACGCGAGTTGCACGGCTGGAAAGAAGTTTTCCCAGCCATGGAGAAATTGGTCTAGGGGGGCCCGTACGACGCCGTGGACGGGGATTGTGCCAATAGCTTTGGCGTCTGGTTGTGTTAGGGCGGAGAGGGCTGATCGGGGGACTTTTAGGGTTAGGACCATTGATGAGGGCATGTTCTGCCAGGCCAGAAACCTCTTCCAGGTCTCGTTGTCGTTGTCCCCCCTGGATGTTGCCATCACCTCAGCCCTGAAACCAGCAAAGTCGCTAAACGTCTCGACGGAATGCACCTTCAACAGATGCATGTACAGGTACAGCTCCTGCAGGTAATGTGTATTCATCATCGACCCTTTCCTCTCGACAAGCTCGAGAAACAGCCCCATGGCATGGTCCCAGTCTGTCGCGACACGCCCGCGGATGATCTTCAGCACGGCCGCGAACCCCGCCCGCGTGTAGGTTGGCAGTGAGGCGCCTTGAGCTTTGCTCAGGGACATGTTCGCGAGCAACGCAAGGACATTCTCGGCCGGGTACAGCTGGTTGTAAACACGGCACAGCACCACGGCCAGTTCTTCGGGGTCGATGTGCAGAGGCTCTAGGCCAGGTCGACCAGACTGGGAAAAGGGGCGTTTCCAGGAGATGCGTGTGTGCATGGGAGCCTGGTTCTTGGTCTGCTCGTTGGGATCGTTGGCGTTACCACCAGAAATCCGCAGCTCCAGCGCCTGTTCATCACCCACCGGCCACGGAGAGGTATTCGTCACATACTCCGCCGGCACAAGCCCCAGCAGCAACGACACCGTACTTGGATCACTCCCAAGGACATCCTCCAAGTGCTCCGCCGAGTTGGGCGGACGAGTCTGCGATTCCGTGTACAGTGTCGCGCCGGCCGACTCCTCACTCAGCAACGGCGAAACAGCCGCCAGCAAGTTCCACGCCCCCAGATGATCCACCAAGTTCGACGTGTCAATCACGTTGAACTGCACCGGCGCATCTCCCTCCCGGCCATACTGCTCCTCCTCCAACACCAACGGCTTGAACCCTCCATGCCGCATCCGATACCACCCAGCACTCCGACTCGACCCCGTCATAGCGCGGTGCTGCAACGTATGCGCAAACAGAAACGCATCGCCCGCAAAGAACCGCAGCTTGATCCTCCCGGCTGCAACAACCGCCCGAAAAGCATCGCACCACATTCCAAACTCCCTCTTCGCCGTGTTCACCAGTTTCTCCAGCCTGTCCCCTTTTCCCTCTCCTTGTCCTTCTCCTGTTCCACTTGACGACCCCTCCATCGAGACAACGGGCAAATACGCACACCCCAAATGAAACCCCTCCAACGGCCCCAACCCATAATGCACCCTCACCGTCTCATCCGGCGACCCAAACATTGGATTCGCCTTATTACTCTCCAGACTCCCCAAATCCACACCCGACTCTAAGTCCAAGTGTCCACACTCCCAAAACAGCCTCCCCAACTTCCCCCCATATCTCACTGCCTCACCCTCAACCGCAGCTGGCGTGGAAGCTCGCACAACGCCTAACACGGACGTGGACTCCGCGCCGACTTCTCTCCCATGCGCCCCGGCCTTGCGAAAGAGGGATTTGAGCTCGGTTTGGGTCTCTTCGTTGTTTGTCGTAGAGGCGGAGGCGTAGAACTTCCAAACGGCGGCTACCGAGGCGATTGTGGCTTGGGTGGTGAATTGGATGAGGGGGGAGTAAGGGTTGGAAGGGGAGTTCCAGGTTGTGAGGGAGGTGGAATGGGAGAGGAGGGTTTGGGCTTGGGTTTGGATGAGGGTTAGGGTTTGGGATTGGGTTGTTGCCGGGCCGGGGAGGAGGGGGTTGTAGTAGATGGACCAGAGGGTTTTGTTGAATTCGGGGGTTGAGGAGCGCGTGTTGAGGAGCAGGGTGATGAGGAGGATGTTGCGGGCTGGTGGATGGATGTTAGTACGTGGATTCAGGGGTGAGATAGGAAAAGGGGGCAGGGTTAGGGTTAGATGCGTACCGAGGATTGCAGGCTCGACATCGCAACAGGTGATGTCCATATCTCGAGAGGCTGGGTCAATGGGTTAGCTGGCATAAAAGCTGATACCATGAAAGGAGGAACTGACCATCGCATTGCGCGGTAAACAGGATATTCCGCACATCGCCGCAGCCGAGCAACAGCATGTCCGCCTTGAGCCCCGGCGGCAGGCCCTGGGTCAGACACACCGCCGGCGTGTTGCCGACGGGGTAGAAGTGAAACCACCGGTTGGCGTAGCCGGGTGTGAGCATCTTGTTTCTTGGTGCTGGGTGTGTTCTTGGGATGTTGAAGAGGAGAGGTCAAGAGGCGGACTCTGCTCGGGACCGCAGCATTTAATGAACGACAGCTTCAAACGCGTAACATCCGTTTGGTGAGGCCTACCGCAGGGGAAACTAGGAAGAATGCGAGCACCCATACACAAAAAAGCCATTGATTCATTCATCCTGAGACTCACCCTTTCTCACAGCCCTTTAGTACAGTCCCTTCTTCCACTTAGTTCCTTACGCCTCACCATCCCAAAAAAAAACTAAACCCTCTCAACAACCCTCCACCCCACCCCCCCAACCCTAACCTCATCCCCCACCGCCGTCACATGCGCCAAATACGTCGCCACCTCCGTCGGCATCTCCAACCGTGGATCCCCCATCCTAACTGTCGTCACCCACCGCTGCGTCTCCGCATTCCACACCACCCGCTCCACCGCCAGCGCGTCTCCGTCCCGCGCAAATGCCTGGCAGTACTGTCCCAGCCGGACTACCAGGCCGCGTTTGATGGGTCCGTTGGACTGGTGGGGGGTTGAGTCCATCCGGAGGGCGATGCAGGTTACTTGCTGGCCGTTGGCGTTGGTAGTCTCGGGTTGGCCGGTTGGTGCACTTCCGAGCACACTCCCCAGGTCTGATAAGCCCTTTGGTCCGGATACACCCCCAAGTTCGCCCCTTAGTTCACTCCCTAACTTGAACGCTCCACCTCCACCGCCAGCAGGTACATCCAAAATCCCTTCTGACCTCCAAATCTCTTCATACGCTGTCACCGCCCCAGTAGCGGGGTTCACCATCCGTCCCGTTTCAATCGTGAGAGCAGGATTGGCCGGGTCGGTGACCATATCCCCCTCGTCCACTACACCATCACACTCTGCCAAGCGGGAGTCGATCCAGTGCGCCCAGCGGCCGTGCTGGATGGGGTTGGTGCTGTTGTCTGTTGTATGTGGGGGATCGACGGAGGATGTGCCGGCTATGGCCCAATCTAGGCGGTTCAGGTCTGTGGGCGGATGAGTGAGGGTTTGCTTCGAGTTTTGACATTACGATTGCATACGTTTGGTTGACCAAGCGCAGACACACAAGGGGAACACTGAAAACAGTGAAAAATGAAAAGAATAAAGATGCAAGAAACATCATGTAAACGAAACAAACAACCGCGCGGGCAACCGCAGACTCACCGCTTACAACGCCCGCATTGCCGATATCCGCCCCGTTGGCCTCAGTCCCTTTCAGGATTCGCAGGTCCACAAACCGCCGCGCCGGTGTCGTCAACACGATGGTCGAGGTCGGCTCGCTGGCTGCGTCTGGGAACCAGCGGATCGATTCGCGGATGGAGATGTCCATGTTGTGGGTCTGAAGGAATTAACTTGAACTTGATTGAAGATTCAGGGTTCAAGTTGATTCTTGATTCAAGTGGAGAGTGAGTGGGTTAACGTTGAAATGGTTTGCGGGGAAATGAACCCTAACCCTGGTTGCCCTGAAATGGTACATACAACTCAACAAACAACAGGATGTCAGGGAGACCCTTTCACATCTTGTCTTCTTTAAACCACCCGTCCGGTAAAAGATGGGACTAGTAGTAGTGCTTAGTGGAATACAACTCCTTTCGTCCGCGACTCATCCTTGGTTCAACTCTAAACGCAAACACACCCCCCTAAGACCGCTCCTGACCCTCCTCAGAAACCTTATCCTCATACAACGCATCCTCCTCCTTATCCAAGTGCCTCAACGTCGTATACATCACCGTCCCAATCACAAACACCGCTATCGCCACGCCTACATACATCCACAACACCTTCGGATCCACACTCACCGGCACCAACGCCAGCGCCAGCGCACTCCCAATGGCAACCGTCAACAAATACAAGCTCTGCACAAAACTCTTCAACTGCGGTGGCGAATGAGTGTACGCAAACTCCGGGCCCGTGGTGTTGAGGAAGATGGACGCAATCCCGAACAACACGTACAACGGCGTCTGGATCGCGATGTGCACGTTGTTAGGTAGGACCGTGCCGTCGGGTTGTTGGGCGGCTGCGCAGGCTAGCGGGTGTTCGAAGCACGGCGGCGCGGAGTAGATGAGGTGCTGGACGATAGCGGCGTAGGCCATGCCGAGCCCGATGGTCGCGAAGCCGATGGCGATGCGCTTGACAGGCCGGAGGACGATGCCACGGCGCCGGAGCAGCGGCATCACGATGCGGTCGATGATGGGGAGGAAGACTAGGATGGAAACTGTTTCGAGCGAGCGCATGAAATCGTTGGGCACCCCGTGGCCTTGCATCATGGCTGCTTGCGAGACTAGGTTGGAGGAGAGCTGCGAGTAGCAGACCCAGATGACGGGGTAGAAGGCGAAGACTTTGCAGGCGTTGAGGGTTTGTTGGACGTCGGACACGAATTGGTCGTTCCAGGGCACTAGTTTGGAAGTGAGGCCGTGGGCGGCGCGCCAGGAGGGTTTGGCCGCGTCGAGGTTGCGGTGGCGGATGATTTGGCCGAGGGCTTGGAAGGCGTGTAGGATCACGGAGCCTTGGGGTTTGCGGACTACGTAAGTCTTGCGTCCGGCTACGAAGATACTGACGGCCACTGTGAATAAACGTTAGTGAAACCGGAGCTAGTTGATTAAGGAGGTAAGAGACCAGGGAAACCCACCGCACAGAACACACCACGTCAGCAAAAACGGCGCCCAAAATCCATACCGCTTCTCCATGAACGGCGTCGCCAGCCCCGACAGGGAGCCTACCTCAATACACCCGTAGTAGATTGTGTAAATGCGGTTATACGTCACCGCCGGGTCGACAATCACCTTCTGCCCCGTCTTCACGTCGATTTTAGTAACCATTTCCCGGTGTGCGTACTGGTCGCCAATCATCGGCGCGACATTTGACTTGATACCACCCGTGCCGAGACCGATCGTGAGCAGAGCCACCACGAACGCTGCCAGCCGGCCGTTGGCACTGACGGCTTCCATCGTAGACGGTAGGGCGGTTGTCCACAGAATCAGCAGGCCGATGGAGTAGATGCCAGCGAAGAGCACGATGGCCCGAAACCGGCCCAGGTACTGGTCAGCGACCACCGCACCAATGATGGCCGTGACTATGTCATGTCGGTCAACTACTTTCCACTTTCTTTATGCATCAAGAATCGATAACATACCGTACATAAAGAAGTTACTCAGCGTCGACAGCGCCGTGGCCGTCGTCCGTGGCTGGCCGAGTCCATACGCCGTCGACACATAGTTCTGGAACAGACTGTTGGCGCCGTAGTACGCGAACCGCTCAAACAGCTCGACCACTGCGACGATGAACGCCGACTTGGGCACCACGTCGCTGACTCGACGGAGCGTGCGTTTCTCTTCCTCTGTCGGTGGGAGGCCGTCATCGAGCGCTGCGATCCCAGCTGCGGAGGACGAGGATGACGACGGCGAGACGGCGGTGACGTGTTCGTCTATGCCGCCGTGTCTATGTGTGTTAGTCTGTGTGTGGGGGTGAGTAAGTGAGTGGTGATGGTTACATACTTGCCGATTTCGGATGCAGACATGACGACTGAGAACGCGGAATTGGCCCGCTGCGATGTCAAGCGGTACGCTGAATTAGGAAGGTTGGCAGTCCCCGCTGAGATTGGTTAACCGTTGCAAACGCAAATCCTCAGAGACAGACACATGGTCCACCGTCGCGTGGCATTGCTCTGCCATGATGTTTTAAAGATATTGCTCCATGTCCACTGCTGCGATAGCTCGCCCAGGTTTGACACAATCTGCACTTGTGATGGTGTAATTGATCAGGGCTGGGGATTTGCTAGTCTCTACCGGAGATCAAGGGTTTGGGAGCACCAACGCCCCGAAATGTCTGTTGGTTCTGTGGTCTAACCCTGGTTGCTTGAGAATATGGGAACTCGAAATTCTGAACTCAAAAACAAGGGATTGCGTTGAACGGAACAGCCAGTTGTAACTACAACTCCAAATCCTGACCATCGCCTCAAATGCAACTACTCTTCTCGACTTCGGCGATTATTCTGACATGCATTCATCTGTTGATGCTCTGTCTTCACAATTCGATCTCAGCAATACAATTCAACGCCCAAACCACGTGCGACCAAACAAGTCCGAAACCACGACCCTTTTTCTCCGACTCACCCAGCCCAACCCCAGCTTTTTCACCTTGGGAGCGCCTTCCCTCTTAGGCTCCCCCGCTTTGGCCGTTTGGCGTTTCCCGTGCTATTCCTGAGAGTTCGTCGCGGCCGGCATCAAAACGTGGGGGCACACCTTGGCTTCCTGGGTGTTTCTTTCTGTGCTGAGTGTCGGAGGTGGCAAATCGTGGCTCGGCAGAGCCCCCAAAGTTTGGCGTGGGGTGCATGAAGACCGGAGACGACCGGTTGCCCTCCTTAGCCGCATGTGCTGGTCGTCGTCCGTGGTTTGTCGTCACGGTAGAAAGCTTAACGGTTTTGGCTCTTGTTATCTGCTGCAGTGAGATTCGGGCCGGCCGGGATATTCCGCGCTGACGAGGTGTCGACTTGTTCGCCCTGTGCCTGTCCGGCTTCAACACCAGAGATATTACCGGCCGGGGAAACCCGACACTCGGTGTTTGCATTCCGGTATTGTCACCTTAGGCTGACAAGTGCGAAGTGTGGTGTGCAGTGTGGTCTGCAATGCAGTGTCAAGAACCGAGAGTACCTCGTCGATCTCTCTGTTCCCAGCGGCGATTTTATGGAATTCGCCCTTGGAGGCCGTAAGCCCAGACGGAACTCTGTTGTGTCCGTGTTTGGTCCGTCGGTCCTAAAGCCGACACGGGTAAACTTTAGCGGCAGTGCGTATTCCTGTAGCTATCTAGAACAAAAAGCCGCCGCGTTTACGGTGCCATTGCATCTTTATCTCGAGCATTGGGTATGATTCCGGGCATTGTTTCATCCTCTCCACCATTGACAGTGGGCAGCTCGCCAATACGCACCAGTTATAGGCGACGTTTAGGCGACTTACAGAGCAACCGCCCGCTCCTTCCGTTCACGAAGGAAACTGGCACCATCCAAAAAAGATAAAACAACGAGACCTTGCCATTGCCTGCTATTCTGCATCCGGCAAGTAACCGGCACTGTGTTTGCCAACTGAGAACGGCAAGAACGACCAGAGTTTGGTTACCTAACACAACCCTCTCGCCTGGCAGGGTAACTTGAACTAGTGGGCAAACAGGGCCTCGGAACCCCTGTATCCCCCGGTGGCACCATTTCTCTCCCCCCATGGCGTCAACCTTAACCCGTCATCCACAACACTCCACGCTCACGAAACCCCACGCAGTCCCGCGAAACCCACCAAAGCGCAGGCTGGCGACACGAGGAGGCGGGAACGACGGCCATCGACGCATACCCCTCCTTATGATTGATTGCTTCACTCATTGATCCCCTACCTTCTCCGCAAACCCGCTTTTTCAGTTTGTCTCTTCCCCAAACACGCACGTTCAAACAGACGAGCCGACTTGCATATTTTCATCATCCAACGGCATAAACTCTCACACACCATCGAGAGTAACAAACGGACGTCGGAATCGACAGTACCTTACCACCGAACACGCGCCGGGGAATTATTCCTCTCCCGTTACAGAGTCGGAATTGCTTGGCATACCATCTCCGGCCTCCGAGTTCTAGGCTCTGAACCCCTCCCCCGTACAACAAGCCTCCCCCGAGGGACCACAGCAGGTCGTTACCACACCGTCGGGACGAGAGAATTTATTTATTTTCGTACATATTTTAACCCTCGTTTTTTCCTTTCCTGCCTCCCTGATGGCGGAGCTTCAACATGGCGGTGAGAACAGCGAGGCGCACTTGTGTCCGATTTGTTTGAAGACGTTTGGTCGGAGTAGGTAGCCCTGTTCCTACCTTTTTCCCCGAAAAATGAGTAAAGGGGTGGGAGGGAGTGAGTGAGCAGTGGGGATGGATTCAGTACCCGGCTGCCGTCAGCCCATCGAGCCATGACGACTGTCAGGTGTTCATGTGCTCACAATAGGCTGTTGGTCTCATTTGCCCATGGTTACCCATTGTCGTGTTTCTTAACACTGAGCCCCGGTTACACCGATCTTCATGTTTTCTCTTGTGTCCCTGTTGTACTCGCTTAGCCGTGGTCGTCGTGCTAATTCGGCATTCCGTCATGCGCAGAGGACTTGCGAGATCGCCATCGCCGCCGGTGCGAGAAGTCGATCGGCAAGGCCAAGCAGGTCAAGAAGAAGGCATGTGAGCGATGCATTGGGTCCAAGGTCAAGTGCGATTACGAGAAGCCTGCGTGTAAGTTGTCGTATCCTCCGCTGGATACAGTTCATAGGATGAATTGAGACTCACATGTGGCAGGCGGACGATGTCTGTCACGCTCCGTGGCCTGCGAATACAAACTGGAACCGCAGATCCGCATGCCAGCCGGCCATGTCCCCGGGCTGAGGTTATCGACAGCCATTCCAGCGCAACAGGCCCTTCCCAACGCCCACGGGGCCGACGACGAGATACAGGCTCTCCTTTCCACATCCGGTCCAGATACGGCAGACGTCTTTAGCATCACAACCCGGCATCAAACTGGTGTGTCCAATCAGGGCATGGGACAAGATACGGGCCCGGCCTACCTCTGGCTTCCACATACGAACCTCACGGAGCAACACCATTCGGCGGAGGACGCGGCAAGCAACTTCCGCATGCAGGCGCCCAACTCGGACATTGGCTCGATGGACACATCTCCCACAATGGATCTGGGGTTGATGGCTGACGACCGCTGGATGCCGGAACTACTCGACCCGGCTCTCTTTCCGAGCGATCATAGCCATAACACGATTCCGAGCCCAAACCCTGACCCGATCACCAGGCAGCGCGAGAAACCACCCGGGTTGGGCCTTCCGTCGTTAAATAACGATGGCGTCTCAGTAGCCGACATGTTCCACCAGCAAATGTCCGAATCCAACCACTTTGATGGAAGCCAAAACGACAATGCTGGGTATTTGTCACTGGAAACTTCCAACAGCACGTCCCGTGCCTCGTCCTCACCAGGAAACACCAGCAGGAGCAGTATCTGCAGCAACGGCGGCGGCGGTTCGCCCGCCTCAAGCGTGGGAACATCTGGGACGATGGCCACCAACAAGCGCCGACGGACGTCATCCCCAACCCGCGACGCAGCCAGCGACTGTGGCAGTCTGACCAGTCCCTTACTCGTCCACTGCCAGCCACGACTGATCGTACACGGCCGCGGCTCAGCCGACGACACAAATGGGGCCGGAGTAGGGGGCGGCAGTTCCCTGAGCGAGCTGATCCAAGCAGCGCGCGGCCAGACAACATGGCAACGGCAGCGGCAGCGAGGGATGATCGCGCTGGAGGAAGCGGTGCGGATGACGGCGGAGTATCCGCTGCGTATGCTGTCGACAACATTCCGTTCACCGTTCATCCACCCGCGACTGTGTCGGCAATCACCGCGGGGGATGCCGGAGCCAATCGCGGTGGCACTGGCGTGTGTTGGGATGAAGCTGCATTCGGAGGAGAGTGGGTTGCGGTTTGTTTGTGACATTTTTCGGGATCAGCGGGACAAGCTGATCAAGGAATTGGTATGTTCTTGTTTTGGCCGTAATTACGGTAATTAATCACACAGAATACTGACGTCCTGCAGCCCACACTATCCGACAACCACGAACAGGTCTGCGCCAGCCTACACGCCATGTGCATCTACCAGATCGAGGGACTGCTATCCGAGAACCGGTACAACTCCAAGCTCGCCACCGCCGTTCTCCACCACGAGTATCTCGTCCGAGTAAGCCCACCGACCCCCTATGCAAACATGAATACGCTAACCAACCATACCAGGCCACCCGCCGCCTCATCAAACGCCTCCAAACCACCACCACCTTCCTCTCCACCCCTCTCTCCACCTCCAACAGCAACCCCGACTGGGACACCTGGGCCATCCAGGAATCGTTGCGACGCTCCATATTTTTACTCGTCATCATCCACCACCTACTCGGCATTACCAGGACGCTTGACCCGGCATATTTCGAGCCGCTGCTCCCGCCTGGCGTAGCGGAGAGCATTGTGCTGCCTTGTGAGGAGGCGCTGTGGGTGGCAGAGACGCGGGAGGAATGGATGGAGGCGAGGCGGAATTATTTGGAAGATGCGGAGGGGAATAGTGGGACCAATAGTAATTATGGGAATGGGAATAAAAAGGCGTTGAGGCTGGGAGAGGTGGTGCAGATGTTGAACCGCGGGGAAGGAAGGGATGCGGAAGGGGATGAGGACATGGGGATGGGGACGGAAGAAAGGGGGTCGGTGTTAGAGGGCTTGCCGGAGTTGACGAGGTTGATTGTTAGTGTGGTGTCCGTGGAGGTCGATAGGGAGTAAGGAGTTTAGGGAGGAATGACTGGAGGATTTTAGTATTTGAAGACTTAGACCGGACCAGACCGGGGTTGCCTCAGCACGGGCGCTTGAGGTGGTAAGCAATGGGGTCAAGGGTTATGACGGTAATGGGATCCGGGATACGATATTTGGTGTTGGGTTACGTAGTTGGATTGTTTAGTTTTCTTTATAAAATGTGGCCTGGCAGGACCGGTTATGGTCGTGGGCTGGATGTTCCTCGATGCTGTGATGTCAGTAGAGTGAATGATGCATTATCAACTAATATGAGGAGGCTGATAAGGTCACGCCGTTGATATGGTTCGAGGTTAGGGTACAATCGCATACAAACGTTTCAAGCAGGAGGATCAGTTATCAAAGTAATTAATTAATTGTCATCAAGATTAACTACATTGTCCATTGCGATGGAAATCACCAAGCTTGCCGGTACATTAATTGTAACAACAGTGAATTGTATATTCCCACAGGCATTGACTCATTTTATAGTGTGACGGTGTTCGTAATTATTTATGCGCTAGTCGTTTTGCCGTGGGCATGTAGTTAGTCGAGTTGTGATTCTTGAAGTCCCAACAAAACTAGACTCGGACAATAACATAGTTATTAGTCACAAAATAGTGGTTGGTTGGTCTTTACGCTAAAGTTTTAGAGGTGATGCAGTGAGGAGAGTTGCGGCTGAAGTCTGGGAAGATAATTAATCCTAGTTATTTCTAATTTTTGTCAGAGTTATAGAATGAGAAAAAATATCCCTTTTCTCTATACAAAAATAAACAATTATTAAACTTGAAGATTTTCCCTGCTGAGTACTGAATTAGCTGTTCCCCTCCCGTTTAAAACGCGTTTGTATGCCATTTGTTCTAAGCAATGCATGTGGTGTCACAGTTTCCAGTATCTCCCTAATCTTAGTTAATTATCGCACCAGACCTCAGGCGGACGAGATCAAGCGTCTTCGGTACGTAACGTCCAGGGACATGTACTCACATGGCTATTCCGAACACTGAAAACTCATTCCGATGACTACATCTTACACGTAAATGAAACAGACCAACTCATGGAAATAGCAAAAAGCTAAAATGCGCACTTCATGTTATAATTATGCCCATCAACACCGTAACATAAAATAGAAACCCCCCCTTCACAAATCCCCCTCTCACAACATTCACCCTAACATCTTACCCCTTAAAACCCTCCAACCACCCCTCAATCTGCCCCGCCCTCTCCGCAGCCTCATCCAGTTCCACCCACCCTCTCTCCTCCCACCCCTTCTTCCCCTGTTCCCCTCCATGACCCCCAGCCAAAACAGCATCCCCAAAAGCAAACAACACACTCTGCACCCCCCTCGCTCTCACTCCAACCTCCCGCTGAGTCACCGTCCAATCCCACTTCACCTCCTCGACCGCGTCAGGCCCATCTCCCTTTGCAAAAGTATGCAGGTGGATGGTCACCGGCTCGGCATAGGCGTCTGCTTGAAGGGATATACCGGCTGGCGCGACGAGGCGGATCTCGCCGGTTGTGCCGTGGAGGGTCCAGATCAGGGAGGGAGTACCGGGGAAGGGTTGGCCCCGGCGGAAGGTGAATGATAAGGTGGCAGGGGACGTGTTTTTGCGCTCGTTGGGCGGGAGGGAGGAAAGGGGGATGTTGGTGAAACCTGTGGTTTTGAGGTGGTTAGCTTTGGTTGTGAGCGGGAAAAGGGAAGGCAAAAGGGCGTACCGTGGAGGGACAGCAGATCAGGCACGTCAGAGGTGATAGTCTCGACAATCTTGTCGTCTTGAGCCGGGCCGCGGATGCGTACGTCGGGACGCTGCAGCTGGAAGTGGGCATGAGTGGACTCGAGAGTGAGATCGCCGACGACGGACTGGACAAAGTCGACCACTGTGCAGTCTCAGTCTTAGTATTCCTCTCAAAAACGACCCACAGAGAAAAGGAGAGAACATACCATGCCCAAACCCAATGGTAATCGGATTCCCCCCCACCCTCCTCTCCGCAAAATACTTCAACCCAACCGGCAGCACCTCCCGATCCCTCGACCCCCCATACGCCTCCACCCTACTACTCAACAATCTCCCAATCTTCCCCTCCCTCAACAGCTCCTTGATCCTCACCACCGGCGGCGCCCACCGGCCTTGCAACCCGACCAAAACCCTCCCCTTCTTCCCCGCAGCACGACTCTGCCTCAACGCCTGCCTCAAAACCTCAACCTCCCCCTGATCCCTCGCAACAGGCCACTCAACAAAAACATCTCTTCCCGCCTTCACACTCGGCAGCGCGGTCTCTAAATGCTTGTCTACCCGCGTATTCACAAGCACTAGATCAACTTCTTCATCACGCGCGAGAGATTCAGGGTCTCCGTAGGCGCGCGTGGTCAAAGGGTCGAGATGGTAGGCGGCTACGGCGGCGTGGGCGGCGGACAGGGAGCTGTTGCAGAGGGCTACGATGCGGAAGCGGGTGCGGCCGGAGGGGGAGAGAAGGTTGGGAAGGTGGGCGGTGGATGCCCAGGAGGTGATGGCTGAGGCGGAGAGGCCGATGATTGCGACACGGAGGGTTTTGGGTTCTTCGTTTTGCGGGGACATTGTGGATAAATGGGGATTGGTAGTTAGTAGATGCCTAAGAGGTGGGTGAGGGTTGATGGAAACGAGTTGTGGTTGTGTGGATGTTTAATGAGGAAGAGAGAGTGCACCTTTATTGACTTGGTTTGGGTTTGTCTTTTTTATTTATTGACCCCTCGCAGCCACCGGCCAGCCATGTCCGAAGACTCCACCGGGACAACATGTCCGGGAGGTTGAATGTTTACCCTGATCCGATGATCGTGCATACGGACAGTGGTGAATGCAAAGTGATCAGAGGACGGTCGTATGGGGTATACAGAGCGATGCTGAGGAATGCGAGTGATGCGAGAAATCAAGGGCTGAGCAAAGTTGGATTCGGAGTAAAGCAAAGCAGATATGAGAACTGGGACCACCTGTATCCCTAATTTTGATTGCCCAAACAAGTTACTAGACCCCAATCTTGTTCATTCTGTTGGTTCTCCTATTTCCAGTTCTCCAGATCTCCAATCCCATCCACAACAGTAATGTTACTTAATCTCTCCTAACCGACCCCTGAAATCGTGTCTCTCACTCCTCACACCCGCCCCCTGAGAACCCCCATCATCTGAGGTACACTCCCCTATAAATCCTCCTCATCCTCCAACAAATGCGCCGGCCAGCCATTGACCCGTCCCCCCGGCAAATTCAGATGGACCTTCTGCACACCCCCGACGCCCGTAATCCACAAATCCTTGCTGCCCTTGCCCGACCAAGTGTTTCCAACAGCCGTAAAAGGGGTCTGGATCTTGATGACCAAATCCCCCGCGGGATCAACCACGTCGATGCCGTCGCCCACGCCGATCAGGACGTATCCGTTGTCGGCGACGCGCACGCCGTCGGGGAGCCACTAATTCTTTCTGTTAGTTCTTTTCTTGCGGTTGTAATGACATCATTACCGTGAGAAAATGGGGAAGAGAAAAATACCTTATGCGTCAAATGAAAAGGTCTCGCATTCCCCAACGCCAAACCCCCATGAATCACATCAAACGCCCACACCACATGGGGATCAGTGACATTGTACGGGTTGTAGATGACCTGGCCTACGGCCGGCGCGTGGTCGGGGACTGTCTCGGCACCTGAGTCGGCCACGTAGAGCGTCTTGAAGTCCGGGGAGAAGGCGATGCCGTTGGGCTGCTTGAGGTGTTGGTCCACGATGCGAACGGATCCGGTGCGCGGGTTGAAGCGGTAGATGGCTGGGGCGAGGACGGGGTGGTGCGGGGAGACACCGTTGCCGAAGGAGTAGTCTAATATTCTGTCAGCGTTTTCTGTTCTCTCTTTTTTTCATCCCTTTTTGGGGGAGGTTGTGTCTTTTTCGCAGGGAGAAAACTCACCATCATCAGTAAACCAAATATTCCCCTCCCCATCCATAGCCAAATCATTACAAGTACTAAACCAATACCCAAAATAATTATTCAACAACACCTTCGACTCCCCACTCGTCGCATTCAACGTATACAACCCGGGCCTCGCCACCGTCCCATCAGGACCCTCCACCTCATCACTCGACCCCCCGACACAAAAATAAAACAACCCATTCCTATAAATCCCCCCGACAGGCGAATACAACGGTGGATCCGCCTTCTTCCTATGCACCCCCTTGCCCTCATCCCCCAAGTCAATCACCTTCTGGGTAATCTCCCCACCCGACAACTCCGAGAACCAAACCTCGTTGGTATACGGGTCATACACCGTCGCGTCGTGGAACAGGGGTTCAATGTCGAATTTGTATTCCGACGTCGGCGCATCGCCGAGGATGGAGAGGCCCCGGTCCCGGTCGTAGACGATGAAATCTGCGTCGCGGAGCAAGGACCAGGAGGGGTCGTCGGGAACGTGGGTTTGCGCGTAGGAGGCTTGGTCGAGCGGGTTGATGGAGTCGGGAGGGGGGGCGCGGGAGAAGTTGCCGGGGAGCACGGCGGAGTAGTTGCGGACGCAGACGATTTTGGCGGTGGTGGGGCCGCATTTTTCGACTAAGGGAGCCGCAGAGGTTTCATGATGGGTGACCTCGTGGAGGGGGGATTGTTGTTGGTGGGTGTCGGGGTTGGAGTAGGTGGTGCTGCTCACCGTGATGAGGATCTCCTGGAGGGGGACGCGCATCTTGGTGGCTGGCGGGTGAACAAACTAGAGAATAGACAATGGCTTTGGGTATGGGTGTTGGCCAAGATGGACGACAACGACAAACGGGGGAAGATAGAGAACACCTGCAGACAGCACAGTCTGTCGTGCCAGCCGTTATGAAGTCCCTTTTCTTCGGTTCTCTGTATGTCTCTCAACGAACACCCTTGCCCTCACAGCCAATCCGTCTTACACATCCTCCGAACCAGGAGCTCAAGCTTCTCAGGCTCCCCGTAACCTTCGGGTCCATAACACCCGACTACCACCCCCCCATTACGCAGTCCCCCTTACACAGTCCCCACACAACCATCCAGTGCCGACGGCGATACAGCGGGACAGGCCGTCCCTCCGATGCACGCAACGAAACCTTCCTGCCCCGCGATCGACTTGGCGCAGCTTACATCGTGCATCGTATGTCCGAACGGATGTAAGATGCCATGCTCCACTGAGCTTATTTGGCTTAAGCAATGTTGGTGGTGGCGTCCGATAGGGATTGCATCATTCAACGGGCAGATGAGGAATCGGGCACATATGTAGCGGATCTGGAAGTACATCGGAGCAGTCGAGTTCGGAGGAGGTTGGCCCCTTGCTCGGAAGTTTCCTTACACGCTCGTACGAGTACCGACTCGAATGTCCAGCCGTATCGTCTGACATGCATACGTGCTAGGAAGTATACGAAATCCACCCATCGTGCAGATGCAGATCGCCACAGGGGTGTGATTGCCGTTCATTGCGGAACTGAGCATGGCAATTGGCCACGGGGGCATTTCCCAGACTTGAACGACGGCATTTTGTCATTGTGTAATTCAATTCCCATGTGCAAAATAGACAATCACTCCGATATCGGTCATTGCCCTGAGCTCAGCTCTACCCGGCTTGAGAGCCTCGACTCTCCACTCTCGACGTCGGCCATGAGAGTCAATCTTGCAATCTCAGTCTCACGATCCAAGTTTGACGATCTCAGTGAACAATCCAAGGCGACTCTGCTGGTGTAAGACCTACTCCGGACGCTGCCCAATAACAAAGTTCAGCGTCGGCCGATACCCATACTCCAACACCCCCGCCACAATCTCCTCCAAGAACTTGTCAAACTCATCCACACTGTCCAACAGCCCCGGAATCCCCCCCTCCGGCACCTTACTCCGCAACCCCCCAAACGTCTCCAGCCACATCTCCGCCGACGGCTTTTGCCACGCCTCCTCACGCGCCGCAGCACCATACCCCAATGTAAACGACGTCTTCTGCACGTTCACAAACCCAGCCTCTTTGATCCAATCTTCCAGACGATACGCCGCGTCAACGTCCATACCGAAGAACTCCGTCGTCCATTGTTGAAAGGCGGTAATTCTTTTCAGGATCGGCGGCAGCGCGTCATAGTCTGCGCCGCGAGGTACCCATTGCACTTCAGCGAGTTGGATCCAACCGCCAGGCTTGACGAGGTGGAAGTGGTTCTTGACCACGGGGAGCCACTCGTCCTTTTGCAGGCCCCAGACCAGCAGGCGCTGGTGGACGAGGTCGAAGCTGTTGGCCCATGACGGTTCCGGTGGGGTGGCTGATTTGATGTTGAACTCGCGCAGGTCGAGGGCTGCGTAACGGCCGGTCTTGGGCGGGAAGAGAGCGGAGCCGATGTCTACGCCGTGGAGCGACCAGTCGTGATTGGGGTAGAGACGGGCGACGTCCAGGAGCCAGGAGCCTTTGTAAAAAATAATCGTGGTTAGATATGTTTTGGAGCACTTTGGTGGTTTGAGGCGAGATCTCACCATCGGAAGCGCCGGAGTCAAGAACTTTGACTTTGCCCGGCTTCAGGGGCGCCGTGATCAGCACATTTTGCGTTGAAGAGAGGATCAACTCCGACTGCCTCTGCAGCCGGTCGACTTCCTTCGCGTGGTGCGGGAGGTGGTAGATGCCCTCGCTGCCTGCGAATAGGTTCTCGGTGCGAGTGCGCGGGCCAGTGGCCTCGGGTGCGGAAGCGGCAGCAGCCATGGTAAAACAAGCCCAGGACTTAGGTTGACAGAGGGTTCAACCAACAACGGTAACACAGATGTTTAACGCGTAGGCCGTGGCGGTGCGGTTGCGCAACACTTCAATACCCGCTTGGCTGTTGTTCCTTTTGCTCTCTGGGGATGAGATGAGTTTCATGAATCATGACGACCGGAACCCCGCGGCGGCGCGGCCTAGAGCCGACGCCAGCGCACCAACCCCCTCCGGATAACGGGACATCGCTAGCACTCGCTGGTGTGCGCGTTCTGATTCCGCTCATTCGATGCTGCTGCATACCGCAGCGAGGTGCATCCGATAGTTTGACGCACGCTGCCCAACCGACGCTGCAAATGAAACACAGTGTCGTGACGGCGTTGTATGTCTGTTACCGCACTGTGGTTGCTGAAACTATGGTAAGTCGGACTTCGGAGGTCACTGGATTTACGCTCTGTTTAGTGTCAATGTACTGACTGTTTTGTCAAGAGTCTGTCAATCGCGCAGACTGGCTGCAACATCTCGCAACCGCGGGGTACACTTACAACGAGGGTCCAGTAAATGCATTTGTAATAGACCCGAAACAGCGAGGACCACAAGTCAGCCGTGTTGCACCCACTGCGCATCGTCCTTGAATCGTCACCAGGTGGTACGCTGCGGTGCCTTGCATGAACCGACTTTGTCGTCGTCCACCAAGCTTTCTCGCCACCAGACTCGAGAAGTCTCCGCCTTGCTTCAGCGTCCGGAAGCGACACCTTCATACCCATCCGGCTGAGCCGCTGCAGCATCAATCTTATCGCCAAAGTCTCACCATGTCTCTCAGTCAACCCGGCCTGGCCAGTCCTTCGACTTTTGGCGGGCTCCTGGAAAGCCGCGCCATCTTCAACGCCGCCGATATCAAAGTCCAGCAACATGCCCTTCCGCCACCCACTCGCCGCAACGAATGGCGGTTCCGCCCAGGCTCGTATACCCCGCGAGACTTCATCCGGGAAATCGCCCTCTTGCTCGAAAGTGTCATCGTCCAACTTGGACCCGATGGCCCGGAAGACGCTGATTCCCGCGCCATTCTCATGGACGGCCTGCGGTCCAGCCTTTCCCACGAGGGCCGGGAAACTACACTCCCGCTAGCCGACTGGAACAGCGAGCAGCCCTCCGACCTGACCCGCCACATCCTTCGTATCGGCAAGGCGCTTTACCAGTACGCCGCCGAGGCCAACCACATCATCCCCGGCGACCCGTCCTTGACTGTTTACAGTCCCTGCGAGGGCCACAAGTGGGTGCCGCCTGCCGGTCGGCTATTACGAAGCCCACGCAGCTCGCCCATTCTCATGATGCTGTACAATGAGTGGCTGCATCAGATCACCTGTCTACGGGATATTCTCATCGGGTTCGACAATTTTGAGGACGTCATCTTGAACTTGGACCATCCGTCGAGACGGGGGACCCGGCCGTTGGAAGACATCCGCGAGGCCTTGTTGGCGCAGGTGAAATCCGGACAGGTTTCCCGCGGCTCATTCCTCGAGGCGGCTAAGGTGCTCACAGGGCCAAGTCTGCCAGCCGGGGGATACGGGTTCCAGTACGACAAGGGGGTCGTGCTTCCGGCAACCGTGTTCTCTGAGACCTCCTCTGATCTACTCTTGCATTTCAGCCGCACAGTTCTCATTCAAGAAGAAACCCAACGCGCGGTGCTGTTTGTGCCCGCACCAGTCTCTCCAGACGTTGGTAAGGTGGACGTGAGCGACCTGAAAGCTGACTCGTCCGTCCACTTTTCAAGACACATCTTGGTGGAGGATGCGCGCAACGTGGTGGGTGAAGACGGCCAGTATCTCATCAAGCTGGCGGCACATAACAACGGCAGCCCGGTGTACTCCGTCGACGTCGCTAGCGTGATCCGGGGTCTGGATGCCGCGAGAAACGCGAGCCCGGAGGAGGAGAAGGAAATCCTGGCGTCCAACGCACCTGGTCGGGTGTACGAGGCCTCAGAGATCTTGTTGGCAGATGCGAGCGTCGTGGAGAACAAATCTTCCCGGCCGGTGGTCATCCGCGCCGGTGAGGAGGTGGATCTGCTCGCGCTCTTGGGGAAGCTAGAGGTTGGCAGTGTTCACCTGGGGACCGAGTGGAAACGGGGGACGGAGGCATATTCGAGTGTCGACTCTGAGTCGCCCGGGTTCTTGATTATCCGGTGATAGAAGTAGTTGAGATAGAGTTTAACTAAGTTCACACTGGGTGGATTAACACGGTAATTAGATGTCGATACCGCCCGGGTGTTTAATTCGGCAAAGCGGCCTGTCATTTTGGGCCGTTGGGGATCAAGTTGAATTGTGATGGGGTGTAAATCCCAATGAACGGAATTTAGTTACGCACATATTATTTGCACACAAACCGCTCGCTCTTTCCTCGCTATTCGGGCTTAATAATGGTTTGTAGACAATCACTGTCTCGGGTTGCACTTGCCTCGGAGTTGAGTGGTCAACATCCACTATCCAAGCTCCCCGAGACGGCCCAGTCCGCAGATTTACCTGCCATCTCACTGCTCACAAAATTTGTTTTTGGCAAGCACGTGAAATAACACCAATTCTTATTTTCTTCGCTTTTCGGGTCAATGATGCCCCAGAATTACGCGGGCCAAGACTTTGTAGAAGCACGCTCACACTAATTGGCATCCATCTCGACCAGCTGCTCGTCTGGACTTTACGTACAATTTTACCCTTCCCAATCGGGACATCAACTAAACAATCAATACCTTTGTCCAGCTCGGCCGAAGGCTACCAAAACAAGATTATCATGGCTGAAAAGTCACCCGAAACCGGCCCGCCAGGCGCGAAGAACAACCCCAACATCGAAGAACACAACAAACAGATCCCACTCGCCTTCACCAACCTCAGCGTCGCGGCCCCCGATCCCGGTCTCGTCACCGTTAAGACCCTCCCCAAAGCCATCATCAACACCTTCGGTCCCGACCAAGCAGCATGGCTCACCCTAAACCTCTTTAAGCCTCTCGGGCTCGTAAAGCCACCCAAGAACAAGACCATCCTGCACGACTTCACCGGCCTTGTCCGCCCCGGCGAGATGCTACTCGTTCTCGGCCGCCCCGGTAGCGGGTGCTCGACCTTTCTCCGCACAGCCGCAAACCGATCAGCGTTGAAAGTAACGGGCGAGCTGCAGTACGCCGGGCTTGGGCACGAGGAGTTCTACAAGAAACACCGCCGCGAGACGTTGTATCTGCCCGAGGAGGATAAACACATTCCGACTTTGACTGTGCGGCAGACGTTGGAGTTCGCGCTCCGGATGAGCTTGTCAACGAGGGAGCGCAAAACTAAACACCTGGGGAATGCAGTTAAGGAAATGGCAGCTATGTTTGGTTTGGAACATGCCTTAGACACCATTGTGGGAGGAGGGGCCGTTCGGGGTGTTTCGGGTGGTGAGAAGAAACGGTATGTGGATTTCGAAGTCATGAAAAGGTGTTTCGCGTTTCTGACACGTCCTAGAGTATCCATCGCCGAGGTCCTGGCATCCGGTTCATCCGTCCAATGCTTCGACAACAGCACCAGAGGCCTTGATTCATCCACGGCTCTCGACTTCGTCAAGGCCCTGCGCACGTTGACCGATCTCTCGCAAAAGACGACGTTGGCAACACTCTACCAGGCCGGCGAGAATATTTACCGGCACTTTGACAAAGTCATCTTACTGGATTCGGGATATGAAATCTACTTCGGTCCCGTTGACAAAGCCAAGCCATATTTCGAGGCATTGGGCTTCGTTTCGGACCCGAGGCAGACGACATCGGAGTTTCTCACCACTGTGACCGACCCGGCTCAGCGACAGGTTCGGCCTGGGTCCGCAGCGGAATCCCTGCGCACACCCAAGGATCTCGCAGATGCCTTCAGGTCATCGAAGGAGTTCTCCCAGTTGCAATCCGAACTGAATGATCTTGACCGGTCGTATGTATCCCAATCAGATCTTGTTCCCACCAGCCCAATCAAACTCTCATACCCATCACAGGTGTGGGAATGTCTGAGGCGGGAGGTCCAGCTCATCAACGGTCGCCGCGCAGTGTACTACCAAAAGTGGATCAACACGGTAGTCCTATGTTTGATTGTCGGGAGCGAGTACTTCAACATCTCATCGGACGCTTCGGGCGCCTTCACCCGCCAAGGCGTGATCTTCTATGCCATCATCGCCAATGCTTGGATGCAGTATCCCGAACTGTTTGACGCGCATTCAAACCGTGCAGTCCTTGAGCGGCAGTCATCCGTCAACATGTACCGGTCCTCCGCTGTGGCTGTGGCCCGGATTCTCATCGATATCCCCATGATTGCTTTGCAGCACGCGTTCTTCATGATTGCGTATTACTTCCTAGCCCATCACACCGTGGCATACACTGCTGGGGACTTCTTCTACTTTTACTTTGTGCTCTGCTTGTCGACCATCAATTTTGCCAATTTGCTAAGAATGTTTGCGTGTAAGTCGGCCTTGTTGTTCATCAAGATGGAACATGGTTAACACTCTGTGCAGATTACGTCCCAAGCGTTGAGGACTGTTTCCGGATCGGAGGAATCGCTTCGACCACAACGGTCTACTTTGCCGGCTTCTTGATCCCCATCAACCGCATGCGCCCCGTATGGTCATGGCTCCATTACATCAGCCCCCCTCGGTATTCATACGAAGCGCTCCTCACCAACGAGCTCCACCGCCTCGAGATATCTTGTGGTGACCAACTTGTCCCGGACGTCCCGGGCGCGAACCTCTCGCATCAAGTGTGTCCCGTTCGCGGTGCGGAAGCCGGTCAGGACGCTGTACCTGGTCTCCAGTACGTTCAATCCCTCGGCTTCAGCTATGCCAACCGGTGGCGCAACGTCGGTATTCTCATTGGGTTTGCCGCAGCGTATATGCTTGTAGGCGTGATTGGCAGCGAGATCATGCACTTTACCTCACAGGGCGGCGCACCTGTTGTCTTTGCCCGCAGAGACAAGAACAGGAAGGGGGAGAAGGATGCTGCGGCGGATGTCGAAAAGTCGGCTGCCCTCGGCGATAGTGGGAGTTCTAGCACGGAATCATACCGAGGCAAGCCTAGCCTCGTGTGGAGCGATGTTACTGTCGACATTGGCGACAAGAGAATTCTCCACGGTGTAACCGGCTATGTCCGCCCCGGTGAGCTGGTAGCCCTCTGCGGATCGAGTGGTGCCGGCAAGACCACTCTCCTGACTCACCTCACCCAGACGAACCCAGTCGGAGTCTCGGGTGGACAGCTTGAGTTTGGAAACAAGCCACTGGGCCGGTACTTCAAGAAGATGTCCGGATTTGCTCAGCAGTCGGATATGCACGACGGTACTGCGACGATCCGGGAAGCGCTGGAGTTCTCGGCTCTGCTGAGGCAACCGTCCATCTACTCTAAGGCGGAAAAGTTGGCGTATGTCGACCATGTGTTGGAAATTTTGGATTTGACGCACCTGCAGCACGCTTTAATTGGGGATGCGGATTCTGGGCTTGGGGTTGAGTTGACAAAGCGGGTTACGGTAGGTTATCGTTGTTGACTTCTTGTATTATGCCCATGCTTACTGGTGATTGTAGATCGCTGTGGAGTTGGTCGCTCGGCCTCAGATCTTGTTCGCCGATGAACCGACGTCTGGGCTTGATTCCCAAGGCGCCGCGGCCATTGTGAGTTACTTGAAACGGCTCGCGCAACAAGGCCAAGCCGTGCTTGTCACGATCCACCAGCCGTCCGCGTCGCTTTTCCGGGTGTTTGACAAGGCCGTGGCGCTGTCATCTGGTGGCCAGCAAATTTAGTACGCGTGACCCAAATCCCGTGTGAGCTATACCCTGTGCTAACACTGGATAGCTACGGCCCTGTGGACAACGTCCTTCCATACATTACTCGGATCAGTGGGACGGAGCACCCCGATGATGCGAACCCAGCCGAAGTGTTGCTAGAGACCATTGGTTCTAAAGCCACCGCGAAGGACAAGACTGATGGTCTGGATTGGACGGCAAAGTGGAAAGACTCCCCGGAAGCTGAGGCCGTCCAGAAGACCATCACTGAGATCCGGAAGAGTGAGGTGCAGTGGGACAGCATTGAGCAACAGCGCGAGTTCAACACCTCCAGCTTCAGCCAGACAGTTCATCTCACGAAGAGGATGCTCTTGAACCAGTGGCGCAAGCCCGCGTACATCTACAGCAAGATATGGGTCCACACCATCCAAGCCATCCTGATCGGTTTCACATTCTTCCAGCTCGGCACGTCTCCACTGGACCTTCAAAGCCGGTGAGTTCCAACATCTCCTTCCCATCATAACCAAATGCTAACCCGGCCAGTGCCTTCGGCGCATTCGCCCTCATCTTCCTCGTCAACACCATCGTCAACCCAATCCTCGCCCGCTTCTTCGGCCAGCGTCTGCTCTGGGAAGTCCGCGAGGGTCCATCGCGCACCTATGGTTGGCTGGCCCTCTGCAATGCAAGCTTCCTCGCCGAGCTCCCGGCCATTGGCGTCACGGGGGTGTTGTACTACCTCCTCTGGTACTTCCTCACGGGCTTACCGATGGGCGAAGCAGCGGGCTACACCTTCCTGATCGTGATGATCTACGAGGTGTTCGAGATGACCTTTGGGCTGTTGGTCACGGCCGTGAGCCCGGATCTGAAGTTTGCCGGGTTGGTGCTGGTGTTCTTGGTGACTATTTTTAATTGGTTTAATGGTGTTGTTGTGCCGTATCAGCAGATTCAGGGGTTTTGGAGGTATTGGGTATGTTTCCCTTTCCCGTCCAGTCCAGTCCACTTCAATCTTTCGAGTGATTCACTAACTCCCCTCCAGCTCTACTACCTCAACCCCCTAACCTACCTCTTCGGGGGCATGATCATCGCCGCGGATGGCAACGTGGACGTAGTCTGCGATGAAGCAGACCTCTTCTCCTTCCCGCCTCCCGATGGCCAGTCCTGCGGCGCCTACGCAGGCGATTGGGCTGCCAGCGTGCAAGCCAACCTGACCAACCCTCTGTCGAGGGATATCTGCCACGTCTGCCAGTACACCAAGGGTACACAGTACCTTGAGCAATTTGGACTGCGGGACGGTAGGTTGGGGGATAATATGTGGACGTATTTGGGGGTGTTTGTACTGTTTACGGTGGTGAATGTGGTGTTGTTTTATTTTTTTACTTGGGCGACGAGGGTGAGGAAGTGGAAGGTTTTTTACTTTTTCTGATGATATTGTCGGGGGAGTGTTGATGTTGGGTCGCGAGATGTGGACGAGAATGTAACGCGAGATACCGCGGCTGTTTTCCCTCCTTTTTCTTTTTCTTCTTTTTTTTGCTCGTTCCCAGATCGGTTGTCAAGATGGATGACCCGAGATCGAACCACAGCACAAGCACGTCATTGTACCTTGCCAGTTGTCCCATCTTCCGAGGTCGCAAGCTGAAAAGCCATCGCGATTCCGCGGTTGCATTTCGCCTCAGCCGTACCATTGATTCCCGGGTTCGTGGGCAAGCTGGGTTAGCATCGTGGGGTTTTTGTCGATTTTTGATCTCGGATCTGAAATTCGCCACTGGAAGAAAGGCGGTCCGATGCTTTTTTGCCAAATTTTGGTACACTGACTGTGGCTCGTGTGGACGAGGATGAGCAAAAAGACGAATCGAAATCGTTGAAGGTGATGGTGTAATGGCGCCTATGATGGCGCGTGAGGACGAGAAAGGGAATGATGTGTTCAGGTTCGTGGGGAGCAATGTTAAGCAATGTTACTATGGGACGTGTAGCGGCTTGGCTGACGATGGTGGGGTGCCGGCCGGAAGCGCGGGGGTCACTTGTTAATTTCTCGGGACTTGCTTGCGAGGGTTACAACGGACAACAGTCTCTCGATGGCTTGGGAGTTTGGTTTGGGTTTGGGTCAGGTTTGGATGTTCACGATTGGGTTGGTGATGTGGTGGGCAGTTCATTCCGGGATCTGGTGAACCCAAGCACGCCAGGCTGGATCTGGGTTTGCCATTTGGGGGGATTTGGAGAATTGGGGGCGGGACCTGGCGATCTCTTTCTTTTTCTTGATGTCTCCAATTCGTGCGCCATCTTCGATCGACTTGGTTGGTTGGTTTGTCGTTGGTTGGTGTTGTTTGGAGTTTTCCCCAAATCGACTTCCGCACTCCAACTGCATGTTGCAGATTGCAGATTCGAAATTCAAATTTCAGGGGCTGTCACACACCAGAAGCGGGCAAACAGTGAACATCGCCGTTTGCAGGACGATGGTTTGAGACAATCATGGCATGGAAGGACGTTGGACTGCAAATCAATGTCTCTGTCTGCCCGTTGAACGGATTGTCTTTCACGTGGAGCATGGGTAGATATCACGCTCTCGGTCAGTCAGTCCATAACATTGACAGACTTGAATGAAGGAGCCACGGAGCATCCCCTCACAGAAACCAGGACAACAAACATGCCAAGCATCCCGCTCTCTGACTGCCGATCAGCCCGTGCCTGGGCATGTCAAGATCGGCTTGCGGACTTGTGATGATGGGGAAACAGGGGCGCGTTTGGGAATTTGGTCCTCCTTGGAGAGTCCTTGCATGCTCTCATTCTGGCAACCTAGTCGTGGCAATGGCACCATGATACGATGGCCCTGGCCTGATGGGGAAAAAAGGGAGATGCTAAGGCGGCACGGGCGGTGCGTGTTCTCAGCCGTGAAGCACGCCATCCCCGCCAATTTCGATGCCAAGCCCGGCGCCTCGATCTGGGGGTGGGCTGACCTTGGTGGACGCTTGGACAGATGGTGTTAGTGGGTGACTTTGTCGGCGAAATCGTAGACGTTGATAAAACAAGAACAGACAGGGACTTACAAATAAAAACCACGGAGAGGACATTGTAACTTCCAGTACTGTGAATTACCGTCACATCCCCCGTCTGGGATGGTTGTTGTGATGTTGAAGGGAGTTGTTGGCGGGCAGCCTGAATTCCGAGTTAACAATCAAACAGGGATCGAACGACACACCTTCGGGCAGGCTTCTCCACGTGGACCAGACTGCCGGGGCTCTCCCACACACGCACACTCGCAAAACTCGCAACAACAGACCAGACGACCAACCCTGTCCTGCATTCCACTTCCTGCATTGCGACGGTGCGCGGGATGCAATCGGGCGACGATTGACCCATCCTGGCACAAGGCTCATTTCCTTTTGGGCTTTTTGGGCAGCGCAGGAACTCGGGGAGTGTGTCCGACGAGCACGAGGACGGTCATCATCAAGGGTTTGTTGGGGGTTGGAGCTTAAAAGTGGTCCGGACGAACTCCGAGGGAAGCCGGCCAGGTCAACTACCGTGGTATCTAAGCGGGCGGATGGGGAGGTATCCGGGGATTCGGTCACCTCACCTTACGAGTGACCAGTTGCCACCGGCGAGGCTAGCGAGGGATGAGGTTTGGCGTGCCTGTGTTACGGGCAACACAATGCAGTGGTGCCATGACGTGACGGGACGGTCAATGATGATCTGCATGCCCGTTCGGCGCTTCTTGACGATGCGCGTGGGAGTCACGGATGGTGTTGAGCGAGTCCATGACTCCATGGCCGGCATTTGACATTGCACGGGGCTGGAGATCAGCGAGGTTGCTGATTACTGACACTGCCAGGATGGTGGGACGACTGTGAGGGCACAGTACAAGAAGAGGTCCTCGCCGTCTGTTCTCCCCTTCTTTCCGGGTCCTCACGCTTTCTTCGCTTTGCCTACTTACATTAGATCATCTCGTTTCTTCCGGGACACACACGCTCTTTGCACACAACCAGCCATTCATTTGTTACTGTTTTTATAATCAAACACCAACCCGCAAATATGATCTCCATCAAGACCCTCACTGCCGCGGCTGTGCTGCTCGTCGCTCCCGCTCTCGCCGTGGAGAACGCCAAGCGCGAGCCCATCTACGTCGTACGTCCTGTTTCCCTTCTCCAACCTGGCCCGTCAGACAGGCAGAGTCAGGGACCAACCACTAACGTTAACTGCACTAGCCCGTCGCCGGCATTAACATCGCCCCCGGGGTTCTCGAGAACCTCCTCCACGGCGCCGGCGCCGGCAAGCGCGGTCTCCTCGACGGTGTTGTCCCCAGCAACGTCGCCGGCGGTGCCTCTGGAGGCGTCCTCGGCCCCGTGGTCGACCTGGTCGCTAACAAGGGCCTGCCGGTGCCCGGTGCCAAGCGCGATGTTGGCGACAAGGCCAAGCGTGAGCCTCTCTACGTGGTAAGCTCCGTATTCCTAAGCACCCACCGTATTGGAAGGATGAAGAAGATGCTGACGTTTTGATTGAACAGCCCGTCGCCGGCATCAACATCGACCTGGACGTCCTGAAGGACATCCTTGGTAATCTCGGCAAGCGTGGCCTGCTCGACGGTGTGCTTCCTGGCGGTGCTGCCGGCGGCTCCAACCCTGCCGGTGGTGTGGTCGAGACTGTCACTGGCGTTGTTGGCAGTGTCACCGGCGGCCTGACTAAGGGTGGCCTGCCCATTCCTGTGCCTGGCGCGAAGGCCAAGCGCTTCGAGGCTTAAGTTGTGGGTAATTAGCTGGGCGGTGATGACTGGGATGGGGGGTTATGTACGGCGTAATGTGTAATCATAGTGCGGCACTAGCCTGACAATTAATCTACTGCTGTGTTGGACATGCGCCATGTGCAAGGCTTCGGCTGTGATTCTAAATCCCTATGTGACGTACCTCGTGCAAAGTTCTGGACTCAGTCTACTTATCTACTTACCCCTAAATCATTTGCTTGGACGTCGCGAAGGTCTTGTGGCGCATAAAATGAAGGCTCGCGGCCGTCTCTCACAGCTTTTGCGCCGTCACGGAAATTGTAGTTGGAGTGGCGGGGATGTGCAAACCGTGGGCCATTGAACTGTTGTTCTCTCAACAGAAACAAAGGAAACCCTGTGCGGAAGTGTGTGGCTCTAAACACTTTGTGTTTAATTACCCAGGTAAGCGCTGTCTCGAGCGGAGTTTTCAAGCAATGGAGTGTGGTTGCATTTAACAGTGTTATGGAAGGAATTGAGCGATGCACCAGACTTGACTCTGTTGATGGACCTGACTGGAAGCACAACCAAGGTTAATTATTTAGGTACGCAGGGCACGTGTCACAACAACCAGTCTCAATCTTCTGCTTCATCAAAAAATTCCATGCCTTATCCCCACTGCTATCCCCGTATGCCGCGTATGTCAGGCAGTTGTCACGGCCGTGACTTGTGGCGGTGTGGGGTTCATGTGCACAACTTCGCGACTCCTGGCTCGACTGGAGTCACTGGACAGTTTGACCCACAGTTCCTCACTTGAGGATGGTACATACTAGTCGGTTGCGCCCACTGTAAGAGCGCTAATTAATGGAACGCAAGCGTTCCTGGTGCGGTCGTGATGTACTATGTACGTTGAAGAACAGAAGGGGCGATTCTTTTCATTTAGAAAGGTAATCCGCAAAGCTCTCAAAGGAGCAAGTGGACGCCACAGTCAACCTGCATAGGTAGGTAGATATTTGCCATGTGGCATGTGGACATAGTGGCGTTATGACCATAAGACCGGGACGTACAATATCACCAGTGTTCCTCCTTGTTTTGGCCAATGGTGCCTCCCTTTTCTAGTAATTGTAGTATAATCAGGTAGTTAATGAACTACCATCCTCATAACCACCGACCCGACAACCGCTAATCTCGTGGCCGCCAACCTTCTCTTCACACTTAATTACTAGGGAGGGCGAAGACGGTGATACAATCAGGAATGTTTGATATCCAGATTGGTACGTACCCGCACTATAACCCCCATTTCTGGACAACAAATCAACTAACAAATTCCCGGTATTTTGTGGCAATTTCGTTTTGGTAATAATTTGTAATAGTTCTATTCCTACAACGCTCTAGCATTCAGGCCAACCGCTCATCATGTAATCAGTGTACTCGGGTGACCCTTTCCACGCCTCCTTAGTGTACCTCTGAAGGCCATCTGAGGAGGGTTTTATTCACCCCCATACCAATCTTTGATCCCGTTCGTTGCATCCAGCTCCGATAACTTTCAGTCGTAGTCTCGATGCATGTGTTGGCTGCGAATCTGAAATCTTCGATGGCTGCAATGTCTGTGATGGTCAAGATGGCTGTCTGCCGAAACACACGGAGCTATCGGATTGGTCAAGACATGTCGGGTGTTTGTGACGCGACGCGTAGACGACAGCAGAAACAAAAAACTGCGGGGAGAAACATTTTGACCTCCAGCACAGTGAAACACCATCACATTCTTGTGTTTCAAACGTTGTTGTGGGATTTCCGCAGCAAAAGCCAAAGCTTTGATCAGGTCCCGGGCCGGGAACTAAGCAGGGATTCAAGCACCACTCCCAGTTTCCTTGAGCAGACTTCTCCACACGCCGCACATGGATTCTACGTGTCAGACTGCTGGGGTTTGTTTCGCCTTTGGGGCTTTGGGTAGGAATGAAGAAGAAGAGACGAAGTATATTTTGCGCCTAAGTGCTAGCTGTCGGGCAATATGCTGTACCGGCGATGGCGGTCGGAATTTGGGTGGGAGTTTGTGTGGCCGTCGAGCACGAGGACGGTCATCCGTGGTTGGGGTTACTAGTGGTCCGGATGGGCTCCGGGGGAGGCTGGTCAGGTTATCCGGGAGACGGGGCGGACCGGAGGATCGATCGGGTCGTGTTTCACTCCATCAATCACTTCTTAGTGCCATTTTAGAGTGCGCAACGGCAGAGCAGAACCACCAAGCCGGAAGCTGGATGATCTCGCGTTACCCGCCAGATATCTATTTCGTGCTTGATCTCCGATAATCGCTGTATAATGACATTAAATTCGTAGTCGGGTAATACCATGGAGTCGCTGCCGCCGTGTAATTATTCGGATTAAAAGTTGAGAGATGCAAGGTAAATTCTACTGGGACTATGAATATCGACGTAATAATACACACAACCGAGGAGAAGTATCCGGGCATTCGGTCACATCAACACTCACCGCTTGCCACGGCTAAAGTTAACGTCTCACTCTGTCTGCGGGCCACATCAAAGCTCTATCGAGCGGGCAACCGAGGAGCCAACCCGAACTAGCAGGTACCTGAGCTGTTGGTAAGAATTGAGGTTTGGCGTGTCTCGATAGGTGTGACAACACACAATGCAGTGCCAGCAGTGGCGCCATGGCGTGACGGGACGGTCAATATGGTGGTCTCCATACCGGTTCGGCCGTGAGGTTGTGGATTCTTGAGACGGGTGTGAAATGGATATGAGTAGTATAAGAGGAGGTCCTCCCGCTCTGTCCTGCTCTCCTTTCCAACTTCCAAGTCCTCACGCTTTCTTCCCCTTAGACTGCGCGATCATCTTGTTCCTTCTAAATCTAGACCACCTTCCCACACAAACGTTCATTTGTTTGTATTATATTTCAATCCAACATTATAACCGCAAAGATGGCCTCGGTCAAGACCCGACTGTTACGACCACCCTCACTGGCAGCGACAAACGTAGCCTGTTCCGTAGTGCGGCCGAGGGCTCTTCTGCCAACTCCGACATTAATGGCGGTGTGGTCGACACGGTCACTGGCGCACTTGACGATCTGTCCCACGATGTCGGGAATGTTGCCGGCGACACCGGCGAGGTTGGCATCCCCGTCGACGAGCTGGCCAAGGCCCTGTCTAAACAAGGCCTACGCAGGAGGTGGTAGCATCATTGATGAAAAAGTAGTGGGATGACGGGGGTTCATGTACGGCGCAAGGCAGAATTAACCATAGCGTGGCACTGGCCTGTCAGTGAATCTGGTGTTGTACTGGACACGTTACACGTCCAAGACTGATGCCAGGGGAAATTTTAATTTGTTAAGTTAAACAAAGTCCGAACCCCTTCTTCACCTTCGCCAGCATCATAATTAGATTGAAATACAGTCTGTTCCTTCATCTCTCGGCGTTATGATGTGAGAGTGTTAATGAGTGAAGACTTGACCCAAGCGAATTCCAGCACAGCGTACTCCGAACTATATTCCCTGTTGTAACTCTGCGGACACTCTTGCTTCGAGGTTTACCGATCTTTTGGGACCGAGGACAACCCTTTGGCAATTATTAGTGAAGTTACACCGAATGCGAAAGTACTTGGGTTGATATCACACATTACAGGATGTTGAAGTACGTGACAGTATGATTTCCCAGTAATAACGAGGTAGTATAACACCATCTTGTCATCTTCATTATGAATCTAAAACTAAGCATTCCCCAGCAACCCAGCAAAAGGCACGCGAAAGAACCGCAGCGCCCTCTCAAGCAGCGGCACCCGAATCAAGGATGTCTGGCCCTCGCGCACACCCCCGACCACCTTCTCATCCTCCACCACACCCTGCTTCTCAGTCTCCTCGCCCATCGCCCTCGCCTTGACCAACATCTCGGCCACCTTCTCCACAAACTCCAGCGCCTGCGACCCCGACAACCGCGGATCACACAAGCTCTTGTACCGCTCCCCGCCCAGTTCCGCTCTGGCCTTTTCTCTATCTTCACTCTCTAATACACCTACCTCCGATGACGATGACGAAGAAAGGAACAACACCCCCTTATCCACACACTCCACGACATCCTCCCCCGTCTGCTCCAAATGCAACCCGCCCAACTGCACTCCAAACTCGCCCAACACCTCAATCACCTGCTCCACCTCCCTCAGCATCGTCGTCGGACACCGGGTTTTGACCACAGCCCCGTTATTCTCCGGCCCCGTGTCGACAGCAAAAGTGTTGCCGTGGCATGGGTCACACATCCAGACGGGCGCTGGCAGGCCGCTGGCCTGGATGGCTCGTAAGATGGGTGGAAGGACGATGGAGGCTTTGTCTACGCCTAGGCGTGGGATTAACGTCACCTTTCCTTCTTCTCCTCTCTCTTCCCCTTCCTTACTGTCGAGAGGGCCGGATAAGAGAGTCAAAACAGCAATGACCTCCTCAGGGGTAGTGGTCGGGCCGATCTTGACGCCCACCGGGTTGCGCAGGCCGCGCGCGTACTCGAGGTGGGCGCCGTCGAGCTGGCGGGTGCGCTCGCCGATCCAGAGGAAGGCGGCTGAGGTGTTGTAGCGGGTTGTGGGTGTTGTCAGGGCGGTTTCGAGGGGCAGGTGGAGGGCTTCGTGGGCTGTGTAGATTGGTTTTCTTTGTTTTTTGTCAGTATTCATTCTCCATTTTGGGATTAATTATTTGTTTCTGAGGGACTCACAGAGAAGAACTCAGTTTATGCAGCACCGCCAAGGCATGCCACCACCCATGCAACAACTTCCTCGGATCCGGCTCCCTATCCTCCGCACTCGCCCCATTCACATTATGCCCGCGAAAAGCATGCACCGTCCTCCCATCCACCAACGTCTCCATCAACTGCGACCGCGGCTTAGAGTACTGCCCGGCCAGCCTCGCCGTCACATGCACCGGCACTTTCTCCCCCAATGCTCGTTCTAATACTTCAGCCTGCCGGTTTAAAAGGTCCATTTTCAACCCGACGATGGCATCCGTCGTGTCGTCGAAGCTCTCGGCGCAGTCGCCGCCGACGAGGAGGAAGGCTTCGCCGCGGGCGGCAGCGGCATGGTTGGAGCGGACGGTGTCGATGGTGGAGGGGTTGACGAGGGGGGGCAGGTCGGCGAGGCGGGCGAGGGTGATGGCTAGGAGGGGGTGGGTGTGCGGTGGATAGAGGACTTGTTGGGCGTGGGTGGGGGAGGATTGCCAGGAGGTTGGGGACCATGCCCGTCTCTGTGTAAGGGGAATATCTGTAGAAGGATGCATGTTGAACTGCGTTGGCAGAGGTTGAATTTGGTTTGGGTCTGTGTCTGAGGCAGAAGTTGAAGACCAAGTGGTGATTTAGTGATGATCATGATAGTAACAACAATGACAACCACACAGCGACGAGATATCCAGCCTACAAAAGGCGGAGCATATCGCCTCATTCCCGGCTTACACGTCGTCCTCAAGTCAGCCTGGCCCGTAAGTCGCCGTATCTCGGACGTCTACCGGACGTTTACTCGGACGCAGACCATCGGGGATTCGACTCACCCGGTCCTCTTCCAACCAGGTACGTACTCTTTCTTACCCACTGCCATCAACCTCACTCAGCCTTGGGCCGCCTCCTGCTCTCGTACACGCAGCCTAGTCCATCGGGCCCTCTCACGACCATCCCTTCCGATCATCAGTCTATTTGTCCGCCCATTCCCGAGACCGTCTCTCACCTCGGAACGCCACGATAACGCCAATCACGCCTCTAATCCGAGATGTACTATGTAGCGCCCTTCCGAAATGCAGTTCCTCAAGGTCAACTCCCCCGAGATGCAGCCATCCGAGATGTGGCCTTGTGGCGCAGTGCATGGCGTTCACGGGAAGCCGGAGAGCACGGGAAGCAGGACAATACCCGTCTGCAGATGCAATCTCAGAGTCTCCACATGCAGAATATGCACGATCGGATAATATTGGCTGTTACAGCGAAACTGCCGTCGGCAGAGAAGTGAAGTACACAGTAGGAGAGTGAGATGCGGGATGTGAAGGGGCCCAAAACGGGGATCGGGGGTACTTCGTTCGTTCGCCGATTACCATGTTAATTCCGTCGGAAAGAGAATCAAGTAAAGGATAGTCAGATACGTAAGTAGGGACCGTGGATCGGAACATAGTGTAAGAGCCCCTTTGGCCCCCACGAACTAAAACCAGAGTCACAACCATCCTTATCCGAACCCCCTGCCTCGGCAGCTGTCTCCGAACGACCGAAGTACGGAGATACCTCGCCTATCGCCCAGCGCGGCACGGCGAAGCGGGTACATATACCTTCACTAAGCTAAACAGGGGTTGATGCGGCTTACATTTCAGAGTTAAGGTCACTGCGTGATCTGGTTCTGCAATCGTCAGCCAAGAGGTGGCATCCTCGGAGGATTGTATACAGCACCCCGGGATTGGCGGGCGGGTGTAACGGAACGATCTGCTAGCCTTCCTGGTCTATCGGGTTAACAATCCCCTATTCGTCCGTTTATTCGGACACCCGTTCAGACAAACTTTCGGACGATAGTGTCCTGCACGATCACAGCCAGTAGACGCATATCCGATTAAGGAATTTTACCCTCTAGGTTTGTTTGGTTTCTTCTTGCCTGCCGGAAGTGGTGGGTCATAGATAGTAGAAGTAAGAAAAGAGCCAAGTTCCTCCGGTTCAAGATGGTGTCATGCAATCTCCAAGTGGGATCATGGCCATCGTGCATAAGTCTAGTCTGCAGCAGGCAGGGGTGCGGATTGTCGTCACCTCGGCTTAGACCTGACTTGTATAGTCGGAATTGAGCCTCGCTCTTCGCTCTCTTGCTACGCTCGGCTCTTAGTCTGATGCGATGCGAATGGCCCGGAGATAGCACGCAGAATGCAACTGCGTAATCGGCATCGTCTTGCTGTCTCAGACCTTGCCCACTTACCTGGCAAGGCGAGACAAGACAAGGCAGACAAGGAACTAACTTGACCCGGCTCGGACATGATAGTCGCGGGCGCGGGGCGGCCATCCGCGGATCCTAACGGCCTGGCGGGGGACGTCCTTCGGCGAATTCACGCCGCCGGCGTCCGGTCAGGATATTACTTCTAGGGCAAAGGATGGATCTCGTACCCTTTCCCCCGCAAACTTACAGTTAAATCAGAACACTGTAAACTCATCACCACCAGCAAGTGACTGCTTGTCTGCCTTCCTCATGCCTCCTCAACGTGGCCTTCATCTTGACTCTGATTTTTGGCGACGGCGCCGGAGAAGTCTCTCGTCTGCTGTCTCGTTGCTTGTGAAGCACCGGAATACCCCGTCGACAGATATTCGGACTCCTACTCCTCCTCCTGTTTCTGAGCCTGTTCCAGCTCCAGCTTCGGCTTCAGCTTCTGCTTCTTCAGATACCACCATCGCTGGTGATATCCCGGATACCGATACTCACCCCCCTGAGATTCATCCACCTGAGATCCATCCTCCCGAGACTCACACTCGCATTCACCCACCCGACCCCGAGACACACAAAATGTTCGAATCCAAACTCCCCCTCCCTCAGCTCCCGACAAGCGATGTCTTCAACTACATCTTCCACTACGGTCGGCGCGCCTACCCCTGGAGCCGCGTGGTGTATCGGGTCGACGGCACCGACGAGACCCTGACACTGGCCCAACTCGAAGACCAGAGCCTGCGCCTGGCCCGGGCCCTGAAGAAGAAATACGGCATCAAGCCGAACGATGTTATCTCGATCGCCGCGAAGGATGGTGTACGTCACCCCTTGGTTTCTGTTGTCCACATGGAGAGTGTGAACTAACAAAGACGACAGATCCAATACCCCATAGCGTTCTTCGGCGCCCTAGCAGCCGGCGCCACCCTCGCCCTAATCCCCATCCAAAAAGAGCTCTCCACCCCGGACATCGCCAGCCGGCTCCAAACCTCCCACTCCAAGCTCCTCATCACCGACAGCTATCTCCTCCCGCTCTCCGAACCGGCCTCCTCCCTTGCCGGCGGCGTCCCCATCATCACCCTCGACGAAGCCGACGCCGAAATACCTTCCCTGTCCGACCTCACCGCCCACGCCCAACCGGCTACCACCAGTTTTGCGTTAGAAACCCACGCTGCTGCGTCCGACCACGACGCGTTTATTAACAGGACTAGTGGATCAACGGGGAATATGAAATCTGTTCTTGTCTCCCACGCGCATTACATCGCCGCCATGGAAGGCACACTGCACACCATCCCCCCGACGACAGACGTGACAACCGATGTTTGGCTCGCCAGTTCCTCCCTCGGCTTCCTAATCAACGCCAAACTGTTCATGGGCCTCAACCTGCTGCTTGGCATCCCCGTCGTGTTAATGCCCACACCGTTGGACGAAACCTCGGTTTCCGTCATCAAACGCCACGCGATAACCTTCATCCTGGTGTTCCCGCCGTTGATCGCGAAGCTGGCTAAAGCGACTGATCTCGCAGCGGCTGATGTAGCATCGATTAAATGGCTGTTATCCGCCGGCGCCGTGATCCCCGCCAACTTGCGCAGAGCGATAGCGCAGAAGTTTCCCCATGTGGATCTAACCCTGGAATGGGCCACCTCCGAAACGATGTTGATTTCCATCCAGACTAATGATCCGTCCTCTCGCCGGGAAGGCTCCAGCGGGACGTTGGTGAACGGGATACAAGCCCGCGTGGTGGATACCCAGACAGGGGAGGATTTAGGCGCCGGCGAGCCAGGCGCGATATTGGTGCGGAATCAGTTGGCGCGGTTTAGGGGGTATAAAGACAACGTGGAGGCGAATCGGGAGTTTGATTCCGGGGGATGGTTCCATACGGGGGATTATGGGTTTATTGACGGGGAGTGTAATGTGTATATTATTGATCGGATTAAGGAGATGATGAGGGTGGGCGATGGGTATGGGAGTCGGATTAGCGCGGGAGATTTGGAGAATGTGGTGTTTGAGCATGAGGCGGTGCACAGTGTGGTGGTGGTGGGGATTTGGGACGAGGAGAAGGCGACGGAGGTGCCGACGGGGTTTGTGGTGCCGATGCAGGCGTTCCGGGGGCAGGTTGGGCCGGAGTTGGCGAGGAATATTGAGGTGGCCGCGGAGAAGAAGGGGTTGACCGGGTTGAAGAGGTTGAGTGGAGGGGTGTATTTTGTGGATGCGTTGCCGACGACGGGGTTTAAGATCAATAGGCGGATTATGAAGGGGTTGAAGCGGGATCCGGTGACGAGGTTGGCGAGCTGGGATGTGGGTGAGGAGTTGCCGAAGGTGCCGGCGTTTTTGGCCGAGACCAAATCGTTGGTGGCCGCGCCGCAGGGGCAGTTGATTGCGTCGTGACGATAACGTCAGACATGACGAGGACATGGTGGTCTTGTTGACGACTAGCGCCGGGCAGTAGCCGGTGACGAGATGTATCTATCCTGTGAGAGTGAGACCGAGATTGTGAGTACCCCATAACAACGAGTTTTATGATTCTACCAGTAAACACCGCATCTTCGCATGACGAACTGTCAACTCAAGATGAACCAAGCTTGCGATCTGAGATCTGAATCATCTCCACACCCACGCTGAACAGGGATGATCCCAAAGTGCCACACAATCTGGATCACCGCGGTTCTCGAACAGTTCTCTTTTGAAACGACGAGTTCTCGAGGCACGCGAGTAAAATCTCGAACATGACCACCAAGAGCTCGCGTGGAAGGTAAGACCGCGTGGGGGTGTCCAGGAACCAAAAACCAAGACACAGAAACATCACAGAAACAGACAAAACCCCGACCCCCGAATCTCATCATCGGCCCAATGCATCACGACATTGGCCGCTGGGTCCACGAAAACCCAGACAACCCCACTCCGTTGCAGCACTTTCCACCTTTTACATCTCTCACCCAGAGAAACGCAGAGGGCAGTACCCGGTTACCTCAAGCAGCGGCCCCTCGACTTGCTGCAGTAGAAGCCGTTACGGGAATGCCGGTCGCGGGAGTCCCACGGACAAGCTCCACTAATACCCGGCTTCTGGCGGTATTGCCAGCAATGGTTCCTAGTCAACGCAAGATGCACAGGAAATTCCATGATGATACCTTGTTTAGTGATTGATTGATAAAACCGCGATGGGCCGGTGAATGGAAACGTGAGGCTTTAAATCAGTTTTCCTCTCTTTTCAACACAATTCCCAAAACCACGGGCGAGAGCCAGAAAGGCAGACATCATGTCGTCGCTCGAAAAGGAGATAGCAGCCGAAGTGCCGAAGGACCAAGAAGCAGTCAACCCGGGGGCAGGTCCGGCAACACCCCAAAAGCCCCTCTCCCGCTTCACCCGCTGTTACCGCAGCCCCCTCTTCAACGTCATCCTCGTCGGCTTAATCTCCTTCACTCAACCCGGCATCTGGAACGCCCTCAACAGCACCGGCGCCGGTGGCCAGCAGGAGCCCTATCTTGTCAACGGGTCTAATGCCTTGACCTACGGGTATTAAATACCCCCTCCCATCTCGCAAGCCCCAACCACCCGAAGTAAAGCTAACTGCTTGTAGGTTGATGGTCTTCGGCTGCACAATCTTCGGCGTGCTCTCCAACCGCATCGGCGTAAAAAAGGTCCTAATCATCGGCACATTGGGGTATGCGCCATACTCGGCCTCGTTGTATGTCAACAACCGGTACGGCACGGAGTGGTTCGTCCTGTTTGGCGGAGCGACCTGTGGTATTGCGGCTTCTGCGCTGTGGGCGTCGGAGGGAGCTATTGCGCTTGGGTATGGTGATGTGAAGGATCGGGGGAAATATGGTGAGTACCCTACCCACCAAACCCGGTGATAAGTCCTACGTCAGGTGGCTAATGGACTTCACAGCCGGCATCTGGCTCGGCCTGCGCGAGTTAGGCCAACTCATCGGTGCCGCTATCCAGCTGCCGCTCAACGTGAGCACCAGCAGCCGCGGGAAGGTCAGCTACACGACCTATCTCGTTTTGATCGCCCTGCAGTGTCTGGGGTTGCCGTTGGCGCTGTTGGTGTCCCCGCCTGAGAAGGTTATCCACAAGGATGGCACGCGCGGCCAGAATGATACAAAGTCGAAAAAGAAGACGACTCTGGAAGAAGAGGCTCGCAAGACCTGGGCGCTGCTGAAGCGGAAGCAGATGTTCCTCTTGATTCCGATCTTGATTGGGTTTCAATGGAATACGGTGTACCTGGGGATTTACATGACTAAATAGTGAGTTTTTGTCGTGTCATTCTCCCATTACTTACCAAAGCCCGTACCAGTGGCTAACATGACAAGCTTCTCCGTCCGCGCCCGCACCCTCGGCGCCCTAGTCTCCGGAATCGTCGCCACTCTAGCCAACATCTTCTGGGGCTGGTTCTACGACCTCAAGTACTTCGGCCGGCCCACACTGGCAAAAGCCTGCTGGGCCTTCTTCGTCGTCACCATGCTGGCCGTGTTCGGGTGGCAGGTAGCCAACGAGAAACTCTACGGCGATTCCAACCCGCGCGTCACGCTCGACTGGGAGAACCCCGGCTTCGGCCGCGCCTTTGGGTCCATGATCATTTTTCGGTTCTTGAACGAGTCGCATTACATGTTCATGTACTGGATTGTGGGCGCGTTTTTTGACGATCTCGAGACGCTGACGCTGGCGGTGAGTTTGGTGCGGACGTTTGAGTCTATTGGGTCCTGCATCTCGTTTGGCATTGGTGCGGCGTCGGTGTCGCCTATGGTAAACCTGATTATTTCGTTTGCCATGTTTGGCATCACCATTCCGGCTACCTCTTGGGTTGTGTTTATGGTGCCGGAACGGCCGGTGGATTTGCGCAAGGAAGATGGGCAATCATCGACGGAGACTGAAAGTATCGAGGCCTCTAAGGTCGCTACGCAGGCTGCTGAGCTGTCGAGCGTTCCTCGTCCGTGAGTCTCGACTCATGAACGAAGGGTAATAGACGCAATTTATTGTTTTTACCTCGAGATACCCTACGCGAGAATCAATACATCAATCGTCCTAGTAATGGTCTGCGATTTGATGAGGCGGTAACTTCATGTCGGCGGCTTGCTTCGCTGAAGATTCCGATATTTCGTTGGTGGGGCGGGTTCAGAAAAGGGTGCCGGCTGACAATTCCACAAGTGTTGACTGAGGAATCCCAGGACACCTGACCCGATCTGGTGAATCGGCAAGCCTGTGACCTGCGCATGTGGGCCCCCACGCCTGGTGCCACAGGAGCTTAATTCGCGTGCGCCGGGTGCAGCTTTTCCCCTACAAACTGCCGGATTTCCCCAGACACGTCACCTCTCTACCATGCCAAGTACTATGCTCTGACGAACCCTTCCGTGGCAAAGAGCCTCGGTGCGCTTCTCCATCTTCAGTCCCTCGTACCTCTCGAGTCTCGATGGTCTGCCTATACATTGGCTAATCTCTCGCCTGCATGCCGCAAGCCCCATCTGTGACTTTTCGCGGTTGTCATGAGGAGGCAGCAGAGCGTCTGTTAAGCATCCACAACGCGATTAGAACATTTGCCTAGTGTCCACTTTGTGTTAACTATAGTAGAGCGGCAAACTCACGTCGAGAGTGGCCTTGCTTAGGCGAAGGGCGTGAGCCACCGGGCGGCCGAGGCCCGTAACGTCTTCGAGAAAAATGGTCCGTGAAACTAATGTAACGAGCAAGGATTGGTGAATGTCGGTGAACTGGGTACACAGTGAGCTTGGGCGGGCGTGCAGACAGAGAGGGACCAGACATTGGAGAGAAAGGGAGGGTTAATTTCATGGGTCACCTACCGTATGATACGAGTCGATAATAAGTTTAGAGTCCGGACTTGGAGGGATTGGTTCTGTCCTAGGGGAGGTCAAATCCCTCATGATGATATGCGTCATCGAGGTGAAGTTTTCGGAGCCCTTAATGATTTCCTGCCATCACAACAACAAACACCCTTGGGTCAGCTTTCGGGCTCGGAATAATTAGGGTTATCTAAGGCCAAAACATCACTCACGGGATATGGCGAAAGAGGGGCGATGAGGTGCATCAACCAGGCCTGTTTGCTAACTATACTGTCCCGCTTCTCCCGCCCAATATCGGCCGAGTGTCCGGACTGTACCGCCCAACAATCATCCCTGATCCCCCTAAGCTCGACCCTGGCTGGCCTGATGGACGCGGCCCTTCACGATCAGCATGTGAGGCGGTAGAAGCCGGGGAGACCGGAGAGAACTAGGGCCGTAGCGATCCCACCAGCCAGGCACGCCAGGGTCGATCTCAGCCCGGGTATGGTTAGTCGAGACTCCGCCTCCCCAACCGGCCGGTGAGCCGGTGTTGATGAGGATGAGCCGAGACGGAAGAACACAGCGGCGCTGGGTTCGTGCACCCCATCACCTCGCTTTCCTTGAGGCCAGTGCCGAGCAAGGGTCCAAACACCGCAACAAACGCCAAGAGCGAGGTGTCCACCATACGTAGGGAGTTAGTCCCAACCGGACTCCAGCTGACCCGCCGATCGCACAAAGCAGCTTGTTGGCAACGCGGTCAATAACCACCAAAACTCCAGCGTGTTTTCGGTGATCCAAAAAAGCATGCCAAGACTTAACGAGCCGTGCCCCTGGAACCGGGGCTTCCTGCAAAGGCGATCATCATCCTGGTTCCCGACTGTTCGGTGGGCTGCCCGGCTGATCCCAGCTGGATCACGCCAATCCAAGACTAGGGTGTCTGGGTTCAGCTCAGAGCCAGAGCCGAACAGCGGGTTTAGAGTGAAGCTAGCCCGACGATCCTCTCCGAAAGCCAGAGCCGTGTCTGTGATGTTGTGACAACGAACTTCAAGACATTGTAGGTGGCTAGCTAGGTAGCAGATTATGAAAATGGTGAGATGTTTTTGCATCTGGACCATCCTACCGGTGTGCTGTTCACATAGATGGAGACTGGAGTTTGGACGGACTGGCGCGACTGATCATTGCCATTCTGGGATAAACCTCCCTCGACGTGTCTTGAGTTGTGCGGTGTCGTCGCGGCATTGGGGTGACTAGCTGCTGCATGTTGGAAGAAACATCGCAATGACCGCTGGGGAGTCGCAGGGGCGGGAGAGAGGCGTGATCATCATCGAGGAGCAGTCCAGCGCAGGCAGAGAGGAGAGTTTGACTGTCATCCTGCTCGATCGAGTCTTTAGGTTGTCTATAAAGGACTGCTTCACCCGCCACCGAGTCTGCCATTTCTCTTCTCATCATCCCCTCGTCGTCACCAAGCTCCAGCACAACACTGTTCAGCAAACTTCTCTCAATACTTAGCCCTCCCATTGCAAACATGGTTTCCTTCCGCTCCCTCTTCGCCGGCGCGGCCATCCTCGCGGCTCCCATCATGGCCGCCCTCTCACCTGAGCAGATTGCTGCCGGCATCAACTCGATAACGGAGAAGACCCAAGCTCTTCAGGCGCCAGCCCAGAGCATCACCCTTGTCAATGCCCCCTTGATTATCATCGGCCAGGGCCCGTTCCCCGTAAGTGTGGACCATATATCCCCGCCCTCGGTTGTCGGTACCTTGGTACCTCAGCTTCGGCCAAGCGATCCAAGAGACAAAAACTCGCTAACACGGGCACAGGAAATCATTGCCGGGTTCGCAGACATAGTTTCGACTGCAACGAGTCTTGCCAATCAAATCGGCGCCTCCACTGTGAAGAAGCGGGAAGCGCTATCTGCGCGTCAGTCTGGCGCTGAAGTTGTGTCCGATGCTTTCCGCGCCGTATGAAATTGCCCTCTATCCCCGGGTCGTGGGGTCCTGCGTCTGTGGCTAACATGTGTTTGCTCTAGTACGTCCGTGTGAACCAAGCGCTGCTCAACATTTTGATTGGCAAGGCAGGACTTCTTGAGCAAGTCCCTCTCGTTGGCGCGCCGGTGGCGTCCGCCCTTCGTGGCGTCGAGGCCATTACTGATGTCAGTCACGCTCCGAACCCCATGCACCCTAACCCCTGGGCTTTCGTTACTCCTTTCCCACACTCCGCGCGCAAATGGCTGACGTGCTAATCTTGACCAGTCGATCGCCATCACGCTCATCAACCTGTTCGAGGAGAGGGCGGCGGAGTTGACGTCGGATGCCAATTCCAATGACGCCACCCTGACCATTACCATTCAGAAATACGAAGGCCTCCAGCTCAAGAAGCGCGCCGAGACCTTCATTGCTTAGGTGTACGCACCTGGTGTGTCAACAAAAGTGCGTCTGGGCAGGCGATGTGCCGACCCATCGGACAGGAGAGGTGAAGTTCCCGGCAGGGGCTGGGCTGGGAGGAACTTACAGTCCGGGTCCCAGCACCGCTGAGCCCGGATTTGTGGTAGTAGCATATCATAATAGCCGGATACGAGCACCGTAATCGCAATTTTTAGTCCTTTGTATCTGGATGACCCTGTCCATTTCTGGTTCTACCCTGTTCCATCAAATTGTTCAGCTCCTGGTAGAAAAAGTATAAACCGAAAAATAGGAGACCCGCAGAGGTGAAGGTTGTGAAACCATTACTCAAAACCTCAAGTCCTGGTTACGGAGGTCCAGTCGATGAATCCAGTCAAAACGGTTATCGCCCCACTGCACTCGCGTTAGATCCATTTTTCTATTCCAAGCCATTGCATTGCGAAGACAATTTCAAAATCGAATGTACCTCAATCCCACCAACCGCCCGATCGCATTGCATCACTTCTAGCCGAGCAGTACTGCACATTAATTTCCAAAACCTCTATTGCTTATAAGCTGCTAAAGTAGTTCAATCTTCAATTCAATCTTCAATTCAATCTTCAATTCAATCTTCAATTCAATCTTCAATTCAATC